TTTGTTCTCCCGCGATGAATCCCGCGATGAATCAATGTCTGGTTACTGACTTGCGCCACTGCAAGTTCAATGCGCGGCCAGCCTCACTGCGTTCTCTGACGCCAACCGTGGCGCGTAAGACGGGAGCAACCGATTATACCGCTGGTTACGACGTGCGCAACGCTATGACTCTCGCGCAGGTGTTGCACAGTGGATTTGACGCCTACAAGTGGGGCATCATCACAGTGGCAAATCAGGTATTGCTCGGATTTTATGCTTTCTTCGGGTCATCTCAAAAGGTCACTCAAAGGCGATGGGTTTCTGTGTTAGTTGCGCACATTCAATTTCACAATGCCTCAGTCAGATCTTACGGATGGCCCAATCCGGATTCCTGCTCGGGGCGTGTTCCCTGGAGCAGAGACATATTACCAGGACCAGTTCCCGGACCCGGCTCTTTTCCGGTTTCATTTTGAGGAGTGCGTGCGCAGAAACTTTCGCGCCGAAGGAGAGGGGTCTGCCAAGCCCAAGGAACCTGAGGTCGATGCCGCGGATCCAGTGGGTGCGGGTGACGAGACGTCCGATGTCGAGGAGGGCGACTGGAGCAGCATGGACATGTCGACCGTCGCGAGTCAAAAGATTTGGCGTGGAATGATGAAGCAAGTGGCCAGCACCGACACGATCATTCAAGCGGACGATCTCGAAATGGTTGAATAATTCCAAAGCAGGTCTTAATTTTATCCGTGACCGTTCGGCCACGTCTACCACATGGCGCCCCACAGAGCACGTCGAACTCAAAGCGCAAATTCAAACGTTGCTGCGGCGCGGATGGGATCCAACCGTCATCAAGTCCATGGGGAGCGCCCGTCCTCTTCGTCAAGAAAAAGGGCGCCGTACGAAATCTCCTTCCCGACGGAGGACTGCGCCGTACGAATTCTCCTTCCCGACGGAGGACTGCGCTTCTGTTGGTGAAAGTTCTGTCCATCGACCCCCAGCAATCCACATCAGCCAAAGACGTGTCTACTATCGTCAACATCAACGGGGCCCATCGCGTGACGAACCAGACGCTCAATGCGAGCGGCGGAACTTTGGCGGAGCCATCATCCACGGGGACGTGCAGATTGGGGTGAGCGACGATGGCCGCACCCGCATTCACAAATTGCTGTCAACGTTTGATGTTGACAATTTTGAGGTTGACAGCAACTTTGATGTTGACAATAGTAGACATATCAGCCAAGGACATGTCTACTATTGTCAACATCAACGGGTGTTGGGGATATCCGATATTCGTCTTGTATTTGTTATTATATCTTTCTACTTCTACGCGAGACGCTCGGTGATAGATTACCTAAGGCTCCAAGCCTCATTGAAGCTATGCAAGCCCCACTGGCAGCCCATATAAAAAGCTGTCAGTAGTGGTGCCGCTGCGAAGGACTTCTTCGTTTTTTCTTCACTCCAGTATCGTCCATGATGACATAATCCAACTCCGTGGGAGGCAAGACGCGAAAGGACCGTCAGTACAGAACTTTACGAAATGACTTGATAACGACAGGAGTCATGGTACAGTACGATGAAGCGCTGAGACCCTGGATATGTACGTGAGGTAGGCATGCTTTGATGTATTTTACATGTAGGGTTTATCGACCCCAGTAACAGTGCATTTGTGATCCTGCCTTCAAGAGTAAATGTTGGCTCCGCTATGTTACGGTAGGTACAGTACGTACAGTACAGTAGTAATATGACTCCGCTCTCTCCAAAAAAGGAGGAATGATTTTATCTGTCAAGTGACCGCCCGTGATATTTTAAACGCGTTTAGCGAGAAGATGAACGACAACCTCTGACCACTGATTCCGCAGGGCGACAAACATCCTGCTGGAAACGTTAGATACTGAGAAGTAAGCCGTCATGGTTATCGAGCCGCAGTTGCCCGACAAAGCCTTGGTCAGAGTTCTCTTATGTATGCGCCTGGTGCTGCGTTCAAAAAAAAGAGTTTCGACGGCCATTGAGTACCGCACTTGTTGAACTAGCCTTCGCCGATATGAAAGAAGGCAAAAACGCTGATGCCAAGGTTTGCAGGTCTGGAGTGTGAGAAGAATGGACCCAGCTGAGTATGCGCTGCGGGGAACTTATGACCGTCTTATCCGAGACGCCGGCCGGAAGTGGATGCACAGACTGGCCGTTCAACAATGAGGCCCTCTGATCTGACGCATGATATTCAAAAGCTGTTGGAGAGTCCCGAGACGAAGGAAAGCCGAAGGCGGGGCGGGCGTAAAGAAGGAGAAGAAGAAGAAGCCGAAGAAGAGTACGACGACGACTCGGCCTCCGTATGCTGCTCGTACAACGCGCGAATGAGTCGTCGGCACACCGACCGGACGACCGCCAGAATCTATTCGCGGCGTGTCAGTACATCACTCCCGACATTCCCGATTCCAATCGCTCGAAGGAGATGTCATACCACATCAATCTGTCCGTTCAACGTTTTCGTCGACACCGCAGTCTTATTGTGGATGTGGGTTCGGCCGTCGTCCTTCACGTCGTCCTTCACCCAGTCTGCACGTTACCGTGGATGATGGCTCCCGCCAAAAGGCCGCCGCTCCCATTGAACGTCTGGTTTATGACGCGATGGGCTTTGTTGATCTTGATGCTAGTAGACATGTCTTTGGATGCTGTGGATGCTGTGGATGCTATGGATGCTGTGGATGCTGGGGTGGATGGACAGAACTTTCAACAACAAAACGCTGGGCTACTCCGTCTTCATCTACACACTCAGAGCATTTACATTTCCTGCACTGGAAGGTTTCACATCAGACGTGTTCCTCAATATGCCCAAGGGCCCAAGCGTTTTGGACGTCGAAGAACCCACACAGTATGTCTCACATTTTTGGGGGACAATGGGTGTTCTTTCGAACGTAGGGCTGGGGAACACTGTTAAATTGTTACGTAACGTGGAAGAGGACGACGCGTCGCAGAAGGCTTTTGCCGATCATTTGGCTGATCACTTTGGAGCTTCGATTCCTCCTGCCATGTTCTTCTTCTTCTTCTTCTTCTCCGTCTCCTTCTCCTTCTCTTTCTCCTTCTCCTTCTCCTTCTTCTTCTTCTTCTTCTTCTTCTTCTTTCGGCCCGCCCCGCCCCCGCCCCCGCCGTCATCAAGTCATTTCGTGAAGTTCTGTTACTGACGGTCCTTTCGCGTCTAAGACACGCGTCTTGCCTCTCATTCCCCTCATTCACACAGTCTATAAATACAGCAACTTTCTCTGGACGGGAGATCACGGCAGGCTCTTAAGTGGAAAAGAGGACGGTGGTTCATTCAGCTCAACTCAGGTGCCTCTCTACCATCTCATCTTCTAGCCTTTCGGTGCCTTTGGTGGGAAACTCACCAACTTCTCGAGCAGGGTGGTGTAAAATCAAGGAGATTTAAACGGGCGCCGCGCGTCCGTTGTCGCACTGATAGAGTTACTAAGGGAGGTAAGGATTGAGTCCGGTCATTGACGGAAATGCTCTACAAACCTCTGCTGGTAAGGGCTTCGGCACTTAGTTCCACATTCTTGGTGTTGCATCCAGCCAACAGTCGTACTTTTACCAGACGCATACCCCGCCCGTCGGGTCTTTCACCACGCCAATGTCCGGATCGAGGGCGCACCCTGTTCTTCTCAAGGCATCGACGTCGCGTTTGGCTGATATACCGCACCCTGAGGGGACTGCATAGCCGGCACATCGCCCAGGAAAATGGGTTTCGAAGCACACGGTAGGGTTGACTCTTGAGCATTTTGGTAAAGATTCCAACAACTGTTCCTGAACCCCGAACACCAGCAGGCGCCACTTCAAGCGATTCCCCGGCCGACACCGATGAGCAAACAAGTCCTTTCCTGCCGCCAAGCACTTCCTTTGTTGCGGGAACCAAAAAAACGCAGGCTCTAGAAACTGGCTTCACCCTATGATTACTGTCCGACTCTGGGGGAGTTTTTAGAGGCAGTCCTATGCTGCGGGACGTTAAACAAGGCCGGGCCGTCCTGTGCTGCCGGACGTTAAACAGGGCAGGCTCTAGAAACTGGCTTCACCCTACGATTACTGTCCGACTCTGGGGGAGTTCTAGAGGCCGTCCTGTGCTGCGGGACGTGAAAACAACGCAGGCTCTGGAAACTGGCTTCACCCTATGATAACTGTCCGACTCTGGGGGAGTTCTAGAGGCAGTCCTATGCTGCGGGACGTTAAACAAGGCGGGGCCGTCCTGTGCTGCGGGACGTTAAGCAAGGCAGGCTCTGGAAACTGGCTTCACCCTATGATTACTGTCCGACTCTGGGGGAGTTCCAGAGGCCGTCCTGTGCTGCGGGACGTGAAATAATGCAGACATGTGCACCGGCTTCACCGTATGATTACTGTCCGACTCTGGGGGGTTGTACGTGGCTTGGCGAACGGATGGGATTGTTTACGGCTTACCTGTTGAGAATCAGGGTGAGTTTATCATGTTGAACATCGTACTTTGAGCCGTCCGTAGGGGCAAGCGCTAACCGCCCGTCTTCTTCGGCCTCCACGCTTCCGTTGTATTCCGTCTTGCTTACCACCTGCCCAATCCCACACACAACCGAGCTCGGTGGCCGAAGCGGGTATCCATGCGATTTCGGCGCCCCGCTGCATATCGACATACGTGCGTCACCCGGAGCTACTCTGCGAATCAACTCGCGGCCCGTGGTGTGAGAGAGAACCGCCACCTTCAGGTACGCATATAAAGAGGACTCCTTGCTTTCCGCGCATGCTTGTATAATAATCAACGGTTTCCGATTTGCCACTCTCTTCGCAGGAATGGAACGACACAGCGGCGAAAGAAGATCTGGGGTCGACTAACGGCGACTCCGACCACGACGGAGGCAATACGAGAAGGACAACTACGAGCAGAGTGCAGCGCACACGGACAGCGGTCAGACGCGATACACTCGCTTGAAGGTAGTGTGAAAATTACGGTCATTCCTCTCCGTGTTCCTCGCAAGTAATCCTTTTCAAATCCCACTTCCTGTGCAGTTGGAAACCCGCGAAAGATTTGTGGACCGGTGCTAGTAATCAGGAGAAGGGTCATTATATTCAATAATGTGTTGTTGTATGTGGATGTTCATGTGCCCAAAATTATGACGATTTGAATCCCAGAGCCATCGAAATTGCAAAAACGAAACATCGATGGGAAAATGCAGACCAGCGCGCCTCCGCCCCCGTAACTTTGGGGATGAAGGCGTTGAATCAGAAACCCCAAACTTTTCCCCACTTTTCCTCTGAGCTTATATCAGTTGCATATCGATTCACAACGTAGGATGGAAATCGTGATAACAATGTGTTTTTTGATTCTCCGCGAGCTCCGCTGAGATCGCTTTCCTTTCGGGTTCGCCCTATAATGTGTGGCTGCACACCTGAACATTGTACTGTACCAAGAGCTTTGAGGAATGAAAGAAGGTATAGGATTGGAAAATGGAGCCAGCAACAAACAATTATTTCATGCAAGCTAGCAGAGAGTGCATGTCAGTTTCAGGCGGGAGAGATGCAGGCGGCAAATTTACAGCGAGCGAAGGACATATCGATAAGTGACAGGAAATTGACAGCGATGGCGAGTGGAATAACAGAAGTTCAACTCCCGAAATTGCCAATGCTGGTGCCAAAGCCGAGAGAAAGATGTCTGCGTCCGCCACCACCTCGAAGCAGCCAGAGCACCCAGGAGCTATCCTGGCCGTTCCTGGAAAGCCTCGGCCCACGCTGAGTGGGACTGGGAGGTGTTCCCCTCCACAAACCGCACAGTATACGTCACCAAACCGTCATGCCTTTGTGGAGTACACCACCGACATGTACTGGGTACATAGTCCGCAATGAGGGGTACTTACAGATGTTGGGCGCCCTATAAAGGAACAACGGCGGGCACCCTCCTCCTCCAGCCATCTCGTCGCCTCACAGCACCCGTGGAACATCAAAAACAATGTCATCCCTCCGCGATCCCCTCGAGGCAGGCGCGCAAGCCGTCCTCAACATCGGCGCCAACCTCTCCGCGCTCTTCCTTGCCATCGCCTTGTTCTGGCAGGTCCTGGTCTTCCGCATACTTGGCCTGGCACCTGTATACCGTCCTAGGGACGTTCTCATCACGGGTGCGAGGTGAGCCAGAGACTATTTTCGTGCAGTTATTACACTTCTTTGCCCCCCTTCGTCTCACTCCGGAACCATTTCCATAACCAGCTCCGGCATAGGCGCGGCACTAGCGAAATCCTACGCTGGATCCGGCAACTGCACGCGTCTCGTGCTCGTGGCGCGCAGCGTCGACCGGCTGGAAAAGGTCGCAGCGGAATGCCGGAAGCTCGGGGTGGACGTCCGTGTGGAGTCGGTCGATTCGGGGGACGCAGAGTCGTTGAGGGCCGTGATGAAAAAGTACCAGAATGTCGATCTGGTCATTGCGAATGCGGGGATGGTGATGCCGGAGACGAGCGGGTTGGATAACACTATGGATGCCGCTGAGGTGGGTGACTTCATGTCTGTGTTGTTTTTTGGGGAACGGGTCTGACAGAGATGCTGTGCCGTTAGGAAATCGTCCGAGTCAATGTTTGCGGGACGTTTAACACCATCGCCCCAATCATGGACTCGATGCGGCGCCGGCGCACCGGCCAAGTTGCAATCGTCAGCTCCATCGCCGGGTTTTTCGGGCATCCCTCCCTCAGTAAGTGTTCCGCACCACTTCGTTTCCTTGATTGTCACCAATGATTCTGATCTCTCGCACGGCAGCCTACTACGCAGCAACCAAAGCCGCCCTCGTCGCCTTCTCCCGCGGTATCCGCCCCGTGGCAGCACAAGACGGGATCCGATTCTCCTGCATCTGTCCAGGCCTCGTCGACACGCCTATGGCGGCAAACCTGAAGGGCGTCCCGACGTGGATTGCGTGGATGCCCGAGACGGCTGCCGAGACCATTCGACATGGCCTTGAGCGGGATCGGCCGGTTATCGGGTTCCCCAAGTGGCAGTATTTTGCGGTGGAGATGGCTAGGTACTGTCATGGTTTTCGATAATGGCTCTACTACGCGATACACCGGTCTTAACCAACTCGTTTGTCATCTACATCAGCTCGGTCCCGCCCTATGTTCAGAGCTTCTTGTCCACCACTAGTCATTATCTGCGCATCGCGGGCAAGCGACAGACGTGAACGGGCCACTCCCCTACGCGTGGTCCATCCTTCGCCTGCCCTTGCCTCTGCCGCATCGTTGAAGGGTGCGACGAGTCGTTCGATAACGCCCGCCCCGCTTCTACATTTCTTCTCACACTATCAAGTGCGGAAACCGTTGTGAGCGTCAATCTGGAAAAGCACATCAGGGAGTTTGCGGCGGGCGGCTGATGGGTTGAGAGCGACGGTGAAGGAGCCCTGCTTCTTTCCGGCTGTTGGGTACATAATCCTAAATATGTAGATAAGTCAACCACATCCTTCACATCCTTTTTCATTTTGCATTATGATGACGGCAATAAACCCATCGAAAGATATTGTGATCTCAACCTCTTTACCCGTCTGCCCATTTGGAGGTCGCCGTTTTCGGTCAACGCTAATAAGTTCCGGCCCAAGAGTTTACCGGACCCTTATAGTTCGTGAGACTCTTTTTCTTCCAATGACAGTCAAGTAGTGAGTCTATCACACATCTACTCACGAAGGCTTGTTTGCTGTTCTCAAGGCAGTTCCTCCACGTTGTCGTCGAAAACATATCAAGAGACGTCGAGAGTATCCTAGCTTGTGCCGCGCGCGATCCGTTTGCCAAACAAAAATTCCTTGTCATAATCTTCGCTCATTGAACCTTCAATATACATCAACGTTGTGGACCCCTGTGGCTGTGTAGTAGGTACAGCCAAACCACTACACTTTTCCCCAGTACGAATGGTAGTCTTGGAAAGAAAACCATTGTGTGACATTAGCAGAACAACACCTGGAGACGAAAGACTTCGAATCAGGGAGACGCGGAGATCGAGCTTCCTGAATTGACCGGATCGCGCTGTCGAGTTCCCCAGCAATCAAGAATAAGCGTCCCTCCGCAATCACAGACCACGTTCCTTCGTCCTGGCCTTAGCATTGCACTATGTGTTTTTCTTTTTGACACAGGGAACGCGTAGAAGGGTCCCTTCTCCGAAGAGAAGTGAATTTCGTTTGGCACTGCATCGCTCAAAAGACGGTATCGACGATGAACCAATAGCACTTGCTAAATATTCTCCTCGGGCATCGCCGCATACCTCGGAGACGTGCCAGCATGCATTCCCTCGCAACGCTCATAGCGCGCGCCTTCCTGCTTTTGCTCTTACTATCGTCGGACACAGTTTTCCGACCTATTCATGACTGCGTGGCGGAAGCCGCTGCTGCAAGCTCATCGCCGCCAGTAAGGCGACAATGGGCGGTTCAGCTGCATGACCCTACAACAGCGGAGGCGTATTCTCCGGAGCAAGCTGAGGAGTATGCGAAGGAACATGGGTTCTTCTCACTTGGGCAGGTTGGCGCTTTGGATGGGTATTTCCTGTTCGAGGTGGATATATGTCATGCCGACGGGGATGATGGGGACACATGCGCGGACGTCGCCCCTGACGACAATGAGGTGGGCAACGAAGAGCAGCCACCCCGCCGCCGCACCCCAGACGAGATGCACACCCTCCTCCTCGACCACCCCAGCGTGCGGTGGTTCGAAGCGCAAACCCCTCGCCAACTCCACAAACGGACCAACAACAAGCCGGATTTTCTTAAATTCCCGGACCCACTCTTTCCCCAGCAATGGCACCTCTACAACGACGGCGTGAACGGGGCGTTCCCCACCCACGACATCAACGTCATGCCGGTGTGGGTCCGGGGGATCAACGGAAGCGGCGTTACCGTCTCGATCGTCGACGACGGCGTGCAGTTCGATCACCCTGATTTGCGCGACGCGTGGTTCGAGGAGGCCAGCTATGATTTCAATCTGAGGAACACAAGGCCGTTGCCTGAGACGGGCGACGATAATCATGGGACAAGGTGTGCGGGGCAGATTGCGGCGGCGCCGAACAATGTGTGTGGGGTCGGCGTGTCGTATGGGGTGCGACTGGCTGCTCAAAGGTTGATTGGGAATACGACGACGGATGCAGTTGAAGCGCAGGCTTTGAACTATCACTTTGATGATATCGACATCTACTCGTCATCTTGGGGCCCGGAGGATGATGGGGAATCGTTGGACGGGCCGGGAACACTCGCCACGGCGGCGTTGGTTGCTGGGGTAACGAAAGGCCGTCGCGGGCTGGGGAACATCTACGTATTCGCTTCGGGGAATGGGGGTATGGAAGGGGACAACTGCAACTTCGACAGCTATGCCAACTCGATATATACTGTGAGCATTGGCGCTATCACGAATATCGGGGATCTGCCGTACTACGCGGAACAGTGCTCCGCCCATTTGGCTGTTACGTATAGCGGGGGGCATGGGCTGGCGATTACGACCACGGACGCTGGGCCGGGAGCGCCGTGCACTTCCTCGCATTCGGGGACATCGGCTGCGGCGCCCCTTGCATCAGGCATGATTGCTTTGATGTTGAGCGTCAGGTGAGCAGTGATCCCATCATCGTCTCAAACAAATCTGATTCAGCAAACCTAACATACATCTGCTGCATAGACCAAACCTAGGCTGGCGCGACGTCCAACACCTCCTCGTCACCACCGCCAAACCCATTGACGCCAAGGACGAAGGCTGGGCCACCAACGGCGCCGGCCGCCCCGTCAGCCACAAATACGGGTTCGGCTCCTTGGACGCCACCCTCCTCGTCGACGCCGCCGAGAAACACACGCTCCTTCCCCACCCGGCCATCAAGGTCGTCAAAACGTCCACGGCGCCCGTTTCCATCACGCCGAAACAGTCGTTCATTCAATCAGCAACCACATCGATCGACGTAACCTTGGAGGATACCGCGGGTCTCACATCCTTAGAACACGTTCAAGTGACCGTCCGTCTCCGCCACCCACACCGGAAATTCCTAACCATAAAGCTCACCTCCCCATCAAAGACCGTCTCCTACCTCGCCGCCCCACGCATCAAAGACGAGTCGAACGCCGGTTTAAACCCGTGGACGTTTATGACCGTCCACAACTGGGGCGAGAACCCGGTAGGGAAATGGACGTTGCAGATCGATGACCTGCGCACGGGTGACACGGACCCATACACGGGCGAACCTTTCTCGAGGGGAGAGCTGCTACAGTGGACGCTTGTGATGCAAGGGACGTGTGCGGAGCGGGATGTGGTGGTAACGCCGGGGCAGGTGCAGGCAGGTGGACGGACGTGTGTGCATTCGGTGGAGGCGGATAAACGACAGCGGAATGTGATTGGGCTGGTGTTTTTCGGGGCGGCTGTGATGATGACGGTTGGCGGATTCTTCTTCTGGCGACGTACCAGGGGGCCTGCCGTCGTTGGTGGCGGCGGCGGATGGACGAAGCTGGACACTACGGGTTCAGCCGGCGACCTCGAATCGCCGACCCGCACGGGGCCGCTACCCACCCTGAACTACTCGTATCTCGACGACATGCGCTCACCTGTCGACATCGAAAGCCCCGCTCCACAACCGCCCGGCGCGCGCGAATTACCCACAAGCAGCTCCGGGAGCGGGTTCCTGCGCTCGCTGTCCATCGAGATGCTGAATGTGCGGATGTCCCGCCCGGGCGAGGCGTTGCCGTCGCCCAATGTCGCTACATTGAACAATCCGCCGTTGCCTGCTCCTGAAGCGTCGGAGGGCTCACCTAGTCGGAGCTCGGTTACGAGCGGAGGATCCCCAAACCAGTACCTCCGCAACCCGCAGGGCCTATTACCGCCCCCGCCCCCACCACCCCAACGCCCAGAAAACCTAAACCCATCCCGCTTCAACACCCCCCGTACCGAATACCTCAAACGCCCCGCCACGCCTTCATCCCCGTCCGCGCCGTCCCCATTAAGCAGATCATGGACACCCTCGCCTTCCACCAACCCAATTGCTACGCCCCCGCGAAACAGCACCACCGCTGCGCCCCCGCCGCAGAGAGTTCCGATCCTCAGCGCCCCGCCGGCATCGTCTAATAGCTCGTCGCCGAATCTGGAGAGGAAGGCGGTTCCATCGGTCGGCGGTGCGCCAACCTTTGGCACTGGAAGCTCGACCCCGCCGTTGAGCAGATCGTCATCGCAACCAAATTTGAAGCGAGCATCGAGCGCCGAGCTGCTGAAGAAAGTCAAGGAACGGTGATGGGTGTTTAGTGCTAGATCCACTTCTCGCGTATAGATAGATTTTGTATCAACCGGAGTCAATAACACGCAATATGGAAGTTGTCCATTAGCTAATGCTACGATCTTGGGTTTCATCACATATATTATGAAGCGGTACGTATGCACAAGCATGTGGCTACCAACGATTCCACTCTTCATCTTCACATACGCCATGTCGCAACTCTCTTCACACACCCCCAAAAAACCTTTTACATGTGGAACTCAAACCCTCACTTCTCACCTTCCCCCTTCGGCCAAACCTTCCTCTTCCCTTCCACCCAAACCCCCTTCTTATTCCTCTCCAGCTTGCCCAGCATAAACTTCACCCCACACGCATTACACAGCGTCTTGGGCCCGTCCGGGCCGCGGCGCCACATAGGGGTGTTGTTACCGTTGCAGTGGACGCATTTCCTGTCTGTCCTTGTGTCTCCTTCGTTGTTGTGGGGAGTTGTGTGGGAAGTGCTGGAGCGGCGTTGGGTGCTGGCGGTTCGCCGCTTTGTTGGCGGGGGAGGACTTCCGCTTTTGGCTGCTGGGGGTGAGCCTGTTACCGGTGTTGCGGGGGCGGAGTGGGAGAGGCGTTTGCGTTTTGTGTTTGTTGTTGGTTTGGAGGTAGTGGGTTTCGCGAGACGATGGGCAATGCTTGGTTCGTCTGCGGTTGTTTTGCTTCTGCTTCGAGCTGTTTTCTTGGGTGGGGAGGGTGAGAGGGCGCGGGAGGGCGCATGGCGAGGTCGGGTGGAGGCTCGGTGGTGGGGCTGGTTGGGGCGGTGTGGGGATGCTTGTAATGTGGTGTCGAGCGTAGGGGTGGCGTCAGGCACTTCCGTCTGTTCATGAGCTTGTGGTTCGGTCGCCGAGTGTTCGGCGAGAAGCGTGGAACTCACAGCCTCCGACAGCGATGGCGCCGCCTCAGACTGTTCTGCTGTTGCTGTTTTCGCCACCTCAATCTGTGCATCCCTGAGTTCCATATCCTGCCCGCGCTGCGACTCCACAGCCGCACTCTCATCCGCCCTCGCCGTATCCTTCACCCCTTCGAAATCCACAACGCCACTTCTCGTCCCATCCACCCCCTCATCCGACAAACCTTCCACATCAATAACTGACCCTCCCACCGAAATTTTCTCCGCCTCCACTTCACCCCCAGCGCCAATCACATCAACCCCCTCCCTGAACTCGCCAACCAAATCCCCAACGTCAACGACCTCCCCCGGGCTCACCGTCCCACTCCGTACCTCCCCCACAACAGCACTCGCCTTCGACACCCTCCTTGCCGCGGTCCTCCCATTACTCTCACCCACCACCCGTTTCCGTCGTGGGGGCAGTGGGCCCCCGATTTGTCTACCGACGGCAATGGCGAGGTCGCTGCCGAGGGGAATGTTACGGTAGTGGGTGGGGAGGAGGCCGGAGAAATGGAGGGGTTGTTGCGTCATCTGAGATTGCGAATCGATTATGAACGAGTGTTTTGAGGGCGAGAGACGGAGATGAGCAAACTAACCTTTTTGCTGAACTTCTTGAGCACCTGCGGTTTCTCGAGATTAGCTTCCTGGATCAGATCCGAGACCGGTTTTTGAACGTTCTTCAGTTGCAGGACGACGCCTTGCATCGGTTGCGGTCTCCCGCCCCTGAACGGTGGTAGGTACACTGCCATCAACATCTATGGAGGGCCCTTGTCAGTCACAAAGGCACGTGGAAAAGGAGTGCACGGGTTCTCTTACCTCAAGCGTCTCCGCACTGTCACCCTTGTGACTAATCTCATTCCTCGCCGAGACTTCAACAATCCCATCCCTGGGCAACAAAAACCACTTCCCGGGTACTTCCAAAAATTCAAACGCGACTACGACCGTCTGGCGTTTGCGTTGATAGCGTCGCCGAGTGGGATCCGTGCTGCGTTTATGTGCCACAACGCCTTCCGACGTGTCACCCTTGGATGCGATTGTCACTAGGTCAGGCTCGATGGCGATGGGCTTTCTGGGGCGCGCGGAGGGTTTGGAGCGCGGCGTTTTTGTGGAGACGTTGGGAGTTATGGGGGGTAAGGAAGAGGAGGATGCGTCGTCGGAGAAGGCGCCAGACCGTCGGACACTTCCTGAGGTGTGCTGTTTGTTTTTGTCTTTCCTCATCGGAGAACCTTGAGTGGGCATTGTAGGTGGCACATCGTCGGATACGCTGAAAGGTTTGATGTTTGACGTGCGTGATGAAGATGTCGTTGCCGGCACTGTGGTTGCGTCTCGCTGTGTTAAACGCTCGCTTGGAACGACCGGTTCACTCGGTTTGTGCACAGAAGATGGGGCTGCGGATAGATCGTGGGTGGGTAACATTGGTCCACCCAGGGCCATTGATCGCGATGGAGGCGATTTCGATGAGCTCGCACCAGCAGTCGATTCTGACACGGCGTCCTGTGCGTAGCTACCAAAAGGCGGAAGCATTGACAAAGCTTTAGAGAGAGGAACCCCAGCTGCTGATGGGATGCTTGCCAATATGGAATCCAAAGTCGCTGTGGAATCAGTTTGGCGTCGCTCCCGTACCATGCTGAGAAAGTTGTTGACGCCCGACCATTGTGAAAGTCCCCAGTCTGAGATGGGGATATGGGCCTGTGGAGTCGCTGCAGCGGTCGTAGCACCTTCTCCCGTTTCAGCGGTTGGCGGTTGGGGCGGGTTTGGTGTTGTGCGAGACTGGAGAAAGGGTATGAACGACAGCGGGGAGCTGAGAGATGAACCTGTTGTTCCTGATGCCTCTGCCTGGGTATTCTGATTTGCTCTTTCTGTGGGGGTAGTGGGAGGTTTCGATGCGAGCGAGGAGCTGAGCGTTGCCAGGAGATTGGCTCCGAGCGTGGTCCTCTCTCGTACACGCACCGCCTCGTCTCCAGCCGACTTTGGTGATGACATGGAGATGGAACTTCTGCGAGGAGATGCAGCGGGCAAAGTTGTAGCTGACGGTGTGTTTGATGGCTGCGAGACTTCCTTGAGTCGTGGTGTAGCCAACGAAGTGGTTGAGGATGCAAGCTCCACGGTCAAGGTTTCTCCGGTCGGATTGGTCGAAGCTTCATCCCCTTTGCCCAGCAAATACTTTGAAAGAACCCTCTGAGTCTGCACCTGCAATCGGGTCACGTCAGGGAGATCCTCAAAGAACATTTGCTGCCAAACTGATAAATCATGTACCTCCAAAGCCACAGGTTGCGCTGGATCGGAGCTCTGAGAAGCCCTACGTTCAGGGATCTCTGCCTCCACTTCCATAATCGGAGACACCTCTTCCAAGTTCGATTTTGGTTCCTTCGGCTCCCTGGGACTCGCTTCCTTCTCAGGCACATCTAGCCGTACGAATTTTGTGCGCAAAAACATATGTGGTCCTCCAATTATATCCGCATATCCGACAAATTTCATTGTGACACCGTCGGCTATGGGTATCACCTCTTCTGCAGGTAGATCTGACGGTATTTGGTAAGGGCATGGGAGAAACATACAAGTGGTCCATATTCGACGCGAGTGGGCAAGATTGTCAAGGAGGGCTGAAACGGGATCTCTGCAAACGTGCCATGAAACATGGGATCAGGCTTTATTCTGACGACATTCCCAAAGACTACGGTCAGCCAAGACCTACTCTTGTGCTTGGTCTTCATTTGCACCTGAAGGAATGGGCGAACCGGAACTGTCCCGCGGACGTGGAGACCTGGCGGTGGCGAGCTTCAGTCTGCGGACAGGTCGGGGGAGTGGTCCCTCGTCCTCCGCCGTTGCTCTCCTCCGCTTCAGAGTGGCCTGCAACATTCCATTTGCTGTCCCGGGGGAGGAGGTTGCAGCCGTCTTCCGTCTGCCAATGACACCACGCACAAAGCGCACAACCGGCCCAATGTTGGCTTAATGCCTGGCTTAATGCTGTGCTCAATGGGCGCGTTCGGGAAAGTTTGCAAAACGCCGTCTTTTGGGCGCACACGACGAAAGTTACGAAACATCTGCACGGACATAACAACTTTGCACTGTGAGACTTGTTCTCGACGGTAGCCAGAAAAACGAACGATTCCTCTTGTGCAGCCTTCATGCGACCAAGTTGAAGATAGACGCCCCATTTCTTACTCATTGTCATAATGCTAAGCGACGACAACAAACCAGGGAGTAATGTTCCGGCGGTCTTGAACCAATTCGACGGAGCGACGTATCTCCTAGAGGACACGAGCGAGTACGTCACGCTGTCCATGTTCGTCCCCGCAGCCTTCGATCCCAAGCATCGGAAAGGAGACGCCGTCGAAATTCACGAAAACAAACTTCGTATCAAAATCGCAGAGGATGGCGGTTCGGCCCGAGTTCAGGGCTGGTTCCTGCATCCCATGAAGAAAGCTGGTTCCCTGTGGGGCGTAGAGAAAGATCAAAAAACGGGCGTCCACGTCCTGACCGTAGAGTTGGCCAAAACGGACGCTGACCCGTTCCTTGGCCCACCGGCGTTTCCGGTATTGTTTGCGTCGGGTTATGAGACACCGACGCCGCTTCCCAAGGATGCCGAGTTGGACGATCTGGACCCGCACTCGTTATTTCTGCTTGCGAATTTCTTGCTGCAGAGGCTGAAGACGACCGAGCGGGCGCACAAGATGTATGAGAAGGCGGCGAAACGGGGGAGCATCAAGGCGTGTCTGAAGCTCGGGGCATGGTATCAGCTTGGCAAGGAAGCTCATAAGGACATTCCTGTCGATCGTGATGGAGAGAAGGCTTTCGAATACCACAAAATTGGTGAGTTTTAGCGGAACATGTATTATTCCCATAATCCACGTACCGTGAAAAAGGATATTGATTTCCACATGTCCACACAGCCGCAGACGCCGGAAACGCCGAAGCCTGCTTCCTCGTCGGCCAATGGCATGCCCCCATGACCGACGAAGGTGAAGCCGACTCTGCCACCTCCACCGTCGCCATGGCCGCTGTGATCGGCAAACCCGTATCCTCCCCCGATGACTTCGGCGCCGCCGCCCAATACCTCGAAAAAGCCTACACCCTCACCCAACTCCACCCGGCCGCTGACAAAGATTTCACCAAAGCCCTTCTGTGGCGCCTAGGCAACCTCTACAACCAAGGCGGCGAGACACTCCCGATCAACGACCACACCATCCGCCGCTCGTTCGAGTGTTTCCAAATCGCTGGCGAGACGCTCGGACATCCCCCTGCACTGTACAACCTCGCTATATACACTCTCAGCGGCTTCGGCACCGAGCAGGACGTGCAAAAGGGGTTCGAAAGACTGGATGCGGCGGTCAGAGCCGACCCGACGTTGGTGATTGCACCGCCGTTGGGGGATCTGGACGAGAGCGGACGCAAAGTGCTTATTGCGGTGTTTGAGGAGGCGCGGAAGAATGGGATTACGGAGCGGATCCCGTTGCAGAACTTGATTGAGAGGACTAGACAGGTCGTTGAGGTCGCTAATGGTATGTCTGAACAGTCTTCACTCTCGCCACTCTCCCGTCGTGCTCTACTCACATCGTCGTCTCGGATGTACCTACAGCAGGAATCAAAGGCGCACCAGTCGACGCGTCCATCACTCCGACCTCGAAACCCGCCAGGAAATCTAGAAAGTCCGCCTCCAAGCGCAAGCCTTCGAAATCATCCACCAGAAACACCTCTCGGCCATGGACGAACCTAGAAGTTACCCTCACAGTCAGCATTGTCGCTGCGGTGGTCGGTGTCGGCGCGTGGGCGTGGATAAGGCGGAGTCGGTAGCTTTCTGGGTTTAGCCGTACGGTATAGTTTAGCACTGCATAGGCTTGAGATGGGTATATAGCGAGTGAGTGAGGGAGAGCGGTTTGGTTTAGCGTAGCTTGTAGGGGCATCATGGTTAGCGTATTCAGTTTATTTAAATTTTGGGGCCGCCACAATTATCCTTATGCGTCTGTTCTATTTTCAACTACACCCGTTCACATTTGACATGTGCAAGGAGACAGTTACTGCTATTTAACGGAAAGATCGCCATGCCTCGTCGACGCCTACATAGATGCACTCCCGTGAAACCGCCAGCCCACATAGATCGACACCAAAGAGGCATAACAGCACAGCGGGCCGTGCGCTCTCGGCCTGTATTCATCTACCGGGCGTGGGATAGCCGCGGGGAAGGGAAAGTGAAAGCGGTCGATCGAGGGATCATTAAGGGGATACGCCAATATTCCAAGCAACGTTTCATCTACAGCGACCGTGGTATGCAAACTGGGCCCGATGTGCGATCGAATCGCTACGGTCGTACGCCAATCGATGACAGTGCCAAATGCCTTCATCGTTTGCATATCCCGCACCAATCCCGTCCACGAATTTGACCGCCATGCCACATTCTCACCGCTCACCGCCGCGCGATCCATCCTCCCCCATCCGTCCTGGCGAAGCTTTACGCCGACTCAACGCCAAAAGCTCACTCAACGTGCCATCCATTCGGTTCTCGAAAGGCAGGGGGGGTTCAATACCTTCCGGGTTGGCCTGTTTCGAGAATTTCCCTTTGGATCCACGGTCTCTATCGGAGTGTCTGTCGCGGCCTGGGGTCTGGGTTTGCCGGAAGTCGTTGAGTGTTGGTGGCCGCGTGGGTTGGGACGTGCGTGCGACGTCGTTGTGGTCATCGTCGCGTCGTGAACTGTATCTAGGCTTGTCGTATGATGTGTTTGGGTGATAACTACGACTTGGCCTACCAGTATCGACGTAGTTGTCATTTGATGTCTTTGGGTGGTGACTGCCACTAGGCCTGCCAGTATCAAAGTCCTTGGGGTCCTCGTCCCATTGTGAATTATATCTGGGCTTTTCGTTTGAGTAATAACCGCGACTAGGCCTGCCAGTATCGAAGTCGTTGGTGACATCGTCGCGTCGTAGATTTTGCCTGGGTCTGTCGTTTGATGTGTTTGGGGACTGACTACTAGGTCCGCCAGTATCGACGAAGTTGGGGAACTCGGCACGCAGTGGACTACGTCTGGACCTGCGGTTTAATATGTTGGGGTCCTGAGTACCACTAAGCCTGCCGGTTGCGACGTCGTTGGCTACATCGTCGCGTGGAAAGCTTTTGTGGGGTCCTTTCTCTGGGTGTTCGTTTGTAGATGTGTTGTTGTCGAAGTTCGACCCATCTTCCGTTCGATCCTGCATACGTGCTCCATGCTGCGCCGGTTTCTTCTCAGTCCTCCGCGCAACCTTTTCCACCGCTACCTTGTCCGACTCCGCATCACCATACCCCGGTCCCCGCACAGGCCCCACCGCCGCCCCAAGCGCCTTCACAACTGGATCCTCCTCGCCATACCTCGCCCTCATATATCTCCACGCATCCATCCACTCGACTTGCCCTTTCGCATGCGCCTTTGCAATCGAAATGGCATCGTCATTGCGTCCCCAGCGCTTATTCGCCAACAAAAGCGCTACCCAGCTCCACTTGTCCACAGGCACGGAATTTTCCGCCATCCAGCCCATGACGAAGCGCGCGCCACCGGGGTCCCCGTCTTGACGGACTTCTCGAGCGTACACCCGCAAGACCCGGTTGATCGTGGCATGGTCTCGTTTGTTGAGGTTTTCCGCCCCTGTGTGTTGCACGTACCAGGAAAAGAGGATCCATAAGGCCTTGCCGTCGTCGTGGATCTGGATGAGGCCGCGGAAGAGGAAGTGTACGGAGTCGCGGGTGAGGTCCAGGCCGAGGGAGGAGAGGGCTTGCTGAGCGGAGAGCGGGGGAATGTCGGGGCCGAGCTCCAGGATGGTGTCGCGGAGGGCGAGGGCCACTTCTGCGGCGATGACGACGATGCTCGGTGACATGCTTTGGATGAATCTGGCGTCTAAGCCTAATTCGACAAGGAGAGGAGGAGACGGCGGGTTATCGGTGCTGCTGGGTGATTTTTTGACCTTATGTGATGTTGCCGGCTCGGTGATATCAGTGCTGAGATGTGGTTCAATTCGGTGTTAGCCAGCTCCCCAGAATCGACGTCGTTGTGTGATGTTTCAGACATGGCTGCCGTCACTGGCTCTCCTGAAAATGATGTGGCTCCGGATGCCGTTGCCGGGTCCGCAACATCGCTGCTAATGTTTGATTTCATTTGTGCCTTGGCCGAAGTTACTGGATCAGCTGCGATTGATTTGGCATCGGCTGTCGTTGCTATGTGCTGGGTATTGCTGTAGGCCAAATCGGCCTGGGAAGAGTTTGCGGGCTCTGCATTCTGGTTAACAATGCGTGATTTCACTCCCGCGTCAGTTGCGGTCGCCAGATCCGTATGTGATTCCACTTCCATGGGGGCCGTCATTGCTGGCTCTGCTGTATCGCTGTTCGTATGTGATTCCAAAGCAGTATCATGAGACGTTACCGTGTCCACGACCTTGCTTGACATCACCGGATTCGCGGTATCGCTGCTCGTGTGGAGCTTTAACGGCACCTTCGTTGACGTTGCTGGATCCGCGACACCGCTTGATGTGACCAGGTTCGCGGCATCGCCATCCTTTTGATCTTCCACGTCAGCCATTTCGCTACCTCGCGCATCATCCGCAACAACCGTGGTAGATCCATCGTTCGTCCCGGAGGGAGGAGCCGCTACCGCGCCCAGGGCATTGTCGCTCAAGGCAACATTCCCCGCGAGTCGACTACTCTGCGTCTCACATACCAAACCTTCGGCGGGTGCGATACGCTCATCCACCCCTGGTCCCGTCCCTCCTGCCCCACTTTGCATCAACGCCTTCCTCTCCCTCCTCCTCAAATTGTCCTCCACCCGTTCCCGCATTCTCCGAATCTGATGTGAAATCTTCGCCACGAGTCCCGGCTTCGCCGCCTGTTCAGTACCACCGACTTTCCACTTTTCTAACCACTCCTCGGCCTTCTCCACATTCCCAACGCAGCGATAGAATAACATTACGATATGATAGCTCTCATCATCCAGCTCGTTGCGTGCTTTCATCTCTTCAAACATGCTCAGCAGCGACTTCTCGTGGCCGCCATCAGCGCAGCCGAGGAGGTACGCGGTACCTGCCTGCTGGGGTAACTGGGGTCTCCTCGGGTATTTCCGGCGGAGAGTCTCAAGATGCTGTCGCGCCTCACCAAATTCGCCGCGGAAAGCGTGGCAGCGGAGTAAGGCGAGGTGTCGGAGGGGCTCAGATATTGGGCGGACTCCGGTCTTCTTCGCGATGTGGATGACATATCTGACTTTATGGAGATCCCCGAGTGATGCGTAGGTGTCCATGAATAGTGTGTAGACCTGCAGAAGGGGTTTCATGCGTAAAACCTTGGGTTTGGTATAGAGGGTCCATATGTAGTCAGTATAAATTTTGGCCTCGGCGGCGAGTATGTCGCGTTGTCCGGGTTTGTCGCGTCTGAAACGGATAAGGGTGCGGAGAATGGCGTCGAGGGATTCCTTTCCGAGGAACGGGGCGTCGCCGGTTTCGACGACTTCGATGAAGAGGCGGAAGATGTTGTGTTTGTGTTTGGTTGCGATGGCGATGTTGATAGCGTCCTGTAGACTGCTATCTCTTGGTTTGCGCTTACCCGCAGCCTTACCAATACTATCCCCGGGCACGACTTCCACGTTTGCCTGCTGCGTATCAGCAGCAATGGCCGCCGTCAGCCTCGACGAAAGGGTTACCACATCCAACATCTCTTTTTCCTTCACTGGCCCCGTCGCCCGCTCATTCCCAGCCTTCTCCGCGAGGGGCGTCCCACGATTAACCCAAAACTGCTTCCAATCCTTCCCCTTATCCAAATCCCCCAAATACCGATACCTCCTAACCGCCAAATTTCGTATCAACACAGCATACTGGTTATCCCTCGGTCCCGCCGTGCAGGACGCCTGATACTGCGCCAGCATACGCTCTATCTCCGCCTCGTGGTTGCCGCGGGTGAGGCCTTGCAGGTAGGCAAGGAAGGCTTTGTCTGTCCGATACGGGTCTAGGCTCCTTTTGACGAGGTCGTTGAAATGCGTGATGGCGGTTGTGAAGTTGCCGAGACGTGCGTGGCACTCGATGAGCATGGGGAGGACGCTGGTTTCTGTCCCCAACTTGGCGGTTTTGATGATGTCGATGACCTGTGTGAGATGCTCGAGGGCACCCTGGATGCCGAAGATAGCCGCAAAGCGTTCCAAAGTGGCTTTGTGGTGGAACGTTTTCTTGTGAAGCCGCTTGTAGAAAGCCCATACCCGGCTGGCCCACATACTCTGGTCCTGGTCGAGATGGCCGTTGTCGTGGGACACTCGGGTGTAGAGCATTGCTACCAGTCTTTGCAGGCTGTCGGGAGTGAAGAGTGGGGTGTATTTGCGCTGGGCCTCGGCGTCCGTGAAGTCGCTGCTGAGGGTTCCCCAGGTGGAAGGGACGGTGGTGGACGGCGGGTGGGAAGGTTCACTTGGGGAGGCGGGAAGAGTCAATGAACTGGTTTGTAGCCCATCCGTAGTTGTATCTATGACGCTTGCCGACGCCGAATCACCGCTCTCTGAGGTGTTCTTCATACTAGGTGGATCATCACCATTCTCCGACTCAATCGGTGGCATATTGTCGACGCTGGGAAGCGAGCCGCCAATTTCTTCCATCGCAGCCGGCGACTCGCTTCCCGACACAGTATCCGAGGTAGCAGGGCCCAGTTCCTCGGTCGTCGCCTTTTCATCGCTATTTGCCAATGGCGTGGAAACGTAGATTTTGGCCTGTGAGACGTCGACACCAGCCACCGTATCCCGTAAGAGAAGGGGAAGACCCGAAGTAGAATTCTCTTCCTCCGTCGTCGCCTCTATCCCGCTGTTCGCCAATGGCGTGGACCCTTCTTTTGTGATCTCCACCAAAACGTCGACATCAGCCAACGTATCCCGCGAGAGGGGGGGAAGATTCGACGTGGCAGGACCCAGTTCCGTCACCGCCTCGTCTTCGCTGTTCGCCAACATCGTGGAACGCTCGTTTCTTACATCCACCGAAACGTCAACACCCCCAACTTCTCCACCAGCCAACGTATCCCGTGGAGACAGCTCAGAATCCAGCGTAGCGGGCCCCAGTTCCGTCGTCGCCTCTACCCCGCTGTTCACCAACGGTGTGGACCCGTCATTCTTGACATCCATTGATGAAAGCTCGACACCCGCAACTTCTCCACCAGCCAACGTATCCCTTGGGAGGGGGTGGAGTTCCGACGTAGCCTCGTCCGTCGTTCCCACTATGCTCTTATCCCCGGAGGGTGCAGAGTTCCCACTTTCGACAGCCATTGTATTGTACACCGTGGGCTCTCGGATCTTCAGAGCATCTCCTGAGGATTGCGGCAGACTCGATGCGTGTTCGGTAACCTGTGGAACGACAGATCCAGCGAGATGTGCAGTATCCAGAGTTCCATCGGAGAGATGCGGCGGCTCGGATGAGTGTTCGACATCCTCTGAAACTTCAGACCCAGCGAGATACGCAGTATTTACAGCAGTTCCTGGGGAATGCGACGGACTCAATGGGTTTTCGACACCCGCCGAGACGTCAGATACAGCGAGATCTGCAGTCTTCAGGGTATTTCCTGAGGAATGCGGCAGACCCGATGCCTTTTCGACATCCGCCGAGACGTCAGACGCAGCGGGTTCTCTAGTATCCAGACCTCCATGTGCCGAGGGCAGAGTCGATGCGTTTTCGACACGGCCTGAAACGTCCGATCCAGCAACTTCCCCATTGTCTAGACCTGGTGCGGAGGGCAGACTCGATGCGTTTGCAACATCCCCTGGAACACCAGACCCAGCGAGTCCTCGATTACCTAGACGTCCGTATGAGGAAGGCGGACTCGGTGTGGTTTGGATATCCCCTAAGACGCCAGACCCAGCGAGATCTCCATCGTCCATGGTATCCAACACATACGCATCAATCAGGGTTTTCAAAGCCTTCTCATCCGCGGCGGTGGGCACTACATTCTCCACCACCGTATTCGTGCGGCTCACGTCCTCGTTAACATCCTCCGACGTTCTCGACCCGGAGTCAACATCCTTATGTTCCGCAGGGTGCGATGCATCGCTCTCCACTTCCTGGCCGGATTCCACATCCTTATGTACCGGCGGATCCGATGCATCGCTCTCCACTTTCTGCATTGCGACCTCCAATGTATTTGTGCCGCTCACGCCCTCCGTGTTAACATTCTCTGTCGTTCCCGACCAGGATTCCACACCCTTATGTAGCGGCGGGTCCGGTGTATCGCTCTGGATTTCGTGTATTGCGGAGCCCCCGTTTTCGACCATCTCCACGCTCGCGTACTCGTTGTTAACATTCTCCGACGGTTTCGACATGTTCCCCACACCTTGATTTACTGGCGGCGGGTCCGATGCATCGTTCTCTTTATGAGTCGTTGTAATCCCCGTCTCCTCAGGTTGTGATATCCGACCCACATTTCCACCCGTCCCGGTATTCCCGACCTCGTCTCTACTCGTACCCACATCCGACGTTCTCGACTCGTTCCGCACATCCTCATGCACCTGTAGCGGATTCTGTCCACCCCTCTCCCCCATCTTTGCCGCGATATCCGCACCCTTCTCGGGTATTGGTATCCCGACCGTCCCGGTATTCCCCATGTCGTCTCCAAGGGTATTTGCATCCGCGGCTGAATTACCGCTCGTTTCTGAGCTTGCTTCCTGCATTACCGTTTCCCCTTTCATATCTCCTTCCTCACTGTCTAGCACGTTCCCCACAACCCCAGCCCCAGCCGTTGTCTCCAGCTTTTTCGATACATCCTCCCGCAGCCCGCGGTCATCCCTCGCCCACGCCGTACACCCAAACGGCCGCCGCTGCCCCAAATTGCGTAGGCTGGCAGCCCGTGGAACTTCCAGATTGGTGAGCGGGGCTCTATGCGTTACGTTTCGAGTGGATGTATAATGTCGTCTAGGCGTGAATCGGCGGAAAGTTGTGGCGACGCAGCCGTGGAGTAATTGGCAGCGTGTCAGGATGCTCATTTGGCACTGGGGTTGGGGCTGACGGTGTGGGCGAGAACCGTGCGGTGTGTCAGGATAGAGTGGGATTGCTTTGGGTGTGACGCATGATCTGGATGTTGCCGGGGAGCAAAGGTTTTCGAAGCCCCGTTTTCGCAATGTCCGTCGATGTGAGGCGTTGTTAGAACCTGGATGTTCGAGAACAAAGGCGCGAGAAGGCGCGTAGAGGCGCGTTGGCGGAGGTCGGAAGTTGGAAGTTCGAACAAGACACACTGCCCCAAGTAACTCCACATCAACCGCATTACTGATACACTACTGAAATGAAAAAGTCCTTCCTAACTATTTACATGAGGATCTACCGCCTGATCCGTTACTAATAAATCAGTGTGAGACTCTGAGAGAAAATCTACAACTTGTTCTTCGCCGCTGCAACAAAAAACCAAACACATCAGTGATCAACACACCACATGTTCCACATACGCCGTTTCCCTCTCCCTTTCCAAAGCTCCAAAGACGGACGGCAAGTATTGCAATACCTACCATTCCTCTTCATCAACCTCCCAAAAGCTACCGCCGGCTCCCCACTCATATACCGCTCCGTCAACGCGTCCGTCTCATGCATGAGGGTCTTGTACTGCTGGTCCACGAACGCGGACCGGATCAGCCGTTTGGTGACTACCAGAGATTCAGGGTGGCAGGTTGCCACGGCTTGGGCGAGGATTTTGCTCGTTTCGGCGGCGAAGGAGGCGGCGGGGAAGGTTTGGCTGCGTGTGAGGGTCACGAATAGTGAGGATGGGATTGGGAGAAGCGTTGTAAGGCAAAATGTGGAGCATACTTGACGAATCCGAGCTTTTCGAGTTCGCGGGCGTTGAACTTTTTGCCGAGGAGCTGGAATCATATGGGTAAGGGAAATCGGTCAAGCTGCGATGAAGGACGGAAATGACCACCTACCAAAGCTTCATTCGCTGGTCCGAGTCCCATTCGTTGAACAAACGCGTGCGACGAGTTGCCTATGGAAAGAAAAGGTGTATGCGTTGAATGCCGAACTCAGTCTCATGTTGAACCACGACCGTGAATGGCATACCTTCTGCGCACAACGCGAGGCTGGAGAATGGGCAGTAGAGGTATGCGCTCTCGCTTGCGTAGATGATGTCCGCGTTGCCGATCAGTCCAGCAGGATAGCCGATCACCGGTCCTGGATGAGAGTGAGAAGGAGAGGGTAAGGATGCGAGGGAACGACACGAAGTGATGGTAGGGCGAATAAAAGCCTGCTCGCTCCGCTCGCGACAAGGAGGTTGGACGGACGGGCTCGGCTTGCTTTGTCCGCAAAAAAATCCAACGCTCGCCGATGTTCGTTAAGCACCGCGGAAAAGGCGCGACGAAAACTCGGTCCCTCGCGCTCGCTGTCGCCCGCGAAATGCGTTCGCTCTCATCCCCTATTCCCTACCATTGAGCAGCACAACAAGCGGCTTCGGATGATCGATCACAGCCCTAGTCAACGCCGCAGTAGAGAACTCCAATGCCGTCCGAAATTTGACCCAAGCATCATGCCTATCCTTTGGTGCCTCCCTCTCCTCCGTAATATCAGCTCCCGAACTGAAGAATTTGCCCTTTCCGGTGAGCACGGTAATGAAGGTGTCTTTGCGGTAAGCGAGAGACTGGAGAGCTTGCATGAGGTCTGTGTAGGTTTGCCAGCGGAAGCTGTTGTATTTCTGGTGGTAGTAAATGGGAGGAGTGAGATGTGATGAAAGGGAGGGGATTGGGTGTAGGTGTGAAGTGATTACCTCTTCACGAGAAATGAAGATGGTGCCGATGCCGTCTTGCACGACGACTTCGACGTCGGAGGAGCCCATTTTGGGGGGAAGTTGTTGGAGAGTTCGTGATTACCACACAGCGGAGTGTTGGGACGGTGGACGTTCCTTCGGAACAGGGGCAGCTGCCTTTTATACTGTATGGCTCTCGAAGTTCCGCAGGCCCAGCGGGATAAAAGAGGGGGATTGCGCGAGGGTGTCACTGACGGCGGAACCTCCAGTCAAGTTCATATGTCACTGTGTTCATATGGCGCGTCAAGCAATTCAATTCACTCTCGCTCACGTGACTCCACTGGGTGAATCGCAATTGTAATTGGCGCCCCCCGGTTGAGGCCGGCAACAACTGCAACAAGCCAACAACGACGAACAGGTTTGCGACCTTACGCTTGTGCTTTCAACGACACTGTATACCTCGCAATGTTCGCCGTAAGGACTATCCCCAGGGTCGCCGTCGGGTATGTACTCTTTCACCGCAGGAGCGAAAGGATTCATGAGGGAACTTGGTGGAATTTGAAAGGTCAACGACAAAACTGGAAGCGCTGCCGACCGAACGCATGATGTCTGATGAGCCGATGTACGATAACCGGAACAGATAGAGAGAAGGAGATACTCTTTGCTCATGGGGGAAAGCGTCGGCAGAACTTGTTTTACACAACATCGATTTGAGGATCGACTATTGCAGGGCAGAGCGGAAGTTCGGACGATCAATCACCCAGTTTTGCTAACGGCATGACTTCCCACGTTAGGTCGGCGACCCCATTTGCTGTCCAAGCACGCAACATGGCCACGTTGAAAGAAAGTAAGAAATGGAGGACTGAAGATTGTTAAAATATTCTTTTAGTGAAGATTGGATGACTTATGGCGGCTTTTTGGGCAGTTTCCGTTCGTCTGAAGTCCGTGTCGAACATTGCGAAAATCACAAAGTCCATGAAGATGATTGCCTCCACCAAGGTCGCGAAGGCTCAGAGGACTATGGAGGCTGCCCGTGTCTACGGAAGCTCTGCTACCGGTAAGCTGCCGAATCATGAATCTAGGAGACAACTGAGGTATCGACAAAGGGAAACCTTTTTAACCATTTTCATCAGCTCTCTACGGTCACGCCGAGACCGCCGCCGCCGAGGGCACTAAGCTCGTCGTCGTCTGCTCCTCCGACCGTGGTCTGTGCGGCGGTATCCACTCCTCCCTGTCCAAGACCACCAAGAAGTACCTCGCCGCCAACCCCGACTCCACCCTCGCGATCGTCGGCCAGAAGGCCAAGGCCCAGCTCCAGCGTGAGAACAGGAAGCACATCGCTATCACCTTCGACGGTGTCGCCAAGGGTCTCCCGTCATGGAACGAGGCTGCTCTTGTCGCGGATGAGATCTTGAAGGCTGGTATTCAGTACGAGACGGCGGTTGTGGTCTACAACAAGTTCAAGTCCGTCATTGCGTTCGACACTGTTACTGTGCCTGTCTACTCGCTGAAGGCGCTTGCGGAATCACGTAAGGACTTGAGGTATCATTGCGATCACTTGAAACACGTTTTGTTAAAATCTCAATCCCCCCATTAGCCAAGCTCGCGGCCTACGAGGTGGAAGAGCCTGTTCTCAAGTCCTTCGAGGAGTTTGCATTGGCCAACACGATCTACTGGGGAATCGCTGAGGGTAACGCTTCCGAGCAGGCTGCTAAGCGTACTGCCATGGAGAACGCTACCAAGAACGCCGGTGCGTACCATGAAAAACGGTCTTGTTGTTTTGCTTACTCGGAGTGACTGACGTGACGTATGTGATTTTTTAGGCGAAATGATCCAGAAGCTCACCTTGACGTATAACCGATCCCGTCAAGCGACCATTACCAACGAGCTTGTACGTATTCCGCGACTCACCCTCTATTGTCCTCCCCTCATTCTCCCCCGTTCGCTACTAACCCAACCCGTTACCCCTCCCCCAAACAGATCGACATTATCACCGGAGCCATGGCCGTTTAGAAGAATAAACCACAGGAAAAATAACCACCCACAACTCCGCATACCACCCTCAAAATCCCACCGGTCTCGGTGCCTTTTGATATGTGTAGACCTCTAAAATACCGAATGGCATTGCTGATTATCTCATACCTGTGGAGGTCTTCTGGGTTGTGGGATGGCTTGTTGGTTGGGATGTGGTTGGGGAGAAGGTGGGGATGCCGAGACCGTGGATGGGAGATGGGATATGGGGACGCATCTTTTGAAGCGGATGCTGGAGATCGTAAGCGATGGATGAAAAGGGGAGTGGGGACGATGTGGGAAGGCTTTGAAGGAACTGATCAACGGATTTTTCGGCGAACTGGGCACGAGAAGGGACGACGAGAATGGGACTATCTGGTGGGGGAAAAAACAATACAGAGGGGTGCTTCATCTATGTACCAGGGGCTGAGGAGGGCGGCGAGACATAAACGCTTTGCGTGATGGGCGACGAGGTTATGGGCTACGATGGTGTTCGTGAGTCCCTCGCTGCTTGCAAGAGGCGTCCGTTCGGACAACGCGCGTTTCTGGCGAAATGGCTGTCCGGCACAGGCTTCGAAACGTCGTCGCATTCCAGAAAACAACCCACCATCCAGCCTTCACCCGACCACCAACTAATCCCGCCCGCCACCCTACTTCTCCCCATCTCACCCTCTGAAGTCCCCGAAATGATGGGCGAACCGATGGACGTGGACGAGCCCGGATACATCCCCACCAGCACAAGCGCAAGCAAAGGGAAAGGCAAAGCGCCGGCCGACAGTGAGGATGCGAAGGAGGGGGATAACTTGCCTTGGTGCGTCTCTTACCGTCGAGGGAATGGAGTTGGGATCTGGTCCTGAGCATTGAATTTGCGTGATTTCATTAGGGTGGAGAAATACCGACCAACCCATTTGGATGAATTGATCTCCCATAAGGATATCATTTCGACAAGTAAGGCTCAGTTGTTCCCATCCCACGTATCCTCATAGTGGTTACTGATATCTCCCGACCAGTAACGAGATTCATCGACGAAAACCGCCTCCCCCACCTCCTCTTCTACGGCCCACCGGGCACGGGGAAGACGTCGACGATCCTGGCGTGTGCGAGGCGATTGTATGGGACGAGATATCGGTCGATGGCTTTGGAGGTGAGCGAGGGAAGCGAGCGCGGAAATAGGGCGTTGGCATGGGGGAAGGGGTGGGGGTCATTGGTGATAGGGAGACTGAATTTGCCCGCAGTTGAATGCATCAGATGAACGCGGGATCGATGTCGTGAGGGATCAGATTAAGACTTTTGCTAGTACTAAGCAGATATTTAGGTATGTTGGAGGAGAGAGAAGGGGGAGTGATAAAGGATGAGTTGGGGGGGGGGGGGGGGGGACGGTTGTTGATAAACGCATTTTGTCCGTTTTGTGCAGCTCGGGGTTCAAGCTGATCATTCTGGATGAGGCGGATGCTATGACGCAGACTGCTCAGAATGCTTTACGGAGAGGTAACCCTTCTTATCATTCTCGTGTCCCCCATCCCTTCATCCCCATCACCCCATCATTAACGCATTTTCCGATCCAGTGATAGAAAAATACACCCGCAACGTCCGCTTCTGCATCATCTGCAACTACGTCGGCAAGATCATCCCCGCCCTGCAGTCGCGATGCACGCGGTTCAGGTTTGCCCCGCTGAAGGAGGATCAGATACTGGGGAGGTTGGAGCATGTTATTACTCAGGAGGGGTGAGTTGAAAAGATATCGGGTGCTGTAGATGAGATGTGGGTTGTGGCGTTGCGCTAATAGGGGGGTGCGAACGCCTTTGATTGTGTTTGAAGGATCAATATGACGGAAGACGGCCGGAAAGCTCTCCTCAAGCTGTCCTTGGGGGACATGCGGCGCGCGCTTAACATCCTGCAGGTACATCCTCTCTCTTCCTCCATTCACACCCCCCTTGGCAACCATCTCACTCATTCCGGACTATTATACGTAGGCAACACACGCAGCCTTCAACCCAATAACCGAATCCTCGATCTACCTCTGCACGGGCTCCCCGCTGCCCTCGGACATCCAGCGGATTGTGAACTGGCTGTTCAATGAGGAGTTTACCACGTGTTATGAGAGTACGGATCCTTCATTTATGCATACCACGGCCGTCTGCCTCATACCCCAACCCCACCCACGTCTCTCGATTTTATGTTTGTTTAGACATCCAACGCCTCCGCACAACCCACGGCCTAGCCCTCGCCGACATCCTCACTGAGATCCACGAAACCATCGCCGTGCTCGACATGCACCCCGCCGTCCGGGTTCTGTTGGTGGATCGCCTGGCGGAGATTGAGTATAACCTGGCGACGGGGTGTGCGGAGCGGATGCAGTTGGGCGCGCTTGTGGGCGGGTTTAAGTTGGGGGTGGAGGTTGCTGAGAGGTTGAGTGGGTAGTCGCGGGGCGGGGACGGATGGGTTGGTGAGGTAGTGTAGCCGGTAGAACGAGGAAGGCTGTCAGGCCCGGTGTTCGATTTGAAAAGGTGTATGTAGCTGTGAGATGAACAGGGCGGCGTGTTCGATCTGTGTTTAATGCAAGAGAAGGCGTTTTGCACTCCGCTGATACAAGCTGATGGACTTGCACAGATACAAATGGCGTACGGTCTATTTACCGTGCCGGGGTATGTACTGTACTGTAACTGTAACTGTCGCATTCAGTCCGCATATATATAATAACAAAAGACCCCAAAACCCACAAGAAGAAAAGCTAACAAAATAACTTGGAAACACGGAAAAAGTATCCGGCACAAAGTGGTCTCTGCATAACTTCCTACTCTCGGTTCGAAAAAGTCACTCCTCAACCGCCACCGCCGCCGCCGGTTCCCCCACATGACTACTCTGAATCCTCTTCCCGGCCCTGGCAGCCTCCACCTTCCAATCCAGCCGCGAGATGATAAACAACGTGGTGGCCGAGACCAGGATGATGGCGACCGTGAGCCCGAGCCAGAGCCCCGCGATGTCAAGGTCGAACTTGAAGGCGGCTATGAATGAGATGGGGAGGCCTATGATGTAGTATCTACATAATCGAGAAGAGGAAGGTTAGATATATGAGGGTGATGGGGTTGGAAGGCAGGAGGGAAGCAAGACGTACCCAGCCAAATTGATGTACGCCCCAATCTCGGGGCGTCCACACCCCCTCAAGATCCCGCCGGACGCAGCGCCCAGCGCATCGCTAACTTGGAACACGGCCGCGAGGGGCAGGATGCTCGCCACCAGCTTGACGACCTCCGGGTCGCTACTCCACACCCACCCCCACTGGTTGCGCACTGCAAAGATCGCGGTGAAGTTCACGGTCGCGAGCATGACGCTCAGCACCACACATGCCATTGCGCCTGCCTTGGCTGTCCGTGGCGCGACCGCTCCCAGGGCGTTCCCGATACGCGTCGATGCGGCGATGGAGAGACCCATGGGGAGGACGTAGGTCATACTGCACGTGTTGAGGGCGATGGTTTGCGCCGCGAGCTCGTTGTTGCCCAGCCAGCCGGCGGCGAGGGCGACGATTTCAAACGCCCACCATTCGGAGCAGGTCATTATGACCGACGGCAGGCCGAGGGCAAGGAATTGGCGGAGGTGCGGGATGGAGAAGGCGTCTCGGGCGGAGAGGCCGCCCCAGGCTGCGCCGCCGTCTATGTATTTTATCTAATGGAGTGAGGGAGTGGGTGGGTTCAGGGAACGGAAGAAGCGGGTGAAAGGCGGGGAAGAAGCGGGGACTTACGTAACAGCCGGTGAGAAACGGCAGGGTCCAGTATGTAATGGAAGTGGCGATTGGCGCGCCCATCACGCCGAGAGAGAAGCGGGACCAGACGAGGGTGTATTGCAGCACCATGTTGATGAGGGAGGCGATCAGAGCGGTTACCATTGTCGCTTTCATGATGCCTAAACATTAGATGGAGAGTTTAAGCATACGTTCGATCCCAAATCCAAAAAGGGGCATCCCGTGGCTCGTATTTTACCTTGAGCCTGAAGATACCTCTTCATACAATCATTCACCATAAACGGAAAGCACCCAATGAAAGCCCACCTCGCCAACTGTCCACTCAACGCCGCCACCTCCTCATTCTGCCCCATCAACAACAAAAGTTTCTCCGCATTAAACCACAGCACCGCAATCGGCACACACAACGCCGCCATCACCACAATCCCGCGCTGCAAATGTTTCCCCAGCGCATGCGGGTCCTTATCCCCCGTATAGGCCTGCGGACACAGCGAATCAAGCGCGTTCGCCATGCCTATGCCGAGCGAATACCCCGTGACATTGCACAGCATGGTAGTCAACGCGACGGCGGCGAGCTCCGTGGTGCCAAGATGCCCCACCGCGAAGATTTGCGTGAGACCGAGGGAGGTGGAGATGATGTAGCCGAGGGAGACGGGCCACGAGAGCTTGAATAGGGCGAAGATCTCCGCTTTGAGGATGGGGAGGGTTATGGGGCCGTCGGAGGTCAGGGAGGCGGTTGCGGGGGAGGGGAGGAGGGAGGTGCTTTCGGTTGGGTTGTCCTCATCGTCGGAAAAGTCCTCGTGTTCGAGTTCGGGGGCGGCGGGGTGGAAGTGTGGGGCCGTTACGGGCCGGGGACGGGTTGAAGCTCTGGTTGATGGCGGATGATTGGAGGAATCGCCGTCTGGCAGGAGCGGAGTTTCGTCGGCGTGGTGAGGCATGGCTTTACAGAAGTGTTTGGGATCAGGCCGACGGTAACGGTGCGGCGATAAGCTTCTATTGTTCGATATATTTCAGGTGCTGAAGCCTTCCACTGGGACGCTATTCCCAAAAAGTCTTTGCAAAGTGAAAGGTCTATCAGAGTCCAGGTCGGAGTCTACAGCACCATGTGATGGTTGCAACTTGTGAATGAATACACCTGCAACTTGAAAGTACTCTTAGACGACGCTGCTGAAGAAGTCCTCAGAGTACATATAAGAGCGCTGAATCGTTTCGGAACTTGTGTAGAGGATGTGCTGCTGTGGGTCTGGCAAGGCGCAGGGTTTAAGGTTGCGTTTGCCGACTGATTTCTAAAAGTTGTGGGCAAGCCTTTTCTGTGACTCCGCGCAATTCCCATCCACGCGCAGCCAGTCACTCCCAGAGTCACTCCAGGCACTCGCTCGCAGACACATCACTCGGGACGTCTTGTCGTTACCTCTACTGTACAAGGAGTGCACGAAATACAGACACGATACATACCCTTAAAACCAGCTTCTCATATATAGCAGGGAAACCCAAGGCCCTGCTGTCCTCTGCGGCCGTATGGAGCACATATGTCTCAGCGGGAGGAAGCTCCCCAACGATATGCGCGAGCGTTCGCCATGGCTTTGGGAGTCTCCAGATCGGTGACGTTGTCCATTGATTTGCCTCCTTTGAGAGATTGAAGAAGGGCTGCAGGTCCAAATACATGCTGCCTTGCCATTGACTGTTGTGAGGTGGAGTTTGATGGGGATAGAACCATCATTGAGCGCCGATCACTCGACACGATGCCATCACGACAGCGCGACGCCCGTCAACGCCTAACCCTAACGCCCAGTGAGCTCTGTCTGACGCGAGCGGCCACGGTCCTCCCGCTCGCTCGCTCCGGTTGTCGTCGTTGCGCAGGACGACCCGGAAGCGGTCAGCCCACAGCGCACTCCCACCCCCCATATCCGTCACTCGCTAGACCCCTGCTGCTCCAACTTACCGGCTTGACGACAAGCTGAGCCGCCATAAGGAAAGCTCGCCCACCCCGGTGATAGGCGCGGAAGAGAGGAACGTCAAGGCCGGAAAGGCTTCAGGACCCAGCACACCTTCCCAAACGCAACACTGGCGACCTCAGTAGAACCCGACATGCCCCACCCCGGAGAGGACGAAGTGGTGGCAATGTCGACGCCGACCGGCAAAGGAGGGGACACCAGGTCCTCGCCCACTCCCTCCGACTCGGACTCGGGATACTCCAGTCGGCACTTGAGCGACGTAGATCACGATATGAACCCTGAAGGGAGGAAAGGCTCGCTGCTCTCCGGCAGCAACACTGGACTCTTTGTTGGAAATACGTCAGCCCTATCACCGAGCGTTCTGCTGGCAACGAATCGGTCCTTTCAGCAACAGACCAATATTCCCCAGCAGCAGTCGTTCGACACCACCAACTATACGTTTACGGCGTCGCCCCAGCTTACTGCTGGACGTGTGACGCAACCCAGTTCGCCTGACACACCGCAGCTCGCACCGTTTGGCCTAGGTCTTCCGCAGGCCGCCCAACAATTCCCATTCCCAGCGCCTTGGACGCCGATACCCGCCGATTCTGGCTTACTGGAGGCAAACAGCGTTTTGTCTCGAGGGAAAGCGAAGCTGGATGACATGCACAGCTTCTCTTCCAGAGGACTTCAAGTGAGGGTTCTGGGAGTCCCACAGCAGAACGCAAAGTCGAGAGTCGAGACGCAAGTCAAGATCTGCCTGCAGCTGGTGACAGACAAGGGCGACAAGGTTCCGCTATGGTCGCACCTGTCTCTTCCAGAATACCTCGTACCGAAGGAGAAGCTACGCAGATTTAGAAACGGCGAACGGTCTCTCAGCGCGAATGCTGATGGCGGACGATCTATTCTTCATCTCGAGGCCTCCGTTGTGTGTGCTTCTGATGTCACAAAGAGTGTGGGTCCGTGTATGGGCTGCATCCAACGCGAACGAAAGAGGGCAAGGAAGAAGGAAATTACATCATCGAAGAAGCTTGTCAAACAAGAGACTGGTCAACCCGCGGATGTTGCGACGAACGCTGAAGAGTCCCTGGATGAGGAGAGCTTGTCATTGGAGCAACGAAAGATCGTTCTGTTCAACTGCGCCGAGATGGTCGATTTCAGCAGTGGTGATACGATTCTTCCGACACGTATCACTTGCTATTGCCGTCATCATGGAGAAAAGCTGGGTTTCTGGTGAGTTCAAGATCGTCTTTGAACGTTTTTGTTGCAAGTAATTCATGAGCTAACTGGGTCTCAAATGTGTTAGCATCTACTTCATTGTCAAGGATCACACCGGTCAAATCATGGCTACTGGTATTTCTCCTCCCATCATGATCACCGACGACCACAAGTCAACAAAGGCGAAACCACACGTCAGCCGCAAGAGGCAGCGTGTGGATGCGCCACTGTCGCCTCCCACGGAGTCTTACAAGCCATCCGCCAACTTGGATCCCCTGTCGCAAGTATCTCAGTCATTTGCGTCTTATGGGATTCCAGCCGAAATCTCGCAGCCGCAGGGTTCGATTCAACAGCAACTGCCGCAGGCTACGCAGGGCGTCTCAGCGTTTGCGGGTCAAGATATGCACTTAGCGCCCGTGTTCCCTGGTTCAGAGTCCGTCTCGATTGCACCGCATAGCCCGATCTCGATGCACTCACCCGAGGCGCATCCCAGCTCCTCACAGATCTTGCAATCACCAACCCCGGAATTGACTTTGGGCTCGATGGGGGACAATCAGCTCTTCAGTCCCATACACGGTCAGACCGCTTTCAATTGCCTGCCTACCGAGCAGAACGGACTGACCGCCCATATGGATCCGGATTTTATGATGGAGCTCGAGCACCCCATGTTCGGATTGGCGGAGGGTGCTGATTTCGCGGCCTTGGATGACTTTGTGGCCCAGAACAGAGGTCATGAGTTGGACTTGACTGTCTTGCCTCAAACGCTGCCATCGTCTGGGTCGATCGTTAATCCGCCGGCGATCAACAAGCTGATTCCGGCGGAGGGACCTGTTCATGGCGGACTTGAGATTACTATTCTTGGGAGTGGCTTCTACGGTACGTACGATGCTCGTGATGTAGTGTCTTTCGTACTTGCACGGTTCTGATACACTCCCACATGGACGGTCACAGATGGAATGACGGTCATGTTCGGCGCCATCCCCGCGACGCGCACACAATTCTGGAGCGAGACGACCCTTGTGTGCACCCTCCCTCCCGCACCCGCCCCAGGGGTTGTTCCCGTCCTCCTCCGCGAATCCCAACAGCTCATGAACTCAGAAGACAACTCCGACGTCGTCTTCACCTACAAGGATGACTCAGACCGGGCCCTCATGGAACTCGCCCTGCAAGTCCTCGGTCTGCGGATGACGGGCAAACTCGAAGACGCGCGACAAATCGCCATGCGGATCGTCTCGGACCCGACCGGGAACGCCGGTGCCAGTGGAACGGCCGCCGGAAATGGCGGTCTGCAATTGGCAGGCTCGGCACTGGCTATGGCGGCCCTGAAAAGCTCGCTGAACCTCCCTGTAGACCTCCGCGGCGCAGATCTCGAACGCCTAATTCTGCAAAACCTGTGCGAATCTGAACTATGTGCTACGAGCGGCACGCGCACTTCCACCCAGCACTCGATATTGCTGCAAGAGTGTCGCCGTGTACGTACGCCCAAGACCCAACACACCTTGCTGCATCTTGCCGTGTTTGCACGCATGTCGTCGCTGGCCAAATGGCTGGTTGCGAATAAGCTGGTGGATGTGGATGCGGTGGATGCCAGTGGGTTTTCGGCGCTGCATTTGGCGGCGTGGATGGGACTTTGGAGTGTTGCGAGGGCATTGTTGGAAGGTAAGGGAGTGGTCTCGAGTGTTTTTGCATCCTTCCGGGGTATAAATGGGATTGTTAGGTGCTCTCGAACGGAACTGACTGACGTTATGCCATCATAAATTTTTAGCTGGCGCAAGACAGACGCTGCAGACGGCTCAAGGTCTATTGCCGCTGCATCTTGCCGTGTACGGCGGACATCACCAGGTGTGTTCATCATTTCGGCCTCATTTGAAGATCCGGAAGTTCCAATGGACACAGCAAGCTCATTTTGCTGTTGCATGTTTTACAGGTCGCTCGGCTACTCTCTATGCCCAACCTTCCTGTCGTCGAAAGCACAGACCAAGACGCGTCATCGGACGATGATATCAGCACGATAGCGCCCATCTGTCCATCCATACCGCGGCGCAGGATTCAGGCCGCACTCCCGTCTGATTGTGCATCAAAGATCCCGGTGCAGCCGCAACATATTGAGCCCGTGGCTGCCACCCTCGACACACCCACTCTCGACGACGACGATCTAGCCGACACACCCGACCTCAAACCCTACATCGCCGAACACACCCCCCTCTCCCGGCGCTTCGTCGACCGGCCCCGTCGCGGCAAACGCGGGCGCGGCGGCCGTGGCGGCGCCGGCACGCAGCATCGTGGCGCTAGTGGAGCGGGCAGCATCAACGAGAAACATTTGGATCTGGATGTTGATATCGGCTTCGATTCGAGCGATAACGAGCTGATCAAGAGCATTGAGGAGCATGGGGGCAAGCAGGGGATGTTGTATGGCGCGAAGCAGATGGTGGAGGATGTTGTGGAGGCTGCTGCGAATGGCGGCGTGACGGTGGATGAAAAGAAGCTGTTGAGTGTGGACAGGGAGAAGACTATGCACTTGGATACTGGAAAGACCGGGAACAAGCCGTTGCAGGGCGGCGGATGGTATAACCCATGGGTGGCGCTACCGACCCTTTTTGCGTTCCCGGTCTCGTTTCCTGCCCCGACTTTCGGGTTTTCGGCGAAAGTGGGTACGGGAGCTGTGGACAAGTCGAAAGGGCATTCTGCCGCTGATAGCGTAAACGCTACGGAACAAGAGGTCGTTCCCGACCATGACGACTCCGCCTTGCCGCCATATTCCCCGGCGGAGCCAGTCATATCCGCAGTTGCTCCATCACCTCACGGCCAAACTCACATCGCACACCCACACCAAACCCGACAACAACAACAACAACCACTATACCCCACCCCACCCCTCCCGAGTCCCTCAACCCGCACCTACCCCACCACGGTCGACGACGTCGACTGGATCTACCTCGACGAAGACCTCGCCGCAATACCCTGCGACTGCGTCATGTCCTACGCGGGCACACACGACACGCACCACGACGATTCGACCCAACCGGCGCGTCGGTTGGCGCATCATTTGAATCTGGGGCGAGGGGGAGGGTGCAGAAGGTACCAGGCGATGCGGGAGCGGAAGAAGGAGATTGCGGCTGTGTTGGGCGCCGGGAGTGGGGAGGAACGGGGACGGAAGGTGTGGAGGTTTTGGGTTGGGGTCGGGCTTGGTACGTAACTTTTTGTGGAATTGTGGGTGGGATCATTCATCAGTCCAGCTCAACTGATATCTCTCTCTCTCTTTTTTTTCGTCACCCCCCCACCTTAGCCCTTTTGATCACCCTCCTCCTCCTCCGGCTCCTCCTCACGCGCCGCGACGTGGAACATTTCATGCACTCCATCGAGCAGCTGCACACCGACATGCTCGGCCGGCCCCTCAAGGAGCGCTTCGAAGACGTGCGCAGGTGGGGCGCGGATCAGGGCGAGGAGGCGAGGGCGTGGTTGCAGACGCTGAAGGCGGGGAGGTTGGTTGTGTGAGTTTGGTGGGATTTCATGCGCGTCGCATAGGGATCGATATCGATCGCAGGAGGAGTTGTCTGCGACTCGATGCGGTGGCAATCTCCAAAGGCCGCGGAGCACTCATCGCTCTTGGCTTGCATGTCCTCCGACATCGATAGATACGGGCCTTTGGATGGATCGCGTAGACGGTCGACATGATACCTTTATTTGCTTTTGTACCTTGGTGGAAATACCTTCTTGTTTTCTGTTTTGATCTCGTATGTCTGAGTGGTCTTATCCTCAAAACGCGTTGTGGAGCCAGTAGCTCCTTACCGTTTGCAAAATTATACTCGGTCTAGGAGGATTGGGCTGGTCTGGCGTATCAGGAAACGGCTGTTACTGTATGTACGTTCCTCCCAGCGATGTCTGGAACCCCTCTGCGTTTCCTTGTGCTTGAAGCCACGAGGAAGGGTACCGCTGCCGCATTTGTTCACATTGGTGGTGGCGTGGGCCGTGGGCATTATTTATGGGTCGCATGCGGGCGCGGACAGAACAGACTCACTTCAACCAGATTGACACATCCTGCTTTTGCTGTTTGTTGCGTTGGAAAGTGGGCTGGTATCTGTCTTCACTTCATCTGGGAGAGAGGGGTGTGCCCGCGGTGCCAATGTTTTTCTCCTCGGTTCGCTGCTTATATTGTTTGCGAAGCGTACTACGCAACTCCTGTAGAAACACTCTGCACATGCAAACACACTCTGGACTGTCGACGAACGGTACCCGAACCTTGGATGGACTGGCCCTGGCAGAGAAACGAGCAGCGGAACCCTGTTAGCCAACGATGCGATAGCTCTCTCAACAACTGTTCATTCGAGCGTGAACATGTCCAACGGCGCTGACTCCCTGGTCAATGTGGAGAAGAGCGGGGAAGTGGAATCATGACCACTCATGCCATACCGAGACAAACACAGAGAAAGCAAAACGAACAAGCTCTCTGAGACCGTCAGCCGCTGAAGAACGTGCCCGACTTCCAAACTTCACGACAACAACAACAGGCGAAATTTTTTAGCACGCACGGCATCCCCACCCCCCAATGTGATTGATTGCTTTACGAAGTTCTGCCGCCGGCTCTCGCCCCCCTCCGCCCATAAAGAAAAGAAAACAAAATACCGGACACAACCCTGACCCCCCGTCCCCGAAATGTGCCCTTCCGTCCCCGAGTGGTTCCCTCCCGTCCCCGACATGTGCCCCCCGTCCCCGACGATATTCCCAACCTGCGGAAGAGTTTCAGTTTCTTCAACTCGCCTGGAGGTATGTACGCTTAGTGCTCGCGCATGCTTTTGAGATCGTCAAACTCACCCCCCACTCAGAATTTCTTCTTCAGCGCCGGCGGATGCGCCTTGCCTGGACGATCTGCCGGCGTACCGCCAACAACTCCCGCCTCACCCGCGCCACCTCCGCCTCCGCCGTCTCCGCTCGGTGCTATATACAGGTAAAAGAAAATCAGTTGTGGAATAGGAATTCGCAGTCATTTATTCACAGGGAAACCTACCACTAGGCCAGGCACACGAGACGCGAGCTCCTCTGCTCGGGCCAGACGCAAACGCAACGCGGCGACCTCCTCCTCCTCCGCCAAACGCAACGCGGCGACCTGCTCCTCCGCCAAACGCCGAGCAGCGACGAGCGACGCCAGCCTTCCCGCATCGGGGATTGGGGCTGCTGGTGGGGCTGCTGGTGGAGAGGAATATGTGAGTGTCCTGTGCCAATCGGAGCCATTGGAGTCTGGGAGTCTGGGCGTCTGGGAAACGTATCGCGCTGTCGAATTCCGTCGTTGATGTGGCAGCTCGCTTTTAGGTTAAGCTTAACCGACATCGACGAGAACCGCAAAGCGCAGCAACTTCATACCAATCACGCCGAAGGCATGGACTTCACAGCGGACCAGCGCCCATAAGAGAACACTCATCTCGTCCTTACCAGGGGGAGCCACTGAAGCAAGCGAGCGAGAAACAGGCCGTTAGCAACCTTCCTTTATTCGGCATTCCTCACACGCCACATTCGCTCTTACCTTCATCACCCACTTCCACGGAAGTGAGAACGGCAACGGGAGGGACGACTTGGGGCTGAGGGCGAGCCGCGCGCCAGTCTCCTCCAAGCCCTAGGCACGACATACCGAGGACATTAGTTTTCGGACGCGCCATTCATTGTGACGCGATTGTCAGCAACACCATGAGAACGATTACAACCACGAAACGTACCAAGAGCGGGGCCTCCGAACGCACGCCGCAAGGTGGCGGTCGTGCGCGCGGTGTGACGGCTGGCCGGGGCAGTCGGGGCAGTCGGGGCAGTCGGGGCACGGGGGAGTAGGCGACCCCCAGGGCCCAAGGGAACTACCTGGTAGTTCAGAGCGCTGCCGGTGGCCTTCCTCACTCGGCGAAGGTCCCTGGATTGAAGCAGTTAGCACTCATCGACGGAACCGTTGTCACTTGAATGCTTACTGGCGGATGGCGGTCCGGTCCGCCTCTCCGACGTCGGCCGGCATTCCGACCAAGAGGTCCTCCCCCTGCATCCGGGCAACGACGGGATGCTCCCTGTTGCAGTAGTGCCACCAGAAGAGGGCGGCGTCAGGGTCGAAGCCTTCGTACTAGACAAGAGGAGCGACACAACGTTAGTACTTCATCGTCGGCGACATTTCCCCCCGTTTTCCCACGCTCCGGACAGAAGACACCAGTATTGGACGAACCTGCTTCGGATCGTGACGGACGAGAGGCATGCTGGGCATGGTGCTGGGTCTGGTTGTGGTGGGTTGGGGGGTTGTGGTTGTGATATGCGATACGCTTACTCGAAAAGAAAGCCGGAAGGACAAGTGAGAGCCCGGAGTCTTTTATAACCCCCTACCGCTGCTGTGCTCTGCTGTGCTTCCGGTCTGGCCCGTGTTTTTTTCTCGCGGGGGCTCACACTGGATTAGCAACCCACAGGAACCCCCCGTTCCCACCTCACGCAAAGCTCAGCTACGCATTACTAAAAGCAGCTGGGAATCCATTACGTTCATAACCAGACGACGCTCAGTCTGCGAAAACCAACCCACGACGCTCGCTGGCTGCAACTGCCGTATGCGCTGGATTTGCAACTATCAGCGCACCCACAGGGATGCCCCCCATCACACCCGATGTATCCACCATGTATCCACTCGTTACCACCTCAGGCAAAGCTCAGCTACGCATTAGCAAAGCAGCTGGGAATCCATCACGTTCATCACCAGACTACGCACAGTCTGCGAAAATACATGCGAGCAAAACACCAGCCGTTACTCCGCGATCAACGGAAGCAATAAGGTGGACAACCGTTTTTGACTAAGCTCCGCAAGTGGGAGAGCTACGGAGTTGGATCTTGATATGGACAACATCGCGAACGACCTGCATTCCGAGTTTATCGACAACAAGCAAACTAGGAACACAAAAACTGCCACGACAAACCATGTTCTTTCGTTGACGCCTCATCTTTTGCTTCATACATGCGGGTCCAAGATGATTACGCTTTTCACAGAATTTCGCTCTCGCTCTTGCAAGCCTACACGATAACCTCCCATCCGTGGACCACACCTCGCAATCGCATTTGTTTGGAATAGCGGAAATCCTTTTCTTGCGCATAGTCAACCAGCGCGGATCTTCCAGGAAATCATTCGAAGGATTCCCTCAAGGGAGGACGGGCTGCCTCAGCTTTGATCAATGCAACCGGATCAATCCACCGAACGCCGCACATACCTGGAATCCATCGAGCTCAGCAGGGGTTAATACATTAGCTTCGCCATCCGCACCCCCACACCAAACCTTTCTAGCGTTGCGCTAAGGCATATGCTGTCATCAGCAAGCATTCTTCTATCTACTGAAGCTCGCTCCGAAAACCAACATGCCAGGTGCCCGTGAACGCCCTTTGATGAGGATCACCGGGCTACCGTTGGGGATGATGACTCGAGCCGGTTAGCGTCCAGCACCGGACCCACTAGAGCGATGTGAACATCAGCAAATCCATGAATGGAAGCTAAACCACTCGCGGGTTCTCTGACGGTTTCGCCCCTTCTTGAGCTTCGCATCGACCTCTTGTCTATTGACAAATTGTGCTCACAGGAGTAGTATGTCTACGCCTGAGGACAAATCACGCAAGTTCAGGTTTTGCTTCAATAGTGGGCTCTGATCTATTATGAGAAGTCGTCGGAGGTACGACCACCGCATAGCATCTGTCCCCTTGTCGCCAAGTCACATCTGCAAGTGTGATTTTTTGCTACCGCTATGGAGGGGGTGCTCAACAACCTTCCGGTTCGCTACCTGGAAAACCAGCCATCTCCCTTCGTCTCGATGCAAACGACCTTTCGCAACGCCATAATGACTCGCTCGATGTGTTTTTACTAAGCTGGTTTCGGCAAAGTGATGCGAGCAGTACTATGCTTTATTCGAAAAGCTTTTCTCTGGAAAGAAAACGACTGGTCCGATGCTGGTCAGAAATTACCGCGGCGACCGGATCAATGACTGTTAGGGTCATTGCTCTTTCAGTGATAGCTAGCCATCATTGTGTTTTGATCCGGGCCCCTGCAACCGAGAGGCCCATCATCAAACGTTAAAGTCGGTCAACCCGGATCTGGTGCCTTGGGCGGTGAACCCCGATTATACTCCTCTGGGTCAACCAGACCCGTTGTTGAAAAACTGCATATACTACCGCCCTGGCTTGCTTCGCTCTGGATACAGATTTTGATGGAGATGCTACAGACTCCGCCGACAAACACCAGGGAGGATGAACGAAGGAGCCTGAACACCTTTCTACTGCGAACTCACAAACTTTTTTCGAGGTACCAAGGAACCTGGGATTTCTGGCATACTGTTCACCCCGGCTCCCGCAAATGCCAATATCGCTTCTCCATGTTCGAAGACGTGAGTGCGCTGGGATCCTACATCCTCCATTGTCTCCGGCATTGCATTGATATTTGGCGCGTTGCATGCTCGTAGGACTTGTGGTTGCATCATCACACTGACTTTGTTAGAACTGATACCGTTGCAATATCTCCGTACTCTGGAGGCGAACTTTATATTGCGTTGCTTCCGCCGTCTCGCATAAAGGTCCTGATGATATTTGTCTAGCGTAGCACGCAAGGAGTTTGTTCATTTTATGCCATTTCTGTGGTTGCAATTGTTATTACATTGAGCTAATGTCCCAAGTGATCCAAAATCATTCTGATATAGAGTATGTAGGTCCCAAGCGTCCATTGTGATACGAATCGACGGGATGAAAACAAGGCGAGAAAGGGTATTGATGAAAAGGACCTTGGGAAGCACCTCCGAATACGTCCCGCACTATACAATAGCGCTTCAGGGGTGCCGCTGCCGCAGCCCAGAGCGACGCTGCCGTCCCGCTCCTGTGGGACTACTATAATCTACTCGATGGATCTATACTGAATAGTAGCATAAATAGAAGCATGCGGCGCTATGCGGCGTCGACATCGACCTCTTGAGCAGAGCAACATACTAACGCGTCGCTTTTGCGAGGTTATGTACCCCGCCCACCTCATCTCCAAAGCCATATATTGTTTGGATGAGGCTGTGGTCATTACGAAGCTGAGACTGCTGACTGGGGGCACGTCGGCCCGATCGCAATGCGAACTTCGTGCTCGTAGTAGTTGCCTATGAAGGGCATTCGCGCGTCTCCGTACGGTGGCCGCATCAAACAGGTTAGAACGTTCCCTGATGGCACCCGCTGTCAATATTGTACTCACACCAGAATCTGCTGTGTCTCCAACTCTCCCAAGTCAGAGCGGATTGCATCCAAATCTTCCCCCACCATTCAATGCGAGCGGCCACCGGATGCTCCATGTTGCAGTAGTGCTACCAGAAGAGCGCGTTCCAATTTCTCCCTCCCCAGCCCCGTTCCTGCTCACTATCGTAAACCGCCTGCTAGCCTCACTCGTAACTACCAAGCGCTCTACTTCTGCACTCCCTTCTCCCTCCAAAGGAACTTGCCAGCTCATCTTCGGCCCTCTTCGTCCCCGTGATTGGACCGGGACGGAAAGCGGTTGGTTGCGCCCTATCGCAGCAAGAAAGGTGCAAGGATGATTCATGGTAGTCGCACTGGACGATGTGGTGGGAACGGGAAACGAGATATATATGACGTGGCATGAGAAGGAGAAAACTTATTCGCAAAAGGAAGTGGCAGCCGTCTCAGATGACGTATCAGAAGATCCAATCTCTCTGGGGTTTGGAGGCATGGCGACGCGGAGGCCTCCACCTACATGAGGGCAACGTCGGGATGCTCCCGGTTGCGTTATAAGCTGAGCCGGGAATTTTCTTTGTACAGTATATCCCCCCCGCATGGTAATCGCGCATGGAAACTTGGGTATGCGTCCATAAAACTTGGCGTTAGGCTAGCATTGACAGGTGTCGCGCTGTCGATTTGAGGCACATCGTCGCGTTCATGTTGCGAAGCTCCGCTTAGCTCTGTTCATGATATCTATTACAGTATACAACCTTGGAGTGTCGTGAATGACCCAAGATTCTCTGCTAGTTCCCCGATTTGCCTCTACTGAAAGATTCTATTTTAAGTGGCCTTGTATGTGTTGGCGGTATACGCTCCAAAACCCTTCATAGGTCGGAGGCAGTTGCACGCCAATATTGGACTGCTGTATATATCAACAATGAGCACGGTGATACCGCAAGTAAGCGCTTCCTGAGCACTTTACCTTCTTTGCCCATAACGTACTTGAGATTTGCGTCATCAAAGATGTCAAGGATGTGCCGGGTGGGGAGCCCCGTCCCTCCCTGTTGATGCTGTTAACTTGAGATTCGAAATTACGAGATGCAGTGTGCGAGCAATGTAAAGCGCTTGCGTGGCTGGAATATTTCCCGGCCACTCCTTTTCGCGCCAGAGCAATCGACAATCCGTCTTACCAAGCATCTCAACCGCGTCCTTGGTACGGCGAGCTGCCAGAGGTTGGGTGTCCATACGTTGTTCCCCAGGAGGCTCGCCACTCCCATCTGATACCGTTCGCCTCCCATACCGCGCCCACTTAACGTACACTTAATGTGCATCAAGCGCTCCTTTTGAGAGCTATCTTCTCCATCTAGAGTGTTCGTTTCTTGGCCTTACAGCGATCTCTAAGATTGCATGAGCAGTTTACGAGATTTAGCCATTGTCTGCGAGCCGTGGAAGGTGATGCGTTGGCAGTTAGCTCCGACCGCATGATGGATGGTTTGTTCAGTGAAAGCATTTCGCTAGAAAGCGAGTGTCCATCGTCAGCGCGCAACCTATCTCAGCACGCGAAAGCGTGTCCGGATGACTTGGGTGGAACAACCGCATTTTCCGGGTGTATGGCGATTGCTTCCACCTGGTGTCGCAACATCTGTGCGCTTGCTGACTCGATTTATTCCCCGTATCGGATCTGTTGCCGACTCCATTCTTTTGGAAAACCAGATATCAAGGTGCGTTTCAACGTCTTCTTCCTCGAGGCATCCTCTTTTCGCATTGCCCAATTTTTTGAGCTGTTAAACCCTAATTTCTGCCAAGGTCCCGCGAGCGCATCGTGAACCATATCACCTGGAATTCATCACCGGAAATCCGAAGCCGATGCGAGCAATGATGCAGTTAGTTGCCTGACGCAGGTCGGAACAACCCAGTGCGTGCAACAAGGGTGCTGACAGCGGAAGGGATGGACGCCGCGAAGATCCTGCAGCAGTGACTTTGGTGTAGGTGGTTTTCCGGTCATTGGGCTTTTGGGTTGAACGGTGTTCGTCGTCTGAGCTCCCGGCGCATGTCGGACTTGGCGAAAACAAATAGTCGGATGGCAGAAACAGTTTAAGTAAAGCGTATGACGATCGCCATCTTGCCCACGTTAACCTAAGCCATTATTCAAAGCAGACAAAGGCCTTCAGACGCTTGCCTGGGCGGTAGTCACGGGGGCGAGCTGAGAGGCCTTGAGATATTGGAGAGGTAGGGATGCCTGTGGTTGCTGAGCTGCGGGGGTGCCGTAGCGAACCGTCCGAGTCGAGGGAGACAGACCGTTTGCCTCCTTCGAGCCTTCGAGTCCTTCGTCACGCGTCGAAGAAGTTCATCCAGGACGAAACAGAACCACAAGCAGAACGACACCACCAGCTGCCACCCCTCGCAGTCAACATACATATACAGTCCGAGGAACCCGGGGTTCCTCAACAGATAGTACGCTGCCATGTCGCCTTTTGGACGCTCAAAGAAGAACTCCACAGAGGGAACAGAGAGGTACAGTACGTCTGACGCTTCGACGCCCCAACCACGCTGCATTCCGACTAATTCACACCTCCCTCCATCCCCAGCCGCCGCAAACACATCAGCTCCCTCTACACCCATCACCTCGCCATCCGCGAACTCCAAACCGAATCCCTCTACGAAATAACCATAACAACCTCCCCATCCACTAACCTCATCCTCACCCTCATCCTCAGCCTCCCTCCCACCTTCCCCGACGCCCCGCCCACGATACAGGTCAAGCCCGCTGTCAGCCACCCGTGGGTCAACCACCAGGGGTTTGTGGTGGGCCATGAGAAGCTGGCGCTGTGGGATGGGGGGGTGATGGTGGGGAAGGTTGTGAAGGACGTCGTGCAGGAGTTTCAGTCCAGGCCGCCGCAGAGGGTTGTTGCGGGGCCTCCGGCGACGACGTATGCAACTGGAGTTGGGTCAGCGGGTGGGGGTGCGTACGGTGGGGCTGCAGGACCACAGGGCACTGGTGCGCAGGGGATGAACCCGGGGCAGTATCCGGGGCAGAATCCGTCACGGTCGCAGTCGACGCCGCACTCACATTCCGAGGGACCACCGCCGCCGCCATCACGGCCTCAAGGGCCACAGCAGCAGAACCCCCCAGACTATCCGGAATTGGAACGGCTGAAGTATGGGACATCATGTGATTTCCGTTTGTGCGAGAGCATTCTGCATGTACTGACAAACTCTCTGCATTCTCCCACAGATTGGAAGACTTGCAGAAACTCCTTTCAGATGAGCAGCTGTTTACAGCCTATTTCGAGAATCTGGACAGCGTCAAGAATATGCGACAGGTGCATGCAGAACTGATGCAAGAGAATGAAGCGTTGGCACGTGAGTGGAGGAAGAGGAAAAGAAAGCACAACTGTGACAGAACCTAGGCGTAGATGGCTCACAGTGCGATTTTACACCCGTCATTGCAGACAAAACCCTAAGCAAAGAACAAGCACTAGCAGACGCCCTCCAAAGCATCACAGAACAACAAACCCTGCTCAGGTCACAAATCCAACTCCTGGAAGAGACAGCCCAACAAAGGGACGCCGAGGCCATGGTAAAGCTCCCCCACTCCTCTCTGACTGCTTTCTCACAAAGCAACCAACTCACTCACCCATCCCCCACAGCGCTTCGCCCCCGAATACCTCACCCGCTCCCTCCGCACCTCCGTCCACCTCAGCGAAGAAGCCTCCGACTCCCTCGCCGCCTCCTTCATCTCCTCCACATCCACCTCACCGGCATCGTCAGGCCCGAGCTCAGCGGAAGAGTTCATCAAACAGCTGAGGGAGATACGGAAACTGTATCATCTTCGTGCGGCGGTGTTGGAGAGGGTGGTGAGGGAGCCGAGGCTTTTGGTGCCAAGGGGGCAAGGGGTGGGCCCGGTTATGTCGTCCGCTAGCTGAGGGAGAAGGTTTTGGAGGCTTTTTGTATTTGTATATATACAGTTTGATCGTAGAAAGAAAAACGGTGGAAGACAGCGAGACAGTGGAAAGGGCTACAGCTGCTAGCCCCGCGAGGGGGGTGTGTCCGTATCGCACGGCCTGTAACATGGACTACATCTCGTTTCTGGTTTGATCTACTGGTTGAAGATGGTTTCCTCGTGTTTGCGTTTCGCTTTGAACGATCCTCCTTTTGCTTGTGCGGCCTTTGTTGGAAATAAAGAAAAAGTGAAAAGAGCAAAAACGAGTTTGATGAGATAAATACCCATTATCCAACGCTGACAAAAAAGAGTTTTGACACGAACCTCATGCCTAGCCAACCACGGCGGACAAGTAGAAATCCCACTCTTCAGCACCGTCTGTTTCAAATCATAAAACACATCCAGATCCGCCACCTCGCTCAAGAACGTGATCGCGACCCCTTTCTTGCCCGCTCGGCCCGTGCGCCCAATCCGGTGCGTGTAGTCCTCGATGTTTTTCGCCATGTCGTAGTTGACGACCAAAGATACGTTTTTGACGTCGATACCGCGACCCGCGACGTCGGTGGCGACTAGGATGTCTTTTTGGCCGGTTTTGAGGGCCGCGAGGGAGGCTTCGCGCTGTTCTTGGGACTTGCCGCCGTGGAGGACGGTGGATTTGTACTGGGGCAAGTAGAGGGGAAGGAGGGAGTTATTAAGGGTTGAAAACGATATGAAAGCGACCAGAAAGGGGAATTGATACATACACCCAGTTTCGCCAGATTCTTCGCCAGGACATCCGCTCCCTTCTGCTGATTGACGAAAATGATGATCGGGGGCTCGTATTGAGCCGCCTGCAGGAGCTCCAGCAACCTCGACACCTTCTTCCTCTCATCGCTGATATTCTCCACTCTCTGCTCAATGGTATCCACCACCTGCCCCGCCGTTCCAATCGTAACGACAGCGGGGCGACGAAGGTACTGTTTCGCCAACCGCTCGACAGCGGGGGGCATAGTGGCGGAAAACATGACCGTCTGCCTGAACCTCGCCATGGCCGGGCCCAGCTTGGCGCGCAGGGCGTCGGGGTTCTCGGCGTCGTCCGTGTCGGGTTTGATGTTGGAGACGGGAAGGGCGTCGAGGATGAAATTGACGTCGGCTTCGAACCCCATGTCGATCATGCGATCGGCTTCGTCCATGACGATGTAGGCGCATTGGGAGAGGACGAGGATTTGCTGCTCGAGGAGATCGCGGAGACGGCCGGGGGTCGCGATGATGATGTGTGCGCCATTGCGGAGGTTGAAGGACTGCTCCTGCACTGCGTGCCCGCCGATGATGGAAACGACGATGAAGCCCATTCCTTTGGCGAATTTGGCGGTTTCTTGTTCGATCTGCTGGGCCAGTTCACGGGTCGGGGCCATGATCAGTGCGTAGGGTCCACGATCTCGGTTCTCCTCCGTCAGCGGGGGCAATTCGCTGATGAAAACCAACATGGGGATGACGAAGGAAGCGGTTTTTCCGGAACCGGTTTCGGCAACACCGATAATGTCACGATTCTGCAGCCCGATGGGGATCGCTTGCCGCTGGATGGGGGTTGGCTCCTTATACCCGACTTCATCAATGACCTCCAAGATCTTTGCTGGGATAGTCGACTCCTTCCATGATCGTAGTGGATCAGGGATATTCCCACCTTTAGTCGAGATGTTGAAATCTTCTTTAAAGATACGCCAATCACGCTCCTTCATCTGACCCAACGGTTTATCCGACCAATGCCTGTCATCCCAAGCCGTCTTCTTCTCCTTGACCCGATCCAATTCCGCCAGTTCAGATACCCTGTCGACTTGCTCGTCTGTTCGACGGTCCTGCAAAAGCTTATCGTAGAACGCAGCTCTCACAGTTCTCTGCTCCTTCAAGTCGATTCCCGCAATGTGACCACGGCCAAAGAACTGCGACTCGTGCCTGTTCTCGTACAGTGGGTTGATGTCTTGCGACGTGTCCTCTTGCGTGTCCCAGTCAAACACAAACTTCTTGTCGTTCATTCGTCGAATCTTCCTCCGCTTCCGCTCGATTCCCATATACCGATCGCGGATAGCCGCTAGCTCCTTTTCACCTAACTCTTCGGGTTTCGAGTCGTCCGCCTTGACCGCTCTGGAGCGGTCGTCGCCTCGTCTTCCCCTGCCGTCATCTCTGGTATCCCTATTCCAACCTCCTCCGCCTCCCCCTCCTCTCCTATCTTGATAACCGCCATTGCGCCGATCGTCCACCTGGCGAGGATTCCTTTCGAATTGTCCATTTCGCCCCCCTCGCCCGTATCTGTCGTAGGGATCCTCGTTGTACCGGTTGTTTGGCGGTGCTACAATCGACGAGTTAGCACGTATCGAAGATGTGAGAAAATGCACGGTGGTCTCATTACCAGGTCGCGTATCTTTAGACTCCGAGAAAAACGCAACTCGAGCCTGCCGCTCGTCCTCCTGCTTCCTTCTCTGTTCCTCCACCTCTCTCTGCCGCTTCTCGAGCGCCAGTTGCGCACGCTCCTCTTTCGACAAGAACTTTGGCTTATCAGCAGCCGCTTTCTCTTCCGTCTTCTTCTGCAAAAGCTCCTCGAGAGATATCGGGACCTTCTTCTTCGCCGGTTGCTCTTCCTCAAGGACCACAGGCTCCGCCGCGCTGGTCGTTTCGTGTCCTAGCTTTGATGCATCGCGCCCAGGCGCTCCATCCACGAGCATATCATCATTCCGGTCAGGCCGTTCATAATCATCCCTCCGATCGTATCCATCCTGGTATCTCCGCCCATCCCCATACCCATCGTGGGGCGGCCCACCATACGGTCCCCTCCCTCCACCCCCATAACCCCTCTCATCGCGGCGTCGGGGATCATGATACCCCGGACCTCCTCCACCTCCATTCCTTCGATCCCATTCCCCCGGTGGGGGCCCGTAGTTTCCACCTCTCTGCTGTCGTAGGTCGCGATCACCGTGACGATCTTGCCAGTCCCCAGCTCCTCCTCCGTCGTGCCGGTAGTGGGGCGGTGGTGGGTGGAATGGCGGTGGTGGTTGGCGGAAGCGGCCGTTGGAATCTTCGTAGGGCCGTTGGGGCGGGCGGTCTTGGTACCCCTGTCTGTGATGTGGTGGTGGTTCGTCGTGCCTGGTGCGAAGGAACGGGAGAGGGTAATTTAGAGCCATGTGGCTGAGTATAGCGCTCCTCTTGTTGATACCTCACTCGCCGAGTGACTGGTACTTTCATATGCCCCGTCCCCAACATACCTCCGTCTGTCCATTGCTGAGTATTTATATGTGCTCTTGCAGCTCCGCTTTTGCAGGCAGCTTGTGGTTGGGACGAGGTGGTGGGAAAGAGTTGACAGTAATGAGGGAGAGGCAGAAACTCAAATAATCCATCTCTCGCTGTCCACGTGACTTCCACAAACCCTTGAGATTAAATGCCCGGGAGTCGCCGTCAATAATGCCATTCGGAGCATGCAGCACAAACCGTCCGGTTGCACCGTGCATTGTTCCCACGTCGCCTTTCTCATTTTTTCATGTCCTCTCTGCTCACTCCGATGAGCACAATGCTGTCTGGCGTGATTCAATGGCTCAAGAGTGGAGAGACACTTCTATTGTCATATATCGTCGCGGTCGACGTTGTGTTTAGACGCAGGAGCACACACTTTCATCCCAAGATATGCTCTGATGTCTGGTCTTCCCAAGAACCTCAACCTAGCTAGTAGCGATACACTGCAGACGCAACATTCTCATGAGAACGATTCTGTTCCGAATAGATTAAGCCGCTCAGGTAGTTCGAGGAGATGGCAGCCCTCCAATGCAAAGACATCGCTTACTGTGCTACACTATCCGTTTGCATGAAAAAGGGGGGCAGGGAAAGGCGTGTTGATGGCGATCCGGGGTGTCGCCGTAGAGGAGTAAGAGTAATCCTATTTGTCCAACGATCGAGCGCTCAAACAAAAGGCGGCTCGTCCAAGATGTCGTCATGGCGAGACTGCATGCGAGCGGTGGTCTACGCTTGAAAACTATCGACATCATGGAGATGTTGTTTCGATTTCCAGGCCGCGGTTTTCGTCGAGCTCAGGAGAGGAGAATGAACCCCTCCAGACCCATTGACGAGCAAGGCACGCCCCAGCAACTAGATATGTTCCCTATTCTTCTCGGTATCCGTCCAATCCTGTCCCAATTTCGGTCACCAAAAACAAGTCAGCGCCGCCAGATTGTCCTGCCCTTGTTCTGCCCCGTGCTGCCCATCCCGCCCGTCTTCTACACCTAAAGCACAGGCATTCTACCCATAGCCGCTCCGTGCACTACCAAATGGTACTAATCCTCCTCCGCTCCTCGCCCAACTCCCTCAGCAGCTCCTCTCTCTTTCGCTGTGCTATCGACTTGCGGACAAAGTACAGCGTGACAAAGCCTATGCCTGTCACTGCGGCCCTGTGAGGGAGAGTGCGTGAATTCGGGAGGGTTGCTGTTATGATCTCGACGACTGAGGCAGAAGCAAAGTAGAGAAGACAAGGCGAGAGCGATGGGCGACAAGAGATTGTATTGGCAAAACAAGAGACAAGGACTAGAACAAGAGATGAGAAGAACTGGTGTTGATCTGCTGGGGAGGAAGGGAATGGACGAAGAGAGGACAGCTATTCATAGATAGGCAACCCAGCAGATCAGAGAACAACAACAACAAGAGGGGACTGGGGGGGGCGCCCGCTATGCTCCTAGAGCGTGCATGGCGAGCGTAGAGAGCATTGCTACAGCTGTTGGCTATGGGGAAGTAGTGGGGGGTGTGGAGAAGCCGAGGGGGGATTGGCGAAATGAGAGGAGAGAGGAGGAATGGCAATATTGCGGGAGGATTGGCGAAATGAGAGGAGAGAGGGGGAGTGGCATTGACATTGACATTGACACTGACATTGACACTGACATTGACATTGACATTGGCGTTTGACATTGGCGTTTGACATTGGCGGCTGTCAGTAGGTCAGCTTATGGTATGGGCGCGTTGTCCATAACAGTTGCAGGAAGGAAGTGAGTGGTGAGGCCAAAGGGAGGCGCTTACCAGCCGTAGAAGGTTTTGAACATGCGGGGCTCTGCCATGGGGAGGTTGGTCTTGCAGATGTCTGCGGAGGGAGTTGCAGTGCTTCCGCGTTGAGTTGTTGCGAGGTCAGATGCGCGTGAGATCACCCGACTCCCCTTTTTCCCCAACGCCATTCCGGGCGCGGCTGACGGACTACTTCAGTTGACATTTCTATTTATTCTACACACACAACGAAAACACTTCCTCTACAGCGCTCTTCCCGTCGTCCCAACCTGCACAGGGTATACCAAATAACATCGCCCTGAACCAGCACCAATGTCCCATTCAACCTGCACCGCCTCCAGCCCGTCCCCGCTAAGCCGCCTCGCCGACCAAATCCTCCTCGGAGCCTCATCTCCCTCCTCCACCAAAGGCCGCCGGCACCCCACCCGGCCCTCAATCCCCCACCGGCCGGGCTTAGCATCCCCCACGTCGACATTCTCGCAGAACTGGGACGGGGAATTCGCGCAATTCGCTGCCGGGCCGTCTCGGGACACAGCGCCGGCGTGCATCACAGACGAGGGGTCGTGCAGAGCCCGGGATAGGGTCCACCAACCCATCCTGCGTCTCCCCACGCTGTCAAGCTACGTGTTGGGTGGTGCGGGGGATTCGGACGAGGAGGGGGGGGAGGAGTATTCGGCCGCGTGGTCGAATGAGGCTCTGAGTGCCGCCTACCTCCGGTCCAGCCCGCCTGGGCATTGCGAGCAGGAACAGAAACAAACGAGACGTGCGCGGACGGCGGGGACGACGTGGGCGGCTGAGGCGGCGTTTTGGGAGGCGAGGGGCGGGAAGGGGGGGTGGAATTGGAGGGGGTTGTTTTGCGGGGGCGGGGACATGGGACGGGGGAAGGGGAGGGAGGGGGAGGCGGAGAAGGGGAGGGAGAGGTTGGAGAAAAGGATCTGAGGGAGGTGTTGGGGATATCTCATGTTCACTTGTATTTCATATTATATCTCTTTACTTCTACTTGATCCCAGACCCGGGCTGGCCACCCGAGCTCTCGGTGATACATTACATAAGGCGCCAAGCCTCACTGAAGCCACGCAAGCCCCACTGGCAGCCCATATATAACGCTGTCAGTCAAGCAGCCGCTGCGAAGAGCTTCTTACTTTTTCTTCACTACAGTACACTGCTCTCAGCCCTCTCAGAAGGGCCCAATATCGTCTACATTTCCTCGGACGTTACACCGGATCATACCCACCACAGGAGGTCAATATACGTGACATCGTTGTGAGCTTACCGCATACTATCGAAGTGACAGCGGGCCCCCCGGAGCTCCAAAGTCACGAAACCGACACCTCGCCATCCGATATCGCGCGGGGCTACGGAGATGGGGCAAACCCGCCGGCGATGGTAGTGGACAAGGGCGACCCTCCTCGCCACAACGTCATCACAGAATACCGCTGGTGCACAGTAGAAACGCCTCGACGCTGTGTATGCATCACCCAGTGAATACGCAAAGTCTGATTTCCCAGACCGGGCACGAAAACTACCCTACACCCTATCGAGCTCAAAACATCGCATCTCTATTCTGCGCTCCACTCTGTTCGTCTGATCCCTCCACCGCTACGGATCCCGCACGCACACCTACATGAACACACCCTTGAACATACATCTTATATACACCCACGCGCAATCCCCCCCGTCCATCCCATCCTACGTAGAATTCTCCAAATCGATCGAGTTGCTGAAGATGTAGATCGACCGCAATACGTGGTGGAAGATCCTGTTTTTCTGTACTACCCGCCGTAGGCCCAATAAAGGCGCCTTCGGGTTCACGAAGGCGTGCCGTCCGTATAAACTGGTGGTTTTGAGAACTTGTGGGTATTATTTCTCTGGGCTTCTATTCGACCCGATCACGACGTCGTTGGGCCCCGAGTGTCGAGTTGGGCTTTCGTTTTCGCGTTCGAAGGGCGTGGGAGGAGCTGTCCTTCGGTTCATAACCACAAGCGGGCTCGCCCCCCGAGACAGCCTCTAGCGCGGCATCTCGGTTCCACATCCGTTTCGGGAAATGTTATTTCGCGAAATGTTTGCCCCCACCCATCAGTTCATCAGCGGCCCCCACGCCCTCGCCCAGCTCACATCTGCGGCCTCTCGGTCCCACAGACGGACGACAATCTTTTCGATAAACAACGATTCCACTCATCACCGGCATGCCCCTCACTCATCCCACAGCATCAACCCTCCCCCCACCCCGACTACTATGCGCCAAACTAAACAGACACGGCGAACAATCCAGCACGTCCACCCGACACTCGGTCCCCTGGTACTCCCTCAACAGCGTTAACGCCGCGCGGACGGTCGGTGCCGATCTACTCAAATCATGTCAACTCTGTCAGCAACTTAAAGGGAAAAATGGACGCATTTGTTGGTTTCGTGGGGGTTGCTTACTCGTATGTAGTCCGGATGATACCGACACTTTTGGATTCCGAGTATCTGAGCAAATCAACATGATGCGCCGCACCAACGATCCCAAACACCTCCCTTAGCGCGTGGTTGATTGCGTTGCGGAAGTGGAGGGGAGTGACTGTGTATGTTGGGTCAGATGATGTGCTGTGTGGGGGAGGATTAGGGGAAATGGAGTGATGGTGAGCTGGGGACGGGGGAGGGGAGACTTACAAGCGAAGACGGAGGTATGCGAATGGGGATGGGGAGATTGTTAGTTTCGATGGCTTGAATCCCGCGCGTGCTGTGTCCGCCGCCGGTGCTGGGACAGTGACCTGCGCATTTTTCTTATTTGGTTTCGCTGTTGCTAATGGTGGTGGATCGGTTTGCTTTCGCTTTTTGGTGGCTTGTGATTGTTTGTTGGCGATGCTCCGTGCGGCGAGGGCGGATGCGCTGAGGGCTTGGGAGAGTTTGCGTTTTGGGGGCTGTTTTTGTTGGAGGGCGGATGCGGGTGGTGCGGGTGCCGCTGATGGTGGCCCTGGTGCGGGTGTTGACGATGACGGTTGTTCTGGCATTTTGCGGTTGATGATGGAGATTGGAGCGCAAAGAGCGCAATGTCTGGACGCGGCAAAAACTGCGTTCGGAAAAGAGTCTCCCGTGTTGTCAAGGCTTCTCTCTTCCTTGACACGACTTGCACTTTCCACTTCGTGCGGAAAACGATACGCCGCAGTGAGGCCCTTCTGCTAGAAGTGGCTACGGGGTCCTGCTCTCCTATAGGTCGCCCTCTATACCCACCACCGTCTATATACGGGACAGCAAGTGCATAGTAACACTCGGTGGGAGATCACCCTCAACAACGTCTCCCATAAGGAAGCATCACCAATGAACACCTCCGACGTCTACGCCCGCCTAGACCCATATGCATCCGCAACAGCTACGCTCAGGGGTGGGGACCCGTTGACCGATGCTGCATTACCGCGCTGGTCCGAGGAATTCAATGAGGAGTTGGAGTTTGAGGAGAAGGACGGGGCGAACGCTCCGCGTGATCTTTGTGAGTTGCGGAGACAGAGGCTGAGAGGGTCCTTTTTTGGGGTGTGGACGGTATAGCGTTATGAGGACCCGCAACATGCTCATTCTGTTTTTTGTGTGTCTCGATTGGGTAGTGTTCTTTGGAGCGGTGCAGGTAAGCCCAACCTCTGTATCGCATGAAGTCGGCGTACACGCCTTAACTCCGTATATTTCAGTATTTCGCCAGAGCCCTTGCATCGCCTTTCGAAGTCGGGTTGATCTTGAAGCAGGTTCAGTTCCTCCCCTCGGATGCATACCTCGACCGGTTCGGGGACATCCGTGGGGCACATCGCTACGATTCGGGGAGCGGGACGGATGCAGAGGCGGAGACGAATGACGATGTATGTGATAATGAGCTTAGAAGAGAATCATTATTCGAGACCGAACATCCTGCTTAAAACGCGAGTTTTGGATTCTCCTCAGGACTCACATTCGGACTCGGACATCGACATGGACGGCATCATCCCCTCCGAGGACTCACGGTCATACGTAAACTCGGTCCTGGATGTTCGGAAAGCCGCCGCGGCGGATGCGTCGGGGTACCTGCTGACGACCTACGACGACGACGAGCCGACGCGGGCGCCGTACCAGCTGCCGCCGTTGGAAGGGAGCGTGTGGGAGACGATTGGCGAGATTGTGTGGAAGGATGGGGAGGGGTTGCTTTCATTATGGAAAGGTATGTGGGGATCCTCCTTCTGGATGGAGGTCGTATACAACACGCTGATTCGTCTTCCGCAAATCCCACAGGCCAAACTCCAACATGGCTCGAGTCCATCACCTACTCACTCCTCCGCCCCACCCTCTCAACCCACCTCACCACCCTCATCCACTCCATCGACCCACCCGACTTCACCGACTCCACCACTCTCCTCCTCCATGACGCCCTCCCCCCTATCGCCAGCACAGTCCTCACCCGCTTCCTCCTCCAACCCTTCTCCCTCATCCGCACCCGCCTTATCGTGCAGACCGCCCACCCCTACCACCGCAAATACCGCGGCCCACTCCACTGCCTCTCCACTATCATTGCCGAGGAAGGCGCTTCCACTCTGCTGTTTGGAAAACACACCCTACCCTCGCTATTATCAGAAACGGTCTCCGCAACGCTGACTTGGGCCCTCGGCGTCGTGCGCGCATCGGTGGCCGAGATGCAGGAAGCGGGAGAGAGCACACCCTTCTCGGCCCTCGCGACGATCGTAGGCCTCACTGCCCTAGAATTGGCGATAACCATACCGCTGGATACGATCACGCACCGCCTGCAATGCCAGATCTCGACCCGGCGGCCACAGGAACGCGCGTTTGAAACCTGTGTGGAGCGGAGCCCGATTCCGTATACGGGGATGCTGGATTGTGCGGTTAGGATTTTAACGGAGGAGGGGGGGCCGCGGTCGTCGGCCGCACACATTAAAAATGGGAGACGAAGACGGAAGGGGTCGAAACACCACCACGACGGAGCGCATGCCAGACCGCGGCGGCGACGCTCATCTGCGAAGAACAGCGACACTCATCTCGCAACGACACCAACGACACTAACGACCCGCGTCAAGACCTGGTGGCGCTCCTGGGGCGTGCGTGGCCTGTACAGGGGGTTCCGGTTACGGCTCATGTCGGCGGTGGTGATGGCGGTGGCGGCGAGTTTGGAGCCGGGGTTGGAGGAGGATGCTGTGCAGTTTTAAGTTTTGGGGAAAAACCAAGGATTTTTATGGTCCCCGTTCGCACGTCACCTGTCGTAGCGTATAGACCACCATCCTCACCAAATCCCCACACTCATTCACATCATCGATTTTGCATAACACCCACTCTCAGCACGCATCAGCACAAGCACAGGTTTAGATAGCCCCCCCCCCCCCCCCCTGCACCCCCAGGGATACACGTATATAGTATTCCATAGAGAAACAAACGCCAATCGGCGTAATGCATGTGGAGGTTTCATTTCCACCGGCACCTCAATTGCGAGAAAAAGCGCATATGTAGGTTTGAAGGCGGATCCGCATTCGGATTGCTCTTATGTTGAGATTGATTGGATGTGGGGCATATGTACAGTATATACGAGATAAGACCCACCGCTTTCCGCATCGGCGGCAAGCTGCACATTGTCCATCTGACCTCCAAGTTTGGCTTTCTTCGGACTATTCAATCTCATCTACGCGCGTGTTCGCAAGTGTCTAGTTCTGCCTATCCCACTGACGCCGCTCAGCCTGGTAGATGAGGCATCGTTGAGTTGATTGAAGTAGGAAGTGGATAGCAATGATCTTTGCAGGGTGGTAGAGGATGGCTGGAAGGGCAGCTTCTGCAGGTTGACTCTGTGCAGGAGAACGGAGCCAGGCCGCAACGTCTTGGGATGGTTGTTCTACGATCGTGTGGGCCTTCAAGTCTTATAGCGTTGAGGAGAAAGGATATGAGACACGATTTACGAACTTAGCCGAGACATCCGAAAGACCGGCCTGATGGAGCCAAGGTGGGTCTCGTTGTCCAAGAGGGAAAGTCGAGGTCATAGATGCGGGTGTCGTTGAGGTCGTTGACGGGCTGGTAGGTGGTCATGATGGACCGCGCCTCTACGACCGCATCCCGATCGTACTGACGCCAAGCGACCTAGCTCTAGTGGATTCAGGCATGGTGCTACAAGTATCTTGGGAGAGACGGAGCGCCCACAAATGGGGTACCGTTGGTCCCGCTATGGCATTTATTGGCTTTGTTGCGCCTCCGGCGTGAAGCTGCGCCAACATTCTTCGATGATGACTCGGGCGGCGTCTTCGTCCAACGCATCCAGCATGCGGGGAATGTCGGGGGCGTCCATCGGCACCTTTGCCTTGATCATTTTCATCACCTCGCCCAGCTCCTTCCCTTCCATTGCGGTGATCCCGCGCACAATATCCGCCCCAAAACTTGCTTTGTAACGGCGCCGGATGCGCTCCTTCTCCACCAGCGCGTTCCACTGCGCCGTCTTGCCAAAGTGCCGCACGGCCATCTTGCGGAAAAGGGCGCGCTCAGCTCTGCGGATATCATTTACCTCCGAGAAGGCAGCACTCCCCGCCGGCAGCGCCGTCTTGTGCAAGAACTCCCCAAACCGTAGCATGATGGGCCGCCGCCGCTCGCAGTGCTTGGAAAAGGCGGCCGGCATGAAGTATTTGGTGGCGGCAAAGTACGCACACAGCTCCTCCACCGTTCTGAAGCCCTTCCGGCACGCCTCAACGTCCAGCCCGAGGAACCGCAGCACTTGTTCATGGTCCAGCGACAACACCACAAAACCCATCACGGCGGAGCTGTCCGCGTCGTAGTCCTCCACGGCAGAGGGATTCATGGTGCCGGCGCGCACGTCCGCCATCATCCGCGCGTAGTCCTTGGCGTCGTCCACCGGGCTGTAGTACACAGGGGCTCGTAAGCCCTCCGCACCGTCCTTCAGTCCCAGGCTGCGCGCCAACACGCCGCGAAGCATGCCAAAGCCGTTCCAGTTGTAGAAAGCAAAGGCGTAGTCAAACGCCGCGAGAGGAACGCTGATCAGGTCGACCTGGAACTCGTCCACTTCCAAGCTGGTCACCGGGCCGGCCCGAGTGCGCTCCTTGCTCCGGAAGTGGTCCGCGACTCGCCCCGCCGGGTCGTTTACCTTGGGCCCCGCGACCAGAATGTCTAAATCGCCAAAGTCCTGTTTGTCGTACACGCTGTGCGGCACGGCGGTCCGCTCATACAGCATAGAGACGTACGGCGTCAGACGTGCGATGAGCGCTCGGTAGTCCCCGATTGGCAAGCGCCTCGTGACACAAGTTTTCAATGCGTTTCCGCCCATGCCAGTGCTGATATCTTTGTCTCGGATGATGCCAGTCCTTTCTTCAAAAGCGTCGCCCGACTAGTGGCGTCGAGTATCCAGCCCACAGCGGGTAGGAGGAGCGAGTTGACCGGTCTTACCTGTCAGTCACCGCCAAGCCGAGCCAGCGGCAAGAAATCGATGGGAGGTATATGTAAAGGAAAGAGTAAGGCGAGATAAAAAAAGTGTGTTTGGCGGAGAAGGGGACGATGCGTCGATTTCTGTCAATTTGCCACATATTGTTCAATGGGCTCCACACGAGGAGTTTTGGTTTTCTGAGTCATATTTATCAATCTAAGGACTCGCCTCTAAGCTTTATGAACTTCCTGAGCTTTGCCCTCTCTCTGGGCGCAACCCCCCTGGGCGGTTGCGCTGTTGTCTGCTGGGACTGGAAGCTTCTGAGATGGTTCTGAGGGGTGGCCTTTTCAGTCTGAGCAGCGCGCGGCTTACGTAAAGGCGACTGCTACTGCCAACTCCAAAGGACCAATTTTCATTCTCATCAAGACCGCTCCAGGACTTGACCAACTCAACAGCCCCCAAGACCACCCACTGCCTTGTCGAGTAGGCAAGGAACCAAGTGTCTCTCGTCTCTCTGCTCGTCTCTTCCTCAGCAGTCCCTATCACTCCTAGTACTGACCCCCACAGAAACACTTCCCGCAATGGTGGGTCCAAAATTCACCCTGGGCTCGTCCTTCGACCCTTTGGCCATTCCTACTATCGAGGACGATGACGACGTGCCTATGCTTGACCTCGGCGACGAAGACAACAGTGCTGAGGACGCAGTGGTTGGTGAAGAGAGCCCGGAGGAGAGCGCCGCACAACCCGAACCTGAAGTCGAGGCAAAGATATCGGCAAAGTTGACAAAGAAGGAGAAGCAGGCTGCGAAGAAGGCTGAAAAACTACAGAAGCAGAAGCAAAAGCTCGCGGAGGCAAAAGCCAAGACTGGGGCCGTGAAGGGAGCGGCTGCACAGTCTGCTAAAGCCGCGGGAACAAAACCCGCGAAAGCAGCCGCACAAAAGACGGCGGCATCTGTTCCGGTGGAAGACGAGGAAAAGCTGCCCGACCTCAATCCCGATTTCAGCTTCGAGACGGACGGCGGATCGCTGCGGATAGTCGACCCTGCCCACCCTTGGGACTTTACCGCGGTCAAAGCGGCGATTAAGGCGAATATGAAGGATACTACCTCCACGTCTGTGGATGATAAGATTGCGCGGAAACGGAAGGAGGTGGCGGACCAGCTGAAGGCGGCCAAGAAGCAGGCCAGAGCGGAAAGCGCGGAAGTCGATTCGGATAATGAAGAGCTTTCGGGAGACGATGCGGATGTTGATGGTATGGACTTGGAGGCAGCGTCAGATGACGAGGATGCTGACGGCGTTCTGGAAGATGGGGCATCCGAAAGCGAGGCGGATGACGACGAGGGAGACGAAAATGAGGAAGGGCAAGAGGACGAGGTGGTGATTAGCAAACGTGCCCAGCCAGCAAGCAATGGCAAGGGCAAGCGCGGCGCACAAAAGGACGATGAAGAGAGCGAGGGGGAGGATCTCGAGGACGTGGTGCAGGAGAAACGCAAAGCCGCGTACTTTGCACCCACGCCGGTAGTTGACGACTCGTTCGAGATCGACAGTTTCCAGAACCTCCGCCTCTCCCGCCCCGTGCTCCGCAACATCCAGGCTATGAACTTTACGAAACCCACATCTATCCAGGCAAGGGCGATCCCAATCGCCCTGCAAGGGTCGGATATCTGCGGTTCCGCCGTGACCGGATCCGGAAAGACCGCCGCTTTCATGATCCCCATCATCGAGCGTTTACTGTACCGCAGCAAAAACATCGCCGCCTCCCGCGTTCTTGTGCTCGTCCCTACCCGTGAGTTGGGTGTCCAATGCCACGCTGTGGGTGAACGCCTCGCGCAGGATACCGGCATCACCTTCTGTCTGGCAGTAGGAGGATTGAACGGCAAAGTGCAGGCCGTAGAGCTCGGCAAGCGTCCAGACGTGATCATCGCCACGCCCGGACGGCTAATCGATCACCTCCAAAATTCCAAAAACGTGTCTCTGGACAGCATCGAGATCCTGGTCATGGACGAAGCCGATCGGATGCTCGAGGACGGGTTCGCCGCCGAGCTCAACGAGATCATCAAAAACACTCCCAAATCCCGTCAAACCATGCTCTTCTCCGCGACTATGACCGACAACGTCGACGACCTGATCAAACTCTCCCTCAACCGCCCGGTGCGCCTCTTCGTCGACGCCGCAACCTCCATCGCCTCCAAACTCGTCCAGGAATTCATCCGCGTCCGCGCCCACCGCGAAACCTCCCGCCCAGCCCTCCTCGCCGCGCTCTGCACCCGCACCTACAAACAAGAATGCATCGTCTTCTTCCGCTCCAAAGCAGCTGCCCACCACATGCAGATCATATTCGGCCTCCTCGGCCTCAAAGCCGCCGAACTGCACGGCAACCTCACCCAACTCCAACGTCTTGAAGCCCTCGACCGCTTCCGCGCAAAAGAAGTCGACTTCCTCCTCGCCACCGACCTCGCCTCCCGCGGTCTCGACATTGCGGGAATCCGCACAGTCATCAACTACGACATGCCCAAAAACTACCCTCAATACGTCCACCGTATCGGCCGAACAGCCCGTGGCGGTGCTGGAGGGTGCGCCGTCTCCCTCGTCGGAGAAGCCGACCGGCAAGTCCTCAAACTCGCCGTGAAGAACTCCCGGGACGAGGTCAAACAGCGCGTGGTCCCCTCCACCGTCGTCCAGCGCTTCGAGATCAAAATCGACGGCTTCAAAGACGCCGTCAAGGAGATCTACGCGGAGGAAGCCGAGGAGAAGGAGCTGAGGAAAGCGGATATGCAGATCACACGGATGCAGAATATGATGGAGCATGAGGATGAGATCAAGAGTCGCCCGGCAAAGACGTGGTTTCAGACTGCGAAGGAGAAGGAGGAGGAGAAGCAGAAGGGGTTGGATAGGCATAATGCGAACTTTGACGGGGTGGATGCGGAGGGAGGTGCCGCTGGTGGCGCGGGACGGAAACGGAAGGCCGGGGTTGTGGATGATGCGCCGGTATGTTGTATTCTCCTCTTCCCCCTCTTGGACAAAGACGACCCCCTTTTGTGTTCGAACACCCCCGCTAAAACACACCCAACTTCCATTTGTTTTTTTCCCCCATAGAAACCCAAACGCGGAAAATTCGACGGCCTAAACCGCAAGCAAAAACGGTCCGCGCTCGCCCGCGCCGAGGACACAAAAGAACTCGCCTCGCAAGCGCGTTCCGCCCATCTCGCCAAGAAATCCGCCCGGCCCCATAAAATCTCCTCCGTGCCCACCCCTTCCACCGCCCATTCCAATCCCAATCAGAAACGGAAGAAAGCGAGCGGGTTTGAGAGTGAGATGGTTGCCGGTAAGAAGAGGAGGGGTGAGGAGAAGGGGAAGAAGCCGGTCAAGGATAAGGGAGGAGAGAAGGGAGGGGATAAGAGTAAGGAAAGAGGGGAGAGGAAGTTGGGGAAGTTGAAGGGGGTTAAGGCTTTTAAGAGCAAGGCTAAGCATCGGAGGCGGTAGATGTTAGAAAGTCGTAGGTATGCTGAAGGTGGTAGTATGTAGATTTCGCAGCGAGCATCTGTATAGCATTGGCATTTAGCACCCTTTTTATTGTTATTTATTCTTTCATGCATCTACAAAACCCATTTGTGAGAATAAAAATGTCATCATCGCTGTGGATCGGCACCGCTCGAATCCAGACGATAGGAGTGGTACTGTATTCAATAATGATAGCGCACGCATATATACAAGAACAACGCAAAAAGCTATACAAGTTCCGCCCTCAGCGGGGTACGACCCATTGACAAAATAGAAAACCTGCTCAATAACGCCCGCCTCCCGCAAAACACGCCTGACACATCACTCCCCCGTAAGAGCGGAACAAACCCCCATCAACAACAACCCCAAAACAATACTCCAACTCATAACCCTCCGCTTGCCTACGTCGTCGCCCACAATCCCCCACGCGGCGGGTAGCAGCCCGTCCACGGCGACCCAGAGCATCATGCCGGCCACGAACGCGAAGAGGAGGCCAAAGAAGGTTTCTGTTCCTTGGAGGGGGTCGGGGTCGCACTCTTCCGTCTGTGATATCACCTGTGACTGTGATGGCTCGTGACATGGACCAGCGGAAGAGGAATCCCGTCGTGCAAACACCCTCCCGAGAATGACCCAGCTCAAAACCGCCCCTATGGGCTGCGCAACCCCGCCCAACACGCACGCCCACCCCCACGCCCACACCTTCCTCCGTGAGGCCATGTACAGCGGCACGGCGATCGCCAGGCCCTCTGTGCAGTTATGCAGCGCCAGGGCGAGAAATATGAGCGTGGCCGTGTGTGATTTGTCGTAGAAGGCTGAGGATGTGAAGAGGATGAAGCCTTCGGGGAGTTTGTGGAGGGAGATGCTGAGGGCTGTTGAGAGGCCTAGATTGTACATCTGTCTATCTGTTTGAGGTTCGTTATTTTCGGGGTGTTGGTCTTGGCGGCTGTCGAGGGTTTCTTTACTGGAGAGCGGGGAAGGGGTGTGGGAGGATGAGAGCGGACTAGGGGTGTACCGGCGTGAGGTTGTTGAGAAGCGGGTGAATGAGTAGGATCTGTGCCGGACGTGGCGATGAAGGCTGGAGAGGAGCGGGGTGCTTTCGCTGCGGTTGCAGGAGGGGCGGGAATGATGAACAGAACAGCTGGGCGGGGAACCGTACCCATTGTAGTTCTCCATGGAGGAGTGGGGGATTGAGATGGTGTGGGAGTCGACTTCCTCGATGAAATTGGGGTCGCTGCCCATGTCTACTGCTGGTTCGTGGAGATAGCTGTAGTGGATTGTGTTGCTGGCCGATGAGGAGGCTGGCTGGTGGGGATGTGGTTCGGAGGGCCGTGGTGAGTCTGGTTTTTGTTTCGTTGAGTGCTCATGGGTGGGTGGATGTGGATGTGTGACATGGTTGGGTGAATCTGCATCCGAGTCTTCATTTGAATCGGTGTTGCAGTGAGTTGCAGTGGCATGGTCGTGATATCCACATGCATCGTTGCTGCCATTCAAGTACGTCAAAAGCGCTGTTCAATCGATGAGAAAGAGAAGTCAGTCGGATAATAGGGCGTGCGCTATGCGTGAACAGACAGTTGCTGAGCGGTGGATAAAATGGATATCCTGCTCGCTCCGCTCGCGACGACGATGTTGCGCTGGGGTGTGATCCGAAATCCTGTGCCTCCGGCCCATAGGCTCGGCCGCCGCACTCAAGCATTCCTGCGCCTCCGGCGCAGTGGGCCCGCTTCGCTTGCACTCTCCTCTCTCCGCTCGGAATCCTCAAGCATTTGTCCCTCCGGTCGCTTCGGAAACATACCATTGATCCCCATTGTTGCAGCACACCCAACAGCAAACATCCCCCAAACAACCGTCCCATGCCACCCCCCTTTGTCAACCAAATTGTCCGTTGCCTCTTCAACGAGTTCCACAAGACTAGTATAAATAAGAGTCCCGGCCGAAACACCCATAGCTCCGACCATCCAGGAGTCAGACTCCCGTAGTCTTTGTAAGAATATGCATGATGCGCCGAGAACACAGGCGAGTGCTGAGAGGAAGACGTGAAGGGATGCTAGGAGGAGGTGCGTCATGACGGGCGACTTTTTCCGGATCCTGGAGCGGTGGCCGAGGTGCGTTTGCTGAGATACTTGACGATGGTGTCGAGGAAGACCGATGTGTGCAGGTTCATGTACACCTACATAGGAGTAGGAGTCACTCCAGTGGTGCGTCGAGTCCGGAACCCTTTTCGATAGCGCCAAGATCGGAATAGCGTCAGGTGTTGAACTATAAACCTGACCCCCGCCTGACGCCGCTGCCATGCCTTTCTGTAACGCTCATCGCGCTCCTTTTTTGGGGCGCTTTCTACTGCGCCGACATTGGTTTCGACGGCGTCGGTCCGCAGATCGTCCCGGCGAAGAAAGTAAGGTTCTGGAAATCGTCAGACCCGCCTCTAACGGAAGCGACAACGGCCCCGCCTCCCATTCCCAAGGGGACCCTCGCCTTTCCGGACGATCGCGCTTTGTCGGGAGCTACACTCGATATCGACGGCGAGGTAAGCTCTCTGGGAGTAGAGATGATCTCCACAACGGCCGCCGTTTTCCACACGCGACAGGGGGACGGCACTTTGGTACCGAAGGATGCCGGTGGCATAGCTTGGGCCTTTGAAGCTTCCGGGGTGGACGAAGCTGGCGAAGATGACGTTTGGAGCTGCGTTCGGCGAAAGATCGTTCGCTTCCTCCTGTTGGACCTCAAGCGCCAAGGCCAGTACAGCGTGAACGTATTCGCCAACGTTCGGTTGCCGGCAGATATTCCATTGGGTCGCGAGCTCACGGGCGAACAAGCCGATATGCTTCAGAGCGACGATCAAAAGTATCTGTTTGCGCACCTGGCTCAGCGCAGCTTGGTTTTACGGCAGCATACCATCCGCTACGAAATGGATGGCACGTCGACGGAGACGTTCGACGCCGAGTTCATACATTTGGGGAACGCGCTTCTAGGTGCGCAAGAGGATACGGGGGCGTGGAGGTAGTTGAGATGAAGATAACATGCGCATAACTATAGCCACCCTCCTGTGCGTTCTCTTTCTTTTTCTTTTGGATGTCTGTGCCTTAGTCTCGCGTCGAGATCTGAATCCAGCTGCCGCTTACGGATGAGTTCGCGTAACATGGAGGGGCCAGCGTAGAGCGTGAAGGACAGAAGTAGGCCGCTGCACTCTAAGAGAGCTATCATATTACAATTGGAAAGTGTACAAGGTTGAACCATGTACACTTCTCTCCATCCTTTTTCTGCCATCATAGAGTAGGAGCATTTTTACCCACCCACCATCCCCTTCTTTGTATGTATTGGGGGGGATCGCAGTTGTGGTGTCCAATACAACATCCTTGGCCATATCACGGGTACTTGTGAAGAGCGGACGTCCCCGTCGACGGAAATCCCCGCTGGGAACGTTGGGAACCGGGAAGGAACTCTCTTGAGGCCCATTTGAGGAACCGCAAGGGTGACGACGTACGCGTCAACAAATAGGCAAAGACGCAAGGACACAGATCAAAAACACTTACCAACATCCATCAGGAACACATATTCATCGAGGCCCATTTTGGCGCAGAGTGGGGTTGGACGTCAATCCTCGCAAGGCCCACCTATGCCGCTTGTCGACTCGCCAATGTTGGCCGGCATTGCGTCACCTATTATATGTGCGCGACTTATGCGGAACGGACATCAGTGCGCCTGCGGACTTCGTATGGCGGGTTCTCCGATATTGGTATGGCCACAGATCCGAGGGGTTCAATTTGTCTTTACTATGGTATATGAGCAGCGTGCTCCAAGATGTGGGGATGGTCGATGAAGCAGAGCGTTGCACAGAAACGAGAGGCATCAGATAGATAATGGATGGGATCGTTAAGGAGATACTACAGTGGGCAGCATAATGACAGTCGAATACGCAGTTGTCGAAACGGCGTGTTCGCGAATCTCTCCAGCGGGCATTCGAAGCAACAGCTTTGGGCGTTGGGCAGCAAAACGCAAGCGAAAAGGACGAAGTCGGTCCCCAAGCACGCAAGGGAGAAGAAAGCAACCGCTGTGGAAGGAACATAACTATTAGACGCATCAATACGTACCAAGCGGAGTGGATGCCGAAATCTAAAGTTGACTGCCATACACTCTTCTACAGTTCAAGGAACAAAGTGGCGCTAGGGAAAGGCATGTGGTGAGATGCGAGAGACCACTGACACTTGCTCTTGCGATACTGTCACTCTTTCTGACGGGATTCGACACCTTCATGTGGCGCTTGTTTTTCCTCCAGTCCCAGTTTTGACTTTTGACTATTTAGTTTAGCATGTGCATCGAGTTGCAAAGAAGCTTAAAAATCAGTCAAGTCTCCGCCATTCTAGGTGACACATTCTCTCCTGTTAATCAACCAAGCGCTCCCACGTCTCGCATCTTTCAGTCAAAGAAAACCACATCGAGTCGAGTCAACCCTCCACCCCTCTCGAACCCACAAAACCCCCGTATCGCAAAGATGTTCACCCGCCCCGTCCTCCGCACCCGCCAACCCCTCCTCCGCACCCTCACAACCACCACCGCCACCTCCACCCGTCGCCCGCCCACCTCCGCCCTCCTCGCCCTCAGCGCCGGCGCCCTGGCTCTCAGCGGCTACATCCTCGCCGCCCCCAACAAACCCATCCACGCGGACGCTCCCAAGAAACCCGCTGCTGCTGCACCCCCGAAATCGGCAGCGGGCGTGAAAGGCGGCATCGAACGCACGTTTATTGCGGTGAAACCGGATGGAACCCAGAGGAGGCTTGTGGGGGAGATTGTGAAGCGGTTTGAGACCAAAGGGTATAAACTGGTTGCCATCAAGGTGGGTTACTAGGGATAGAGATCTGCTGGTGTGCGATTTCCCGCCGGCAAACAGGTGGAAATTCGGATTGAAGATGACCTAGGAGAAAGCGGAGAGGACCTGATCCTTTTGTTTAGGCGACGGTACCCAGCAAAAGCCTAGCGCAGGAACACTACGCGGACCTGAGCAGCCGCCCGTTCTTTGCCGGGTTGGTGAACTATATGACTTCTGGATCCGCTCCCGTAAGTTAAGTTCAGATATAGGCACTGTTCATCTCAACCCGCTGCTAACATCGCAAAACGCCTTCCGCTCTCATTCATATGCGTAGGTCATTGCGATGGTCTGGTGAGGGACAGCGTCCACCTCTCGGTCCGTCGCGAAAAAAACCTCATCATTTTTTCGCCTCTCAATGTATATGTAGGGAAGGTAAAGACGTGATCAAAACCGGCCGCAAGATCATCGGAGCCACCAACCCTCTCGTAAGTCCCCCTCCTCTTCCCCTTCCTAAGTCATCTCCCTGTGCTCACTTCACTTCACTTATGTGTTAGGACGCGGCACCAGGCACCATCCGCGGCGACCTCTGCATCAGCGTCGGCCGCAACATCATCCACGGCTCGGACTCGTTCGAGAGCGCTGAGAAGGAGATTGGGTTGTGGTTTGGAAAGAGTGAGGTTTTTAATTGGAGCTGTAAGTGTCCAGGACGTTGTTTTGGCGTTTTTACAGCCCAGTTGTTCGTTTTTGTCTGATCAAGCTTTATTGTCTCCTCCTCTTGTTTCTGTTTCGCAGTCTCCGACGCCGAGTGGGTTACGGCTGACAACTAAACGTCTCTGTTCATGCGACGCGCATGAGGCCCATTTTCCCAGTTTCATCGTAGCAATGCGGCTCCTATTTAACGGACACCTAAGACAATTGTGATTCTCATATCCGAATACAAATAGTCTCCATTTTACGTCAGCTGTGCGGCCTGTGAGGGAAAGAGATGGGGAGTCAGCGAGCTCATGCGACGGTACGGTCGGACAGGTAAGACTAAAGCATCGGTACATACCTTCTCGTAGAGTGACTCCACGACGGTGCCCATGTTCTTGATGGTCTCCAGCGTTGCTTCGAAGGTTTTCTGGATCCAAAGCAAGGGTGTGATGAGGATTCCATCGCTGATTGTCGCGATGGGAATGTATAATGCCTTACATCTGCCTCGGTATCCTCAAAAACCTCCAAACATCCAGCGCCCTGGTCCAAAATTCCGGAAAAGACTTTGTCCAGGATCATTTGCGACAGTCTGTACGCAACGAACGGGAGTCAGACGACGTGCTCTCGCCCGCAAAGCGGATTGAAGAATTAAGAACCTACTTTGCTTCGACGATAGGACTTGGCTGCTGAACCAACTGTGCGATGTGTGCAATCTCCACCCTCGAGAAAGGTTCGATGATACGCAACAGGTTCTGTTCGAAGAGGGTGTCGTTCAGGGCTTCTAGGTGGTGGCGGATGATGGGGTCGTTGGAAAGTTCTGTAATGGCAATCATCGTCAGCATGGGATCTCATGAGCTGTTTCCGTCCCAGAATCAGGATCAATACCATTCTTGTACTTTGTCCAACATTGCTCGAATTCGAGGAGAGATCGGTTTTGATGTGCAGATGCGATGGCGCGCATGGCTTCTACCTCTGGACCGGCGTATTTCAGAGCTAATTTGCTGTTCACGATCGCGTTGACGTCCGCCGACTACATACAAACTTGTGAATACTTGCACCAGTATGTCTGGGACTCAACAAGAACTTACCAAATTCAGCATGATTTTGCACAGTAACATGTACTTCAACGCTTGAATTGCCCTTTTATCGTCTTGTCCAGAAAAGATTTCGAGAGTTTCGTAGAAGTAGGAGTATCTACGCGTATTACGCGTCCAGAGACGGCGAATATCGTCAGTTTCCATCCGATGAGACAAATTCCATGTAACACCGGGACTACATACGCAGTCTTGAAATCCTTCTCCTCCGCATGCAGAATCCCAGACTGCATATCCAAAGCCGCCTGCATCAACGGCGGGCAATATATCGAGTTTGCCGACGTTCTCGCCGACGTCAAGGCCGCGCGCGATTTAGGCAACGAGTTCAACGAATGGTGCGCTTTCGACTCCAGCAGCTGCACCTCCATCAATACATTCTTATCATCCAACCGCTTCAACTCCTTCAGCAGCGCCGCAGTTAACGCCAACGCATCGGCATGTTGCCCATTCTCGTAGTACAGCGTCGCGAGTTTGATTTCGAGGTTCTGGCGCAGGAAGATTCGCTTCTCTGTCTCGGCCCATTTGATCGATTCCCGGCACACCGCAACCTGTAGCGGGAGCGAGTCCGGGATCTCTGCGAAAACATCGAGTAGCGTCCGGATGATCTTGGCCGTTTTGGCCTTGGACGTGTTGGAGAGGTATGATGGCGACCCGCGGATGAGCTGCGCTAGCTTTTCGGCGGCTTTTGTGTCTTTGTACAGTTCGCCCAATTTGACAAGTGCTGTCTCTCGTACTTGAATCTCCTGGTCTGTGTTGCCTGTTGTCGTGGTTAGGACGTTCTCGTAGGCCGCGATGGCTTCTTTAGGTGACGTTTTGGCGAGCGCCTGGATTTCCGCCAACCGGTCGGTTTTGCCTGGTGCGACCATCTCTGTTGGAGTTGACTGAGCTAGTGACTTTGGTTCGTAGCTATCCTGACACCACCGCTGGCTTCTGGAGGTTCTTTGTGCCGTGAGAACAAGGTATAAAAACGAGAGTTATTCAGGTCAAGGATTCAAGTTCGCAACTTACGCGGCGACCAACGACTTCCACAGGAAGAGGATGCGCATTTGATTGTCTTAAACTACCTGCTGGCTCACGTGATGAACGCGTCGGCCTCTCGTCAATGCGCGGAGTTTCCTCCCTCCCAAAGCTTCCCTCCTTTTGGATTCGCATTGTCCATCTCGGAGCTGCTGTGGAGTCAACACTCCCCATCCCTCTCCTTGTGCATCACACTCTCCCCTTGTCATCATCATGTCCGAACCGCACCTTAAACTGTAAACCGGTTTACGGGCGCGCTTGGTAAGGCATTGAAGGCGGGGCCCGCTGTGGCTGAGACCGCGGTCTAAACCTTGGGATTCCACGGAGCCCATTCATTGTTCTGGAATTTTGCACAGCGCCACGGAATGCTTGTCTTGAGTGCCGGTTTAGCAATCGCAGGGGTTACTCTCAAATATAAAAGGACGAGCATCCAGACGGTTCTCACCGTCTGTTGCAATTCGTCCCACGGGTCCACAGATAAACGAAAAGGCGTTCGCCGTCAAATCCTTCAGAAAGCAACGACACATGGCCACCCCAGACCTCATCTACCTCACCATCGACGACGGCTCCTCCACCAAACGGGAGGAGACGATCCGAGTCAGCGCCGAGATGCAACTCGAGGAAGTGCGCTCGGCGTTCTACGCCGCCGCGAATCTCAGCTCCAGCAGCACAAACTCTGTTTTGAAGCTGTATCGGAAGGATGGGGTGCTTTTGCCGATTGGGCCCAATACGCCGAGGAATTCGAAGGAGGATCGGTACATTTTGAAGAGCAGGACTGGTGCGTCCGACTGAGTTTTTCGTTTTCGTGATGTTTTGTAGATTTTGACATGAGCCTTATGATTTCTTTTGTGCTGCATGCAATAGGAAACGAAGGTGTAGATGCGTTGAACGCCGTCAGTGACCTACTTGGCCAGATAACCGCCATCAAGGAGAAAGTGGATGCCATGAAGCGGTCCATCAGCGAGGTTCCGGATGGCCATGGCGCTGTAAGTTTCGGAGCGGTGAAGCTCCCAGAACTCTTTTTGTTTATACACTACTCGTGCTAACCCTTAGTTTGCAAACTCCACCAGAAACACAATCCCGACGAACTCACCCCCCCAAACCTCCTCGCCCGCCGTCGCCCAACCCTCCCTTCCCTCCCACCCCAACGCACCTTCACCCGCGACGTCACCGAGCACCTCAAGCACCCGACCTTCGACGTGTGGCAGTGGCAGGACGACGAGATGGTCGACCTGCTGGCGCACATGTTCACCGAGCTGGGCCTGATGACGGAGTTCAAGTTGGATGAGGAGACGCTGCGGAGGTTCCTGCAGTGCGTGAAGGGGAGCTATAATACGAACCCTTTTCATAATTTTAGGCATTGCTTTTGTGTGGCGCAGATGGTAGGTTGTAGGGGGTTCGTGGAAAGAGGAAGGGCGGATGTCCCTTCTCACTGTGTTTTCTGGACTTCCTCTAATCTATGTATGTCACTGATAGATGTACGGCATCCTCCACGTCACAAACCTACACGCCCAACTCCAACCCCTCGAAAAACTGGTTCTCCTCATCTCCTGCATCGGCCACGACCTCGATCACCCGGGCTTCAACAACGCCTACCAAGTGAACGCCAGCACCGAGCTCGGCCTAATCTACAACGACATCTCCCCGCTCGAAAACCACCACGCCGCCGTCCTCTTCACCATCCTCAAAGAATCCGACACCAACATCCTGCGCTCCCTCCCGGCCAACGATTACCGCGAGGCCAGGAAACAGATCATCGCGTGCGTGCTCGCGACGGATATGGCGAAACACGGCGAGCTGATGGGGCGGTTCAAAGCCGGGGCGGAGCGCGAGGGCGGGTACGATATGACCGACCCCGCCGCGCGCTCGTTGCTGTTGCAGATGGTGATTAAATGCGCGGACATATCCAACGAGGTGCGGCCGAAACATGTGAGCGAGCCGTGGGTGGATAATCTGCTTGAGGAGTTTTTCGCGCAGAGTGATCGAGAGAAGGCAGAGGGACTGCCGTTTGCGCCGTTTATGGACAGGCAGAAGGTCACCAAGGCGAGCGCGCAGGTCGGGTTTATTCAGTTCGTGCTCATTCCGTTGTTTGAGCTGGTGGCGAAGGTGCTGCCGAATATGGAGGAGCCCATCATTCAGCCGATACGGAGTGCGTTGCAGTATTACAAGACTTTGGCATGATTCAAATATTATGACTTTTTTTTTGGAAGCATTTTGCAAATCGATGTAACGGGCAGTCAGTGCATTCATTGGACGGAGGATTTGAGAGCTTGCGTTATACAAACCCAATGAGACCTCACTTTTCTGTTGTTTCCTGGCAAATGGTTGGCCAAATGCGTGTTGGACATGTCCAAGAGTGGAATCCCTACTCATCCGCATTTATGTGCCCGAGACCAACACAAGCAACCAACATCACACGGTTTTATGAAATAAAAGATGTGTATATATTTCATCAGTCCACTTCTGCCGCTCAACGTATTGAGCACGTGAACATCAGGGGAAAGTAAAAGAGATTCCTGAACGTAAAGGGTGGTGGTAGGGTGGAATGATTGGATGGCTAGATGTTCCGTACTGGGCTGCCGACGACGGTGAAGAGGCCGGCACACCGGGTAAATATATCTAGTAGTAGATGGGGGACATGGCGGACCGCACACGGTTGTAGTCAGGCAAAGCCTCAATCGGTCCATAACCAACCATGCACACCTCCTGGTCGTAGATGTACTGCTTGGCAACCTTCATGACATCCGCAGCGGTAACCTTCTCGATAAGCCCGTCGATCTCCCAAGGGGTGAGGCGCTTTCCGTAGACGAGCATTTGACGACCGATGTCCTCCGCGATGGGGGTTGTGCCGTCGAGGGCAAGCAGAAGGGAGGTCTTCAGTTGGTTCTTGGCGCGGAATACCTCGGCTTCGGAGATGGACATGGCCAGACGGTGCCACTCTTGTTGGATGTGGTGGACCAGGTCATCGAGGTGCATGTGGTTTTCGGTCACGGCGTAGACACCGAAGAGACCCGTGTCCGAGTACGAGGTGTTGAAGGACATGAAGGAGTTGGCCAGGCCGTACTTGTGCAGGGCCTGGGCGAGCTTCGAAGAAACGTGGGGAGCGGCACCCAGAGACCTGTCCCAGCTTCCGATGATGGACTGGGCGACGAGGAGGGCCCAGTAGTCGGGGCTGGTCCAGCTGACACCCTCGACGGCGAGAGCAACGTGGGCGGTCGGGTGCTCGTCGAAACGGGCGCGGACGTCGGATCCGACAAACTTGGCCTTGCTTTGACGAGCCTTGACGGCTGCTCCACGGGCCATCTTTCCAAAGTGCTGCTCAGCGAGCTTGACGAGGGCGTCGTGGTCGACACCACCGGCGGCGGCCAGAACCATGCGCTCGGGAGTGTAGTTGGAGCTGATGTACGCAACCAGGTCTTCGCGGGTGATGCTCTTGATGTTCTTGGAGGGACCAAGGATGGTACGTCCAAGAGCCGACCTCTGGAAAGCAGAGGCGTGCAGGTGGTCGAAAACCACCTCCTCCTTCTGCTTGTCAACCTCCTCGGCCTCCCTCAAGATAACATCACGCTCCCGCTCAATGGCGTCGTTGCTGAGGGTCGATCCCTGCAGGATATCGGAGAGGATCTCCACGGAAGTACCGACATCTGACGACAGAGACTTGGCGTAGTACACCGTCTGCTCGCGGGACGTGTACGCGTTCAAATGACCGCCAATGTTCTCAATCTGAGTTTCCAGCTGTACTTGTGTTCGGCTTTTCGTTCCCTGATTTTCCCATCGTAAGAGATTGTCAGTCACTTTATCCTCAATGAAGCGGAAGCCGCTAATCCACAGCATCGGTCTCCCTATCCTCCCTGCCTACCTTGAAAGCCATGTGCTCCAAAAAGTGAGCCGTTCCATTTGTCTTCTCAGTCTCAAACCTGGAACCGGCGTCAATCCATACTCCAACGGTGGCAGTCTGGTTGTTAGGGTTGGCTTCGGTAGCGATGGTGAAACCGTTGGCGAGGGTGGTGACCTTGGTCTCTGGCACGTTGCCCAAAGACTGAGGATATGTGTAGCTGATCGTGCGTGGGGAAGGGTTGGCCTGGGTCAGAACGTTGGAAGCAGCACCGTGGCTTGCATGAGCCGCGGTGGCAAGGCGAGCGACCTGGGGCGTTCGTGCGGCGGTACGGAGCTAACAACGGTCGCAAGTGGAAAGAGTTGAGAGCGAGGCCTTCAAGGCGAGCGTCCCCCCAAACGAGAAAGCGAGTCCCCAACACAGCGCTGGATGCTTCCAACATCCCAGATTTTTTTCCGCGGAGACACAGCTCCTGATTCCTCCCCAGTTTGTTCCGACCAATACGTACCGCAGCGCGGCTCTGTCCGAGCAAGTTACTGGACCCGACCCTGAGCATGTTTGCAGTTGCCTTCTATGAAAGGGGAGGTTGAGTCAGTCGGTGATGTCCTCGCCCCGCTGACCAAGTTTGTCGAAAGGTAACCACGGAGAGGTAAAAGATCGACTACAGAGGAGCTTGATGTCGTATCTGCCTCAGACGGCCAAATGGCAGTCATCACTCGTTGCGCACTGCACCGCCTCGGTACTTTACCTGGGAAGTTGTGTATACGGGAGCACTTGCGGACGTGCGCACCCTGTGTAAGTGTGGACTTGGGAACTGATTGCGAGTGGGAACCTATGCAAAAGCCTGGCAGTCTGGCAGAGCAACCAAGCGGATTTGCCCGAAGGCGTCGACATCTGGGTGGCGCAGCAACCGGCTGCTTGACCTGGCATATCGCACACCCACCATCACCGCGAGCACCGACGACAGACCGACGACATACAGCAGCAGCGGCAACGGCAGCCCCAGCAGCAGCAGTCTGATAGTGGCATACCCCTTCTCGTCGTTTTCATTTTGGACTGGTTGACAGCACCATCCGCAATTTCCTGGCATCGAAACGAAAACGACATTCGGCCAGCACTGGTGTTACCGTTCAACGTTTTCCTGGCAACCGCATTCGAGTTGACTGTCACATCAAGAAGTCTGCATACGCATCACAGCAAACATCGATCGACTCCCTCGACATAATCCCCATCCGGAAATCCCCCTCTCTCTCCTAACAATGATCGAAGTGATCTGCAATGATCGTCTCGGCAAGAAAGTCCGAGTAAAGTGCAAGTAAGTCCCCCTTCCCCGTCTCTCGCCCGTCACTAACCCCAGTGCTAACCCTCTTTCCCCACACTAAAGCCCCGACGACACAATCAAAGACCTAAAACTATTAATAGCAGCGCAGACAGGAACGAAGCCCGAGAAGATTGTTTTGAAGAAGTGGTACAATATCTTCAAGGATCATATCACGTTGGAGGATTATGAGATTCATGATGGGATGAATTTGGAGCTGTGAGTTGATGCGTATATCATTTGAGGGTGACTGGACGTTTGCCATAGAGAAAAAACAACAACAAAGGGAAGCAGGGGCGGATGAGGAGGAAGAGGAGCTGAAACTGAAGATGAAGGAGGTGGCCTTCCCTAGAAGGTGAATACTGACATCCGCCCTTTGTCTGTGTCGTAGGTATTACCAATAGCACACCTCCACCACTCTTCTCCGCAAACCAGCATCGCCCGACATCTTCCAAGCAGGCGCTTGGATATGTTGTCATTTTTGGACCCCCATATTCCCCAAGGAGAACCTCTCGACGAGCATAAGACCCGCATCGCCATCACCACACAACATATCCGATAACACTCCAACTTATGTAGCTATGCTTCTTGTATTTATCAGGTTCAACTTGCGCTTCTATGAGAATTGGTTTCGCAACGCTCTTGCGGCGTATATCGGGTCTGATGGAGCTACCGGCGTCTATGAATGGATCTGGAGGAACAGGGGCTGTTGGGTGGTGGATGTTGGGCAGGGCGACATTCTCCAAATTTGCTAATCATATACCTTCATGCCTCAGTGTACGGCCTGTCCTTTTAGGAACTGGTTGCGGAAACGTCCTCATGCTATATGTGAGAGGTTTGGAAAAGGCCCAAAATGGAAGGGCGGATGCGTCGTTCGTGCGTTTGGAGTGTTGGCATGTGTGTACGTCACGAAGAAGGGCGACGAGCAACTTTTTTGGACCGCTCTCTTCCAACCAAACTTGGCTAGCCTTTGTGCACTCGGCCCTCGCAAAAACCCATAACCCCGCAGCCCATGTGCATTCCCAAAGACCATCACTCTCCCACGCAGCGGAAGACTCGGACCCGCCGCCCGCCCTCCGCAATATCACCGATAGCCACACAATGACAAGCACATCAGAAAACACCTCACCACCCGCCTACGAGGAGACCTCCCACCCACACCCCACCCACCCCTCCCACCCCGCCCACCCACATCCACATACCCACGACTGGTCCAAACCCTACTACCCCGCGTCCGCCTACTGCTGGGCCATCCTCCTTTTTCCGTAAGTCGTGTCCCCACCATCATTCCCTGCTGACACTTCACTCCATCATTCCATCGTTTCTAACAGTCACACCTCTTCCTTTTCCAGAATCGGAATCCTTTGCTGTTTGAAACTCCGCGAACAGCGCTGCACATCCTGCGGGGAGACGATGACGATTGGCGAGGAGGCCGTGGATCCGGAGAAGCAGGCGGCGGCGGATAGGGCGTATCGGCTTGGGTTTGCGGTGGGGGCTGTCGGGGAGGTCATGCATGGGGGTGGGGGGGTTGGTGGCGGGTGACGGATGGCTGCGAAGGTAAGGAGCGATAAAAGATTCCGGGGGAGCGGGCGAAAATATAGCTTATTGGTGGATACCAGTTGGCATTTTTGGGAAGGAGAACTCGGGAGATGCACTTTGCGGAGTATATATGGTTTTGCGGCATTTCACGCATGTACATATCGAGCATTTTCATGTAGAGTTACGGCTATAAACGAGCGAGGCATTGTATAGAGAACCGATCTAGGTTAAGATTCCTGGGATGGATCCGAGTGTTTCCACGGGAGGTCATTGAAATGCAAAAGCGAGGAGGTGGGAATTGACACCCGTTGCCGGCGTCCAGATATTCCCCTCGGTACTCCGTCTATCCGCCTGACATTCAAAATCGACGAAGTCTACAGGATTGCAACCTTCCATAACTCGTGCCACAAAATCGCATTCGGCACCTAGTATGTACATCAACCTGCTATGGTACGTCACGTTCCAATCTCTCACGTAGACGCCCGAAACACCGTCGTCCCACGATGATTCAGCGTCCGGAACGACGGTCTCGAGTCAATCGCATCCACAGACCTACAAATGCAAAGAAAAACAGGTCAGATTGGCATAACGAAGAGGGTACCATATATTTGAGGGTAACTTACATCTGGGTCAACTGCTTCTCCAGCGATATTGGCTTGAACTCTCCAGCTACCAGCGATAGGCCCACCGAACATAGTATCACGCTGATGATGCATTCTAGGATGATCTGTAGAGGGAAGGCCGGGTGTGTCAGCGTATCGACGGAAGTAAACGACATCTTCGCGGTTCGAGGTCGTTTCCTTCCCCGACCTTTCTACTCCCCATGCTTACATCTATAGGTAATGACTCCTCATGCTTCCCGATGATCTTCACATATGCCAAATCTGCAGAAAGTGGGTTTCGAGAGTGAATTCCCACACCGCCCAGATCACACAATCCCCGTTATCCTCATGTCGACAACGTACGTTCATAGGCAGAGTATCCGGAATGAATCAACAGCAAGAAACCGAGCTGTAGGATTGAAAAGTGTATGAGTTCAAAGTGTTTCAGTTTGGTGTGGAGAGTGGAAGGTGCGTGAGGATGCTCAGCTGCCCGCCTTACTGCATATATTGCACGTCCTGGCCATGAGACCATCTTGGGATATAATGTGGCGGAGTTGTTTTGGAGAGGGAGCTATGGGGGTTTGCGACGACGTGACTCTATCGGGCCGTGAAGCCGTATGATAGGGGGAGTAAATATCAGCAGTGTTGTGCACAGCGGAGGGGGGTGTCGAGGAAGGGACGCTCGTTTGGAAGTGCAGCCTTTGAAATTGACGGCGACGAAGAGGCAAATGGGAAAGCGCGCCTCTTCTCTCTTCATCCGGCTGAGCTTTTTCCCCACTTACAGTACTTGTTCGCTCTCGGAGATTTCTTCTCGCCTAGCGCTTACACAAACAGCAGGCTGCTTCTCAGCCCTTATATCCCGGCGGGGCTGCTTTACAAGCTACTTCGGTTTCCAGGCTCCTGCGCTCGGAGTTCACCCTGCCATCGGGCTCTGTATTGGCCCACCAGGTCACCGTTCGGCAGTCCCATCGAAATCACCATTGTACTCGCATTCCGTTTCGGGTCAATCGAACCTTAGACGCTTGTTCGCTTGGAAACCGCGAAATCGCAGCACTCAGTATGAGTTTCCAAGCACTATCAATAGCGAGTCGTCGGCTCCAGTGTCCGCACAACATGGGGATTGCGGGCTTCTGTGGCCCAGGGCGATTATCCCACCGCTCATCTTCAAAGCTGAATATGGACTTTTGGATACCTCGGCGGACAGCGTCTTTCATACCACCTATGCGACCTAATGCATCAACAATAATACCCCGAACGCAGCGATTCTCGGTGGTCACATTTAGACTTGCATCCAGAATCTTCCCCTATACCCAGCTATTCACGCCTGCTTCCCTTGGCCGAACGCTATTTCTCGGAAGGTCATTCTCCCGCAGCCCGGAAATGCGGAATTGGACTACCAAGTTCATGCGGATGAGGCGACCACATGCCACCAAAACCTCGTCCGGCCAGCCCCATCAACAAATACCACCTTTGCCACCACATTCCGCTCCCTCCTGGCGAGTCGCGCGAGCGTTGTTGTTGGACAATGTCAGTGGATTCTGGCCGCGATTACGGCTGCGGATCAAACTGTTCTTGATGGGTGGACAGAGGCCGTGGAGGGCGGATGACGTTTTTGCGTTGTTTTCGTGGATTTTTATGGGGCATACCGTGTTCCTGCTCGTTGGGACTACCACGTTCTTGTCCATTTTACTTGGAGTCGCCAATAGCTTGCAGTTTCAAGGTACGCGGGTTCTTACATTTTACATTCTGCATTTTCATACTCATCTTCTTACTCGTACTTACTCGATGTCCTCCCCAGCATACCTCGCCAAAGCGATCAGCGACTACGTAACGGAAGAAACCGGGATGAAAGTTAACTTCGAGTCAGCGATCGTACCGAGGTGGAAAGAGGGTGCAATACGATTGGACAATGTCTCCATTGTGTGCAACGACAAGACGTGGCGGGAATTGAAAAACAGCGAGAGGGAACGACGGGGGTTACCGCCGCTCGATGACGAGGAGCTGGATGTGAATTGGACGTATTGGGATATCACTTGCCGGCATATTGACATTTCTTTGTCGTTTTGGAGATGGCTTGATGGTATGATTAGTTGTTGTCGTGTTCTTCCGCCGGATCACATTGCTGAAATTGCGCAATTGTAGGGAAGGGATTGATCAAAGAATGCAGCATCAAAGGAGTTCGAGGGGAGATTGGTAAGCCACTTGTTTACTCTGACAGTCCTTCTTACACCGCTAACCCGTATGGAATAGATCGACGACACGTGGAATGGCCAGCCGACTGGATCCCCAAACGCCGCGAACCGCAATCAGGCGATTTCGAAATGACGCGTTTCGTCATCGAAGATCTTCTCGTTACCATCCGCAACAAGAAGTTCCGGCCGTACAGCGTCTCGATTTTCAACGCCGAGTTGCCACAGCTGCGAAAACATTGGCTGCTGTACGATATCATGCGGGCCGACGTGATGAATGGGATGTTTGACAATTGCTTGTTTAGCGTGCATAAACTGCAGAGACCGGATATGTTATTGGCCGATGGGGAAAATGATTCTCAATGGGAGAAGATGGTGAGTTAAGGCCCGCTCTGAGGTTACGTCAATGTCATTCGCCCGTCATCTGACCCATAGCCGCCTCCACAGAGCCACTTAAAACTCAACGGCCTCCCCATCGACCACATGAACGCCGGCGTCGAAGGCCCGCTCGGCTGGATCACCCGCGGCACCCTCGACATCGACCTCCAACTCTTCTTCCCCCAATCCGACGGCGAAACCTTCCTCGCCATCATCCGCGACGAACTCGAAGACCTCACCGACGCAGCCCTCGACAAGATCGAGGAGGTCATCACCAGCCACCCGGAGACCGAGGACAGACACCAGAGTATCATTGCAAGACACTACCATTCTAAACATGGCGGCGCGAAAAGTGAGCCAGCGGACGCGGCGATTGCGAAGGCCGACCGCGCGATGGTGATGATGTGGAATGTGCGGTTGAATGATTTGAAGGCGTCGGTGCCGCTCGTGTCGCCGCATATATCGTACATCAATAGCGCGCTGATCAGGCCGATTGTCGGGTACCTGAACGCTGTGAATACGAGCATCAATATTCGTTTTGGAGCGAGGATGGATTTGGTAAGTAAATCGCAAAACCCCCTCCAAGAATGCTGGAAAAAGATGATTGCTGACACCTCCCCCCCTACCTCCCCCCCAGTCTAACTTCGAAGGCGCATGGACGATCTACCAAGCCGGACTCACCGACGTCCTTGGCGAAGAAACCGGTCGCGCAATCACTACAATGGTCGCCCAGCAACGCGCCAAGCACCTCAAACGCGTCGCCACCTGGTCACTGCAGAGCGTCACGCGCAACCTCACGGCACTGGTCGAGTATGCGAAGGGGATACGTGGGTGGAAGGAGTGGAGTGAGGCGCGGATGGGCGGGTTGCAGAGTGGGAACTGGTTGGCTATGTGATGAGGGAGATCGAGGGTTCGCACTTTTCCCTACCCTGATCATTTTTTTTTTGGATGTTGATTTCTTGCTCTGCTGCACCAGCGGACCCACCTTGCATGCATGCATACATGTTCACTCATAACACACATGCCCCCTTCCCTACCCACTCTACGTAGTGCCCGTTTGAAAGATACGTAGATTCGCCCCGTGGACCGAAATCGAAACGTATACGGGACGTTTTATCATACATCGAGACTACCTCCTAGAACTAGCATAGCACTTTTTCGATTCGAATCTCTGTGAATTGGGGGGAATAAATACGTACACACTACGCTGTAAGAGGGGTTTCGTTTGCCTTGTCCTTCGTGGGGCACGGCCTACAATTCCGCCCTATTTGATGGTGATACGCAACCGATCCAGCACGATGATGATTCCCGTGACTACCATCACGTAGGCGGAGACGATCGCGCGCGCCGCCGTGGGGCCGTAGCTGAGCGTGTCGAGGGAGAGGTTGATGGCGCCGGTAAGTAAATTACCCTGCAAAAGTCACCAGAAAGAAAATGGTCAACAATCGCCCCCGCAAGGGTTACGGGGCCTTTCTTCTGAAAAGGGCGCCCTTACCACCAAGAAAAACGTAAACGGATTCCGATTGATCGCCTTAAGTGTGTTAGGCGTATGATGTGTCCCGAACACGAGGTCGGCGAGGAGGACGCCCATAAGTTGGGATGTCGTGAGGGCGACTATCCAGGTTACGTAGGGGAGGTTGACCTTTTACACGAGAAGAGTGTGAGCTCTACTCCGTAAGTGGAGTATGAAACGCTCTCGATCTGAGGACTCACCATCCGCCTTGAGATAGCCACATGCCTCTCCTCCGTGAAAAACAGCGTAACGGCATAAAAGACGACTGTGCCGATGAGCTGGTACACGAACGTGCCGTGCAGGCTGGCGACGCCTTGTTGTTGGAAGCGCGATTTCATGCGGAGCCCGAAAGCTGCTGCGTAGAGGAAGACTGCGAAGCTGCCTGTGGGGTTGGGGTACGGTTTTAGCGGTCTGGTGTGTGCGAGCGGCAGGGTGGAGGGCATGTTTACCGATAAGGCTGAAGACGCCTTCGCGGTTCATGCTCAGGAGATCGGTGCGCGGGGCGTGGAGGATGTAGGATTGGAGGGTCGTGCGTTCCAGGAGGGTTTGATAAGCTGAGGGAAGACAATATTGGTCAGGCGATCCCTTGTAAGTTCAGGAGGGGGGAGCGGGACACCCACTTACCGATGACCAAGATGGTTGCGACTGCCGTCAGGTACGTTCCCGACGAAGAGGCGCCAAGCAGCGCAAAGAAGAGTGGTATCAAGCCGAGCGTGACGTAAAAGTTCCAATGCACGCCGTACTCCTCAACATGTTCCTACCACATCAACTCGCGTTAGAACCGACCTGTGAGATTGGACGTCAGTAACCTCATCCCGACGCCCATACCTGATAGTTAACGCTCTTTGTCGAGATGACCCGAATCAGCCCAATGAAGAAGATCAGGCCGCTTGATTTGAGGGATCTCCGTAGATAGGTCCAGTAGGAGCCCCGGCCTCCTCCCGATGTGATTGATGGTCTGGCCGCGCTGATTCCCGCGATGTACAGAAACATGCCGATGCCAGCGTCCATCTGTGCGTCATGGGGCGGTAAGGTGAGTATGCACTGCTTCCTAACTCTCTAATCTTCATTGGTTTGGCGTACGAATTCAATCAAAAACTCACCTACCATCGAAGCCCCAAACGTCTCCGTCTTGGCATGCCGCCTTGGAAAGGCGTGGAAATCAACCGCCAGGATACTTACAACCGTCGTCATTTGCAGCAACGCTCGCGATGCAGTCAGGAACGGGATGTACAGCCTTTGCCCGGCGGGTTTCTCTACGGCCGCCTCCTTTTTCCTTGTTGCCCGGGCGGGCAGCAGGGCCAACACGGCCGCGGTTACTGCCATGCCTACTAGCATTTCCCATAGCCATTCCGTCGTGACGGCTAACACGAAGGCCAGGAAGAGGATGCCCAGTTCGAATATGTAGCCGGCTAGGGAGGGCTTTGCCAGGCCTGGATAATGCTTAACGACGCCTTTCCATAACGCATAGCAGACCTGAGAGGGATACTATTAGGAAGCTGTTCCCAATATTCCGGTCCATACTGTGGGTGGTGCAAAGATAACTTACCGTCGTGAAAGAAACAATGGCTTGCACCTCTGTCAGTGTCGAACCAGTGTGGCCGCGGACATGGCCCTCCTTTGCCGCTCGGCGTTCGTCGTCCATTCTGCCCCTTGTGATCTTCACCGATGTCCGTTCGCCGAAACGCTGTTGGTCAACGCGTCTCCAGGCTCCGCATTCTTTCCCCCTCATCCCTGATACATAGGATATCCCTTTCTCGTGAAGCAGAGTTGCAAGACATTCGACAGGGTGGTCTCGGGGAAGCGTTATGACCACCGACGGTACGTGAAACTCAGTGGACCGTACCGTCTGTGCTCATTCGTCGAAGGAGATACTGTAAATTCCTGACGCCGTCACTTCACCTCCCACAGAAGACATAAACCTCTTGGTTCTAATTATCGACACCAACCCGCACGCTTGGGCGACGGCGGCAAACGACCCGGACCAGCCTATCAGTTTCGTCGACGTGCTGGAGCATATCCTCATTTTCATCAATGCCCACCTATCGCTGCGTTTTGATAGTAAGCTGGCGATCATAGCCAGTCATTCGGATACCAGGTTCGGCTTCTTCTTGGGGGATTTCGGAGTCTTGGGAGGGATACGAAGGACTCATCAATCGTCTCTCCATACGTCAACGTTGCTCCCCGTGTGCTAGTCGCTTTCTCTTTCCAGCTCCAGAAAATGACGCGACAGGGAAGCAGGAGGCGGACGAGGCCAAGAAGCCAGCCAACACATATAAACAGTTTTTCGATGTGAACCAGCGCCTTGTGAAAGAGATCAAGGGCATGGTGCGGGACGACCAGAATACGCGGTTGGAGAGTAAGCCCCGATGATTCGCTTGGGGCGGGACACATTGCTGGCGGCGAAATGAACGAAGTTCCGTTGATCCAGATCGTACAATGACTGCTGGATCGCTGTCTCTTGCACAAACATGTGAGTTTTTCACTGTTCTCACATTATGGACCCTTAGCTGAACGTTGGTACCGCATGTTCAGATATCAACCGAGTGCGACGCGAGAACGAAGGAGCTTCCATCCAATCCCGAATCCTCCTCGTTTCCATCTCCCCAGATCTGCCATCGCAATACATCCCGACGATGAACTGTATATTCGCGGCACAAAGACTTGTGAGAGCTCATATCGTTTCAGCTCCTTGATATCCATCTGGCTTACAATGACGTTGGTATTAGGGGACACGCATAGATGTGTGTCGATTCGGTGGACGACATTATGGGAGTGAATCGGTCTTCCTCCCCCAAGCGTCGCATATCACAGGAGGAACATATCTGGACGTTCCCGAGCCACGGAATCTATTGCAGTATCTGTTGGTAAGGGTGCACACATGGATGGTTTCGGTGCTGGGAAAATAGCTGACACAATGAACCCCTCCAGTATACATTCCTGCCCGAGCCCAGCATACGGAACGTTCTATTGCTCCCCTCCAAAGAGCAGCTAGACTTCCGGGCTGCATGCTTCTGCCATAAGAAGGTCGTCGATGTGGGGCATGTCTGCTCCGTTTGCTTATCAAGTAATTTCCTGATGGGATTTGGTTCACATTGTGTGCGCTTGCAGACGCTGATGCGATTCTTCATTCACAGTTTTCTGTAGCACCCACGATGTATGTCCCACTTGCCAAACCAAGTTTCCAACATAGTACATAGGCTAGCCGCAATCCGGCCTCCTTCATGGCAGACCAGGCAGATGCTTCGTATTGCTATGGGATGATGTACATATATTCAACTGGACGCTCTGTGAATTACTGTACATGGATGCGAGTACGAGGCCAGATTGCGTCTAAAACATAGCGCCCAACTTAGAATCCGTGGGAAATCCCTGGAAACAGACAAACAGCGAGAATTCTAATCAAAACGCGAAACCCAGTTCTCACTTCCTAAGCTCTGTCATGATTATTCACCTTGAACGCGCTTCCTCATCCATCACTCGAATCAATCGATCGTCTCCGGCTCGACCGCAGTAAGCTCGCTCTCACAAGCGCTGAAAATACACTCTTGCAAGAGGAGCTTCACCCTGGTAAGTACTAAGCCCATCGCTTTCGATATCGTCTATGTACTTTGGGCGGTGGCTGGGGATGTCTGCGCCCCGTGTACGAAATGTGCTCACCTGCAACTTTCTCCACGCGTCAGCATATCCGCATTCGTCGCACACCCATAATACCAACTTTCCCGCGACACCAAAATGGACAAGATCAAGGAGGTATGTGGTCAGCCAGTCCTGGCTTAGTGAGTTTGGGGGCCCTGTTGTCGAGGTGGCATCTCTTTGCAAGAGCAGTCACCTCAATTACCCGGATAGGCGCCCCGATCTTGGGTGCAATCGTGCCGAACCCTCCTACCAAACGTGCTCATTTTGCAAACCCACCTCAATTATAGAAACTGGAGAAGCTCCGCGTCGAATCCGAGCAGCATCACGGCCGTGCAGAAAAAGCCGAAAGCGAAGCTCGCGAGCTGAAGGCAGAGCTCGCAAGGCGTGAGACGGAGGTGCAGAGTCTGAACAACAAAGTTACGCTGTTGCAGGAGAACTTGGACCGGACTGAGAAGCGTGTCGAGGAGGTAAATTGAAGTGATTTTCGGAGGAATGCAACGGTCGCAGTGGACGCATTCTGTTCAGTTGAGGCACTGTGAGTAACGGAGCACAACTGACCGAATGCTGTATGTTTCGCAGATCAAACTCAAGAAGAACGAAGGTGACTTGGAGGAGTCGCAAGTCGAGTCGCTTCAACGGAAGGTGCAGATGCTGGAACAGCAATTAGAGGACAAAGACCGGGTGTGGAAGGAGGCTACTGAAAAGTAAGCAACGCACTTTCCCCGTTCGTCCCATTTTCCTTGACTTGTGCGTTTGAGGCTTATCGTCAACTTGCTATAGGTCCCGCAGCTTAGAGCTGACCTCGGAACAATCAGAACGCAAAGCAAAGCAACTAGACGCTGAAAAAACCGAGCTCGAGAAACGTCTGGACGACATGACGCAAAAGTACAATGTAGTGAAGCAGGAGCTCGATTCTACCCTGAAGGGTCTGGAGGATCTCTGAGGCCTTCGGTCTACCTCTTCGCCATCACCCGCTTTGCATATATGTAACCGAACTCAAACAAGCCGGCTCTGGATTGGGGCCTTTCGCTTTGCTACTTTTGGGCTTCATAGGAGACATCTTTGCTACACACCGTCGTCTTTCCCCTTTTCTTTATTTTTCCCTTACTTGTTCACTTGTTTGGGTGGCCTTTGAATCATCGCGCGGAATGAATATATATAATCTTTTCTAGCAGAAACAACCGTGGATGTAACTGTGGATGTGTGTGTCTATCTGGTTTCTGCGTATGTATATACCCGAAACCTGACCCGAATCAGACCCGCTACTGCACCTCTCAGATCTCCTCAAACTCCTCCTCGTCATCCGAGTCCAAGACCGTCACCGGACCGCCATTGGTCGGGGTTACTGCTGAATTCGAGTCCCGCTCGTCGTCCCCAACGTCGTCGGTGTCCCGGCTTCTCTTCCCCCTTTGTATTCGCAACATCAATGTTTACGCCGTAACATAGAATCCAGTCGGATCATGGGAGGGGAAGATGGGGTACTTACGTGATTGTGTCGCCTCCGTTGGCCTTTGCTTGAAGGCTGGCGTAGTATTCTTCTAGAGCTGAAATAAATTATTCGTGAGGCTCCTCCCAGCTGACTTTTCCCATGCGCATCAGCTCTGCCGTATCCTTCGGTACATACCTTTAGCCTGAGAATCCGTCTCCTTCTTCCCCACATCCTCAAACTCCTCATCATCCTCCCCTTCACCCCGATCCTCCACCTCCACCACAATCTTCGCCGGCGCCGCCCCCTGCTCCTGCGAGAACCCTAGCTCGTCTCCTGGGACGTATGACGTGCCCGTGGTGTCGGCGTCCGAGACCCATCTGGATAAGGTACAAGGAGGATGGGTGAGTGGAGGATTAGGGGACGATGGGAGGGCAGGGGTGGTAGATACTCTGGTATTATCAGCCGGTCGGTTTGTTTGAGGATGTCGACTATTGGTTGGCTTTCGTTCATGAATCTGGTTGCGATCGTATGCTTGGTGAGACTCCTGCTCTCGAAGATAGCCCACCAGCAATGGAGGGTATATTGCTGTTCCACAACGTACTTGGTGTACTTCTCGCTCACCCCAGCTGAATCCACCGCCGTCTTCCCAACCACGATCTCAATCCCGCAGATATCGCATAGCGGCATCATGTTATGCGTCTTGTTCTGTTTGCGGCGTTGCTGGTCAGCAGCGGGTACCTAATAACCTCGTCTTCCGCATATCCGCTCCCTCACCAGCATCGCAAAGTCCAGTGTCGAGTACTCCTTATGGCAGGTTGGACATTTATATGGCATATTCGCCATTTGCTGTGCGACGTGGCCTTCGTAAGCTCCCAGACACCAGGCGACGGATGACGACCCCCGCCCAATTCGTACCATCTGCACTTCCTTCTCAATCATCTTCCCGATCTTGTAGATCTTCCACTTGACCACATCCACAAACTGCTTATAGTCGATGTAGAAGTACGACCGGGGAATCTTGCGCTGCTGCCGGCCTTCCATGACTGGCCCGACCAATTCGTGGCGGATTTCACTGTCGGTGATCTGTTAGGTTGACGAGCTTCCGAGGTCTCGCCCGTCAAATATGCGTATTCCCGCTACTGACGCCATACACTTTCACGAGACCGTCCAGTTTCAGTTTTCCGCAGATCTTGTGCAGCTCTTTGGCTTGCACTCGTAACGCTTTGGCGAGGTCTTCGTCTCGTTGTCTGTAGAGGTCAACGCGATAAGGTTGCGGTTCCACACCTGCATCCATCACTAAACGGCCCCGCCTCTCTCCGCTTGGTCCACTTCGCTAGTCCGTTTGGCTGCAACGTTTGCCCTTCTATCAGGACCTTCCCCTCCCTCGGGAGCGCTGCTGAACTTACGAGTTCACTCTGACCAGGATATCCAAGATCACTACATGTCGGGGTTCATAGTAAGCTCTTGCAACTAGCGCCACAAGCTTCTGCAGAAGCTCTTTCGCATGGGCCGTTTCTGTCGCTGTTGGACCCGCTGAAGCTACTGACGACATTGCTGCTATGCTTTTCGAGTGGTAAACTGTTTCTGGAGTCCCCGCTCCCGGCTGCGACTTCGCACTTCGTGTGATTGTAGGGAAGCAGCTCCGAAGAATCCCTGTCGTATAAAGAAGGCAACCGACGAGCCAGACGAGTCGACAAGTTGGACGCAATATGGGCCGGACGCTCAGGTCACTCTCACAGCGGGGCAGCTCGAGGCGTTAAGTGGCCAGTGATAAAACAACGTCAGACATCCCGTCCGGTATCTTCCCCCTCTTCCCCTCGCGTTTGTTCCCAGTTTGTTCCCAGGGCATTTTGGCATTCTGCAACAAGTCCATGAACCTGGAGAGCATCTGAAGCATTGCTAATTTCGAACCCTCACTGCCCTTGGAATACAACACACCAAATTCCCTCCTTTATCTGCTTGCGAGGACCTCTCCGTAAGTCGCTCGCGTCGCAGTTCTACAACCTCTCGCGTAGGATACTCTGAAGGGTATTGTAGCACACCTCATAGTCGAAAAATGGCTGGCGACAAGCGGAGAGGTTTCCTGCAAGTGAGAGGGACGACCGCACCAGCCGCTAAGCCTCCTTCATCGACAGGTATGGGTTGTTTGTCGAAACATTTCTCACATAATGTGAGCTGACTCCAAAAACCGTCCAGATCGGCAACGATTCTCCACCGTCCGTACAACCGTCCTCGACGAGACCTCGCGTCGGCGAGCTCAACAGAAACACATCGAAGAACTGCAACAAGACAATTTCGTTGATGACGGGAGCCCTAGCTACTATGTTGCCCATCACGAAGCTGCAGCACGACTTGGGACGCTGGATAATCGGAAGAAGCGCGTGCAGGGTGACGAGGACTTGATCGCTAGCGGGGTGGGACAGGCGCCGCGGAAGAAGCAGAAAAGAGGTGGTGTGAGGGCGCTGCTGCAGAAGAAGAACTTTGCTACACTGTTAATGGACTCGGTATGTTGAGTGAAGATAATGTCTCGCTTTGTGGATGATGGGCCAGTACCTAACGGTCTTGACAATGCATCAGGGCATTGAGGCCATCCCACCACCCATACCGACGTATTTGACTGTGTCAGCGAAACCGTCTGTGAAACCGCCAAGAAAGTTCTGCTCGGTTTGTGGATACTTTTCAAAGTACACATGTATGCGATGCGGGATGCAGTACTGTAGTATAACATGTCGAGATGCTCACACCGAGACTCGGTAAGTATGCCACTGATGGTGCAAGGATAGTCTGGCTCCAAGCGTTGACATGGCTTTTTCTCCCAATTTCTAGCTGCTTGAAGTACACTGCATAGAGATGTTGTGTATACGACGCCACCCTCACATATTCTCGGCGCTCACATACGCCCGCGGGTCTCTGTTTCTGGTTCCTTCTCCGCCTTCCCTTTTTATTGCATTCCTTTTGGGAGTGGCGAAACCACACACACCCAACTGACCTGAGACTTGTGGGACAACTAAACCAGGTATGAGGAGCAACGCTAGCTTGTCTGTTCAGCCGCATAGCTACTTACTGCGGACTTTTACCAAGCAGAAGTCCTGAATAGCGCCAACCCTCAAACAACGTACTACTAGGAGAAGTAGGAGATCCGTGTACGCTCTGAGAAAGCTGCGTCCACCCTCTGATCTACCGGGTGCGCTGAGTAGGTGGTCAAGAGTTTGGGCTGAGGAACCACCAACTGAGTTGTGGAAGGTCATTCTTGATGAAGCAAGTTGAAGCAGGCATTTCTTTGTTTTAAGACAAAAGAAAAAAGATGTAATGAGACACTTTTGAAGAGCGGCCTCTGGCGCACATATCCTACTACAATAGTTGGGGTGGCCGTTGCCTGTGCAGAGGGCGTGGGGTTGCAAGAAGAGATGTCTGTTTATTCCGCGCGGAAGGCAAGGCGACGCGCTGGCCGAAGACGTATGTGAGCGCTGAGTCTCGGGTGAATATCAATGCCTCATTCACAAAGAAAACAAGTTACGTGTCGCTGAAGGTTGGCATATCGCCTCTGTTGAAGATATCTATATATGTCTGCGCCCTCGCCAGGAATGCTGTACCAAAGGGGAATTTTTCAGGCAAAGGCGGCCATGGACAAAACTCAATGCGGAGCTTACCGGGTCCGCTGACTTGTTCAACTTTCTGAAGTGCAGGAGAGTAGATCTCTTTTGGCGGTGAGACCGACAGAACCAGCCGACGAAGCTCATCCATTTTCTCGTACCAAATGGTCTTGATCTTGAAGGGGTCCGCCTTCTCGATGTACTTCAGCTGATGGTTGCTATGAACTGGTCTGGGCATGCGCCGAAGGTGACGGGATTTGAAAGTCTCTTTGATGGCTCGACGGACTTCGTTGGCAGTTTCCGACTTGTCATCTAACGCGGCTTCCTCTTTGAGCTTCTCTTCGAGATACTCATCATCGGTTTGCTCTTTCCCGTCAACTGACTCATGATCCAGATTGGCATCTCTGAGGACCCACACTAGACTTGGGAAGTATATGTCAAAGCCACTACTAGTTTCAGGTTGGCTTTTCGGATGAAGATGCTTGGCTATTTGAGTGATGCAGCTGGATAGGAATGGGAAATCAGCGGCAGCGGGCAAATAGGCTGTGAATGGTAACAACACTACCTCAAGCTGTTGAGCTGGTTCGCATCGATTGCACCGGCAATACAGTTGTATATCAGACACGAGCTCAGGAGCATGCCCAGAGTGAACAGCTGCATATCATATGCAGGGTCCGGGTTCTCTGTGTCCGCTAACCCTTCAAAGTCGAGGAGGAGTACCGTCTCACCTCTGTCCGTGCGTTTTAATGCCCAAATCCAAACTCCGCGCGTTTCTCCATGAGATTTTGATCCTAGTGCAAACCCGTCCTGGATCCCTACCAGTTGATTCATCAAGAATGACTTTCCGTGTCCAAAGGTGCCCACAATCCCTATCACGGCAACTTTATCTTGGATCCCTTCCAGAAGAGTCTTCCCTTCTGGGGATATGGTAAATGTCGGTCGTTCTTTTGACTCATTGTGGTCCCTATGAATGAACTGGATGGGGCTGTGATGTAGTGCGACAAGATTCGCAGGGGTAGCATCGAGCCCAGGCGGACACCCGAGCGCTTCCGCCGAACCAAGCTTGGAGAGCTGGCGAACAGCTGGGTCCTTGTCATCCCGCGACTGAGCATGCGTCACCTCCGACATGTGAGGTCCATTTGAAATCGATGCCTTCTTCGGCGCTGGTTCGGGGTTGTCGACGCCATCCTGCCGTATTCTGGGCTCCTGTTTAGAGGCTCCGCAACCCATGTTTTATCGCGGACGGTATGTGGTGGGACAATAAAGACGGTTCTCACACGTCCTATGATCAGCAAGTTTCTTTAGCGAGTGTGCAGAGGCGGTGGGGTTGCAAGAAGAGATGTCTGTTTATTCAGCGCGGACGGCTACTAAGGGGTGCCGTTGTACTGTGAGGATGACACCTTGACACGGGTATTTTTGTACCTGCCATTTGGCATTGCGCTGAGGTCCAGTCAGTCCTGCACCAACTGCCAGCGTTTCGAGTTAACAGCCCTATTAACCAGCCTTCGTTCTCCGCCACAGTACAAGCTGCTCCAACAGGCACGCAGTCCCACCCACTCCGAACGCATGCAACCGACGTTCCCACGTAGCTTTTTTCGTAGCTATAGTTTCCACTCCTCTCTATTTGAAACCTTCTCACGGCCCATCTGAGCCATGACGGAGCCGGTCCTCGTATCCTCAACCTCTGCAAGGCTGGAACCCTACCTCCTCCTGGCCAAAAACGCCAAGGGCGCGGCAGCCGTCCAGTTGATCACCGATGTGTTGAATGCCCAGGGCGTCTATGTGTTTTCGGAATTGCTGGAGATGTCTTCTGTGCTGGATGTAAGAAACGAAGTTCCATTTATATACCGCTTATGTGATGTGTATCTTGTGTGCTCATACCTCCTTGCCGTTCCTTTGTTTGATCCCTCGAAGCTGGCGAATAACCCTGCCCATGCACCACACCTCAACCTACTGAGACTGTTTGCATATGGAACATACCGAGATTATCGAGGTAACGGAATTTCTTGGACTGCATGCGCTTGAAGATGGCGTTATTAACGCTCATCATCATCAGCAAATGCTGCATCCCTCCCTGCTCTCAGCGACACACAACTGAGGAAGCTGAAACATCTTACCATCGTCACGCTCTCCGGGGACAATAGGGTCAGTGCCCCATAATGTGCATCTCTCTTCCACCCATCCCACATGTGCTAAACATCCCTGCCCCCGTCAGACGCTAAATTACGACCTCCTTCTAAAATACCTCGACATACCCAACGTGCGCGAACTGGAAGATCTCATCATCGACGCGATATACCAGGACCTGATCAGGGGGAAGCTTGACCAGAGCAAGAAGTGCTTGGAGGTGGAGTTTGCGATGGGAAGGGATCTTCGGCCTGAGCAGGCGACGCAGATTATGGCGCTGCTTAGTGCATGGTACGTACACATACTCATTGGATGGTGGAAACTTTCGTGGGGGAACCGAGTCTCACGCAATCTGATCCACACCAGGTGTCGAACCTCCGAGACGATCCTAACAACAATCGATGCCAACATCGCCCACATCTCCAAAGTCACCGCCGAAGAAGCGAAAAGGAAAGAAGAGCACAGCAAATCGGTCGAACAAAAGAAGTGGGATGTGCAGGAAAAGGTACATGGGAAACATAACAAGACACCGTCTTCGGGTGGGCCTATTGACGCCTTGTTGGGGGAGGACGGCGGGCGACGGAGGGGATTGAAGGGGCGGTTGAATAACCCGAGTCGGCGGTAGGTAGGGGTGTACTGTACTGGAGAGAGGGTGGAGATGGGAAGGGGCTGCTTCACAACCATGGTGTTCCTCTATCGCCATATCTGGGGCTGTCCGTATGTATAAAGGCGTGTGGCACCTTGCATTTTTGAATATATTTTGTACATTAGCATAGGGCACATCGCCTTCGAAAATACGTTGTTGTCTTGTCCCGTTTCCCGTTGCCTGCCTTGCGTTCAATACGCCTACCTTCGAAATCAATGTCCATATCAAGATCAACCTCATTGTTCGCCACCAACCCTCATCTCACGACCGTAAAGTCAAACAAAATTGATATCCCAAACAGCATCCACCCAAAATGTCATATTCTCATGAACCAGCAAACGAAAACAAAAAGAACTATTCACACAAAGAGAACAAAAAGCTCGCGCATCTCGCACCCTCACCCACTAACCACCGGACCCCTGTCCGGGCCCAACCAACGCCCCATACGCCAAGCGATACATAGGCCCGCCAAGACTATCCCGCAAGCCAATGCAGAGAGTGTGTCCTGTGATGCCCGATCGCCGTTTTCGTCTTTTTTTTGTGTCCCTGATGTGTACTCGCAACACGCCCCTAATGCACAACGCAACCTCCCTCACCCCCGCCTCCCAAAAATCACCACTCGCAACTCCCATCCCCCACACCCCCAAGCCCCCAGGTCTAATCACCCACATCCGCACCCTACTGCCTCCCCCTCCTCCCCCCATTCGTAACCAACGTCACCCCTTTCTTCTTCCCTTTCTTCCCTCCGCCTCCACTCGCAGCATTCGCATTCGGCCCGCCACCCGGTGCACGAACTCCATTCGCTCCGTTCCCCATGCCCCCGAGATCACCCCCGCGCATCGGCCGATCGTCAGTCATGACCGCCTCCTCGAAATCGAGCGTCCAGCCGTGATAGTCGTCGATGAGGTAGTCGTCGTCGTCATCTTCAAGGTTGTAGGATCGTGACGATTTGGGTGCACGGCGCGTCCAGGGGGTGGCGGAGGTGGCGGAGGTTGCCGCGATGCGGGCGAAGGAGGATGGGGCGGCGGAAGTGGTGCGAGCGGCGCCGGAGATGAGATCCCCGCGGAGGTCGTAGGTTGGGGAGGTGGAAAGGTCGCCTGCGGGTTGGGGTTGTGCGGAGGGAAATTGGGCGGCGTAGTCTTCTTCCCAGGAGGAGGCGTAGGGCGCGTCGCCTTGGGGTGGTGTGGCGTTGAAATGGCTGGTGGATGGGACGGAGATCCGTTTGGAAGCGTCGTGCTCTTGTTTCTCTTTGCGCTCTTGCGCTTTGTATTTGTTGATGCGCTGGGAGAGTTCCTCTGCGGAAAGTGCCCGAAAAATATTCATCAGCACGGAGGCAAACCGAAAGTCTCGCAAACGACAACAGCAAAACGTTCTGCCGCAAACTCACTCTCAAAAGCGGTCCGAGTCGTCGCCGCAACCAACGGCGTAGGATCAATCTCGCAAAACGTAACATCACAGCTCAATGGTATATGTCCCAGGTATCTGCACCGCCGCCTCAAATCCTCGTTCATGGTACTCTCCTGCACCTTGATAACATCAACGACCAACCGATCCGGGAAGCTCTCGTACTCCCCATACTCGAACTTGAGCACCTTGATGTCCAATGGGTGCAGGTAGAGGTGCTGGCCGTCGACGGATTGGTAGAAGTAATACATCCCGTCAGAGGGGGGTTTCGACGGGTTTGCGGTTTGCTTTTTGCGGTCGAGGAGATCAGAGGCGGCGGGCGGCGAGGATGCGCTTTCGGTGGAACTTGGGGTTTCGTCGGATATTACTTGCGCGGTTGACGATCCCGCGTGCGACGGTTCCTTCTCTTCCGTGTCCCCAGATTCGGCGAAGTCATCGTCGGGAAACGCCGCATCCACATCTTTGTGCTCCTCCTGGAATCTTTTCGCTTGGGCGGCAAGGTCCGCCTCGGTCCAGGTCGGCACAGACGGTTCCGGCACTTTCGGTGCATGTATCAAGTCGGGCACCTGGGTATCGCCTGATGGACCAGCACCAGCTTTCTTCCGCGTGCTGCCAAGCAATGTATTCTTGCGAGCCAGCTCATCCAACGCGTCCTACCGATTCAAAAATGGAATGTCAGTATACCCATTCGGACCTACCGAATCTCAATTCAAAGTCTTCATGCACACCTTAACCTCCTTCAAAGCCACCTCCACAAACGGCCGTTCGCTCCCCATCCCACCCTGCGCCTCAACCTGGGTGCGACTAGACCCAGCCATCGCCTTCGCCACCGCTTCCTCCTTGATCGTCTCACTGAGCAGATCTTTCAACTGCCGGCGCTCATTCTCGAGGATCTCCGACTGGAGATACTCGGGGCTCGAGAGCATCAGCTTTGCGTAGGGAACTGCGTTCGCGTTGGCGATCGAGGGCGGGGCTTTGCCGTCCACCTGGTTCCATGTATGGTAGGCGATACGGGGAAGTGTGATTGTGGAGTTCTGTCGACCAGAACATGAAACTTAGTGTTTGTCAGGTGTGGATACACCGGATGAGATGAATCAGGCAACACATACCAATGCCCGCTTCATCAAAATCATCTCCACCTTAGCCGGCTGACTGACAGACGCCTTCCCAACCTCTTGCAAGTATGAGAACCGTGCCGGCTTTAGATCTTTCGCGTAGATCGCATCGTAGCAAATCGGGCATTTGCGCCACTTCTTCTCGCCAAGATGCAGGTAATGCGTGACACAGTGCCAGCAATACACATGCCCACATTTCGTCACTTTCGGGGCGATCGGCGGCGAGAGACAGATCGGGCAGCTTGCTGGCTTGGTGATCGGGACCACCTGGATAATTTTTCATGTGGCGTTGGTAACAGGCTAATAGAACACGGTTCGGCGCAACCGGATGGAGAGTATCAGAACAATACGGAAACACATACAGCCTGGACGATGCTCTCCCAGTTCACAATGACGTCCGGGTCGAAAACGTTGACGGTGTAGTCACCGCTTTCGTCCATGATGAACCGGAAGCTGATGCCGTCAAGACGATTGTGAGAACGCGCGTCCAGGCGGATGACGAGCAAAGGAGATATAACCTACTTTGCATTCACGAATCGTTCCTTGTTGTAAGGTTCGTAATATGCGCTGCTCTTTCGCTTTACAACCCGACTTTGAGTGGGACGCTGGCGCGGTGGAAGCTGGAAGCCCAGCAGATGGTTCAAGCTGATCTGTCCTCGTTTGTTTGGCGACCCAAACGCCGGATCTAGCTGATAATCATCAAGGAAGCCTGGAACCATTTGCTGTTGATTCCTGGCATTCTTTTTGTTCTGCCTACGCTGTTCCTGCTTTCGAGGTCGGGCTTGCGTACCTGGCGGAATAGGAACATCGATGAGGTCCAAATACGGAGGAACGGCATGATGATGCTGATGCGGAGCATTAGTGGTCCACTCACCCGGCCCTATGTGGCGAAAGCCAGAAGAGGCGGAGCCTCTAGCATTCCCATCGGCGTAGTTTCCTGAAGTGGAAGCAGACAACGCCGCGCTTCCCCGTCGCCCTCCCGCCCCGCCTCCGCCCTTATCGCCCCAGTTGCCCGAGTTGGCAGCGCTGCTGCCCCCACCAGACAAAGCTCCAGAAGACGAGTTTCCGCTAGGGTTAAACTCTGCAGCGTTCGCGTTCATTTTTTTGGGGATCCTTGCTCCTCGGTAAGACATATGGAAGGAGCCACGACGTTACGGCTGTGAAGCGGGAATTGGCAGGCAGGACGGGTGAATAGTCAAAAGACGCTTCAGGCGGAAGCTGCCCTTTCCTAGCGGAAGCAGCGGATATCGGAGTGCTGATGCGTGTGGTGTGAGTGCGATGGGTGATCAGCGAGAGTTATCCTTTCTTCCTAGAGAGTGACAAACAGGTCGTTCGTGGCTTGCAAGGCGCGAGGTGGGGAACTAAACCTGACGTCAAGTAACAGAGCGAAATGGAGGAGCACAGACAAAACACGAAGCCGCAGAGAATAAGTCCAGTTAGGGAACGCTGCTGCGAGAGAGACGGGGTGCCGGTCTTTGATGTGTAAGAGGGGGGAGGGAACGGACGATAGATGCGAGGTGCCAGTGGAGTGCGTTTGCAATAACGTGCTGGTCCACGTTTCCCGTTCCCGTTGTCAGATCTGGCGCCCTTATCCGTCGTCATCTGTGACTTGGAACAGACACGTTTTCGCCGCATGAGTAATCTGCACCAGTTAGGGTTACGCGTAATCAGACTTAGACTCGAAGTGTCCTTGAGACCTCCTTGTAACCTCCGTGCTCTCCACATATATAGAAGGACCACACACTGTGGCCGTCGGTTGGAACTCATCTCGCTGCAGCAGTACGATGTCTGGAGGATGCTGGGTTGGGGCTGGTCGGGAATCGGGATGGAGCGGGATGGAGGGGATGGGCAGGCATTGGGCAACGCGTCTGCAGAAGTTCCTCCGACTGCCAAATTGGCACCAAATTCGCTGCACGTCGGTGAACATTACGCTGGAGGCTACATCGATAGGAGGTAACCTGGGCGGCAACAGCCTCACGAAAGCCGTCCCACGTTCCTTGATACATAGCGCTTTGGCCTTTACTTGAGCAGAATTGGGAACATTTTCCCACGGACGACATAGTATAGCGTCTGCCAGCCTTTGCGGTGGCGTGTAGCAGGGAAATTACATACAGAGACGGCAGTCCAGGGACAACCCTTTGTCGACGGGCTCTTTGTGTTCCACTAGGAGTAACATCCGCTTTGAGTACTTTGGACGACAAGAAAGACGTGGATGATCGTACTGCAAATCGGCCAGGTAACCCCGTGCACGGGCAGACGCTGCATTCCGGAAAAAAGAGGCTTTCGCTGTGTATTTAATCAGTGTACTCATGTACATCTATATAGTGTGGCATTCAAGTTGGGCAACAACTGTTCAAAGTCCTGGAGCAGGAGTGAGTGTTGCTCTGTCTCTTCTTTTCAGCCCCTTGAGCCAAGGACTTATTGATGCCTGGCTCGCAGATACAAAGGCAAAGAAAAGGTTGATAAGAGCTTGCAATTCAAACAGATCATTGTGGATACCGAAAGAAAAGTAGGCGTGAAGATCGCAACTCTTAATCTGGCCTGGGACTCTAAGCACCCTATCATCACCTGCCTTTTCCCAGACATGGCGCCAACACCAAAGAGCCTCAACCCCCGCAACACCAGCAGCCAAACCAACTTCCGCATCCGCTCCCAAAACTCCCCCTCCTCGACCTCTCTTCCCAACAACCTACCTAGACAGCGGCACCTCCGGTCGCGGCAACAACTGGGCACATGGGTACTGGGACATCACGCATCTCGAGAAGGTGATGGAGTCGATACGGAGAGAGGTTGAGAGGGGAGATCGAGGGGAAGGGGTTGTTCTGCTGCATAGGTATGGCTAGGGAAGGGGGTTTCGGGGCGTGAAATTCGTTGTAAGATGATTCTGATGTGGAGTTGCAGCGTGGCAGGGGGCACGGGGGCCGGGTTCGGGTCGCGGATAGCTGAGGAGTACAGAGATGCTCATCCCAAAGGAAATTTGATGTCGTACGGGTATGTAGTCATCGACTCGCTTTCCTTCCGCTTCAGCGGCAGCTATCGTCTCACATGCTTCAAACTCCCACCCACAGCATAACACCCTTCTCAGCGGGCGAAACCTCCCTGCAACACTACAACTCCCTCCTATCCCTCGGCTGGGTTCAACGCTACGCCGACATGGTGGGGATCTTCTCAAACGACGCGGTCATGAGCATCGTAAGCAAACAGTACGGGCTGGTCGGAAAAGGTGAGATTTGGTTCGCGCCAGGGATTAAGCATTTTTCTTCCGGTCTGACGATCGATGATTCTATATCACGGGTTGGAAGCTACGAAAACGGAAAAGATCACGTTGGATGACTTGAACGAGTACATCGCGCGCAGCATAGCGGGACACCTACTCCCCATCACGCCCATCGAGAACGCGGATGGCAAGCTCGTTTACAAAGAGTACGTACAACTTCAATCGGCCCATCATTCCCATCCCCCCGCACACCAACCCCTTCCGCATCTCTTCCAGGAAACCAACACCATCAGACTTCCAGACCTCAGCAGCCGAGCTCGCCCCCGCGCCCAAATGCAAGATCGTGCATTTCGCGTCGTCGACGGTCGTTGCGGGAGCGATGGGCTCGTCTGGGCCCGGGCTTGGGAATCTTAACTCTAGGTTTGCCCTTTGCCATAGTTATGGAATGCGCAGTATGTATCGAACGAACGTATAAATGCTTATCTGTGCATTTATCGTTTTTAGGCTTACTGCTGCTGTCGGATGGGACGACCTCCGGACGAACCTGTTGCGGAACATTCCGCCCTTAACGGGGTCATCTAAACGACAGTAAGCATCCACACCCTGTGGTTCTACCGCCGTCAACTCGTTGTGAGATGTGCTTGCTGATTCACCCATATCAATGTCTCTCTTCTTCAGTTGTATAGCAGCCCGCCTCCAAGCCCGCGGCGTGATCGGGCCCGAGTACTGGACCCGCAACGACCAGTTCGAGGACAAGCTCCTGGCCAAATTGGGGCTTGTGTGTGGGCCGGACTGGTTTGATGTGCGGCGGTCGTCTATGTTTGGTGAGTGACACAACATGCTGCCCCTTCCCCACAAATATCTCCCCTAAGCCCCCCTTCCACCCACCCTCAGCCCTAGACCTAAAATCCCCGCTCCGGTCCCTCGACCTCGCCTACAACGGCAGCGATGCCCTTACACTGCTCACCGACGTACACACCAAGGCGCAGCGGATGTACGCGGAAAAGGCGTATCTGCACTGGTACGAGCGGTACGGCGGGACGGAGGTGTTTGATGTGTTTGAGGAGTGCTTTGAGACGGTTGCGGGGGCACGGGATGCGTATGTGGATTTTTTGGGCGGTGGGGTGGGGTTGTAGGTGGAGTGGAAATGACTGGCCCGTTTCTCACGCCCATACCCTTGTATTCCTGTAATTATGTATGTATGTATACGTTCAATGAGACACTTACAACCGTCTGTCCAATTCTCCGTCGCAAAGTCCGGCTCGGGTTCGCCTAAGCGCCAATTACATCCTCAAAAATACGCCATGTGTCCTAGACCTGTCTGTCCCTTCCACAAGTTCACCCCCATACGCCGCTCACTCATCACCCCCAACCCCAACCCCCCTCCCCGCACACCTCCCCGGAAACACCCCGCTCTTCCCCGTCCACACATTGCTCCCATAAACCCACCCATCATCAAACCTCCTCTCGACAATCACTAGATCCCCTTTGGCGATCGCCAGCTCATCCTCCTGCGTCGGCGTATGTGACATGAGCGCGATCTCCTGCACGGGCTGTGAGGAGAGGACGGTGGGTGGGAGGGTCTCGTATTGGGGGGGTGGGAGGTCGGCGGGGGTGGTGGGAGTGGTGGGGTCGGTGTAGGTGGATTTGGAGAAGAGGGACTGTTGGCGTTTGGGCGGGGCTTGGTGGTGCCACGGTGGGATGATTTGTGAGGGCCCTGCGTGAGATCCGGAGATCATGCTGCTGTCCGTGCTCATTTGGGACGCCACCCGACTACTTGCGGATGCGCCGACGCTCCAATCTTCGTGGACTGCGCTATGTGCTGATGGATCCGCTGGGTCATATCTCTCCCCGGGGCTGAACGGCCTAATAGGTGTGGCTAAAGAAGGTGGGGGCTGGTAGGAGGCGTGTGCAGCGGGCGGGGTAAATGATGTGTGTTTTGTTGGTGGGTGGTGGCGGCGGCGGTAGAAGAAGAAGGCGAGGGCTAGGGCTACGATTGCGATTGGGATTGCGACTGCAATATGCAACGATGATGGTTAGGAGAAGAGGGATGATATTACGCGCGGTGCCATTGCATCTCAGAGGGTGATATTACCTCCAAGGGCGATTTTCAACACTGTGCCACTTCCAGGGTCAACCACTCCCCGGTTGTCGGGCCCCGCGGTTGCAGTCGATATTGCAGCGGACGTCGCAGATGCAGTCGCAGAGGGAGTGGTAGCCGTACTGGACGTCGCAGGCCCCAATGGTTTAGACGGCACGCCCATCAAAGCACCCCCGTCGACACATCCGACATCAAACGAGCTGAACCACTTCGTAGAAACACGATGCGAGTCCACACATTTAGAGTCACCCCGGACGGCCGTCGTATTTGGGCTCGTCGCGCAGTTCTGATCGTCGTAGTAGTTGAAGACGCCGGAGGTGCAGTTTGCGTTGAAATAGAGGAGTGAGGACGGGGAGGGGTGGCATTTGCCGTCGGCTTCAAAGAGGTGGGTTTGGTTTGATGATCTCGTTAGACGAGGGCTTTTGCTTTCACTTTTCGGAGAAGTTCTTGAGACTTACCGAGGAAGTAGTCCACGGAATCCAACAGAGTGGTAGCCGTGCAAGCCGGACTGATGAGGGGGATTGATCAGCAATCACAACATCACAAGAAACGACCGCATGAAATATACTCACTCGCTAAACCTCCTCGCCCTCATATACGCCTGAAACCCATCAGTTCCCTGCTTTATCAGGCTCTGCGACTGCAGAGCGCAGGTTTCCACGGCATAATTGTTTCCATTCAGCACGCACTGTCGAGGGGCCGCGCATACAGCGGTGTTCGTGTTCAGAACTGTCCAAAACGGGAATTGCACTTTTTTCGATGGGAAGAGACATGAACGCGTTTAGCGAGAAGAGCACTGTGAAGGACTGGCTGTACGGACCAGCCCAAGAGGTGGTTTACCTCTCGCATCGCAGTTATTCGTGTCGACGGCGCTGGCCCAATATGAAAACCTGGCAAGCGTGGCCAGATGAGGTGAGATGGAACCAGCTTATCTTGCTTCACGCGGTTTATGTACCTGGTTACAGTTGTGCTCATGGCGTCGTTCTTGTCGTTTCTTTCTCGCCAACGGAGGGTTTGAGTGCAAGCTGGGCTTATGTCTATTTGGTACGTCTACCGTCTTCACGTCGTCGGCTGCTTATCGGACACCTTCACGCAACGTTTGCTCATCGTGGGTGAGTCGGGCCTTGAAGCCTCGCACGTTGGGCTTGCCCCATGGTTCGCTCACCGCCCCTCCAAGGCTCCAACCCAACTTGGTTGGAACTTGGCGGTCACTTGGAAATCTTATCAAGTGCCATATAAGGGATAGTATAGATAGTCATGGGCGACCCCAGGTTGCACATGTGCGACAACTTGTGACTAATGACGGCTTTTCGACGGGATCCACTGTCAATGCACGGTCGCTCTCGATCGATTCGCCTTCGGCCCCTTTTCTACATAACCCACATAGTCGTTGGGAACAGATGCTACTCCCATTTCACTCGTCCTTCGTTCCAAAAAATTTTCTCCAAAGCTCCGTAGCACGTCGCTCTATCTGTATCTACCTCTTGCACTACTTACAGCCGACGAGGGATCATCTACAGTACATCCTCCTTCATCTCCCCCTCCTCATCGGCAACACCCCTCCGCCACCCAACATACCTCTTCAATTCCTTATCGCCCACCTCACTCCGCCACCGCTCCGCATCCTCACAGAACAGCTCGTAGGATTCGCGCGCGTAGGCGCCGACGCCGGGAAGTGGTGGTAGCCGTGTCGACCCATTGTGAGTGTCGGTGGATGTGTTCTTCCCGAAATTCCACTTCACAAATGCCCGCGACAAGCGCACCAACCTTACTGCTCGAATATTTTGCAGACCCAGCGGGCGGAAGAGGTTTGTCAGTGCATCGAGTGTACATGGCGGTCTGCACACGTAGCCTTCTTCCCCAACTGATTCGCTCCCCATATCCTCAGGCAGCGCCACCGCCGCCCACTCCTCCGGCACATGACTCCACCCCAGAAGCACCCACAAAACCGGCCTCACCGCATCGCCCCGCGTCAAATTTAGCAGCATGGTGGCGACGAGAACGGCCCATGGATTGGCGTGTAGGTTCTCTTGTATGAGGTTGTGTGGCGAAGGCCGAGGTGTGAAGGGGGGTGTGTAGGTTGTGAGGACGCTGCGAAGGGGTGCGGTGGTGAAGGGGGTCCAATCGACGGTCTTATAGAGCAAAGCGGAAAGGAGGTCTGCGGAAAGGAGGTCGGTTGGGTGTGGTGATGTTGGTGCTGAGGTCGGTGCTGGTAGTATGGCGCCTCGCTTGGTAGTCCTCTTCCGCTTCGGTGGCATTGTTTGGACGACTAGATCTAGTTCCAACGGCGACATCATATCCGTCTTTATCGCTGTCGTCGTTGCCGCCAGCTTGGCCGCCCGCGTAGCATCAATATCCTCCGAATCTACTCGTCCTTTACTTCGCGTAACCGCGCCATCCCCATCAACCATGAAAAACGGGCTCACAACACCCGTCGTCGCCTGACCCCGCCTCCGAACCATTACCCGCTGCGCAACACCCATGTCCAGTCCGGTGCTATGTTCTCCAATATCGTCCACCTGTGGTCCCGCACTTCTTTTCCTCCGCCTGGTTTCCCGCCGCGTTGGAGTCTTGGCCGGCGTCGGGATGGAGCGTGCATCCGCTTCCAACATACTTGTATTGCTGCTCGTCCGAGGGGGGTTGGGTGAGAAGTAAGGACTGCTCTGCGGTTGTCGGGCTCGTCGTTGGGGTCGTGCGGATGAAGGCGGGGTGTGAGGAGGACTTGCTGAGGGCGAAGATGGGGATTGAGTGGGAGGGTGCATGGACGAGGACTTGCTATGCTTCGGCATTGTGCGGCTTGAGGATAACTCCGACTACCTGTATTGTTCGAAGTTAACGGGATAACCCCGTCTAGAGACTGGATATGTGTTGGAGGTTTTGGCGTGATCCCTGTGCCCGTGCGACTGACTTAGTCGGGGGTGGGTGCAGACTTTTGAGCCCAGACTAACAATTCCGAAACCTGAAGGTGGAGTTGGACGTCGGTACATCATTCCCCTTCCATTCCAAACCAATCCTGTACCATTGAGCCACTCAGCACAGCATTCCCCAGCAACACCTACTCGAACTCTCTCCTTCCCTCGCCAGTTCCTGTAGCATCACACGAGAAGTCCTGTCCGCGTCCCCCTACTCATAGCTCCCGAACCGTAAACAATGTCCGCCGTCCCCGCGACCCCGGCATCAACCCCTACGGCCGCCACCCTACCCACAGTCGCCACAACCGGCGCACCCACACTCTTAACCCACCAGATTGCCGGCCACGCAGGCCAAATCCTCTCCCTCCCCAACGGCTTGATTGCCAAAGTGTGTCCCATAAAAGAAAAGCATTTCTACGAACATGTCTTCCATTCCCCGCGCGCCGATCTGGTCGCTTTTCAAACCATCATCCCGAAATATGCAGGCGTCCCTGCCGACATACCTCCTCCAACGACACCCACTGGCGAAATCGATACCACCAAAGCCGTGATCCAGGCGCAGGATGTGCTACGCCCGTTCACCAACCCTTCCGTTGCGGACATCAAGATCGGCACGCGGCTTTACGGCACTGAAGCCGACGCCGCCAAACAGGCGAGAATGGAACATCAAGCGGCTATCACGACTAGCGGGGCGACGGGGCTGCGGATTTGCGGAACGCGTGTGTTCCGGCGGTCTGACCAAACCTCTGTGGTGCATGATCGCACGTTCGGGCGCGCGTTGACGGTCAAGACATTGCCTTCTGGCGTGGACGAGTTCTTCAGTGCGGCGGATATACCGGACGCGACGCAGAAGCGGAAACTGGTGGAGAAAGTGGCGGCAGCGTTGCGCGCGGTGCTTGCCGTGCTGGAAAAGGCGTGTGTGCGGTTGTATGGCGCGTCGTTGTTGGTGGTCTATGGGGATGATGATGAGGTGGATGTGAAGATTATTGACTTTGCGCATTCGCATGTGGAGGAGGAGACGGAGGGGCCGGATGAAGGGGCGGTTTTCGGCGTAAAATACTTGATTCGGATACTCGAGGAGTTGGCTGATGACCGGCATTAATGTGATGCGGAGGAAGTGAGTGGACAGGGCTTTTGCGAACCCTTTCAGCAGAACGTAGGGCATAGACTTTAGATAGCTGTGCAGTGTATCACCCTCACTTGTATGCATTCACGGCATTTGCGTGGGATTTTCATAGAGTGAAATAACAGAACATGTTGATGACATCGCAGATGCTTCGGCGAAATGTGTAATCTGTCTAAACTTGTAATCTCTATCCGGGTCTTGCATGTTCTTGGCAGCAGACGGTCAAATCGGCGGGCGCGGTGGCCCTTACGTTAGATGACCGTGCCTTCGGACTTGCATACACACTTCCTCACCTTCTTCTGCTTGATTTCTCGCTTTCCTTCTCTCTCAAATCCGGTCGGGATGATTATCGTGCTGATTAGAATCGTAAGAACCAGTCCCATCCCAAGATTAGTTTCAGGCGCGCCGCATCGATGAAAGGTCCTCGCCAGCATGAATCGCCATCATATGCGAGGAGTTGGTGTCTGACCTGACCGACACGTAGAAATTCGAGACAAGTCTCTACCTCAGGCAATCCCACCTTTTTCCATTACGTTGCTTTCTATATAAGGTGCTCGTAGGAGCTTCGGCGTCTCCCGGAAGTAGTCGGGAACGCCAGAACCTCGGCTGTGAGCAAGCTCACGGCAGGTGGGTAACTCCCAAAGATCATTTTGTCAATAACGCGCGACATGCAAGTTGGTTATGGTCGCCTTACTACCAGACAGGAAGAGTTTTTGGGGAACAATGAATCAAGAGGGGCCAGGAGGGTAAAGGAGCTGACTCGGATACAAAAGGAGGCGAAAAGGAGAACGTCCACTGCCTGCACAAAGTTCGAATGCCAGCTTCGTCAATTGTCAAACGCGTAAACGCGAACTTTGACAGCATTTTGACAGAGTATTTGCTGTGTCATCATTGAAAACGCGAAAACGCGTCTCGGAGTTCCCAAAACCAACGGGTCCGAGAAATTCTGAGCCAGGCCTGGAGGATATAGCTTGATCTTGAGGAGCAAGGGGTCAGAGGGAGGGGTCGGATGAAGATGCTGGTTGATAGAGGACGGTTAGCTCGAGATAATGGTGGAGGAATAGGAGGGTTGCCAGCGCAGGGAATGCAAACCTATCCTTTCTGAGAGAAATCTTCAGAGAGAATGAGAGTTGTAGGGATGCCTCCATTTTTGCTTTTCGGTTTGGGACATGAAGAAGTGGAAGAAGCCGTCGGGGCGCTGATTTGTGAACGGTCGGCGTGCCGCCCGGTCTAATTGAGTTCTACTGTAACTCCTTCCAAGGGGTATGTCTACATACACTACTCCCTAACCTACGGAAACGGGTATCAAGTCTCATCTCCATCAATCGCTTACGTATTCCTATCCCACCCAACAAAACACATCACGCCTCATCCAACAGCATCGCTCTAGATCTCGGCCCAGCGGTTCCCACCGTCTGAACCTGCTTAACCGCCGCAATGCGGCTCACTTGCACGGAGCTAGGCGTGTCAATGAAGTTTGCATCGACGAGGGTTTGGCGCGCGCTCGCCAGGGCCTCGAAGAAATTTTCTCCGAGGGTCCAGAGTGCGCAGAGAAACATTTCTGTTGGGATTACATAGATGCTGGCTGCCACTGCGGGGGAAGGTTTCAGTTTCCGTTCGAGCCGTGTCAAACGAGAGGATGGAACATGAAACTCACCATCGTAATAGGTCACCACCTGCCAGATGTTGGGGTAGGAAGATGAATATGCGTAAGCAAGCGATGGCGCACTCCGTCGTTTTCACGAATGCAGAGTTGAAGAACCACTGACCACAATCCCCGAAATAGCAGCCGCAAACGTAAAAGCCATAATGAGATTATTGGCAATCTCTAGATTCGCCAACTTGCTATCCCGATTGTTTGTAGCAGAGTTCACCGAACTCTGCGCCACACGTAGCTTATACGTGAACGTCGCCAGGCCCGTAGCGACGTAAATGATGGGATGTACGGCTGCAAGACCCCAGAAAGACTTGCGGACATAGCCTTGTCGTAGGAGGTCGGGGATTGCAATGCCTACTCCAGCCGCCGTTACTGCAAAGGCAATGGTGGACTGTGCGACGAGTACGGCGCGAGATTGGCGTTCGTCGGTGTAGACGGCGGCATACCTTGTGAAAAATGCGTCAGCGCATACAAACCTCTTCATGTCGCCGAATAGTTACGATGGGACAGACACCATACCTGTAAGCAGCAGCCACATTGAGTGTGAAATCGCGCACCTCCGGTACAACAAGCAGTGCCATGACGTAGCCAACGACATGTCTTTCACCGAACACAGCGCTTGGCGGGTTCACCCTACGGATCGCGTGGAGAATGTCAAGCCGACCACTAAAGAGTGAAGCGTGAGTTTTCGAGGCGGACCTACTTTCCCCAAACTCCTGTCAAGGAATCCATCACTGAAGATACAGGAACCAGACTTGTGAGACTCGGGGTGCAAAGAGCGTTCAGGCCGCCTGATCGGTGAGATGCGTACCTGTCAAGATTGACGTAACCAAAAGTAGATACCCCCGTACATTCCGTTTAGAAAAAAGCCTCCATGTTGCGACTCCGACACCTACAACCACAGGAGGTAAGCTGCCCAAAGCATCTCTCAAATTCCCCCACGACCACACCACGTACTGAATAAAGCAACAGCAACAGTAAGACCGATGATTATCGAGGGCCCGCCATATCTCACTGTAACCGACAAGAGATCAGCCACATCAGCCAAATCAACAGGTGAACAGGTGGTGCGAGCTTACAGGCAGTAGAATCGACGGTGTAGCTGACTGTAGCCGCAATTTGAGCCTGAGCAGCAGGACTGTTGAATATCGCCAGCTGGATGGCTGCGTTGTTGGATAAGGCCTTCTGGACTGCGGGGTTTGATAGTAACGCGGATAGAACGGAAGCGCTGGTGAAGAGCTCGCCGACCGCGGTGGCATTGTCCAGAAGCCCGTTTAGAATCGTTTGCTGGACTGTGGGCTCTGCGACGCATTGCGCGAAGGTGTTGTTGTCCATCCTGCCTCTCTGACACCGACCAGCTTCTCTGACATGGAATGTACGCAGTCACCTGCAATCCTGTAAATATCCGAGAAACTCTACTGCCCTTCGCCAGAAACGCTTCACAATTTGCCGCGGCCGGTACATCCAAGACTCCAAGCATCATAGAACATGAGCTGCACATTGCCGCTTTACCCTGGCATTCAGAACATGGAACCGCTGCGACGTCGTCGTCTGGACCGTCTCGACCGGGTATCCCGTGTCAGGGATATCCCGGTATGCAGGCCTGGTCGTGGGAACTGGTCAGCCTACGAGTTGTCTGTTGCTATTTTCAGCCTCCCCTCTTCTGACGGCATCGGCAGACGCGCTGTCGGAACCGTGCGTGTCGTTTTGGTTTCTGGGAACGACTCCATCTCGTCTCAAAGACTCCTTCCGAGGATTATGAACTTTGATTCCGGAGACGAATGTTCCTGAGAATGCCTACTGCTCGAATACTACGTCCCGCAGCCCGACATGGCTGTCTGCGGCTCCCACACAGTGCCCTTCTTACACGCCGGCACATCACGACTCCCATCACCACCAGCCCCCTCAATCTCACTCTCGCTAACCCGTACCTGGACCTCACACCGCATTCCCACGCCCCCCTTCCGGCACCATCCTCACTCACCATCTTCCCCAACTTCCTCAGTCAAGACACGCAATTCCGCCTCGCGACGCTTGCAGAGAAGAAGCTGCGGCGGTTGTGCGGGAAGGCGTTCTGGGCAGGCCATTTTGATGGGGTTACGAAGGAGTATCGGGAGTGTTCTGTAAGGAGTTGGGGGGTGGGGGTTGGAGGCGGAGATGACGTGAGGGATGTTGGGGATGAGGATTTACCTGGATGGGTTCTTGGGAGGGTGAAGAGGACTGTTGAGGCTGAAGTGGGATCAACTTCTGCGGACGCTGGTGGTGCGGATGGGAAGATTCAATGGCTAGATCCGCACATTCTGGAATTGGCAGAGAATGGGGAGATCAGGGCGCATGTGGATAATGTCGAGGTACCACAAGCAAAATCCCTTTCTAAGGGTCTTTCACAGGCACCCATGCTTAACTTGCCCATTTCCAGGCCTCAGGCTCCATCGTGACCGGTCTCTGCCTCCTCTCTCCCGCGGTCATGATCTTCCGCAAAGTATCCGACTCATCAACGTCCTTCACCGCTTTGATGGAGCCAGGCACGCTCTATGTCCAGCGCGACGCGTTGCGGTACGATTATACCCACGAGATACCCGTCGACGGGCAGTTGAGGATGTTTAGGGGCAGTCCTGTGCCGCGCGGGAGGAGGATTTCTATCATGATGCGGGACGCGTTGAAAGGATGACCAGGGAAACGGCGATGTTGTGTATATTTTTGGGGATATGAGCTGTTGAAAACGATGCCCATGGATGAACGTGGATCCGGGCGGTATATACAGTATTATCTGTCTAGAGTGTAGAATAAATAGAATGTGCGGATGGATATGTACAATATATGTGGCGAGGTGACCAAAGGAAAACGGATGGATCTCGGCAGAAGAATCGGGGCTACGCGGTCGTTGCTTTCGCTCGGCCGTAATACTGTGGTGCAACGTCGACTAGCCATCGCGGCTGAATCACGGAGATGTTGCGCATGTACTGTTTCGTCGTGTGCATCTGGACGAATGAACAGGGAATCGTCAGTACATTGTCGTATCCGGCCCACGCAACACAAGCAAAGCACGCACCAGTTCATTATAAACAACAGCATCGACCTTCCTCAAAAACAACACCGAGCTCGGATGCACAAACACGTTCTGGTTCCCTACCAGAGTCTTATAACTCCCATCGGCAGTCCTCATCGCCACATTCTGGAAACACCCGCTCAAAAAGCATTTGACAACCGGCTCCATATCATCCGTCCCACAGCTCGCCTCCGTGTCTACATCCTTCATGCGGCCCACAAAGCTCACAAGCTGGCGTCGGATATCCGCGGCCTGCTTCAGCGACCTCTGGCTGACAAAGTTTTGCGCGCACCACGTCGCGTCGCCGTGCACAGACTGGTAGGCGTTGAACACGTTTAAGAGAGTGACGTGGTCGCCGTCGTAGCTGAGGAAGCGTTTCTTGGCAGTTGCGGCCTGGTCGCGTTTATCTGGTGGGGAGAAGAAGACGAGGTCGACGGAGAGCATGGCGATGATCGAGAGGACTTCTTTTGTGCATTTGTAGGTGGTGGATTGGAGGAGGACTTTGGAGTAGACGGGGTCTAGGGGGAGTTCGGCCATGCGTTTGCCGAGAGGGGATAGGCTGCCGTCGTCGGAGAGCGCGCCGAGGGCGTAGAGTTGCTCCAGGGCTCGCACGATCGATGTTCGCGAAGGTTTGTCCATGTAGTCAAAGTTGATCACGTCGTCTACCCCGGACGCTTTGAGGAGGAGAACAACAGCGGAGAGATTGCAACGCATGATTTCGGGCTCTGTTTCCTCCTCCAACGCGTCGAACGCGCGTTCCGTGTACAGGCGGTAGCACGCACCGGGCGCCTCTCTCCCCGCTCTTCCCATCCGTTGTCTTGCCGACGCCTTCGATATCGGCTGCACCGACAACGATTCCATGCCAATGCGCGGGTTGAACGAGCGCACTTTGGCCATGCCCGTGTCGACGACGTAGCGGATACCGCTGATGGTGATGGAAGTCTCGGCGACGTTGGTGGAGAGGATGATTTTCCGCGTTCCCGGCGGTGCGGGGTCAAAGACTTTGGTTTGTTGGTCGGTAGGCAGTTTGGCATAGATGGGGCAGACGAGGATTTTTGGGCATTCTGGAGGAAGGTATCTTGCGTTTTCTTCTATTAGCTTCTGTAGATTGTCGATCTCTTCCTGGCCGGTTAAGAAGACCAGGATGTCGCCTTTCGGCTGCTCCATGTGTAATTGGAAGCTGGCCACCAGGGCCGCGTCGACGTAGTCCTCCTGCTGATTAGCGGCTGCAAACGTGCGCACGGGGAACTGGCGTCCTGCCACATAGAGCACTTTGGCGTTGTCAAAGTACTTTGAGAACCGATCCGCGTTCAAGGTGGCGGACATGACAATGATTTTGAGATCGCTCCTCTCCCTCTGTATGGCCTTAACCATTCCAAACAGAACATCTGTCCGCAACGTCCGCTCGTGTGCCTCGTCCAGTATAATTGCCGAGTACTTCTTCAGCTTGTTGTCGCTCAACAGCTCCCTCAGCAACATACCGTCGGTCATGTACTTGATCCGTGTCTTAGGACTCGTCACATCCTCGAATCGAATGGAGTATCCAACCTGCTCGCCCAGTTTCGTGCCCATCTCCTCCGACACGCGCTTCGCGATGGATATGGCGGCAACACGACGTGGTTGCGTGATTGCCACGATCCCTTTCTTCGTGATACCCGCATCGTGAAGGAACTGAGGGATCTGCGTGGTCTTGCCGGACCCGGTCTCTCCAACGATGATGATGGAACTGGCGTTCAGGATCTCGGAGGTTATTTGATCGCGGGCTTTGTAGATGGGGAGTTCTTCGCGGGCTTTGAGCAGCTCTTTGTGTTTGGCGGAGATCGGTTTCCGAGCGGGCAAGGAAAAGGAGGGTTCTGATCGTTGTGTCGGTCCAGGGTCTGCGAGCGGCTTTGATGTCGTTTGCTTCGTCTTCTTGCCCTTTCCATTGACAGAAGATGCTCCTTCGACTGCATCAGATGGCTTTTCCGGGTTTATTTGTTTTCTGCCATCCGTCTCCCCAGTGTTGCCCGTTCCACTTCCCTTCCCCTCCGCCACCTTTCGCCCCTTCCTGTTTTCCTTCGCCTTTTTCCCCTTCCCGACCCCATTGCTCTCTCCCGCTTCCCGTTTCCGCTTGACCGAAGCGACATTGCCTACAAGCTTCCTTTCCACGACCGTTCCAAAGTCGTGCTCTTCAATAAACTGAGAAGCTGCTGTATATTCCGCAGGACCTTCGTCGTCGTCGAGGGTAGGTACAGGCGGGACTATGTAGTCGCTAGAGTCGACGGGAGACGTCCCGTTGTCGGCATCCGGCTTTGCTGCTCCGTTCGCCTTTCCCCTTCCCTTTGCTTTTGCCGTCTTGTCGCCCATGGATGTTGGAGGTCTGGGGTGTTTCTTCCCAGTAACGGGACTCCAAGTCGCCGACGCGCCTTTCCGAACGGAGGCCTTTTTTTCCTTCTGGCCCTGCAACATTGGCGTGATCTTCGGCAGTTTGGGAACTGCCATCCACGGAGGAAGCACACTCACGCCAGCGCATACTTGAACATATACGGCTTTCGGCGCTTCACAACCATAGTCGGTAGTCGGTGGGCAACGGCTTAGAGCTCTATCGCTAGCGCGGGAAACAAACCTGTGGAGCTACAGCAGGGAGAGACCTCGGAAACTTTGCCGAAAGCAATCGAAACGGCCTGTCGCCATGCACAGAATCGCACGCCGTGGCCGGCTCGTCGCTCTGCGGTCTCTGTGTCGCTCTCCCGCACATACGGGGTCTATCGTACCTCTTGCCGCTTCGCTTCTCCCAACTTCGGCTCGTCATTCTTCACGTCGTGTACCTGCGAGGAGGTGCTTCCATAGCTCTTCTGGAGTGTCGCAAGTTACGGGACGGAGGCAGGAGCCAGCCGCGGCAGTGGAGCAGTCTCAACCAAGACCGTCTGAGGCAGAGAACGCCGAGCCTGGGATCGCTGAGATTGCAAACGCTGAGACTGCGAATGCTGGGGTTGCGAGTGCTGCAACTACGAGCGCTACGGCTGAGAAAATTGAGGGTGCGAATGCTGGGGCTGGGGAAGCGGAGACTGGCAAATCTGGCAACGCAGAGGCTGGGAACGCTGAGTCTGGGGAAGCTAAGGAGCCTACAAATTCCTCCTATACCGTCCCCGATCTGGCCGTAGGTGACTTTGTGGAGGTCCGGAGAGGCTCGTTCAAAGGTCAAGGAGTGATTTCTGCATTACCTGACAAAGGGGGTGGTCAGAATCAGTACATGACCATCCAGCAAAACGGGCATTCGATATATCATAGTGCAGCGGATGTTACTTTCCAAATACCGGGCTGGGGATACAGCAAGATCGTATCGGAGGAAATACCTAGTCATTTTGCGACGGCGGGAATGTCGCTCCAAGATCAGGAGCGCCTCACCAAAGCGAATCTGTCCCGTTTCATCATTGCGCATATTGATCGTTTCAAGGACGCTGCAGATGCCTATGCGTTTGAGAAAGCGCGCCAATTCAGTCGGGTCTACAATCATTTCGATGACAAGGGGGAGTCGACTGTGACGATCGATCAGGTTGCTCAGTTCGTGTTTTATGGACCGGAGGCAGTCGAGTCTCCGGACCAAACTCCAACTCCCGCTGAGCTGTACGCGACATACCAGTTTCTGCTGAAGACATCAGCGTTTTTCGAGCCTTCGAAAGGTCCCAGCATGAGGAAAGGGCGATCCTTCACTCTGAGATTACGAAATGAGGTGGATGACATCAGGTGGATTTGGAAACAGCTTCGCGCTGAGAATGCCGCAATTCACCGCAAGGAGTCCTCTCCCCTGAACGAGTTTATTGAGAAGTGTCAGACATTGGTACACTGGCACCGCGACTCCGCACGGTTTGGATCGGGCAAAGAAGACACACCCGCTCCTGAAGTGAACTTCACCGACTCTGATCGAGTCTTCATCTCATCGTTACGAAAAGCGGCAACCCACTACGATATCCTTGGCAACCCGCACGTTCAAATTGCCTCGAATCTGATCAGGAGGCTGCACCCTCTGTATACTCTCCGCTATGGAAAGAATGCAAGTGGGGCAGAACGTCAAGCCGCGCAATTGCTCAAAGAGATCGGGGCTTTGACGCCTTGGGAAAACACATCGATGTACCGCCCGGGCGAACGGTCCCGCATACGGACGTTGGAGGGTCATGGGATGAGCGCCTGGGCGGACGATGTGGCAGCGGAGGCGCAGGAATTGGGCAAAGACCTGATCAAGTCACCCGAGTTCATCTTTAACGAGCAAGGAAAGGTTGTCAAACCCGAGACGACGGCGGAGGAGAGTGTCAAGGAGACACCGCACGTCCCGAAGCAATCTCTGCTAGAACTTGTCAAGTCGATGATCATCCATCCGGCCGGGCAAGATGAGCTGAACTTCTACGCAACCGATCCCTGCGCGGAAATCCGCCGCGATTTTGGAGACCTGCCCGTGTTCGTCATCGACGACCCTACCGCCCACGAACTGGATGACGGCATGTCCGTGGAGAAGACTGCTGACGGTGACTTATGGGTCCATGTGCACATAGCGGACCCGACTGCCTACATCCCGCCAACCCATCCGCTATCGCTGACCGCTCAATTACGCGGAAACAGTGTCTATCTGCCTGAAAGGCATTATCCGATGATGCCAGATTTCACGAGTAACGAGCGGTTCAATCTTGGCAAATCGCAGTGCGCCATGACCTTCAGTGCGCGGATCGGCGAAGACGGCGAGTTCCTGGATTTCGACGTGAAGCCCAGTATCGTCCGAAACGTGAAGATCCTCTACTATGACGACGTCGATGAGGTTTTAGATTGGACTGATATTTACGGGGTCAGAGAGCCTGCTATGAAGCCATCACCTTGGACGAGGCAGCTTTTGGAAGCCAAGGATGCGAAGCCGGGATTCCGCGGCGACACTGCTCCTGGATTAGATACCGAGGGCGTCGAACTACTGCGGTCCTTGCAGAACGTCATGAAGCGCGCGGCAAGGGAGCGCACACTCAACGGCGGGTTCTACAATGACCAATGCGACCTCACCGTCAAGGTCAAACCGTACCCACAGCCCTTCACACCCGTCACCCCCGAGAAGCCCTTCTTCCCATCCCGCGAATCCTTCCCCACCATCACGCTGAAACCCGACGCTCCTGGAATCCTCAGCCCAGCGCACATGATGGTTGCCGAATGCATGATTATGGCCGGCCGCGTCGCCGCCAAATGGTGCACCGAGCACAACGTCCCCGGCATCTACCGCGGACAAATGAGCATTATCGAGCACGGGCACAAGCTGGGCCGGAAGGAAGAAGCGACCCTCCTCATGAAGAACGCGTACGCAGCGATCGACAAACCCTCGGGAGTCATGCCGTTCATGGCGTACATGAACTTGGTCCCACTCATGCCCCCCGCCGCCGTCTCCGCCACCCCGATCCCGCATCTCAGCATGGGCATCGGAAACAACACCGGGTACATGAAAGTCACCTCCCCGCTCCGCAGGTACAAGGACATGGTCGCCCACTGGAACATGAAAGCCAGCATGCTCGGCCAACCGTACCCCTTCGGCCCCGAAGCCGTCGCGGAAATCGCCACCCGCCTCCGCGAGCTCGAACGCCGCACATCGGCCCTCAACAACCGTTCCAACCAACACTGGTCCTACGAATGGCTCCGCCGGAAAGAAGTCCTTGTCCGTAATGGTCAAGCGCCTGCGGATGTCGTGGGCAACTGGGACATGCCGTACGTCGACATGCGCGAGACGGTCAATTACCAGGAGGACTCGACGCTCCGTGAGAAGGGGCCCGTGTACAAGGCGTTTGTAACAAGCCTCTCGCCGGATAAGAAGGCGCTGTGGACTGTGTTGACTGAGCTGGGCGGGATGCGCGCGCGGGTCGAAGTTGGGTGGGAAGAGAAGGAGACGGATGCGCTAGTGGGGCAGGTGATTGATGTTAGGCTGCATAAGGTGGATTCGTGGAAGGGGGTGATACTCATGAAAAAAGTGTAAGAAGGTTTTGTTGTTGGTAGATAGAACGGCGTCAGTAGTTCAGATTTTCAAAGGAGTGTGTATCGACATGTGCGTATTTGATTAGGGGCGCTTGTACTATATATAGATATAGCCCGCCAGCTGCTGCTTGTTGGAATCATACCTCACGGCTCTCTCCTATGGCGTACCTAGAGCAACCGCTCATATCTAGTCTTCTCTACACAGTCATCCACCCACTATCTATATCGTTGTGACAACAACGTCTTTCACAATGCACCCAACCAGCAGCATTCATATCCGCAGCCTAAATCCACCGGTGCTTTCGACACCCGCGACATCAAACAACCCCGGCCCGTCGTCCTCCCCGTGCGCCGCTTTGGGCGCCGACGGCGTCGTTTCGTACACTTTGCGTTTTTCGCCGGCGTTTTTGGAGGGGAAGGTTGGGAAGAGGGAGGGGTCTTTTGGGAGGGGTGGTTCACTGATAACAAAGAAGTGAGTGTCAGAAGTGAATGTCAGAACTGAATTCGCGGACGACGGAATCTGGGAGTTGGCGGATTTGACACTCACGTGAAATAGGGATGCCGTAACGCCTCATCAGCCGTAATCCTCTTCTCAGGATCATAACACAGCAGCCTATTCATGAGATTTAGGCCGTTTTCCGTCAGGTACGGGAACCTGCTTCTCAGGTTGTTATGTCTGTCTTTGCAAGAAGGTGATAGAGATCCTGTGAGCAACACCATAATACCTTTGATGGTGGGTTGAAGAATGTCGTTTGGACAGGGATGTTTGCCACCTACGGTTGAGTTACGAAGTTGAAGGTTTTGAGGCCAGGGAGTTTTGCCATTCCTGGCCAGTTTCGTTCTGTTGGCGTTCCCAGGAGCTGAAATATCTGATCGTGGAAGTTGGGTTATGTTGAGACTCTCTCTCTTGAAGGCACCGGACGTTCACTCGCACTCCCCATACCCTTTTCAGTTGATCGAACTCCCCTCGACCTGCTAATAACGGCTCCTTATTTACCAGCTCTCCAAAAATACAGCCTATCGACCACATGTCGATCGCTGTTGAGTACTCCTTCGCTCCAAGGAGTAGTTCGGGGGCTCTAAGAAACGGATGGTGTGAGCGAAAGGGATTCTTCAACGCGCGGCCACTCCGAAAACTTGGCGAATGTACCTGTACCACAGGGTAACCACGAGCTGTGTCATATGCCCCAACGGGCTTCCAAACCGTCTGGCGAGTCCAAAGTCAGCGACTTTCATCTGCCCGGCGTTATTCATCAGCAAATTGGACGTTTTGAGGTCCCGATGGACGATCCAGTTTTGGTGTAGGCAGGCGACGGCAGAGATGAGTTGCAGCATGAGTGTCTTCGTTTCGGATTGGAGGAATGGGGACGACATTGTGCCCATGAGGGACTTCAGGTCGTGTTCGACAAACTCCATTACGATGAAGATGCTATCGGAGCAACGATAGCGTGAGCTGTTGATCCCGGTATTGCACACACGACATGGGAACTGCATTAACGTACCCCTTCATACTGGGCGTGACCACAATCTCCTTCACATTGACGATATTCGGATGTTTAGCCAGTAGCAGCGTATGTATCTCCCGTAGCGAAGTTACGGGAAATCCATTCTTTTCATTCTCCAGCTTGAGCTTCTTCAGGGCGACGATTTCCCCTGTTTGTTTATCTCTCGCTCTATACACCACTCCGTACGCTCCTTCCTCGATCCTATTTAGCTTTTCGTAGTTGTCAACGTGCCGACAGCTGGTGAGAGGCGGCCCCGTGAGAAAGGTCTTTGGCTGTGCACGCTGTGATTGCCGTGGCGGACTGGAAGCGACGGGTTCAGGTATTGGTGGCTGGTGATCTCCATCTCCATCTTCCAGGGCGTTGTCCGTATGCACTGCTTGACCTCGCGATGATTCGTCTTGCAATATGTCCATAGGAGTAGCACCGTTCGGGTCTAGCACCGGAGTGTCATCTCTCGATGACAGCTCTATCACCCTCGGTGCACCTCCTGCATTCGGTGTATTGCTCTGGCTTTCTGAGCGAGATAATGCCTCGCTACCCTTCTTCCTGCTGCTTTCCTTCCGCGCCTTCTTCCGCGCCGACCCTCCAGCGCCCTCGCCTTCATCCTCATCCTCCGAGTCCCACTTTGACTTTGGTTTCAGGAAGGTTGCCTTTGAAGGTGTCGTTGCAGGAGAGGACTCTTCGTAGGCAGCTCTCGACCGCTTGCCGGGTGACGACGCAGCCAAGTCCGCCATGGTGCTGACAGACACCTCGAGCGGTATGTGATAGTGAAGTACAGCGAAGTTTGCAGGGGCCGGTGGGAAACGAAGCGTTCTCTGCAGAGTCTTTCGCGTTGAAATCACACGGGAACATCCAGTCACCTTCCCAAAAGTCCAAAAGCCCAAAGCGCGCGGGCGTCTCTTTCCCTCCCCACAGATTGCACAGCTTCGAATCCTGGGATATCGCACCGGCATTTCCCTCCCTTCTTGTCCGCTTCGACGCACAGCACATAGTACGTATATAACCGCTTTGCAGTGAAAGCACTGCTTCTGACCGTCTCTATATTGGCCGTCTGCGCTCAATTTCCGCGATCATGACCGACTGGGGGGCCTTTACTGTGGTTCAGCTAAAGGAGGAGCTGAAGAAACGCGATCTCCCCACAAAAGGGTTGAAAATCGACCTTGTTGGGCGCATGACGCAGTGGGAACAGGACCAGGGAACCGCTCAACAGGAAAAGGCTGGAGGTGCTGCTGCTGGTGTCGAAGAAACTGAAGAGCAGGAAGACGTGCCTGCACTCCCCGTGGGAGAGCCACCTGAGCAGGATGCTACTCGCAAGGCTCCATCTCGCAGGGGTGCGGCTGGAAAGAAAGCAGCGGAGAAGGCTAAAAAGTTGGAAGAAGAGAACACACCCGCACCAGAGGAAAAGAATTCTGACGTAGAGGCGGCCCCCCAAGCGAATATCGAAGAGCCTGCCCCACCGAAGAACGACGGGCGGTCAAAGCAAGGAAAGAGGAAAGCGCTCGAGGTAGAGGAGGATGGCACTGAAGAACAAGCTGCCACTTCCAGCGTTGCCGCCAAGAAGGCAAAGTTGGATCCAACGCCGGTGGAACAGGAGCTTGAAGAGAAGCGTGACGAGGCGCCAAAGCCGAATGGCAGCTCGAAGGTCACGTCCGCGGCGAACGCCAAAACCAGTGAGCCACGGGCATCGCCCGTGAAGTCTGCAGTCAAAGAAACGGAAAGAGTCGCGTCGCCAGAGGAGAACGCACCTCAGTCTTCTACTGTAGAGTCCCAGCCGGGCGCAACAACCGGTGAAACGTCTGCCTCGCCCGTGAAGGCTGCAGTAAAAGCCAAGGAAACAAATGCCTTGCCGAAGAAAAGCATACCCCAGTCTTCCAGCTTGGACCCACAGCCGAGCGCGAAAAACAGTGAGCAGCCAGCATCGCCCGTGAAGGCTCCGGTCAAAGCCACGGAAACAACTGCCTCGCCGAAGAAAAGCACACCTCAGTTTTCCGGCGTGGACCCACAGCCGAGCGCGCAAAACAGTGAGCAGCCAGCATCGCCCGTGCATGAAACCGCCAAAGCCTCCGAAACCACCACCTCGCCGACGAAGAGCTCACATCAGTCTTCCAGCGTTGAGTCTCAACCGAGCAAAGGGAAATCCTCTGTTCCGAAGGAGGTGTCAACCCGGGCAGAAGCGGCTCCCGCGGAAAAGAAGCCAGCGTCGCCGACCAAGTCACATGTCAAATCCCAACCCGTTGCGGAAACATCCTCGAGCAATGAAAAGCCTAATGGCGCCGAGATTCACAACGAAAGTAAGAGCCCCTTCGATTTCGTGCGCGCATGTCACTCGGTATTAATCGATCCGGTTTTCCAGATGGTGGCAGCACTCTTTTGATCCGCAATTTCAAAAGGCCTTTGACTCTCCAGCAAGTGAACGATCTGCTGGCGGAGTCTGGAGACGTTGAACAGTTTTGGATGGATAAGATCAAATCACATTGCTATGTTACTGTACGTGTCTTGCATCCTGTTGGTTTGCAAGAGAGTGAAACACTAAGATACTAACGTCCCTCCCTTCAATCAGTTCAAGACAGCGAGCCAAGCTGAGGCAGCTGCCGCGCAATGCAACGGTTTGCAGTTTCCACCTATCACAGGGCAAGCACTCGCTTGCGAGTTTGTCTCCCGTTCCGACGCCGATGAAGCCATCAAACGGACCGAAGCAGAACAGGCACGGCGTACATCAAGCCTAAGCCTGTTTCCCGACTCCCGCTACGGCTCCCGATCATCGTTCTCGTCTGTCAACTCGACTCCGATTACGGGACCGCACTCTGCATCCCCCACACTATCATTCCTACCCCCAGTCCCCGTTATTGACCCAGAGTACAAGCCGCCACCGCTTCCTGAGGATGCTCGTCCCAACGATTCAAACTTTCGGAAGACAACTGCAGATCCGGTTATCTACTACAGACCGCTGACGGAAGAAGAAGTTGAAGCACGTCGCAGCGTTCCGAAGCCCGTGAAACCGGCAGCGGCTCGACCTCCCTTCCCACCACGTAACAATAACTTCCAACCCCCGATCCCAATCGACCGCCGCCGCGACTTCCCCAACGACCGCTTCCCTCGCAGAGGCGACGATACCCGAGACGGCTTCCCAAACTCCGACCGCCGTCCCCGCGACTTCCGCTCCAACCCGCGCGACAGTCCAGCATTCATCCCCAACCGCTTCAGAAATACCTACGCACCAAGCGGCAGGATCAGGTCCCCCGACAACTGGAGACCCTCCGCCCCTTCATCATCCGCCCGCCGCAGTAGCAGGAGTCCCGACTACGACCGCGGAAAAGGGTATGGCAGAAACTGGGACAGAAGCCGAAGCCGAAGTCGTAGCAGGAGTCCTGTACGAGGCGGCGCGAGGAGCGATACGTACCGTGGGGGACGGGACAGGGGTGGTGATCATTATAGGGGGGGAGGGAGCAGGCATTGATGCGGACGTCGTGAGCGGAAGGAAAATGTATATTTGATGGACACAATTCGTTTTCTGGTGCGCTTCGCGTTTTCGTTTTCGGCCGTACCCTGTGTCTCCCTGCGTTCTACATGTTTTCTTTACTCCCCGCCGCATATTTCCCCAGTACTTTAGGCGATCAACGTTCAGCTTGCTGCCCTAGTCCCTTGGTGTCGTTTTTTTTTTTGTTTCGAATCGTGACATACGTAGTTTGATGCAAACTCCATTGCAAGCCCGAAATGAACCCACGGTTCCCCTTCCCCGCCTGCCGTTGCCGTCAAATCCCTTAAGAGATTGCCAGTGACTCACCATCTGACGCGTTATGTCAAAGACGCGTCCATAAGACATCGTTAATTGGATTCTGACATTTGACAAGGGGTTCATCCTGAATCATCCAAGGGCCCTCGAAAACAGGGCAGGGGACCGTTATCATCCTTGATTAAACCGTCTTAATTGAGCGGTGTTGGCAAAAGTCGTAAGGGATTGTGGAGGTGATATGCATGTGTCCGTGCCTGAGACGCAGGCGGGCAGGGCCTGAATTTGAACCTAATCAAGAAACGGCCGTCAATGACCATGCCTTTCCCTGGCAGGGCGGGGCCTCCTGCCCCGGGCCAGTGGCAGATGCTTTATTGCGGAGGGCATGTCAAACCCCCCCAATTGCCAGATTGCTGTGCATCGGCCGTCGGGTATAAGTAAGACCGCCCTGCCCGGCACTTCCCTCACTTCATTCCCTCATCCGCAAAACAGATTCCCACACGGTCAACCCGCATACGCTTCTCCCCTACGCCGTTTACAGCCACCAGGCAACCACCGCCGAGCACCTTTCTCAATTCGAGAACTTGGATCGGCGCTGGGGCCTGAACTGTAAACAACGAAGGGGTGGGGTATGAGGTGGTCGTCGTCGTCGTGGTCGTTGTCGGAGTTTACGGGCATTAGTGTGTTCACACTCGACTTCTCGCCTTCGCCGTTTACAGCCACCAGGCAACCACCGCCTGCCGCACTCATTCTCCTTTTTGGAGATTGGAACGAGGCGCTGGGGCCTGAACTGTAAACAACGTGTGGGGGGGGGGGTTTGATGTGTATCGGCGATGAGAACATTCGGGTATGTGGAGACTTTACGTCGTCGCCGTTTACAGCCACCAGGCAACCACCGCTGAGGATTCAAAACGGTTCCCGATTGGGGGCTGGTGCACTCGGCGCTGGGGCCTGAACTGTAAACAACGGATATGGGTCCGTCTTCCTGCCATTTGGATTTGTACATGGCCCCCGGGGTCACTTTTTGGGGGAGTCTCTCTCTTTTCGCCGTTTACAGCCTCCAGGCAACCACCGCTGGCGACTTGGGTCATCCGAGTTGGGGATCGTGGGTCAGCGCTGGGGCCTGAACTGTAAACAACGAGCTAGAGACATCCATTCTCCCTGCATCCTTTCAATGCGTACGAAAGCCATGCATGTGCGATCTCGCCATGGGTGTTGCGCAGCTGTTTTCGACGCGGTGAGGTAGGGAAAGGCACACTCCGACACTTTATTTAAGCAGGTTGAGACATGCACAAGGTCGTGTGTGACACAACCTGAGAGATCAACTTTCAGCGTTGACGGAGCTGGTGAAGCCATACATATGCTATTGGATGGAGTTCTTGGCAATTCCAACGTGCTGGGGAATAGCCGAGTGATGCGTATCTGTTCGATTGCATCAAGTCCGGCGGGAGACGGAAGCGGGAGTTGCGGCGTCCTCGTCCGTCCTGTGCACTCTGCATGCATGAACTTGCCATGAATTTGAAGCAAGAGGATGGACCTTCTGTGTTGCGAGGAAGTGGTAGGGGGGTGGAACTGCCAATCCTGACCCTAACCCTAACCTAGGGCTTGAGCATCCCGAATTCGAACGAGTCCCGCCCTCGTGTGAGCCGTCAAAGCAACAACCCATTGAACGGCCACCTCCGAGGGAGGCGCTGCGGCTTGGCTTTCTCCTTCTTGTGAACTTCCAAAAGCTCTGACAATCCCATCCCGCATCTCGCACCCACACAACTGTGCAGCACTCACCTCTAATCCTCCAACCCATCACCAACCGACGCAATGGCTATCGGCGACTACCTCTCAGGCGCCGCCGCCACAGGCTCCTCCATGGACCCCGTAAGTCATCCCATCTTCACTTTGCCTCCCCATCCCCACTCCCGGCCCGTCATCCCGTCCGCGGACATTGGGAGCAGACCACGACAGCGGCGGTGGACGCCTCATAGACCTCGCTAGAGCAGCTCACGCAAAAAGATCTCACCTCATCTCATCTCTATCTAAATGTGCGTGATGTGTCATAGATGTGCGGCGGCTTCGAATTATCACGAACCCAGCGGTTCTACGGTTTTGGTAAGCCCACCCACGTTCCCCTGCCTCCACCTCCACCTCCACCTCTCATCACCATCACCTCCGCGTACAGGAATATGTTTCGGTCTCGGGTTCCTCATCAGCGCCTTGGTACGCATGGACCAGACCCATCACACACTTTATGAAGCCCCCGGCACTCACGCTCTGAAAACGTGTTTTGGTAGTCGACGCTGTTGCTCTGGACAGGCAACATCGGCGGGTTCGCGGTGCTGTATACGGCGGGGAACGTGGTTTCGTTGGCTGGGACGGGGTTCTTGATTGGGTTTAAGAGTCAGATTAAGGTGAGGGTTGGATGAGGGCGAGTGCGGGGGGGGTTACTTGTGGTGGATGGACAGAAGTGTCTCATATGGTGGAGATGAATGAGGACGCGGAACGTGCGGAGGGTTGATGGTCGACAAAACTAACCCCACTTGTGTATGACGCTTTTACAGAAAATGTTCGACGCAAGCCGCCTAACAGCCAGCATCATCTTCCTCCTCTCCATGATCGCCACGCTGGTCGTTGCCTTCACCGTACGTCTTGGAATTTTTCGGCGCCGCCCCTCTCCTCCCTCCGACCCATCGCCCAAAAACTAACCCATGTTTTCTTTCCACAGCTCAAAAACGTGCTGGTGACAATCATATTCTGCTTCATCCAGTTCCTGGCGCTGCTCTGGTACTCGCTGAGGTAAGACCAAAAACCGCAACCGTTGCCCCCCCAACAACTCCCAGCCCCGCATTCTTCTCCTTTTCTGGGGTTTACGCTCATCTGCTGGTTTCGGGTGTGGTCCAGTTACATCCCGTTCGCACGCGATCTGGCGAGGAATATCTTTGGCGGGTTGCTCAAGTGAACACCCCACGACACAACTAGCAAACACACACACCATACCCCAAAAACCAACCATTCTGCTGTATCGCCAATGGCACATTCATACAACGCCCCATTCAACTACATACATCACATCAACATCCCCGCTCCCAAAAGGGCTGGCTTGCCTACCCCATCGCATGAACACTTCCACACCGCCCCCCCTCACGCGCTTCATGCCGACCCTCTTCATTTACCCCCCGTTGGTTTCGCGGTGGAGGAAGGCTGGGGCGATGTTACGACGCCGGTGGGGGTTTGCGACCGGAAGGAAGGCGCACACGAGGCGTGAGATAGCCAGACAGATTCGAACGGGGCGTCGGGATCCGGACCCGCGTTTTTGTGTACACGTTATGGAAACCACGACCATCGGGGAGGGGCGCTTTTACCCTTCCGTGGCGTGGAAATAGAGACTGGTCGTCGTGTTCGTGTATGCTGTTTCCAATGCGGAGTGAAGGAAGTGAAAGTGAGGAATCGGGCCCGGTGGTGAGATTAGAGTGCGGACGAGCCGGGGACCCGCATTGACGTTGCGAAAGCCCGGACAGAGCGCACAGGGGATACCCCCAAAACGCCAAGATTCTGACCAAAACAACGATTCAAAGCAACATACTTTTGCAAATTGAAACCTGGGGAAATTGGGGTATATATAAGCTCCATCTGCCTGCCTGCTACGAAAAAAAAAATATATTACAATCGAAAAAGGGGAGGGGGGTACGCTAACGATGGTGCGGTGGGTGGGGTGGGTGGGCTCCTTTTCAATCGCCATACTCCCAGATCTCACAATCCGTGCAATTCGTCTCGGCGATGCAGGGGGGTACCGTTTCCGCGTCTTGGAGGAAGAGGCGGATGACGTTGTTAATCTACCAGGGAGAAGAACCGGGGGGAGAGGGTTTGTTTAGCATCGTAAAGCCCCACATCCCCATGAAAAACTCGCAAGACTCACCTGGTGGTACCGGATATTCATCGCTGCTGAGGTGTTCGCTCTCGCGTCGGGGTCGGGGTCGGGGTCACGGCCGTCATCGAACGTGTTCCACCCGGCAGCAGCATCGTACCTCACCCCTCCGTCCCTGGCATACGGAAAGACCTGCGTGCCCCCGTTCTCCTCGTCCACCGCGTTCACCCAGTCACTGAATCCATTCATCGACAGACGCTTTTTCGCGCGCACGTCGTCCGGGTCATACACACACGATTTTCCCGCATGGCATTTCGTTTCCAGGGCGTACCCGCCAAACCAGCAACTAGACAGCGGGCCGTTGCAGGCGCCCATGAAGACCGGGTCGCCGAGGTTGCCGAAATGGTAGATGGGCAAGTCTGCGGGGAGGGGCTGTGACGCGGGTGGGAGGAGACCCAGCCGGCGAGCGAATGAGACCTCGCCGACGGCCTCGTAAGCGAAACAGGCGACGTTGTTGGTGAGGGCGACGAGGGAGGCTAGTGCGCCGCCGAGGGAGTGGCCAGCGACCCAGACGTTTTTGGCGTCTGGGTTGAGTTGTTTTGTGGCGAGGAAGATGTCTTGGGCGTAGTCGTAGTACGAGTCGTTGTAGTGGGCGGCGGCGTTGAGGCAGGTCGCGTTACAGGTTTTGTAGGCGGAGCCACAGCAGTCGCAGAGGGGCCACCAGGTCGGGCCGGCTTTGCCGCAGCAGCAGGAGAACATCATGTTGTCCTGTGGTAAGCGGGAGGAAGATATTAGTACAGGGTCACGATTCGTTGGTCAACGCTGTCCACAGAAAGTCGTAAAACCTACATTATACTTGTCCCTAGCGCTCGTGCCACCTCCCCCAATCCCAAATACCGACGCCGAGGTGCCCTTATACGCCAACACGATATTCCCCTGTCCATCCTTGTAGACATAACCCCGGACCCCATCGTCATCCCACCCGAACCCCTCCGTCACATTCCATTCGCCCATGTCCAGCCACCTCGACGAGTTTAGCGGCAGGTAGGTGTTGGATGTCATCAGCGCAAAGTTGAGGACGGTCAAGGGGTCCGTGTAGTTGGGCACGGTGATGTATTCGTCGGTTCCCGTGGGAGTAAGCCATAGGTTGTCGTCTCGGTCATTCTGCGACGAGAGCCAGTCTTTCATAGGCTTTTTCGGGCTCGATCTTTGCTGTTGTTGCCACGACGCAGACGTCGGTTTCCGTACGTTGACGCTACTCACGGTGTGGACGAACGACTGTCCTGTAAGAGCAGTGTGCGCAACGAGATCATCTTCCGTAGAAATATCCAGCCGCCTGAAGACCCTCGGATCTTCCTTCGACCCGCCGCGGTGGAAGATGTGAGCTAGTCGTAATTGGATATCATCTCCGCCGGGTAGTGGTTTAGCGGAGTTTTCCCATGAGGATGCAGGCGACTCTGATGTCAATGGTCGACCGGGGGGTCGTGCGGAGCTTATAACCACTGCGGCGAATAAGATGGCCACAAGTGTGGCGTAAAAGACGGCGACATAGACAAGTCGCCTGCTGACATTCCACAGGTATCGCATTGAAGTTGTTTCTGAGTTTTCACCGGCCCCAACGGCGCGGTCTTTCGAATGAAGTTCCCCGATGCTTGATGAGTTGTTGTTAAGCGCAAAAAGTTATGGACGGTCGGACTGTTTTGGGATGAACGTGGATTCGGAGTTGGAAAACGAGATTGCAGGTGTGTCAAGAATCGTAAAGATGGCGGAAGCGGAGCAGTGGATAGCGAATTGACGGACGACGGTAGGATGCGGGACCTCGTTATGATAGACCGATGGATATGAGGCTAGCAGAGACCGCTCGAGAACTTGGATAGACTTTGCTATGGGCGGGAAAGGAATCGTTTTAGACGTGCGGTGCTTTTTGTGACGGAGTGTGGAATTCAGAAGGAAGTCTTGGCATACCTGTAATATGTGTCCGTTGTGGAAGTCCTTTAACCTACCGGGTGATAGTGTATGTAGCGGTGGTTGTGATTGGCGCTTGAGTTGTTTTGCTGGTAGTTGTTTCTGGTGAGCGAGTGTTTGGGGTGGGTGGGTGGTGGGAGAAAGCAGCAAGAAGGAAGGGGGGGGGGAGAAGAAACGTGGGGAGGGGGGCCGCTCAGATGTCGCAGGAGTGCAGATGGAGAGAGAAGGAGGGGGGGAAGTGAGCGGCCCCCCCTGTGTGAATGCCCTGGCCTTCCACAATCACGTCACAGGAATGGGAATGGCTGGATGGGGGGGGGGGGGGGGGGGGAGCCCTCAGATGACCCGTTGCCTCGCTCAACTGCCTGCTTAGACACAATCCCTAATCATGCATGATGAGAACTCAGAGGGGAGTCGCAACCAACGCGTGTGTGACTCACCCCTAACCCTAACCCTAACCCTCTCGCATATCACATAAAAGAAGGAAGCCCCTCCTGCGTCCGCGTCGTCCGTCCGTCTCCCTCTGGTCTCCCTGCATTTTTTTCCTATATTTATACACAACACCCACACCCACCACCGTCTCCACCTCCACAACCACCCTCCCACCCACCCACCCATATCCCACCCCACAATGCAAAAACGATACAAGACAAAGTTCCCCGTCGTAAGTTTCCCACAACCACTCCCCCACCACCACTCCCCCACTCATCCTCCCTCTATCTTCCCCCCCAACAGGCCCGCATAAAAAAGATCATGCGCACAGACGACGAGGTCGGCAAGGTCGCCCAGGTCACTCCCGTGCTCATATCCAAAGCCCTCGAGCTGTTTATGGCCGCTCTTATCGACCAGACCTGCAGAGAGACCAGGACGAGGAATGCGAAAAAGATGACCACCGCTCATTTGTATGTGTTTTGTTTTCGAGAGCGCGCGGGAGGAGAATGCGCGCGGAGTACGGTGGATTGCCCCGGAGGCGCAAGAATGCTTGAGGCTGGCGGAGCCCTAGGCGAACGCCTTCGCGAGCGACAGCGAGCGCAACCCCTAATCACGGCTCTACCACCCCTAATGATAGATGGATGGTTGATGAATGGTTGATGGGATGGTCGATGGGATGGTTGATGGGATGGTTGATGGGATGGTCGATGGGATGGTCGATGGGATGGTTGATGGACTGTGCACAACGCATTCTCACGCCCGCCCGACTGACTTGACCGCTCCCTCTCCAACCCTCTCCAAAATCCAGAAAACGAACCATACTAGAAGTCGACACCTTCGATTTCCTCGCGCCGCTCGTCGAAGCCCTGCCCGACCCCGGCGGCGGCGGCGGCCCTACCGAAGCCGGTGACGCGTCTCCCACAACAACAGCGGTATCATCGTCCATAACGACAGCTGCGGGAGGGGATGAGGAGGGGGAGGCCGCGAAGGGGAAGGCGAAGGGTGCGAGACGGGGGAGGAGTGCTGCGGGCGCGTCGAAGGAGGGGAGGGTGAAGGATGAAGAAGAGGAGGAGTTTGTTTGAATGTTTGGCGCCTGGTTGGGCGGGCGTTTATACGGCGGGAGAGGGAAATCGCCCGTCTCTTGCTTCCACACGGTGTCGCGTGTGTGTGTGGTTTTTTTTTTTTTGGATATCGCTTCCAACTATCTCGGTTGGGGGTGACGAGCGAGGGAGACAGAGGACATTCCGTTGCCATGCTCCCTCCTGGGCCTTGTACATGTGTTGTGTCTAGAACCTAGAGAGTCGCTATCTATTCCCCAAAAAATTTCCCCGAGCAATCCTAATCTGACTGCCCTAATTCCTACATCAACTACGCACGCTATACATACAGGATATACGCCCCCCTTTCCCTTTCCTCACCTACAACCCAACCCCAACCCTAACCCACGCCTCCAAATCCCCCCTCGCCACCCCCGCATGCCCCCTCACAACCCCATCCGCGTCCCCCTCACACCGCCCCAACATCCCCTTGATCCTCCTCACCCCCTCCACGCCCACCTGGCTCACAATATCCCCCTTGAACCCCCTCACCAACCCCACCAACAACGCCACGGCGGCCCGCCGCGTAGGGGCCGTGTCCGTTTCGAGCGTGAGGAGGCTGTCGGTGTAGCTCAGCAGTTGGTGGATGTACGGTATCAGCGCATACGGGCTTGTCTCCGCCAGCATGCCCAGCAGCCCCAACGCACTGCCGCGGAGTTCCGGGTGTGAGTCGTGCAGCGTGCGGAGGACGGGGGGGAGGATCTCCGGGGCGTATTTGGCGAAGGCGGTCCCGAGGCGTTGGATGGTCTGCAGCAGCGCCTCCCCGATGCGCAGGCGGTAATCGAGCGGGAGGGTCGGGGTCGTGTACCGGGTCGTGATGGCGTGGAGGGTCAGCGACGGGTATGCGTCGGTTAGGGCGGAGAGGCCTTTGATTGCGTTGAGGTAGATGAAGCTGTACACAGAGGGAGGGGGGGGGGGGGGGTGAGTGTGTTTTCGTCGTCAGCGGGTGGGTGGGGGATCCCCGGGGCGTACCTGTCGTCGTCACGCAACTGGGCCAAAAACACATCCGTCACATCCCCGATCCGGTCCGCGACAAGATCATCCCTCGCCAACACCAGGTTTCGTATGACATGCATCCCGTACGCGCGCACAGGCAACAGCTCGTCCCCCACATCCTTCAACGCCGTCTGCAGCGTCTCCGCGGAGCTCTGCGGGGCCGCGGGCCCATCCCCGGCAGTCAGCCCCGACGCCCTCGTGACGACCAACACCCTCAACTCCATCGCCATCCCCCTGACGCTCTCGTCCGGGTGTTCCCGGAACGTCTGCAAAATCGTCAACAGCTCGTCAAAAACGGGTTGCATGCCCTTGTCCGACTCCGGGTCGTCGACCCGCGCGTCGATGACGGCGGTCAGCAACGCGAGGCCCAGGGAGACCGATTCGTCGTCGGATGTGAGGAGCATGTTCTTGGCAAAGAGGATGATTTGCGAGGGGGAGGTGAGGATGCGGTCGCCGTAGGTTTGCATGAGGGCGAGGGTGAGTTGGGTGATCAGCAGCTTTTCTGTCGCGTTTTCTCCTTCGTCCCCCTCCTCGTCCTCGGCTGATTCGAACACGTCAGAGGTCCCGAGATGCTCGATCAAGCGGAGGAACAGACTCCCCACCAGCGCGTCGTTGTCCACCAGGGCCAGAAACTCCATGAACGCGTCCACATCCACCACCGCGCGGGGTAAATCCGGCGGTCGGGCGATCATCACCACCCCCCCCTCCCCACCCCTCTTCAACGCCGAGCCTTCCCCCCTCCTTACATCCACAATCGTCTGCCACAACACCGCGCTCGCATCCGTTTTATCCTCCGTGCGGAAGAACGCGAGGAGGATATCCTGCACGGGTTGCCTGACGTGCGCTGCCGTAAGTGTGGCAAAGGCGTAGATGTCGTAGAGGGGGGGTATGACGGGATGTAAGGATCGTCTGAGGGGGTCGCTGATGGTGTTGCTTGTCAGGAGGCGACGGATGAGCAGGATGGTGGTGGTGAGGGCGGGTTCGGTAGATAGGATGGGGTTGCCGTCTAGATCCTGGGGTGTGTCGGTGGGTGGGAGATCGGTTGCTTCGGTGTAGTATGCCAATAAGGGGGCTAGGATCGGGTTGATGAGGTACGTTCGGGTCTGGTCGAAGTACTTGCTCAGGAGATGGGTGGTGACGTATGCGGCTGCCGTCGACACGATCTTTGCATTGTCCGCCGTTTTAAGTAGCAAAAGCAACTGCGGACAGATGATGGAAAAGTACTCGTCGACGGAAGCGGCCTGTTTCGGGACAGACGAGATGACCTGTGCGACTTTTTGCAGCTGTTGGGTGTCCTGCGAGCCTGTTTCTGATTGCGGCTGGAGCAGGCATTCGAAGAGGGTTCGGATGCCCGTGGGTCTGAGCAGGATCTGGGAGAGAAGGTGCGAGCATCGCGCTTTGAACCAGGGGGCGGGCCGTGACCGGAGCAACGAGAAGAGAGCTTCCATGGAGTGGGCGGAACTTGCACTTGCAAAGACATTACTCAGCAACTTTGCTGCGGGTTGGCGATAACTGCTTTCCCCACTCTGATTCTCTTGCGTTTCGTCGCTGGCCCCGTTCTGTGGACTGTACCCCGACTGCAGCAGCGCTGCAAACACATCCGGTAGGTACTTTGTCACTAGAAACCGCTTGACGACGGTATTCCGCTCATCGCACACCATGGATGCGAGGCCATCCGATATCCGAAACAGCAGCGCATCGTTTGAAGTACCCTTCACGTCTCCTACCGGATAGCGTCGATGGAGTAGGCCCCACAGGTTGAGTACAACAAAACAGAGAAGCAGGACGTAATGGGAACCATGTTTGGATCAAACCTTCAAAATCCAGAAGCATAGTATACCGGGTCCGGGCCGCTATCGGCAATCCCACGTTCGGTTGAAGCAAAGGATATACGCCGAGAAAGACCACCACCTGGAGGAGGGTGTCCAGCAAACGCAGGTCGCCCGCTCCCACCTCGCTCTCGTCGAGGGTTATGAGTTGGTTGACGCTTAGTAGGCATTGTAGGCAGGCGAGGGCGAAGCGGCCTTTGTAGTTTGTGGCTGGCTGCAGACGCTCATTGTCACTGAAGCCTGCTCTTTCGAGTCTTGCTCGTATCACAGACGCTGCATCCACTTCCTTCTTGCCGGTTCCTACACATGCATACGATTGGTTAACTCCAGAAAGAGAACGAGAGTGACATGTAGCTTTCCGCACATATACCTCCTTCGACGTTTGGGCCGACCAGGAGCTCTGCAGTTCTGAGGGAGTCCTTGAGGGAGGGAGTGGTCATTGCGGAAGGCGCTGGGTCCTGCAGGGGTTGCGACGAGAAGAACGAGACGGAGGAGGGGAGCAGGCCCACTGACGGCGGGTGGCTGTGCAGATTGACAGAAAAGGCCTCTCGCCGCCTCTCGCCCGTCGAAAAGCCCCCTCCTGGACGAACTGGGCCTCAACAACACTTTACACATATATAGTTATTAGTTAGTATATAGACCCGTGCTTCGACTTACTGTACAAGACGCCCTGGGAACCCCATAGAACGAGAGCTCCAACCGTTCCTCTACCATATCTCAACCGGTTCCCCGACATATATTACCCTCGGTTGCTGGCAGATCAGTAGGGGCATTCCAGGGGAAACCGCTAGATCACCTACATACCACACGGCTATGGACGGTGGAGAAGACGACGACTTTCTCGCGGTCGACTCCCTGTCGACTGCTCAAGCGGAGCTGCCTTGGGATCAGTTTGTTGGACAGGTGTTCATTCCTGGGACCAACTCAACGAGTTTCAGCAGGAGGCTTGCTGTATTGAATGGAACCGCAAGGAAGTTGTCCAGCGAAGGTGGGAGGAGGATGTCTTTCCTTTGGTGAATTGTGTTAGAAAAGTGCTGAACGAAGTTATCGAACGCCTTGTAGCATTACCGGACTCGCAATTGGCGGCAGTCGTGCAGCAATTGCTTTTCGCAGTTCCCCGATACCCGGAATTGAGGGCAAGGAAAGCGGTGCTACAGGTGCTCAAAAGCCTCTATGCGCGCGGACGGGAAGGAAAAGGGGCGCTGGAGGTGTCATTCCTGAAAGGCACGGTGAAGCTGCTGGAACGAGAGTTGAAAGGAAACTTGTATGTACGACTAGTTGGAGTGCTTGGTCGCTTGGACAACGTCGAGCTTACGCCGTATTTGCTTTACAGACATGGATGGCCTCCGGTTCTGCTTTTCGACTACCTGCAATGGACCGGTCTCCTGATCAAGTGCTGCCTGTCACCAACACCGGAACCGGCACCGAAAACGGAAGAGTTCACCGCATCTCCATTGTGGAAGACGCTGATCGCGCTTCACGCGTCGCTTCTGGATGCTTTGGGGAGCTCTAGCGGTAACCGGCGGGACGTTACTTTCTCGCGGGTGAAAGCCAGCACGCGAAAGATCATCGATGTGGCTGGACCATCAGGCGTTGAGGCCATCTTGCAAACGTTACTCACGCCCGCGACGATCGAAGGAAGTGAGGGGTGCAAGCGGTGCATCTTTGTCGGGCTCGCGATGGAGGTGGTGGTGAAGAAGGGCTACACCCCGGTGTTTGACAAGTTCAAGGTGTGTATTCCGTGAGGGTGAAGGACTCGAACAGCCTGATTACTGACGAAAATCCTTTCCCACTTTCATAGCCGGATGTTTTGAATCTGTATCTGAAGGCTTTGATGACCTCTCGTTCCCCCGTACCCTCGGCGTATCTCGAGTCATTAGCCCCGTTTTTCCAAAAATCACTTACCCCCGACGTATTCGACAAGGAAATAGCGCCTACTAGTGAAAGGCTACTCCTCCGTTCCCCCGAAGTTGTCATCAAAGTGCTGGATTACACAATACGAAGCGTCGATTTCGACGTGTCGAAGCAGTTCCGAACGAAGTATGCGGATGCCGTACTCAACCACATGCGCTCCACCAATGATGTCGTCCGCCTCAGCGCTGCCGATTTCTTCAAAACTTTCTGCTCAAAGAGCACGGAAGAGAAGGAACTGGTGGCTGTCGTGGATCTGACCGCGAAAGCTCTCACCACAAAAGGACCTTCTGTGGACCAGAGGCAGATGTACTACAGTGCCTTATCCCAACTCCCAGCCCTACCCGCCGTAGCAAAGAAGGTCTTTGAGAGCAGCCCGGCTCTTGTGACGAAAGAGTCCAATGATACGTGCCTACAGTTCCTGCTGCAGGCCATCGCGATCCACATCCGAGCGTACTTCGAGTCCCCAGCCGCAGACGCGAAGGTGATTGCCAGCATTGTGGCGTTCGTCAAAGGCGGCGTGTCCGACGCGAAGAGCGGAACTCGCCGCGCGTTTTTGTCCTTGTTGCCGATCGCGTTCCAGGGAGAGGCTCTGAAAGCCTTGGGCGGGGCATGGAAGGATCTCGTGGACCCTGTCGTGAAGTTGGTGGAGAAGGTGCAGTCTTCTGGGATCGCGCTTCTGGATCTAAAGAAGGACACACCTGCTCTTGTTGAGGGTTACTTGGCTATCCGCTGGTTGCAGGAAACATCTCTTGCTGCGAAGGATACTATCGGTATGTCCCAGGCGTGGATTCTGTTCTCCCCAAGTCTTTATAGGCTAACTTGCGGTGTGCAGGTGCCGATCTGGAAAAGCGCAAGTTCTTCACCACAGTGTACTCGACAAAATCCTTCTTCCTGAACGAAAAGTACTACGGGAAGCTGCTGCAAACCGCCGACGAGCAGCTCCACTTCGTCCACTGCTTGTTGAAGGTGATCGAAATCCCCGAGTGGTACAAACTCACGACGGGGTCCGGAAACGCGGCGGAGAGGAAACCTCTGGCCTCAGCACTCGTCTGGTTTTTGGTTGAGACCCGTCAGCATGAGGTTCGCCAGGCGGCTGCTGCGGAAATCAGGAAGCTCTTACTCCCCCGAGATGCTACTCTTTCGGATAAAGTGGTCGGTCTGCTTCAAGTCGGACTCGGGCGCATCCTGACACAGGGAGTGTATCGCGGCAAGCCAAGTGGAAGCGGAACCTGGAACGAACCCATCTCGAGGAGTTCGGACACCATCGGACACAAAGTGTATGGAGCGCTCTGCGTTGCCCTTCCATACTTGGCCGACGGGGAGCAACTGTCATCAGCGGACACCGCATGGAAAAATGCCGTGGAAAGCGGCCTTATGCGCTTGTCGGTGATCGCCTGCCACCCAGCCGTGACGGAAGTCATGGGCGATGATGTGTGGATCCGGCTGTGCTTCCGTTCTGGTACCGGCCCTCATATTGTGGACGCCCATGTTGGGGAGATCATCCGGCTGTGGTTGGTCAAGGGTGAAGGTGAAGATGTCAGTGAAGGAGGCTTCGACGAGAACATCGATCCGACTATCCGCACCGCAACGCTGGCTGCTCTCACCTTATTCACGGAAGTGGCCACTGAGGCGGTTATCAAGGAAGCGCTCCCGTGGGCGTTGACGGCTTTGGACAATGAGGACGTGAAAAAACTGACTGCAAATGACGTTGGAGTCTGGTCCACGCCTGAAGGCACCCTGTTCTTCGACCCCACCGCGAAGAAAGTCAACGGCCGCGTGGACGACAGGCCCAAAACCGCGGAAGAGAAATGGGAGCGGGAACTCAAGAAGGAATTGCAAAAGAAGGGTAAAACTACCACCGGAAAAGCGCCGGAGACAAAGATCAGTAAAGCCGAACGCGAGTTGCAGCAACAGCAGCTGGCGAAGGAATCCGAGATCCGCAAGCATGTCCATGCTCTGCGACACACCGTCATGGTTGGCGTGGATGTCCTCCGCGCCGTCATCGATGGTGTGACTAGGAGTGTAGGCGAGGAGGCGCGCGGGGCGCTCAGCAAGTCGATGACGCAGATCGTTAAAGTTCTGTTGCACAGTGTCATTGCACGCGAGCTTGCCGTGGTGCCGGATTCGCAGCAGAACCCGGCTGTCCTGGCTGGCCACCAGGCGATTGATCTGTACAGCCAGCTTGGAGAGGTTGTGGGCGATGATCTGAGGGGGCTTATTGACCCGCCTGTGCTCGCGATGGCGACGTTGAGAGCTCTTGGAGTCAAGGAGGGCGAGGGCGGGATCGATAAGTGGTATTGCAAGAAGGATTTAACCGCCTACATCACATCGGTCCTCGAAGAACTGTCGACAAAGTACACCTCGGAGCAGCCGTTGGACCCCGGGGCCTTCTCCTACGTGTTCCCGCTACTCCGCGCGATCGTCCTCCGTGAAGGCCGCATCGACCAGCTCAAGGACCGCGAAGCAACCGACCTCGCCATGTCCGCCTCCGACATCCTCCTCGCGCAATCAAGCCTTGCCGAATCCCCCTATGTCCCGCGGTCGGGCATGGTGCAGTGCCTGTTGGAGCTGCTGCACTCGTACCCGCGCGTGAGGGGTGCTGGCAGGGAAGGGCTTCTGACGCTTGCGTTCGCTATCAGTGCGGGAGCTCCTGACGATGATGAGGCTGATGGAGATGGGGAGCAGGAAACTGGAGGCGAAGGCGTACCGGAGGTTGTGGATGAGTTGCTGAAAGGCTTGCTGTCACCAGAGGAGGCTGTCCGTGAAGCGTGTGTCATGGCGCTCACGCATCTGACTGTGCCTGAGGAAGTCTCGGACGTCTTTGATGCGCGGATCTGGTTGTCTAGGTTTGACAGCGTGGAGGCGATCAAGGAGCAGGCTGATGCGCTCTGGAGCGAGTGGAACGGGGATGCGACATTGAGCGTGGAAGCTATTGACAGTATCATCCAGCTGACGGTGCATAGTGTGGAAGCGGTCAGGTCGAGTGCTGGGCGCGCCTTGTGCGGGATTCTCACGCATCATCCGGAAGCGGTGCGGCCGACTTTGGAAAAACTTTACGGGCTGTACACACTCAAGGCCGCACTGCCGGAACCAGAGTACGACGCTTACGGGATGGTCATCCCGGAATCTCTCAACAAGCCCGATGAATGGCCCGCGCGTGCCGGCGTCGCATCAGCTCTGAAATCGTGTGTGCCCATCATCACCACCCTCGAGTCGCTGCAGAGCCTGTTCAACTTCCTGATCATCGGAGAAGCCCTCGGGGACCGCAACGAAACCGTGCAACGCGCGGTTCTAGACGCGGGACTGTCCGCTGCCAACGCAAGCGGAAAGACGTACGTCAGAGAGTTGCTGGACGTCATTGACGGATACCTCTGCGAGCCGGCCAGGCCGTCGGCGGTGCACGACCGGATTCGAGAATCCTGTGTCATTCTCTTGGGTACGCTTGCCCAGCACTTGGAGTCGACGGACCATATGATACCTGAAGTCATCGCGAAGCTCATGGAGACGCTGAAGACGCCCTCGGAGAATGTACAGGTCGCTGTCTCGGAGTGTCTGCCGGCCCTCGTTAAGGTCAACAAGCAGGACGCGCGCAAGCTCGTTGAAAAGCTGTTACATCAGCTTTACACCGCGCCCAAGTACGGAGAACGGCGTGGTGCCGCGTATGGTCTTGCGGGAGTCGTCAAGGGGTGCGGGATCTCTGCCATCAAGGAGTTCGGCGTCATGACGAGCTTGAAAGAAGCCGTGGAAGACAAGAAACGCGTTGAGAAGAGGGAAGGTGCTCTCTTCGCCTTTGAGACGCTTTCGCAGACTCTCGGACGGTTGTTTGAGCCGTATGTCATTCAAATCATCCCGCTGTTGCTTGTCTGCTTTGGAGATAACAGCCGCGAGGTCCGGGAAGCGACCAACGACGCTTGTCGGGTTATCATGTCGAAGTTGTCGGCTCATTGTGTCAAGCTTGTGTTGCCGAGCTTGTTGAATGGGCTGGAAGATCGAAACTGGAGGACTAAGACGGGGAGTATCGAGGTCTTGTCGAGCATGGCGTACTTGGCCCCGAAGCAACTCAGTGTTAGTTTGCCGACGGTTGTGCCTCGGATTTGTGATGTGCTTGCGGACTCGCACGCCAAGGTACAAGAGGCTGCTAAACAAGCCTTGAATCAGTTCGGAAACGTTATCAAGAACCCGGAGATTCAGGCGTTGGTTCCGGTGCTACTCAGTGCTTTGGTTGACCCTAACGGAAAGACCAACGCGGCGTTGACCGCTCTCCTCGACACCGCATTCGTGCACTACATCGACGCGCCATCTTTGGCGCTGCTTGTTCCTATCCTCCAGCGAGGTTTGCGCGAGCGTGGAACGGACATCAAGAAGAAAGCGGCGCAGATCATGGGCAACATGGCGACACTGACAGATCCCAAGGATTTGCTGCCATATTTGCATTCCCTGATGCCAGAGCTCAAGGAAGTCCTCGTGGACCCCGTCCCCGAAGCTCGAGCAACCGCCGCAAAAGCTTTCGGAAACATGGTCGCCAAGCTTGGAGAGGACAACTTCCCCGGCCTTGTTGCAGAATTCTACGGCACACTTAAGAGCGACACTAGCGGTGTTGACCGCAGCGGTGCCGCCCAAGGTCTCAGTGAAATCCTCGCCGGGCTTGGTATCGAACGCTTGGAGCTCCTTCTGCCGGACCTGCTCATCAACGCCGACAGCCCCAAATCGTACGTTCGTGAAGGCTTCATGACGCTCATGGTTTACCTACCTGGGACGTTCGGAGAGAAGTTCCAGCCGTACCTTGGAGATATCATCCCACCCGTTCTCCGCGGTCTGGCGGATGAGAGTGAACCTGTCCGCGACTGCTCGATGAAGACCGGTCAGATGATCATCAGGAACTACGCTACCACCGCTGTGGATCTGCTGCTTCCTGAGCTCGAGCGCGGGTTGTTCGACGAGAGCTGGCGTATTCGTCAGAGCTCGGTGCAGCTGTTGGGCGATCTCCTTTACCGGATTGCCGGCGTGTCTGGGAAGGTCGAGGTGGACGGTGCGGAAGAGGAGGGACTGGGAACTGAGCATGGTCGCCAAGCGCTCCTCAGCACTCTTGGAAAGGAACGCTATAACAAGGTGCTTGCCAGCTTGTACGTTGCCCGTGCTGACGCGAGCGCCATCGTCCGCCAAGCCTCGCTTCACGTTTGGAAGAGCATCGTGTCCAACACGCCCCGCACGCTCAAGGAGATCCTGCCCATCATGATGGATATCATTGTGGCCAGTCTGGCCAGCGAGAACAGCGATAAGCGCGGGTCGGCGGCAAGATGTCTTGGCGACCTCGTGCGCAAGTTGGGCGAGTCGATCTTGCATGAATTGCTCCCCATCCTGGAACGTGGGCTTGACAGCGACCGGGCTGAGATCCGACAGGGTGTGTGTGTTGCTCTGACGGAGATCATGGCGACGGCTAGTAAGACACAGGTGGAGGAGTTTGTGCAGGATAGCGTCAAATTGGTGCGCAAAGCTTTGGTCGATGAGGACTCGGATGTTAGGGAAGCGGCCGCGCAGACATTTGACATGTTGCATCAACATATGGGTCGCCATGCCATCGACGAGGTCTTGCCAACTTTGCTCAACATGCTCAAGGCTGGTGGCAAGCAAGCTAACCCCGCAAGCGCGTTCGCATTGGAGGCGCTCAAGGAGATCATGGCTGTTCGCAGTAACGTGGTCTTCCCGGTGCTCATCCCGACACTCATTTCCCGCCCCATCACGAGCTTCAACGCCCAGGCCTTGTCCAGTCTGATTACGGTCGCCGGATCCGCCCTCAACAAGCGGCTGGAAGCTATCCTGTCTGCCCTGATGGACGCGCTTGAGGACGGCGACGATGCGGAAGCGGACATCAAGGAGACGATCAAGGTCCTTCTCGTAAACGTCGAAGATGACGATGGCGTTTACCAGGTCATGTCGATCCTTACTACTGCCGTGCGCAACGGGTCGGTCGAGCGCAAGAAGGTCGCAACACATTGCTTGCAAGTCTTTTGCCAGGGCAACCAGGAGGCTCTTGAAGCCGACACGATTGAAGACTGGCTTGAGCTCCTTATTGCGATGCTCAGAGGTGGCGAAGGGGAGAGTGAAGCCGTCTCCACCGCGTGGGGTGCGTTGGATGCGCTCGTGAAGCGGATCAAGAAGGAGGAGATGGAGAAGTTTGTGCCCACGTTGAGACGCGCGTTGAGGGATGCCGAGGAGGGCATGGGTGAGAGCGAGGTTCTTGAGGGTCTTTCGATACCCAAGGTATGTCAATTAGCTGCGATGCTGGAAGCTTAAATGTAGTTCGAAAACAGTTCTTGATTCCATGTCGTTCTTGCAGGGCATCTCCCCCATCCTTCCCATCTTCCTGCAAGGGCTCATGTACGGCAGCGCCGATTGCCGTGAACAGTCCGCCCTGGGGTTGGGCGACCTGGTACGCCGGACATCACCCGATGCCCTGAAGCCGTTCGTGACCCAAATCACCGGTCCCCTCATCCGTGTCATCGGAGACCGATTCCCATCCAGCGTCAAATCCGCGATCCTCATGTCTCTCAGCTTACTCTTGGACCGCGTCGCCCCAATGCTCAAACCATTCCTCCCGCAACTCCAGCGCACTTTCGTCAAATGTCTCTCCGAATCAAGCGGGATGGTTCGCGACCGAGCGGCCCGGTGCCTGTCGTCGTTGATCCCGCTCCAGACCAGGCTGGACCCGCTCGTCGTTGAACTGTCCCAGGGCTTGCGTGGTGCGGACGATATGGGTGTACGCGCAGCTGTTTGGGAAGCTTTGTATGGCCTTGTTAATGGAGTCGGTGGGCCTGGACGGGACTTGAACGATACGAGCCGCAAGACGATCCAGGCTCTCCTGACAGAGGGCATTAGCTCGAGTGGTGAACATGATGGTAAGTGTTGACTTATCTCGGATCGAGAGATTGTGCATCTTCTCACTCTAATTGTAATTGTAGAAGTGGCCAGAGTAGGCGCAGCGAAAGTGATGGGCGCGTACGGCAAATACGTATCACCAGAAGAGTCCAAAGACTTGATCAGGTATGTCATACATGCTTCCCTCTTGCTCAAAAGAAAAGCCCTTTTCTAATGAAGCGTACGTCCTCATGTGCTTCTCGCTATCCTCTGCAGCTCACAGATACTAAGCGCCAACGGCCACGCTGACTGGTTCCGCGTTGAAGGAGCCCTCCGCGCTCTTCATAATGTCATACTATGTGCACCTCTGCTTCTGCAAGAATTGGATTTGGTGAAACAGGCTCAGGACTTGGTTGTGGCTTCCTTGCATCATAACAAGGTGGGTTGGATACCTTATTTTATCTCATTGGTTTTTGAACGGGAGTATTAATCTGGCCTTTTCTGTGCGTATCAGCCACAGGTGATTGAAGAAGCGGTCACGGCTGCGAGCAGAATACTTGGTGTTCCAGCATACGCCGCGGACTCGCAAATCCGAGATCCACTGGTCGATGCCTTGACTGATGTTGTTCAAGCTGCTGGTTCATCGACCGAGGCTCGACGCGATGCCGTGGTTGCACTCAAGAATCTGGCGAAAAGCTCGCGTGGGGTGCGTCAAACATTCTTCACTCACTTATCTCCTCGCTTTCAATGGCCCGCTGAATCTTTCCACGTCCTTTAGTCTGTCGCCACGAAACTCGCAACGGTCGTTCCAGCCCTTATGCAATGCGTCCGCGATCGCAACGCTTCCCTAAAACATGCAGCGGAACGCGCATTGCTTCACGTCCTGGATGTCGGCACCGGCTCGGACACCTTACAGAAGTACTTGGGGACATTGGACGCCACTACCGCACGGCAAATCGGTGATTACGCTCGAAGGGTTTTGAGCAAGCTTGATGCGTCGGGGAGTGATGACGAAGCCGAGCAAAACGATGTGATTTATTGAGATGTGTCTCACCTAATGAGCTTCAACAACCACACGTGTCAGACCACATGGATGGGTCAATATGAATTTCCAAGCATGTAGCATTATGGATAGGACCTGCACGCCACATATATATATATACATTCGAGTAGCCACTGTACACATCAACCCATGTATCTACTGCACAATCGAATCACTTTGATCTCTGTTGTTGAACTGTGTGATTTTAGGTTACTGACCGTGAATTGAGGCTGTTCGCAAAAAAATGGAGCTGGCGGAAGGACTAGACAGGTTTGTTCAACGCTGTCGGGTGCCTATTCAATCTCAAGCGAAAAGTACAAGCGTTGGGAAAAGCAGAAGGGAAAACACCTCCGAGAAATCGCAGAGAGAAAACTGTCGAAATCAGGCACGACTGACAGGCGTCTTCATGCTTTGCACGACTCTCCTTACATTCCCGCCGTCAACAGAACAAGCGAACCTCCTCAAATTCGGCAAATTCGGTCGCTCCTACGGAGAGCCCAGCAACGACATACATACCCTTCTGTTATTCTCACGACTGGGCAATGTCTTTGCAGGCGACAAGGGAGGCTCTCGCGCAGGTGTTGGCGCAGGCCGCCGCGATATACGTCGACGACTTCAGCGATAAAGACGCCATCATCAAGAAAAGCGTCCAAGAGTTGTTGACGCCGGATACCAGTCTCTATATCTTCTTGAGTACAGCGTTCACTTCAGCTGCCTTGGCCTTGGTGGTACGTTAGCGGGGTCTTTTGGGAAGACGACAGGGCTACTTCGGGAAGCCTTACTCAACTGGTCGTCCATGGACAGGCTGAACATCGAGACGACGAAGCAAAGCTCAAGGAGCCACTATACCGGCTCCTGGATGTTTCATTGTGTTGCTATGAAGCTGGTGCGTGGAACTTCCTTGGCCTATAGTGCGTCGCTGCCCCGCCAGATAGACGGATGCCCTGACATGCGAGTACCCATCTTAGGCATCCAGGACCAATCCTTACCTTTCAACATCTTGGAAGATGTCCTCGATGTGCTTACAATCGAGGCGACGGACATTCTTGTTGAGTATCTGGAGACTCGGCGTCATAGGTTGACGATGGTACCATATCTTAGTTTGCGGAAGTGGCATTTGAGAAATGTTGTCTGTCTGAGCTTTGTTATCAATATTTCAGAACATCGACCCAACAAAAGGAAAAGGACTTGTCCTCCTTCGCATGTGCAACGAAATGGTCCGCCGTGTTTCGAAGACCCGAAACACTCTTCTCTCTGGGCGCATTTTGATGTTTATGGCGAATGTGTATCCATTAGCAGAGCGATCAGGTATGGACAATAGCCCGATCCAGCTCTCGAACATACATGGAGTTGGAGAGTCATACTTATACCCGTACTTCGTTCAGGTGTGAATCTCAGGGGAGAGTTCAATGTCAAAAATGTGACACACTACGAAGGCGAAGATGATCCCATCGACGATGATGCGATGGAAGTTGATGGCAAGACGGATGGCGCAGAAGGTATGAATTTACATGTTACGTCTGCTTCGAGCGAAGCATCTTACCCATATGCCCTCCAGCATCCGTCTACAAGCGGCTTTGGAATTTGCAGAAATACTTTTCGAACCCCCCTCTATTATGGCAGCCTGAAAATCTGGCCATCTTCAAAAAGGTACAGGATACTTACAACCTCATCACAGATACATCCTGAGCTACGATGTTGACGAACTCTGTCTATCAACGCATAGGGGTTGGACTTGGTTCTGAAGAAGTTTGAACAAGTGAATAAAGAATCCATATTGAATGCAAACAAGTCTGAGGAACAGAAAATTGAAGAAAGCGCGAAAAAAAGGAAGCACGAACTTGATCATGAAAGTGAAGGAGTCCGGAAGAAGCCAACCAACTCGAATGGCGCGAATGGAGTACCCAACGGTGCGATTAACGGAGCGACAAATCCGCATAATGAACGTAAGCGGAGGCTCGATTCTGCCGCTGAGGAGTCGGGCCCTCGGAAGAAGAGAGGAAACGGCAATACGTTTTTCCCGAAGTTCCTGTCCAGTCCCAATCTGTTCGAACTCCAGGTATGTCAAAACTTCCCTGTAAGTTCTTTAATTTGTGGGTCCTGATTTTGTGCTGGTATCAGCTTCGAGATCCAGAATTCCGCCGTCAGATCCTGGCGCAATCTTGCATAATATTGCAGTACATTTCAATGATGTCTCAAGATGAGAAGGATCGAATGGCAAAACAGCTGGTGGACAACCCTACTATCTTGAACAAATCCGTTCAAGTTCCTTACACGCTTACCCCAGAAGACGTAAGGGTTGCGCAACATCTCTTGGTGAAAGCTATGGGTATACTTTGCAGTCGACTGACTTGTGTTTGTGTAACTAGGAAACATGGGTCAAAGAAACGCGAGCCCGAATTTTCTCTGCTTGCGAAGCAATGACGCCTGGCGGGAGGCAATTTTCAAAACTGCTGCTAACAGTGATAACTCACGAACGCAACTGGGTATGTGCCGTTATAGTCTTTTGCAAGGGGTTTGATGACTGCCTTTGATAGTTTGCTTACCTCCCTGACCTAGATTGAGTGGAAGAATCGGTCATGCCAGCCGTTTGAGTTACCACCCGTCGATATTACGGCCGGAGTGAAGAAGCCGAAGTTACCTGTAAGTGATTGACCCTTTAGTCATGCATCGCGGAGATCAGTCTGACCAGGTTTGCATTTACAGGGTTCCGAGACTGTTCGACGGGCCACCTGGCTCGGAAATGATGCAATGACTTCCCTATGGGCGAAAGGGGAACAGGTCGAAGACATTTTGCGGAATCCAAACAGAAAACGGTCAATCCCCAAGTTTCAGGATGCCATCGCTATGCTTGATGAGCAGCTTGACGAGAAAGGCGAGCTGACCGGCGGCATTGAAGCTGAGTATGCGCTTCACACGGACATGGTAAGTCGGACCCAGTGTTACCCCACATGAGCGTTTTCCTTGACTCTAACAGATTTACTCCCTCCCTGCCCTTCTCCCCCACCTGCTCCTTCAGAGATACAACTGGCGCCTGTATCGTATAGCGCTCCGGGATAACTTGAGCCTATTCCAGGGGACGATTCCCAAGCTCGGTGCTCGTCTTGAGGAGATGCAGATTGAAAACAAGGCGCCTGGTCGAAGCTTAGTTCTTGAATGGCGCAAGCAGAAGGCGCGCCAGGCTGAGACTGCGCAGGGACCGAAAGAGACGGCATCAGCAGAACCTGAGCCGAACGACGATTCTGTTGCTGTCGGCGAACATCTGGATTCAGGTAAGCAGCACAAATTCTGAACGAGAGTATCAGGAAATCGTGGAGCTGATTCCAAATGGTTCTTAGCGCCAGAATCACCGAAGCAAGGCCCGACGGTTCCACCGGTCATCACCGACCTCCCACCAGCGTCTTTCCCCGACTCCCCGCCCTACTCGCCGCCCTCTACCGCGAAATCGGAGGTTGCACCGCCATTGTCAGTTACCGAAATGCCACCCGCCAGTGCTCTGAGCACTGATGAGAAGGCCCCGGCGGCCTTGCAAAATGGTGAAGAGAATGGACTCGCACCTGCGAATGGTGTGAGCACTGATGAGAAGTCTCCTGCGGCATTGCAAAACGGTGAAGAGAAAGCACGCGCACTGGCGAATGGGATAGAAACGGAAGATAGGCCGTCTCCGGAAGTGGCCGGCATCGAGGGAAAGGTATCTGCCGAGAACACGTCGGTGAAACCCATAGATACGGTGGCCAACGAAGTTGCCACACCTGCCACTCCACAACCCTCCGTCGAATGAACACTTAACGCTGATTCAGCAATTTCGCACGTCCGACCATCATAGTAATCCTCACGATAGTGTGCATTTTTTGGAACATTTTACAGTTTGTTTTTATACTCGGCCTTGCGACCCACAGCTACGCATCTTAGCTCTACCCATTGTTTGTATTGAAATATCCACATGGTCGTATAACTAGACTGCGAAACAGAACATTGACTGCTACATCGATGTAATATGAAAAAAAAGATCGAATTTATGGGCGCCAAGTGATCACTTCAACTGCACGGCGAGCAGCTTGCGCTAGTTGTGGGTTGGGGGAATCGTACAGGGTTTGTAACTGCCATGAGACACGCCGTAAGTGTCCGTCCAACTAGACACCACCGTGCTCGTTTCGATGTGTTTCGCCGTTCAATCAACCCACCTGTTTCAAGCACTGATGCAACTGAAATCGTCCTCTGTAATCCTCCGCACAATTCGTCAGCGTCTTGACAACATTGACCAACAATGTATCACTGCGATCCCGGAGGAGGGACATGAGGATCGGGAGGGCGTCGCCGGAGCGGACGACGAGGCGTTTGGCTTCTACGTCTATTGTGATGCTATGTACCGAAGGATATGTGAGGAAACGACAAGGGCGACGACGTAACACCAGAAAAGGGCGTGAGCGTTCTTGCTACTGTACCTCATGAGGGCTGCTGCGACAGCGGCACGGACCTCCGACCTCCGATGACGAAGCAGCGGGATGAGCACCTCAATGGTGTTGTTCTCAACCGCCAGTCGTTTCCCTTGGTGGTATTCGCTGCAGCCATTGCCAAAGTCTCCTATTAGCCGACCCATCCCGATCGCACAAAGCCGGGGGTAGCTCTCACAAAGGCGCTCACCTCAAAGCCATAATACATTTCGCAACCCCCACCAGCACGTCACTCGAACACCCAACCTTCAACATCTTCGTAAAGACATTCATAGCCCCACACTCGATCGGTACGTCCGGCACATGCGGCGGCGCGCCCCGCCGGATGCAGTTGTAGCATGCCGACAGGATGGGGACCTGCACGTCCAGCGCCCGCTCGAAGGGGAGGGCGCCGATGAGCGCGGGGAGCAGGCCGGATGTGGAGAGGACGGCGGCCGCACCGGGTTGGTCGAGCGTGAGTTGGCTGAGGGTCTGGTGGATGTTGCGCCGGACGAGGTCGTCGGAGTCTGTAAACTGGGGGGTGGTTGGGGGGTGTTAGAAATGTCCGCGCCGTTTCATAGATCCTCGCTTCGATATTCCGTATATTCTTCGGCGTGGACCCTCTCCGTTTGCTTCGAAAAGAAATAGCTTACCCGACGGGATAGGATTTCCAATACATTCGCTTGCACGATGCCCGCCCGCCCCACGGCATGTCCTGTTACGACGTTCAGTCAAACTCGAGTCCCCACTCCCCACACACAAACGCAACATCATTCACTAGATACATTCAGAAAAACAAAAACCCACCAGAAATAATCTTCAAACACTCGCTCGCCTTCTGCCTCACCGTCACATCCTCACTAACCGCCACCGCCGCCGCATGCCTCTCCGCCACCTTCCTCGCCGCCGTGCGGGCCCTACTCTGCTCCCCACCATCATCCTCCTCTTCCTCATCTGCGATCACGATCGGCGTCCGCAACCTCGCCGTCTCCGCTTCCACCGACGCAACCGTCCCCGCCGTCCCCGTCCGCGCACTCGCCACCCGACTGCTCCGCGTGCTCGGCGGATCGGTGGCGGAAACGACACGCAGCAGCCGCGCGAGGATGCCGACGATGCCTTCTTCGAGCCCTTGGGAGACGTTTTCGGGGCGGTGGAAGAGGTCGGAGAGGAAGCAGAGCGATTGTTGTTTGCGGAAGAGGGGCGTGGAGGACGAGAGGCCCTCGATCTGGGGGTTCCGAGGGTTGTGTTAGACCCAAATTTCTTCTAAACACAACCTTCCCCCCGTTTTCTTAAAGGAAAACGCTAGGCGTGGGCATAACCTACAAGTTTGGGAATCCCCCGAGCACCATACGCCAAATGAAACGTCGTCGAATCCACCCCAGCCGGCACCGTGGGCGCCCGCAGCGCGGCGAGCTCGGCGCTCGTTAGCTCATCGGGTCGGTCGAACGCTGCGGACTCGGCCGTCGTGGGAGCGAATGTGAATTGCGAGGGTGTGGTGCTGGCTACAGCTGCCATGTTTTGGCACGGGAAGGGGGGGTATAGTTACGGGTGTCAGTCTCTCGATAAGGTGAACGAGGTCTTACTTGTGTAGTATGTGGAACTTGGGTTAACTGCCGTGGATTGCGACCGTCTGCAGCTTTCTATACGAAAGAATCTCTCCTTCAGGGGTTCCCTACAAGTTATGCGTATATCGCAACATGTTATGCGATGGAAACGTTCTCTACTTTCGGAGATTTCGCAATCGCAAGGAGACGCGCTGTCATAATCCCGTCAATTGGCCACTTTCTTTTCGACGCTGTTTAAACCCTGAGCCCGGTTCATACACCCTAAGCGCCTCTCATCGGCCGACGCAGGATGGTGATGTGTGCGTCTTAAAGGAGCCTTCCCCGTTCGCCTTCTAGGGACCGACATTTCGGGCCGCAAAGGATACTTACCAGCGAAGGCCGTTGGCACGCAAGCGTTCAACTTTCAAAAAGAGGACTCGCTTTTTGTGGATTGGGGGCCTCTTGTCATCGGGTGCATATGCCTTTTGAAGAATCCAGTCCGATCTATGTACAGCGAATGAGTCCACTACAAATCTATGCCGTGGCAAGCTACAGGCTGCAGGAAAGCGGGGTGGATATGACATCAAGGGCAAAAAAAAAACACGGGAAGCATCCTGCCCGCCCTTGATCATCCGCTACAACCTAAGCTAACCTCACCCCCGCTCTACAACTTCGCCCCACCAGCGCCGCTCTGATTCCCACTAAGCCGTCCCCCAGCAGCGATATCCGCGACCCGTTTCGCGCAGGGCTGAAACAGCTTGGCGACCTGGACGGCGATGGGCGAGGATGCTTGCTTGCGTCTGACGCGGGCGGCGATGCCTTGGGTGATGACCGCCAGCTGTTTGTGGGAGGGTTAGGACCGAGTAAGCCGGGCTGCGACGCAAAAAAATCCAATTGACAAACACAAAAAGCCCCCGTACCCGCAAAAACGCAAACGCAACACACGTCTCCCACTGAGGTATCGGGTACGCGCGTCCCGTCAATCTGCAATACTCCTTCACAAGCTCCTCAGCCTCCGGGATCCCGCTCAACGGCCGCCTATCATCCATCATCGCCATCTCCTCCGGAAAACCCCACCCAGCCGGCGTATAGAACGGCAGCAACAAGTTTGCCAAATCGCTCAAGGGGTGTCCCAACGTCGACAGTTCCCAATCCAGGACGCCAATCACGTTCTGTGATGTGGGGTGGAAGACGATGTTGTCGAGTTTAAAGTCACCGTGGCAGAGGGTTGTTTCGTCTTTGGGCAGGTTTTGCTCAAGCCAGTGTAAAGACGAGGTGAGGTTGTAGAGCGGGCCGACGGCGGTGTGGGTGTCCGGGTCGGTGACGAGGGCTTGGGCGGTGGTGATTTGGAGGAGGCGTTTGATTTGGCGGGGGTAGAAGGAGTGGGTGGGCCCGTAGTTTGCGAGGCCGACCGTGGCAAAGGGGACTTTGTGGAGGCGGGCGAGCGTGTCGACGGTGTTGAAGTAACTGTGGAATATCACCTTTCGCATGAGCACCTGAGGCCCCTCTTTCCCAAAAACACAATAGAAAACTCACTAAGCCCTCCTATCCGCCTCCCCCACGCTCCTCAACCGATTATCCGAAAAGATCCTCCCCTCCAAAAACTGCATCACATAGAACGGCGTCCCCAGCACATCATTGTCCTCGCACAGAACATGGACTTTCGGCACCGGCACGTTGGTGTTGCGCGCCAGAGCGTCCAGGACGCGGAACTCGCGTTCGACGGCGTGCGCGGTTTGCGAGATGAGTTTGCCGGGGGGCTTTTTGCGGAGGACGTAGCGTCGGCCTCTGTGGTAAATCGTTGTATGGACGTTGTCAGCGTCAGTCGGTAAGTGTGAATATCACGGGCAGTTTTTCACACATACGCGCCATCCTTCAGAAAATAAGTCGGGTTGCTCTGTCCAAGCTTGAACTGCTTGATTTCCAGAGGCGCCTGGAAGGGGACGGCGTTGCTGTTGGCTTTGAGGTATGCTTCCAGTTTACCGGTGTCGAGCTGCATGCTGAGAGGGGGAGAAATGGAACGCAAGGTGAGTTTTGGCGGACTCCCGCACTGGACACGCGCTGTGAACGTACCCCTCGCGGACGGCAGAAGTCTCTTGACCGCCGGGGTTTGAAGGAGAGGCCATTGCTGGGGGAAAGAAGCGGGTGTGCTGATGGAAGGGGGCTGGCGACGTGCAGAGACGGTGGGTTATTCTGTCTGTTTATGTCTGACTCCGTGCGAAGGCTGTGAGACGGCGGAGGCGCGTGTGGTCCGTCTCGCACGCGCACTCCCATTTGAGGCCCATTTATCATTTATCCCTGGAAGGAGCGGACTCCCACCCGCCGCAACCACACACAATCGGTGCACAGAAACATATGAGGTTATTGCCATGTGTCGGAAAGAATCAAGATACAAATCAGAGTGAATATGAGTGCGCCAGACAGGATATACAGCCAGGGAACATAAACCTGTAACCCCCGCCGAGCAAGTCAGTGTCTGCTGGCGCGTGCGTGACTCATCATCACCGACTCGGCTTGCACCGTGTCTCAGATCTGAAAGCCATCCCCGCTTTTTCAATGCAGCGACTCATCATCCTTGCTCAACGGGGGGCTAGCTACTCCTAATACCTAGTTATGCCTCCGTCAGCCGCAATCACACTGGCCATCCTCGACGGCATGGAATTCACCAGATTATCAAGATGTCGTTCCATGGTCGGCCACAACTGCTGAACAATCGTATCCAGTGTTGCCGCCGTCGGATTGGCCTTTGAGACCTCTCGCTTGATGACTGACCACAGATTTTTGATAGGATTGAGGTCCGGGCTCTGCGCAGGCCAGGGCATAACCTCAATCCCATGTTCCTCAAAAACCTGTCGCGTCTCAACCGACGTGTGAATGGGAGCATTGTCCTGCATGAACAATGGATTAGGAATAAAGAGCTCAAGGTTCTGCCACATGGGCAAGAAGTGAGTAGTAAGATGTTGGACATAAGCAGTGGAATTGAGGCCAGTGCGATTTTGACCCTCACCCTGAACACGGTGCATCTGCGCCATTGGACCTACTGCGTTTCCAATAAATGCTCCCCAAAACATGAATGTTTTGCGGCCACTCCTTCGAGTCCCTGTAACACAATCAGGATGAAGACGTTCAGTTCGAAGACGCCAGCATCGCATTTTGGGCACCCAACCAATCTCAAATGACGTCTCATCCGTCCAAACCACGCGGGACCAGTCCTGTGCTGTCCAATGCTGTCGTTCAAGCGCAAATGCAAGCCGTGCAGCCCGGTGCTGTGCAGTCAGGAAAGGTTTGCGAATTTTGAAACGGGATGTCAGGTGCAGATATCGGTGAAGGTAACGACGCACGGTCTTCCAGTGTGCCTGAACACCTGGAAGGGTGGTGAAGTTGGAAGTAATTTCCTTCAGTGTTTTCTCTCGAGTCTCACTGGACGCAACAACAAGAAGGCGAAAGGCCTCCAACTCCTCATCTGAAGGTTGATACTTAGCTGGTCTCCCCGGCGGCTTCTTGGATTGATAGGAGGCAGGGTCATCAGCAATGTCGTTTGCAAACCTCCGTACGGTGTTCTTGAAGGTGCTCAAACAGACTCCCTGGTCTCTGGCTATCTTTCCTTTGTTTTTCCCTGCCCTGTGGAGCGCAACTATGGCTGCCCTCTTCTGTGGAGTGAGAGGTTTGCCCATTTCCGTCGTTGTTGTTGTGAAGATTCCAATCTCGCCATTGCCATCGCCATTCTGGCCTGACCTGGCCTGGCATGCCGCTGGCCAGGCTGGCCCGCTGCACGGCGCGTCTCTTGTGACACGGACACTGAATTCCATTAAGAGGTGGGTATAGCTTTATGTTCCCTGGCTGTACCTGGCTATGTAAGTACGAACGAAAATGGGGGGGAGGGGGGTGACACTTCCCCCCAGTTCGGCAGGTGTGCACCAACCCGACGAAAGCCATCATCCACCCACACCACCCCCATTCCCACTCCTCGTTTCCCCCCCATCCCCACCCCCTTAGCCCACACCTCTGCAAAATCCGCTATAGACGGCGCGCTATGCTGCTGCTGCTGCTGCTGCTGCTGCTGCTGCTGCTGCGATACCCCACCGCTCGCACCTCTGCCGCCATCACCACCCCCAGCCTCCCCACTCCCACCACCCCGTCCCCTTACAACCCCCCACGCGCCGGACTAATCCGTAAAGTCCGGTCGTTATCCCCATGATGCATATTAAGCAACGCCGCGTGGATCTCCTGGTGGATGCGGTTGGTTGGGTCTCCCGTTGCGTTGTTGTGGTTGTGATGAGCTTGTGGTGGCGGGTGGTTCCTGCTCTCGAACGCTTCTTGGAGGAACTTCGCCCCTGTCCCGGCCCGCGATGTCGGGGCGCTGGAACTTAGCGTCGTATACATGCCTACACCGTCCCCGTCTTCGTTCAGATGGCCCATCCCGGCCGGATCGTCAAAGAAGGCGTCGAAGGGGAGGTGCGTGTCGTGGGGGGTAGGCGTGTCTCCGTAAGTGTTGCCGTCGCCCGTTGGGCGGAACAGAACGGGGATGGCGCTTGCCGGTCGGGGTGGGAACTGGGAGCTGCTACCGGCGCGGACGGTAAACTCGTTATCAAAGTCGGTGAGTTCCGCAAGCACGTCCTGTGGTGTCACGGGGCGGGAAGTATGTTGCTGCTGCTGCTGTCGATGGAGGAACTGGGTCTGAAAAGGGGATGTGTCCTGGGTGACGAAGATGTGCGGGGTGTTGGTGTTGGCTGGTGGATCGGTCGTGGAGGAGGAAGGTCGCGGTAGGGATGTGGCGGAGTAGTAGCCTCCGTCATCGCCTATCCCGTTGGCGAACAGGTCCGTCACAAACTCGCCAGCTACAGACTGCTCTTGCTGCTGCTGCTGCTGCTGCTGGCTGAGATCGGAGTAATCCGGACCGCCAGGCGGGAAAAATAGCGCACTGTCCTCATCGGCCTGCGAGATGGACAGGAGGGGGATGGCTGGGCCATCTGGGAGGCCATACCCGTACGGCTGCTGCCCCTGCAACGAACTGCCTGCGAATTGTTGCTGGTTCGCATTGTCGAAATTGCCATTGTCGAAGCCCGTGAAGTACGGGGAGGCAGGGGCTATCCTGGTCCCACCACCAGCGCCAACCAACCCAAACATCTCCGCATCGCTCGTTGGCCCATTGGACGGCGATGCCGCAAAGAAACTGTCCAGATCGCCATTCGCGTTGCCAAAGAAGTCGGTTCCGGTCGCATACGACGGGTTGTTCAGGTCCGGGGTTTGCGGGAGAGGATACTGGTCCCCCACGGCTCCAGTCGAATACTGCGGGAGGGAGATTTCTTCCAGGAATCTGGATAAGAGGTGCACGTCGACGGGATTATACCCCTCCACGGTACCGTTGCCCGCGTTGGCGGCTGCCGCTGCGGCGGCTTGGTTGTAGGACTCGGTAGTATGAATCGAGGCGAGTTCGTCGAATGCGGAGAGCTCGGAGTGCGTGTCACCGCCGACGGAGGAGCTGGAATAGATGGAGTGGAATGAGGAAGAGGAGTTCGTGCGGTATTGCATGAAGCTAAACGGATCCACTTGTTGTTGTCCCATGTCTCCAGGGCTGAAGTGGCCTTCGCTTTGATGTTCCGAGATCGAGAAGCTGGTGTTGCCAAAGGAATGCGCGGTAACGTAAGAAGATGAGATGTCGACGCCGTTCATGTCGTTGTTTTGTGAAGGAACAGGCACCCCTTGTGGTGTGCCGTTGGTGTCAGGCGACAACGCTGGCGATCCTCTCGGAGAAGCCGAACCTGGTTTGATAGGCTCGGTCGATCTCCGACGCAACGCCGCCGAACCACCCGGTACCCGTGCAGGCGATGTTGCAGCGCGACGGGGTGGTCGTCCAACGGAGCCCGATTTCGAAGTCCTCCTCCCCAAGCTCCTCGTCGCCGGCGGCGCGTCCAAGAATTGCCCAACTCCCCCCTCATCCCCCACGGCGCCCGCGTTCCCATGCCCCGTCTTCGCATAATGCTTCTTCAGATCATGCGGCCATTTGAACGATTTCGCACACGTCACGCACGGGTTCGCTTTGAGCGGAACATGCGACCGCAGATGGGAGGTGATATGATCTCGTTTCGTGAACGCCTGGTCTTGCACAGCGTGCGTGCAGTTCAAAACCCGACACTGCAACGTCAGATTTCCCGTAGTCTTCCTCCCAACGTGGTCCTCTGTCAAGTGCGAGTACAGCAGCTCTGGATCTGTGAACGGTCTAGAACACAGAGACTCGTCTTCCAACCTCCATAGACATCTCAGCGGCGCCGCTCGTTGCGGGTAGGGATTCGAGCGGACGCTAGACGTATCCGAGATGTGATCCGACACAAAAGACGGCGTCCGTTTGAGGGAATGCTGTGATGGGTGATGGCTGCCGTTCGAAAGTGCGGCGGACGGCGATCGAGGTGGTCGCGGCAACGACCGGTAGGGAACAGCCCCATTCTGAGGCTCCGCTCCAGGCGAATCGCTCCCAGCGAGATGCTGATATCCGCCTACGCTGTACATGGCAGCGTCGAAAGAAAGGCGGCGGGCCTCTCCCCCGAGTTGTGCTGCTGTGTCGGCGGGAAACAAGAGCGAAGTGTCAAAGTAGTCACCGCTTTCGATAGTGTCCGTCGGTGAGGTGTAAATCGAGCTGTCACCCGCAATATCGGGAACTGGATAGGGTGACTCCTCCATGTTATATTGTTGTTCGAAAGTCGCCATGGTCGAGGCTCGTAACCTTCACCAGTAGTGATACAAAGGGCTTCGGGCAGAATTGTGGGTGTGAAAATGGGCCCGACAGCAGGGTTCGCGTTGTTCTCTTCACAACGGAGGAGAAACCGGAGAGGACGCAGGGGAGTGGGCTATTGCTAGGAGGAGGAGACGGCAATGGCCTGCATGCCGATATGGTATGTGTGTGTGTAAGTGTATGTATGTGGAGTGTTTGTTCTGAGAGTCGTCTTTCTGGTAAGGATGATAAAGGCGATGTGGACATGGACCGACAAGAGCCTCGTCCATTTTATCGCGCGCTTTCCTTCCCCCCCCCCCCCCCCCCCCCTTGCACATCCCTCTTCTCCCCTCTCTCCCTCACCCACTGTCCACACCTGCTGTACTCCGACTCTACTCGCAGCCTCTCCCATACATCCATCGCACATGACAGAGAGGTGCACGCAAGATACTGGGCATTTTGGCAGCGGTCAGTGTGGATCAAGGGCGGGTGGTTGTGGACATGCACGCCCGGCCGTTCATTTGGCTATTTTCCACATATGATATCCAAGTCCCGCCGGTAGTAATCACCCGCCCGACTCACCCTAAAAGCTTACTCTACCGTCTTCGCCATGCGCGCGTGCGTAGGGTATGCGGCAGAGCAGAAGGGATGATATGAAAGCGGAAAACTGAAGTGAGCTTTTGGGTCGTCGTTGTTGGGAGGCTTTTGGAGCACCTTGGCGGGTGTGGAATTGACAGCGGCCGCAGGTGCGTGAATCATGCGTGTTCCATCATCGTCCTCCACTTCGTTCCATGTTGGCCGCCCGCCGCCTTTCCGTCTCGTAAGCCCGGACTCTGCTCTCGTAAGCATCCAGTGGCTTGGCAAACGTCCGCTGCGCCACGCGACTTCCTGCTGGAGAATGCCTTCAAAAGCAACACAGCAAAGCGTTCATTCCCCAAAACAGAGAAGCACCCATCGGTGGAAACTACTTGGGCTCGTCTGTCTGGCCACACTCTGAGGCGGCCTCGCTAGCCATCTCATACACGCAGGGTCTCCCTTCTCTTTCAACGTTGGCGGTTGGAGGATTCTGTCACACGGACTTTTCCGTCGGGAACAATCTGCAGCGGAGCCCGTCTCCAAGCGAACCCCACCCGACCGAAAAACCCTGTTTGGCATGTTTCCCACCCCGCCCTGTCGTGTCTCCATCGAATGAAGTCGTTGGAAAACAAAATGGAATGGGACCAAAGCATATGGAGAGAACCCCAATGATGCCTGCTTTCATATATGTTAGACTTCTGAACACATTATGTGGATAGCTTTTTTCAAAGTTCCTGAGGGGTTCGATCCATGCTTGCTGTCTCTAATTTTCTAATTCCGGCGTATGTCGATATGTACATACGGGGACATTAAGACGGACTTACCGAGCGAGTGAATAGCGGAGTTTGATCCTGTCAAAAGCATTGTTGTGCAGCGTCCACCATAAGGAATAAGCTTTGAAGCTTATTCCCTCCCCTTACCGGCGGGACCTTCACAACCCTGTCCTTAGGAACTGCTAAGCACCGCCGTCAACATGAAAACCAGCCTATAATGCGTCGGACTTAACTGTATTGCGTTTGGCACGTCTCAAAGCCAACAGTGCTCTGTTTACTTGTTGTAAGGACTACGGCTTTTGGCTGAGTTGTAGCCAGCGTATACCATATATCGAAACACACGAGTAAGAGGATCGCCTCCTCAAAAAACGACCTGAACGACGTTAGGAGAGCTGCTCTTTGGAAAGCCTATACATGACACCGGGGTGAACCCACTTCGGACGGCTTTTCGCGACAACGTTACGCTGTAGTTTGGGAGTTTTGGCTTGATCTGTTATCGATCGTACCTCATTGGAGACGTCTACGAGAATCCCTTCTGCATCAGGGGACACACCCGGAACTCAGCTCAATCTACCGAAAGCCGATACCGACACACACCCACATACACACCAACTCACCATGTCCAAAGCCGACGAACCCAGCGGCAGCGGCGGCCTCGGCTTCGCCCGCAACCTCGGCCGGCGCATGAGCATGGCCTCCTCCTTCTCCAAAGCCAACTCCAAACTCCGCAAAACCTTCTCCTCCGCCATCCTCTCCCCCCCGCGCGAAACGCACCAAAAAATCGCCCGCAAGCAAAAATCCTACTACGAGCGCCTCACCTACTTCCTCGACATCCTCGTCGCCGACGACGAGCCCGACACCATGCTCGTGCCCGCCGGCTCCATCATGCAGCACGTCAAATACGGGAAAAATGATCGGTGGAGGGTTATCAAGGATGAGAATGGGGTGTTGCCGGCGTATTTGGTGGATCATCGGCCGAAGGACCCGGATTATGTCGTGCCGGTGGAGGATGCGGGGATTTTCCCGATATTTGATCTGACGAGTAATTTTTTGAAGCGGTGGGATATGTTGTCGTTGATTTTGTTGCTGTTTACGGCTTCGGTGACGCCATTTGAGACTGCGTGAGTATGGGTAGTTACATTCTTGTTGTGGCGGGTGGAAGGGGAGGACTTTGGACGGATGGACGGGCGGGGCGGGCGGCCGGGCTTGCTTGGTGGACGGAGTGACGGGCTGGGCAATCCAGGCGGGATGAGGGCCAGCTTCCGCCCGTGCGGTGCAACTCCCTGCAAACGAGGGCTGCCCTGGCTATGAGACCCATCTCCCACCACACACTAACACCCAACCCTCTTCCCCCCCAGCTTCATCCACAACGACACTGGCATCGACCTCCTCTGGCTCATCAACCGCTGCGTCGACATCGTCTTCTTCCTCGACATGTTCGTGCAAATCCGAACCCCTTACCGCGACCAACAAACCGGCCGTCTCGTCCGCGACGGCAAAGCCATCTTGAGCCGATACGTCAAGTCCTGGTTCCTCATCGACCTGTTGTCCATCATACCCTTTGAGATGATCAACCAGAGCAGTGGGAGCAATAGCAAGAATTTAAGCCAGTTGAGGCTGTTGAGGTTTTTGAGGCTGGCGAGGCTATTGAAGCTGTTGAGGGTGTTGAGGGCGAGTCGGAAGTTGAAGCAGTGGAGGGTGTATATAAATTTGAGATATGCTACGCTCAAGTTGGTTCAGGTGGGTTGTGGGGCAGATGCAGAGATTTGGGAGAGCCAGACGTTGGCCATTGGCGATCATCAACGGGCAAATTGCTCACCATTTTCTTTTTTTCTAGTTCTCCGTGATCATCCTCTTCATGATCCACTGGATAGCCTGCGGCTACCGCCTCGCCGAAGACCCAAACGACCCCTCCGACCCACAAGGCTGGCTCTCCAACTACGCCAACTACCGCAACGTCAACATAACCTCCCTCGGCATAATGGAACCCTACATCCTCGCCCTCTACTGGGCCTCCTCAACAATAACCCTCGTCGGGCCCTCCTTCGACCAAATCGCCCCCACAACAGTCCGCGAAACAGGCTACTCCCTCTTCGCCAACTTCGTCGCCTACTTCCTCGCCCTGTACCTCATCTCCTCGCTCACGAACGTCCTCTCCGTCGCCAACCGCCTCGAAACCGAACACGATCTGCGGGTCGACAACTACCTCGAGATGTTCCAGCGTCTCAAACTCGACCCGCGCCTGAAAGTAAAAGTCCACCAGTACCTCTCCGACCACTACGCCGCCGCCGCCACCCAGGCTTACACGAACCTCCTCGGCGAGCTGCCCGCCCAGCTGCACGGGTTCATCACGATGGAGATCTTCGTCGACTTCATCGCTCGCGTGCCCTACCTGGAACCCTTCATCGACCGCGAGCCAAACCTGACCCATGAGATCTGCAGAGGCGTGTTGATCCAGACCATCCCGGCCAACGCACATGTGTTCACTGAGGGGTATCAGGGGATATATTTCTTGGAGCATGGGATTGTGGCGATCGATGGGCGGGTCTATCCCAGGTGAGCCGACGGAGGGGTTGTCATTTTTCTTCTGCTTTTGGGGGGTGGCCCGTCAGTTTGCTGTCGTTTTATGGGATCCCCCCAAACGCCTCCCCCCCACCCCCTTGCTCACCTCACACTTCCGATTATGACAGCGGCTCGGTGTTCGGCCGCACCTGCCTCCGCGCCTTCCCCAAACGCAACGAATGCCGCGCGCTCACAAACGTCACCATCCACTACCTCCCGCTCACCGTCCTGCGCTCCGCGCTGTCCAAGTACCCCAAGATCATGTACTACGCCAAACGCTGGACCGTGTGGCAGTTGCTCAGGCGGTACGTGTTTACGTACACCACGCTGTATTATACGGCGGCCAAGAGGGGCGCGAGGATGGTGCCGCCGTTGACGAGCATGAGGCCGGGGTTGAGGGAGGGGGAGTATGATGATATTGATTTGGCGGTTTTGGAGCATATTAATGAGTTTGGGTACTGAGGATGCGAAGGGATGGGAAGCTTTTGGGGGGTTGCATTGAGAAATGCATGTGGTTGTGGCTAGGACACAAAACAAACTTTTTTCCCCTCCCGTTTTTTGGACATACGGAACATCAACCTGTAAAACTGTAGCTGATTGTTGAAATTTACTTCTTGTTTTCTTTGGTTGTTCCCATTCTCCAATCGCCGTATGGAGAAGGACCGTCCCGCGTTTTCAACGTTCCCTTCGCTGTTCTGTTGGGTCGACCTTGATCATGGTCCGGATTGACGGATGACTCCTGCAACATTCCCTTCTCGAAACCCTCCGCCACCGTCCAATAGATTTCACAAGCAACACAGGTTGAACAAACGTATTTCGGCGGTTTTTGATACTTTTGATTTTCAGTAAAATAACCGACGGCCGATTGCCATCAAAATACAGGATGAAGCCTTATCCATATACATTTACTGGCGCTTGCCGGTCTTAGCGAGCCAGTCAGACCTAAATATTGAGAAGAGAGACAGAGACGGTTGATGAGGATCCATGTCCGGACGATAAGCCTAATGTGCATAGGGAAAGTGTCGGGCAAACTCACCATTCCTGGTAGGGGCTCTTGGAGAAGGTAGTCTCAGCCCAGAGGTCCGGGGTGAGGAAACCGTAGGTGTTTCCAATAGCCTGGAAGGTAGCCTTGACAAAGTTTCCGAGGGTTTTGGTGGAACCCCTGGAGGTGGTGTAACAGTCTTGGATACCAGCGAGCTGCAACAACTTCTTGGGGACAGGAGCGGCAACGAGGCCGGTACCACGGGGGGCCGGGACCAAACGGGCGAGGACGGAACCGCATTTGCCGGTGACCTTGGCCGGGACGGTGTGGGGCTCACCGAGAATGGTTCCCCAATAACCGCGACGGACGGGGATGACGCTGAGCTTGGCGAGGATGATGGCACCACGGATGGCGGTGGCGACTTCCTTGGAGCACTTGACACCAAGACCGACGTGGCCGTTGAAGTCTCCGATGACGACGAAGGCCTTGAAACGGGTGCGCTGACCGGCGCGGGTCTGCTTCTGGACGGGCATAATCTTCATGACCTCATCCTTCAGCTTGGGGAGGAAGAAATCCACAATCTGGAATTCCTTGATGGGCAAAGAGAAGAGATAGATCTCCTCGATGGACTTGATCTTGCCGTCCTTTACGAGACGACCGAGCTTGGTGACGGGAACCCATTCCTTGGCTCCGTCATCCTTGCGGCCTGAGAGACGTAACCGGAAAAAAAGAACCCAGAAAATCAGAACTCCTGTTTCTCTTGCGGCTTCTGTCCCGCTGCCCGCCAACAGTCGCCGCCATTGCCCTACGCCGCAAACCGACCAACTAGATCTGTTGCCTACTCACCTCCGCGCCTTCCGCGACCACGGTCACCACGACGTCCGCGCCTGTCGCCTCCACGACCACCGCGGTCTCCGCGACCAAATCCACCACGTCCACGACCTTCGGCCGATACAGCGTCAGCCATTTGCTATTCGAGGAGTCGCAGTCGATGGAGGAGAAGAGGAAAGAAGAGAAAAAAAGAACGGAAAGGATTTAGCACATTTCCGAATGCCCCAGTCCTGTCCGATGATGTCCTTCCTTCCGCATTTCGACTCTCCATTCCGACGACGGGAACCTCCACTGCTGCTCCCAATCGTGGCTATCGTCCCTCTGTAGTCCTGCTGTCCCTCTCCTATATGAACATTTCGTCCCATTTTCCTGTTTTCGTCGGCGCTATATGAGTCACCCCGGTCGTCCCGTCCATCGATCCATCGCTCCCACCATCCATCCATCCATCCATCGGTAGCAAGCAAGCACACACCAAACTCAACGTGCTGTGTCGGGTGTTCCTGAGGGTAGGTGAGAGTGTGGTAGGAGTGTTTGAGAGAGTCCACTTACAAGGATGTTGGAAAGTTATTAATATGCCAGTTGGCTGAAGGTGTTAAGTGAGATCATGCGAGTTGCGAGCGAAAGTGAGGCCCGTCCAGCCCGAGGTCTTTGCCAGCGGGCCCAGCCAGCCAGCCAGCCAGCGAGGGGGGGAGAGCGCCTGGGACTGCGGCCAAATTTGATTCGATACCAGCCACCCAATCTAACCCGTGTCGTCATCTATCATCAGGCCCCGCCTTTGAGATCACTTCTTCCAATCACTTCCCAAGGTGCCGGCTCTAATTCGTCCTTACAATCCGCGTTGGCAAGTCACGTGATGTGCGTTCATGTCCGAGAGAAGTTTTGCATTTCGTCCGAACGGCGTTTTCAACTTCTCTCGGAGGAACTTAAACCCGATTCGTATAGCGAGCGGAGGGAGGATGATCATTACGACAACGATACGGCGGCCGTGGAGTGGAGCCATCCGAGCAAGGATACCCGAGTTGCGCCCCCCTACCCACCAGACTCCGCCAGATGGCGCACGGATCACCACCCGTCGCTACTACCGATTGGATGGAGTGGGGCCAGACGATGAGCTCGACGTATGCTCATCCGATGACGAGAGCACACACGGAAAGGACGGTCCGGTATAACTAATGGAACGATCTACCATGGTGCTACCTCATTACCTCATCCACAAGAAAGACGCCGCTTTCTCGAGCGTACTCCCCCGAGCTGTCGATGGCATGCAGCTAATCACGCGGAGACCGACGCTTTTCGCAACGTCGGTCCACCGAGGTGGCCTGTGCTGGCAGGCCCTCGAGCTAAGAAGCGCCACCGTACCATCAACGTCGGTGGCCATTTTCGATGCCATCCAAATGGATGAGCTCTTAATAAGCGTTTTCCTCGGCACCCAGGAGCAGGCGAAAGCTCGGGCGGCTTAGGCATCGACATCATATGCGTATCCGATGAGTTCTCCCAGAAGAAGCTCTTCTTCACGGGCGTCTCCTCGCGCGCGTGAGACCTTTGTCGCGTCTCTCCTTCGATCGAGGCTTCCGGACGAGGAGCCAACCACCATGCCAGTGCTTATCCTCGTCAAGCGCTACCACACCCTTCAGCGTCTATCCTTCAGCGTGTCAGTCGCCACTGTCCCACACTTCGAATTCGATCCCAGTTGGGTGCTCCAGATGTTGGTGCACTCTGTACCGGCACCAGAATATCTGAACGTCGCACCGCATTTGCAGTGGTGCATCAACTGCAAAACGAGGCAACGATCCCGGGCGAGGTGGCGGAAACGGAGACCGCCAGGTTCGATCTTTGCGAGTCCGTTCTTGTCCAGATCTCTCTGCTTGCTTACGTGACACGCGCTGCTGCGTATTCCGACATGAAGGTGTCGGATTTGGACGGGACGACGTGGGGCACAAAAGCGAACAAGAAACTGACGAAAGGTCCAAGCCACGTTCCACCACATCCACCTCGCCGCCACAGGCTATTCAAACCACCGCATGCTCTCATCATCGCGATGGGAGCGATTGCTGACCTACCCCGTGTGGCCTGCGATGCTCTGGGAATGGCTGGAAATCCTAAGACGTATTTGGGGATGGGAGTGAGTACACGATGAAGGGGCAGTGTTTAGTTGGTCTGTGGTTGAGGGCGATGGGGTCGGAGGGTGGTGGTGCCAAGGGCATCCAAGTACAGCTAGTTTTCCGAGGAGCGAACATCGATGGCCCGCTATACTTCACCCTACCCCGAGCAATCGAGTTCGCATACCGGTGCGTCCACTTGACAAGTGGTGATTTGGAAAAGCTAACGGACATGGAACCGTAAGCTGCGTGAGGAGCAAGGCAAAAGGTGGGACAGGCTCCTCGGCGTGGACGAGTAGGAGGAGTTCGAAGAATCGCGCCTACGCCGTCTGATCCGCGCAACCATCCTTTGCCGGGTCAGCGAGGTCGCGGCGCCGGACACCCCAACCTCTAGCAACTAGACTTTTTCCGTAGTTCATTTATGTGTTTCTCCTGTGCTCTTTGCACTCGGTTCGCATGCTCGTACGTACGTAGGTTTCCCAGTCGCAGGAATCAAAGTGGGTTGATTTCGTAATCTCGGAGATTTTATGATTTGCGACGCCGTGGCAACGCGATCACGTGGGCGGCTTAAAATGCATTTCGGAAAAACCAACGGAGATTGACGGGATGGATGGATGGAAGAAGCACACGTCCAGGACTCCTAAGGACAGTCGAAAGCGTGGTTTTCTTCCGAGGGGTTCCATTTAGCTCTCTTGTGCTTCCACCGCTTATAAGGCTCGTCCCATCCCCACCCGCATCCTTGTTCCCTCGAGCATCGCCCGCACCCCCTCACAACCACCCCCCCGCCCCTCTTGCAACCTACGCTCTTACATAAAGGCGTTCGCTGCTGCTAGATCTCCCGTCAACCAACACACACATCCAACAGCATGATCGGATTATTACGCGCATCTAGGCCTCTCGGCATGAGGTCGGCATCTGCCCACCTCTCTCGCCAGGCTTTCGCCGCACCCGCCTTCGTTCGCTTCGCCAGCGACAAGGTCACCGGATCGGTCATCGGTATCGACTTGGGAACAACAAACTCCTGTGTGGCCGTCATGGACGGAAAGACGCCCCGTGTTATCGAGAACGCCGAAGGTGGTCGTACAACGCCGTCCGTCGTTGCTTTCTCAAAGGACGGTGAGCTCCTGGTCGGAACCCCCGCCAAGCGTCAGGCCGTCGTCAACCCCGAAAACACCCTCTTTGCCACCAAGCGTCTGATCGGAAGGAAGTTCGACGACGCCGAGGTGCAAAAAGACATCCACACGGTCTCTTACAAGATCGTGAAGCACAGTAACGGTGACGCCTGGGTTGAGGCGCGCGGAAAGAGGTACTCCCCAGCGCAGATCGGAGCTTTCATTCTGCAAAACTTGAAGGAGACTGCCCAGAACTTCTTGGGCAAGCCCGCTCAGCACGCCGTCGTTACCGTTCCGGCTTACTTCAACGACGCTCAGCGTCAAGCGACCAAGGACGCTGGACAGATTGCTGGTCTTGATGTCAAGGTGAGTAGTTGTCTTCTCCTTCCGTATCCAATTGGGCAATCCGCTTTGAAAGTCGTTCGACTTTGTGACGGTTTTTAATCGCGTTCTTCACATTTTTTAGCGTGTGATCAACGAGCCAACCGCCGCTGCTCTTGCCTACGGTCTGGAAAAGGCCGGAGACAAGGTTGTCGCCGTCTACGATTTGGGAGGTGGTACATTTGATATCTCTATTTTGGAACTCCAGCAAGGAGTGTTTGAGGTCAAGTCCACCAATGGTGACACGCACTTGGGAGGAGAGGACTTTGACAACACCATGGTCAAGTACATCGCCGCCGAATTCAAGAAACAGGAAGGCCTTGACGTCACAAAGGACCGCATGGCTCTGCAGCGTATTCGTGAAGCCGCCGAGAAGGCAAAGATCGAGCTGTCCGCCACCCTCCAAACCGACATCAACCTCCCCTACATCACTATGGACGCCTCGGGTCCCAAGCACATCAACATGAAGCTGTCCCGTGCTCAGTTTGAGTCCCTGACAAAGTCCCTCATCGACCGCACCATCGACCCCTGCAAGAAGGCACTTAAGGACGCTGGCGTTTCCCCCAACGAGATCAACGAGGTCCTCCTTGTCGGTGGTATGTCCCGTATGCCCAAGGTGCAGGAGACCGTCAAGTCCCTGTTCGGACGGGAGCCCTCCAAGGCTGTCAACCCGGATGAGGCCGTCGCAATGGGAGCTGCCATCCAGGGTGGTGTCCTCTCTGGAGCCGTTGACCAGCTGTTGCTTTTGGACGTCACTCCATTGTCTCTCGGTATCGAGACCCTCGGTGGTGTCTTCACCCGTCTCATTGGCCGTAACACCACCATCCCCACCAAGAAGTCGCAGGTCTTCTCCACCGCTGCCGATGGCCAAACACAGGTCGAGATTAAGGTTTTCCAGGGAGAGCGTGAGCTCGTGAAGGACAACAAGCTCCTCGGACAGTTCAACTTGGTCGGTATCCCACCATCTCCCCGTGGTGTTCCTCAAATCGAGGTTACCTTCGACATTGACGCCGACGGTATCGTGAACGTCTCTGCCCGCGACAAGGCCACCGGAAAGGACCAGTCTCTGACCATCGCCGCCTCCTCTGGTCTGTCTGACGCCGAAATCGAGAAGATGATCAACCAAGCCGAGCAATTCGCCGAGACCGACAAGAAGCGCAAGGAGGTCATCGAGGCCACCAACCACGCTGAATCCATTATCAACGACACCGAGAAGGCCATGACTGAGTTCAAGGACCAGCTCGACAAGGCCGAGGTCGACAAGATCAAGTCCCAGATCGCTGAATTGAGGGAGATGCTCGCCAAGGGCCCTGAGGAGAACGCGCCCGAGACGATCAAGGAGAAGTACGGAGAACTCCAGCAGGCTTCCCTGAAGCTGTTCGAGCTGATGTACAAGTCGAAGACAGCCCAGCAGGGATCGTCTGACGCCGGCAAGGCCCAGGATGCCGAGTACAAGGACGTCGACGGCGACAAGAACAAGTCCTCCTAAACACTCACCTCCGACCTCGCTCAACCATCCCGCCATCCCTCTCGTTCTCTAGACCAGCCAATGTAGTCAGTATGGCCAAGCTAGATTCACGCCACCCCTCCTCATCCCCCCATCACCCACATCTGGTTCAGAGAACCAGACGTGCATAACATATCCGTAGGAGTAGTAGTTAGAGAGCGATGCATATGGTATCGCACACCCACACGCCGCGCAACATGCCACGCAACGCAACGCATTGCACACATAGTCGAGCACCCTACCCTCCACATCTCCCTCACATATACATAGTTTGTTGGTATACACAGCGGAGGGATTGTTGGTTTTTTGTATTTATCATTTTCATTGGGTTTCTTTTGCAACGTTTTTGTTCCTGAGTTGGTCTCTTGAGCACTGTCTTTCGTCCGTATTTTCGAGTGATGTCCGTGGTGTTTGAATCAAATCGATACGACTCGGAAACGGTACGTTGGGGACCTCCGTTCAGGCGGGCGGGAGCGTTGGAGGCGGTACGCGGGAACTGCGTGTGACGAAAAGGGGAGCGGAAAGTCCAAGGGGGAAATGACGGGCACGGCGGGCGCGCCAAAAGAATGACGGTGTCCGCAATCGAGGCTCCGCCCATCCTCGAAGTTGCAGAACTGTGAACTCAAACCCATCGACGCACGGTTGCAACCTGGCCCCAGTCGTCCTTTTGTGGAGGTTCTGCTCGTTCTCCTAACGTCTTCATCCTCCGTGTCCAGCGTCTCTTTGGGAACGTCTGCTCACAACATCACCTAACCCCGACAACCCGCCATCCAGAATGACCGACCGCCAATGTAAGTCTACCCACTCCCTCGCCCCTCCCCTCCCACCCTATCCACAGCTAACGCCCCCACCCCACCCCCAGCAATTGTCTTCGTCCAATCCCACCCCCGAACCCTCGTCCTCCGGCCCGCAGTCAACCTCAGTAAAACGGCCCTGGTATTCGAAGCCATCGACACAGGCGGCGGCGGCAAACCGGCGCGCTCGACGGCGCGGTTCCAGCCGAGTGAGACGATTGATCTTGCGGCGGAGGGGTGGGAGTTGTTGGTGCAGAGGCCGGTTTATGGGACGGCTGGGTTGGTGCAGGTTGGGAATGGTGGGTGTTTTTTGCTGTTTTTGTTAGGGGACGGGTTGGGTGACGTGGAGGATTTGTTGTTGTGTCCGGAATGAGGGGACTTTGGGAAAGGAAGACGGGATCATGAGGCGGATTGATGGCGAGCAGTCATTGATGATTCTTCTTTGGATGCAGACCTGTTCATAGGGATTGTGACGGAGGCCATCAAGGTATGTCGGTCGGTGGACATCGGAACAGGACATGACATAAGAAACCATTCGTGGCCCTAAATCTAACGAGTTCCCACCGTATCTACAGGTCGGAGACTTGGAGGGCTCCCCAATCTACCGCATCCTCCGAGTCAACTTCTACTCGCTCCTAACGGATCGCTACGATGCTAACCCCGGCGAAATCCCCGACCCTCTGAAACCCACCAATCCTACTTACCTCGAAGAGTCTACCGCAGGGCCTGTCATACATCCATGCCAGGCCCTCATAAAGCTGCTCTCGACAGGCTCGTTCTACTTCAGCCCCACATTGGACCTGACGCGTTCATCTCAACGGCGGGCAGTGGATGTCCAGCAGGGAGGGTCGCCAGTTAACATTTTCGAAAACGCCGACGCGCATTTCGTCTGGAATAAGCATCTGTTGAGCGGCTTGTTGCAAATCAGAGAGCAGGAGCTGAACGCTGAGGAAAGGGACGACTTGGACGCCGGCGGCGTACTGGTCTTGGCCATACAGGGATACGTGGGCATGGTAGATTTCCCGATTGGGATGCAGCCATGCCGTATGGCGCTGATATCCCGTCTGAGCTGCAAACGCGCCGGAACGAGGCTGCTGTCTCGCGGGGTCAACGACGACGGCCACGTGTCAAATTTCGTCGAGACGGAGTTTCTTCTCTACAGCAAGTTCTTCACATTCTCGTTCATCCAGATCCGCGGCAGTGTGCCTGTGTTTTGGGAACAGACGGGGATCCAGATGACGCATAAAGTCACCATCAGCCGTGGGGCAGAGTCGTCTGCCCCCGCTACACGGAAACATTTCGAGGAGCTCGTGTCGCGCTACAATAAGATCCACGTCGTGAATCTCCTGTCGCAGAAAGACGGATCCAGCGAACAGGTCTTGGGCGATCTGTTCCGGCAGAGCCTGGACCGCATGCCCGATCTGCAGGAGCTGCTGGCATACACCGAGTTCGATTTCCACGCCATCGTCAAAACGGGCGGGTACGACCGGCTGAACGATCTGACGCTGACGATGCGGAAGCCGTTGGAGGGGTATTCCTATTTCCTCGCGGACGCACAATCCGGATCGATCGTGTTTAGCCAGAACGGTGTAGTGCGCACGAATTGTCTGGACTGCTTGGATCGGACGAATGTGGTGCAGACCCGGCTGGCACGCCAAGCGCTGGCTACGCAGCTCGCGCAGTTTGATCAGCAGTTTAGTGGGATGGAGGAGGAGAACTTTGCGACACTGTATAACAATTTGTGGGCTGATAACGGGGACTGGTTGAGTAAGATCTATGCGGGCACGGGCGCGCTGAAATCCTCGTTTACGCGGAAAGGGAAGTCGACAATGCTTGGTCTGCTGGACGATGCGGCAAAATCTGTCAACCGCTTTTACATCAACAATTTCCAAGACAAAACCCGCCAGGAAGCTATCGACTTGTTACTCGGAAAGCTCGCAAACAGCGAGACCGTCCTCCTCCGCAACCCGCTGCACGAGGCCGTGTCACGGGACATGCGGTCTCGGCTAGCCGAATACTCTTCCACGGTGCCCGTTACCATGTTTATTGGCACGTACAACGTGAACGGGAAGCTGAAGCCGGACAGCATCGAGACGTGGCTGCGGAGCGAGAAGGTCGAGTTCCCGCATTTGGTTGCTATCGGTGTACAGGAGTTGATTGAGTTGACGCCTGGACAGTATATCTCTGCCGACACCAATAAGTTGAGGTTGGAGTGGGAGGCTACGTTCATGCGCGCTATCAACGACCGACCAGGGGGTGTATCGTACGTTCTGCTGAGGTCGCTGCACCTTGTCGCGTTGGGCGTGTTTGTGTTTGTGCGCGCGGATTCGGTGAACCTTGTGCGGCACGTCGAGTCGTCCGTTAAGAAGACGGGGTTGGGCGGTATGGCGGCCAACAAAGGCGGGATTGGCATCTCCTTCAGCGTCAACGACACGAGCGTGGCCCTCGTCACTGCACATCTGGCTGCGGGGCAAACCGCCATCGACGACCGGAACAAAGATTACTGGACGATTCACAACGGTTTGACGTTCCGCGGGCGCCGCTTGGCAGAACATGACATGATCTTCTGGTTCGGTGATTTCAACTACAGAATCAACCTCCCCAACGACGAGATCCGCGCCCGGGTGCGACGGCACGAACTCGCGTACCTCACCACCGCCGACCAGCTAAACGACCAGCGGCGCGAAGGGCTAGCATTCGACGGGTTCCAAGAAGGCGACGTGTCGACTTTTGACCCGACGTACAAGTACGATAACGGCACGCAGACCTACGACACCTCCGAAAAGGCGCGCGCACCCGCCTGGACCGACCGTATCCTCTACCGCGGCCGCCGCATCGACCTGAAGGAGTACGCGCGCGGCGAGGGGCTCATGTCCGATCACCGGCCCGTGCGCGCCGTGTTCGAGATCGACACGGTCATTATCGATCGGACCAAGTTGGATGAGCTGCAGAAACAGATTTATAGGGAGAAAATGGCCACTAGGCATATTCCGCCGCCGTTGCCGGTTAGGCCGCAGGGACCGCCGCCGAAGGCGAGGGAGGAGAAACCGTCCACGGCGTTGCTGATTGATCTGGCGGAGGATCCTGATCCGCCGCAGCAGAACAGTATACCGCCTAGCGTGCCTACCGTGACTGCAGGGAATGGGGTCGGATTTGGTGTGGGCGGTGGGAGTAAGTATCCCGTGTGTTTCGGTCAGAATCATGGATGGGTGCGTTTTTGGCTCATATCTGCCTTTCCTGCAGCCAATGCGCCTCAAAACGCAGCATCCCTAGGGTTCCGCGACTCGTTCCCGCCCGCCCGGCCGGACTCCTTCCCACCAGCGGAACGATCCACGCAAGCGACCAGCAAGTCGCTCAACTCCCTATCGAACAGTAAACTGCCTCCTCCCTCTTCGCCGTCGTACCAGTGGTGGGACAAGAAGGTTGATGAGGCGTTTGTTGTGCGAGAAGGTGACGCGAAGGTTCGTGCCACTGACTAATAACTCTCGCGATACCTCACCAGACCACTCACATCATTCCGTTCACGCTCCCAGAACCCATTCTACAGCTTTCCCTCCGCCTCCAGCCCGAGTCTCAACCCACAACAACCCATAACAACAACTCAATCCCTATCACGCGATCAACCCAAATCACCCTCCCCAGCCAAGCGCGCGCCTCCGCCTCCTCCGCCAGGGAGGTACGCCCTCGCAAGCCCTTGCGTGGCGATGAGCGAGGCGGAAAAAAATCGGCATAATCCGTTTTTGGGATCCGGTGGCGGCAACGCGGCGAATCCCAATGCGCAGGGAGCTCAGCAGCAGTCACAGCAACAACAACAGCAGCAGCCGCCGACCACGGCGACCCCTGGCGCGTGGTGGCAGGTGCAGTCGTGAGCTTCCTGTAGCTTGGGACTGGCACCGCGCGCTGTGCTCCCCCAAGTGCCAACCTTCGGCGCAAGACCTCGAATCAAGACGTCTTCGGCATCGGGGTGAAAGGCATCATCTTACGAAAGGCATCATCTTACGACCTTAGCACACGACACGACTACTGGATCGGGCACAAATAGCATCTTCGCATCCACCTTCACATTCCTTACACATGCATCAAGCATCCAAAATGGACTGTGCATCTCCCGCCATCCTCGCAATGATCCTTGCATGCTGCCCGTTGGCTGCACCTTAACCGTTCCTTCCTGGCTCTGGATCTATGACGCGTCCTCACCGCAACGCCCTTCCGTAATCGTTTCATCATCATTTTTTTGGGTTCATGGTTTTTGGTTTTTCTTTTCTGTTAGTGTGTCATGTAGTAATGCTGAGGGATATACAGAATGATAAAGGAAGCGGGATACTGTAGAGTGCGCCCAAGGTGTTCTTGTTGTGTGACAGAAAGCGTTCTGATGTGGGGAGGGAGGGGAAAACGCGAAGGAACCCTAACCCTCGCAGACTCCGACCCTCCCCGCCTTGTCGCCTCTTTCGTCTGTCTGTTTTCTGACGTTTTCGTTCCTTTCGTCGCTCAATTGCTGCACCCGCACATACGGTAGTCTTACAGTTTCCGGCAGTCGACGACACTCCACTTCTGCATATACAGTTTACCGCCACGTAAGTATCTGGCAATGTTCGTCGTCACATTTCCGGCCCATGCATGCAATCCAGCGAAGATCACACCACTTCGCACGCAGTCAGCGAATCGATCGTGACGGCGGTGGACGATATACACACTGAAATGTACAGCATGGACCACCTGCAACAGCGACCTCAACTCACAAAGTTCGCTTTCTCTGTTCCAGCTGGCCCGTCACATTCCATCTCAGGGAAGGTGAAAGGGGTCAAATCGAGACGCCAAGATGTTCTCGGGCTTTGGCGGCGCTGGTTTTGGCCAGCAGCAACAGCGGCCGGCCCAGCCAGCTTTTGGTGCCTCCGCATTCGGTCAGCCACAACAGCAGCAACCTGGGCAACCTAGTGCATTTGGAGGTATGTTGGAGTGGGATTTTGAATCTTCGGTGGAGAATGTCACGGAGGGAGGGGAATCTAATTATCTTGAACGCTTCCCCAGGTTTCGGTCAGCCACAACAACAACAGCAGCAGCCTTCGGCGTTTGGTGGATTTGGACAACCGGCACAGCCTACTCCGTTCGGTGCAGCGGCCGCTGGTAACCCAGGTATGCAATCCCCGAGTCTCCTGAATTTCGGGTGGCGATATCTTGGGCTCATTCCAACTGATACGATTCATGTTGACAAAAGGTGCCTTTGGGACCACGCAGAATGCCTTCGGCGCTGCCCCCGCGCCCGCATTTGGTGCCGCTCCCCAAACAAGCTCCGTTTTCGGCGCGGCTTCTACAGCTCCCAGCACAGGATTCGGTTTCGGTGCAGGTATGCACGCGCGACGTTACGGCGACTCGTTTCCTTTAGTCAGCTAATGTACACATCTATTTAGCAACCACTACCGCACCGGCAGCCAGTGGGTTTGGCTCAGCTTTAGGAGGGTCAGCGTTTGGGCAGAAGCCTGCAACCACTGGGTTCGGTGGTTTTGGAGCTGGGACGACTGGAGCCGGCTCGGCCTTTGGGGGTGGTGCACCAGCGTTTGGAGCTCCTGCCGCGCCCGCTGCTACGGGGTTCGGAGCTGCTCCTGCTGCAGGAATGTTTGGCGCTGCTGGGGTCGGGGCTCCAACGAATTCCCAAATGAACAACGGAACAGGGAACCCACAGTTTCAGGCTCCATTGGACGATGAGACTACGGTTGCTCCTGGGACTAGACCGGGCTCCATCAATGCCAAAGGCTTCCTCATCAACATATGTGCTATGCAGGCCTATAAAGATTGGTCGCAGGAGGTAAGGCCATTCCTGCGGACGGCTAGTGTGATCCACTACTGACTGGATTTCTTCCTATCTAGGAACTTCGGTGGAGAGATTACGAGCTGGGAAAAAAATACGGTGGTGGAGGAATGGCGGCTGGGGTAACAGGCTTTGGGGGAGGTTTCGGGTCCACTACCACGGCAGGCGGATTTGGGGCTCCTGCAACCTCAGCTTTCGGAATGCCCGCAGCGACAACGGCTAGCGGTGGCCTTTTTGGGTCGACTGCTGCACCTGCTTTTGGGGCGCAAACTCAGGCTCCTTCCTTCGGTTTCGGACAACCTGCCACAACGCAAGCATCAGGTACACCCATGTGGTCAACAGATGCGAAATGACTTCAGCTGACCCGCCGTATGCGTTTCATAGGTCTATTTGGCGCAACGTCGCAACCCGCTAATACAGGTCTCTTTGGACAAACAACGTCTGCGTTTGGGCAGCCTTCCACTACTTCCGCCTTTGGGCAACCAGCAAGCGGGTTCGGGGCACAGCAGGCAAAGCCCGCTTTTGGTTTCGGTGGTGAGTGGCTTCTCCATTCTGGATCGAAAGCGGGACTGCGGGAACTGAATTTACTTTCTATAGCTCCTGCTGCCTCGACTTCGGCGTTTGGCTCTACACCGGCATTTGGACAGCCCACCTCGACGGCCGGAGGCGGTCTTTTTGGAGCTGCACCAGCTTCCACCGCTGGCTTTGGTGGGTTTGGCTCGTTTCCAGCGTCAACAGCTGCACCCACACCTTTCGGACAACCGGCACAGACTCAAGGAGCCTTTGGGGGATTTGGAACGTCCCAGCCTGCGCAAACTGGGTCACTGTTTGGAGCTCCGAAACCAGGTAATTCATATGCACCACTTCCTGTAAACGCGACTGAAAAGAGGTCATGTTACTGACGAAGATCTCTCGTTTTCGGTTTTTCAAGCGGGCACTTTTGGGTTTGGACAAACCGCTCCCACAGCTAACCCCTCGCCTTTCGGAGCGTCAAGTGCTGCTACCACCGGCCTGTTTGGGGCACCAGCGGCCACCCAAAGCATTTTCGGTGCGCAGTCACAACCACAGCAGACAGGCTCTCTCGTTGGCGGCACAAGTCAGGCCTCGGGCGGATTTGGATTTGGTCCCCAAAATGCTCTCAACACTGCAGCGTCTAAACCAGGTATGTTTTTGTATATGGACAAGTCATGTAAGAGCTTTGCGCTAACTCGATTGGCAACCAGGTGGATTCAGTTTTGGCGCACTCTCGGCCGCCCCGGCTCAGGGAAGTCTATTCGGCCAGTCAACAGGAGGCGGATCTCTCTTTGGTGCACAGTCGGCTCCAGGGGGAGGGTTTGGTATTTCCACAGCACCCGCCGGTGGGAGCTTGTTCGGTGGAGGTTTGACAACACAGCCTCTCGGTTACAATGCCAACTTGGCAAATATGCAGCAGTCTGCCAACCTACGGGCTAGCATCGATCGGAACCCATATGGTGTGAATCCGATCTTCGAGTCGCCAGCTAAGAAGACAGAACCCTCTCTGCTCCCCGTCGAAGAAAAGAAGAAGGCCCCGGTGTCGCCCTACGTCAAAGTCAGCGCTCGCGAAGCTTCTAACATCAAACTTCGAAAGCTCCGCGGATTCAGCCCACCTCGCACTGCAAAATCTCCGAGCGTTACTGGAGCATCTAGATATGAATCGGCAATAGGGAAATCCAAGGACGATGGGCCCATTGGTCTGGATCCTCGTTTCACGCCCAGGAAAAACGTCCGACGGCTGATAATCGAAGAGCCCTCGGAGAATGAAACATCGTTCTCTCCGGCCCAGACCCCAATCGGCAAGGGCAAGTCATCTGTGGCACGGAAGGGTGTAACGTTCAACCCATCCCTTGAGACGGAAGCATCTGGGTCGGAATACGTAGATGTTCATGGCGACGAAGATGATTCGCTAGAAAACAGCGTTCTTGCTACCCCGAGATATGCTGGACTCAACTCCGGAGGCTCCGCTCGACGAAACGGGAGCCCTAGTCCAGGTCCAGGATCCGTGCCGGCCACTCCAACCCCTCCGAGTCGAAAAGTCAATGCAACGCCATCGCCAGCGCGGTCTTCTGGGGATGGTGTGAAGCAGCCCGTCAAGTATGTCCTGAGCCCCAGCCTCAAGCAGCTGTACCAGATGGAAACAGAAGAGCTACGCGCTGTGAGCAACTTCCGAATCTCCGTGGCTGACATTGGATACATTCAATGGTTAGAGCCTGTAGACCTGATCGAAGCGTCGCCAACCGGAAATAGGAGCGGCCTCGACCAGATTGCAGGCAACATTGTCATACTAGCCCCGAAGCTGGCCAACGTCTACCCCGATGACATCACCAAGCCGCCTGTTGGGATGGGTTTGAACGTTCGCGCTGAGATCGCACTCGAGAAGTGTTGGCCGGTGGACAAAAGTACCCGTGAATTCATTCTCGATCCAACGGATCCTCGTCATGACCGGCACATGAAGAAGCTGGAGAATATGCCGGACACGGAATTCCTTGGGTATCACAACGAGACCGGCACGTGGAAATTTGTTGTGCAGCATTTCAGTAAATACGGACTAGACGAAGATGATGAGGACGACGATCCGGGCGCTGCGCAGGCAGTTCAGCGAACGCGTTCTTCTCACAACCCGGAAGCCGCCAACCTCGCGTCCCCGCAAATGTACAACAACGAGAATCCTTTTTTTGAGCAAGCCCAGGTTGGATCATACAAGGGTCAAACCAGCCTGGGCAGTTCCAGCTTCAACCCACGAGTCTCGCGTACGCCTTCCACCAGCACACCATTGAAGAACCAAAGCTATGGATTGATAGAGGATGATGAGGACGACTCATACGAGATGGACGTGGACGACTCACTAGCGGATTTGACGAACAAGAACTCGGAGCAGATCGTTAGGGTCTCCCCGCCTGCGGTGGTCAAGGCCATTCCGCCAGGTACCACAAGAAGTCCCACGAGTGGCGTGCATAGAGGGACGCCAACCAACAGGCGATGGCGAGACTTGTCTGCGGAATGGGATAAGGAAGAGGATGCCAGTGGCGAGATTCTGCAGAATGATGAAGAAGAGGACCAGCAGGAAGAGGAGTTCGTTGAGGTCTCGGATGAGAATGAAGAAGATGATGGTTCGGAAAAGGACGAGGGCGCAACATCGGCTGAGCTCGCGATGAAAAGCTTCGGTGCTCGGTCCGCTGGTGCAGAGTCCGTAGGCCGTTCAAGAACCATGCGACACAGCCCCGAGCCAACCGAAGAACACGAGCGCGATCCGGAGTCCTCAAGTCCCCATCGGAAAGCCCACACAGTGCAGCAACTCGAAGTCGCACATGGTGTGCAGAGAATGAAGTCGTCGCTCTTCGCCAGCTCCGCCCCGCCAAATCTGCCTCAAAGGCCTAGGACGCCTGCGCCTGCCAAAAGGGTGGTCCAGTTCAACTTGACGGATGCGCAAGATGCACCAGTCCGTAGTGCCCTCCAAAGTAATTTCGGAGCGGCGGCCGACCGGGGTACTCACAAACGAGGACAGACTGAAGAAGCAGAGACCCTGGATATCGATGACGATGACACGGATACTCGTATCGAAGCCCGGTCAGGGTTTGAGACCTCTCGCACTGCGAATTCTCAACGTGGATTTGGGTTACATACGCCGGCGGACGCGAGTACCATCGATGCCAACCTTCCTTTAAACGTACAGAGATCGCCAAAAAAGTACCAGCGAGTCAACGCCAAGATTTTACCTCCTTACGACAGCAGTATAACTTATGGGAAGGAGCGGCAGCTTATGGATAAGGGGCTCATGATGGGAAGAGGGTCTCGTGTTGGGTGGGGACCTGGCGGCGTGCTTGTCGTTATTGGCACCTCGCTCGGGAAGGTCAGCTCCTTTTCCAACATCTCCATCAAGCGGGTGAATATCTGTGGAAATCTGGACGAAGACAAGTTGGAAGTCGAGAGGGAGAAGCACACGGAGTTGTTGGAAGTTACTTTGAAGCACGCGTCGATCGTAAAGACTGTCACGGGGTCCGAGCCTATTGGAGCCTGGCAGGACGATATGGATGATGGTGAAAGCCAAGAAGGGACCCCGAAACTCACCGTTATCCCAAAAGCGAGTCTGGACCCGCATTTGAACTTTGCGAGCTTTGTCGATCTCGTCACTGCTGTGCCGGTCACGAATGCGTTCGGCCAAACCCGGGCGAGGACCTTCAGCGAGGAGGAATCAATGACGTGGAAGCTTGCACAAGCGCTCTGGGATCCCATTGACGTCCCGGAAACAGGCGACCATCACACAGAAGCACTCATCGAATCGGCCTTGAGACGCGAGGAAGTTAGTAAATGGCTGAGAGGCACAGTGAAGAGACAAACCGACGCCGACGTTTCGCAAGCCAGTGGCGCAGAGAGAGTGTTCGTGCTTCTCGGTGGACGGCAGGTTGGCGGCGCCATCACCGCCGCGATTCAGAACCGAGATCTCCGCCTCGCATCCATTCTTGCTCAGCTTGGCGGTCCCAGTAGCCGTGTGCTGACAGGGAAGGGAAGCCGCGATCAGCCTTCGGCAAGTGGCCATGGTATTCCCGGTCGCCATGGTACCAACGAAGTGGTCCTCAAAGCCGTCAGCGACCAGCTCGCCGTGTGGGAACATGTGGAGCGGAACAGGATGAGCGGGGTCACCAAACCCTACATGCGATTGTGGAACTTGGTGGGCGGACAACCTGAACGTTGGGGGAAGGAGATATTTGAGCGGCTACCGGATTGGAAGCGGAATTTTGGGTTGTACTTTTGGTACGCGGACGGGGGAGCTATGCCCATCCACGCTGCCGTTGGTGCTTACGAGAACGGTGCAGAGGAGCTGTCCTATGTCGCTCAGCCTGCACCAGCTTACCTTGGAACGTCAAGATCGAGCATCCCGCGGGACGTTGAATCGAACAAGTCGCCAAGAGATATTTGCTTCCATCTGCTGAAGCTGTTCAGTCAGAACGACCATCTGCTCGAGAGCGCTCTGAACCCGCTTAATATCACGCCTAATCCGCTTGACCACCGCGTGACTTGGCTTCTGTGGGTCATGCTCTCCACCGTGAAGAGAGTGCGCACTGCTGCCGACTCTAGATTACAACAGATCCGTTTCCATCAGGAGGCGTGCCGGGACGACGACATGGACGACGACGACAGTGAAGATAGCGAACATCAAAACGAGGCCCTCTCCGTCGCCACCGCAGACAGGCTCACCCGCGACTTCATGGCACAGTTAGAGGCTCTCGGATTATGGAAATGGAGCATCTTCGTCGCCTTGTTCCTCGGTCGAAAGTCTGGCCGCGAACGTGCTGTCCGCGAGTGCCTGGCCCGTCACTATCCACTGGATGACGACAGTGGCAGTTGGGTCCGGTCCATCGCCGGTAAAGAACCGCCATCGCCCGACGCGAACTCGATGGATGTCGATGTGCAGCAACCTAGTGCTATCGAGGCCTCAAAGGGATCAGAGATCTGGCGCTTCTTGGTCGACACGTTGAAGATTCCGGAATTGTGGATACACGAAGCTCGAGCTTTGGCGGCAAAGTATCATGGCGACCCTGTGCAGGAAGCCATTTGCTTGATTGATGCGCAAGAATATGTTGTTGCTCATCGCGTCATTCTGGCGAAGATTGCGTCTCAAGATATTCTTGATGGTAAGTCTCTCGTACAAATCCGCGCTGGAAATGCTCCACATCAATACTTATTCTTATCCTTTTGCGCTCTGTAGAACACTATCAGGAGCTCAAATCCCTCCTCGGCAAAATACCCCCGGACTCGATCGACAAGCGCTCATGGTCTCAGGGCGGGAAACTCCTGTTAGCTTACATTGATATCATGAACAGCGTGCCGTGGGTCTTGGGGCAAGCTCGTGATTACTCTCTCGGCTACAGTCTTACCAGCAGCATCCTGCTCACCCAGCGGCCGACGGCAACCGGAGATGGCGCCAGTGAAAGGGCGTCGGATGAAGACACTGCCGTGGCGTCGACGCTATACCCCGATGCGCGTGAAGCGGAGGTTGAAGCTACTCGCGCTCAAGCCTGCCAACAACTCAGAAAGACGTGGGTTCCCCAGATCAAGAACGTCTTGCAGGACATTGCCATCGCCAATACCTCCGCATCTGCTCGCAACACCACCGTCAAACCGAAAGCCGGTGGCTTGAAGAAGTCCAAAACGCCCAATACCGCGACGGCAACCACCAACGCGACCTCCTTCCTCGATTTGGTCTGCAGAACCGAAATGGCGGGCCGGCTCTTGAGCCTACTTGGCGACTGTGAGAAGGTTCTAACCCGGGGTGCAACTGCGGGCCCAGTCGTAGTGTCCAAGGAGCAGGAGAACACCACCGCCTCGCCAACTGCCGCCAGCGGCGAGTTCCGGGTAGACGGTAGCCTGCTTGCGAAACTCCCTGTCGCCCCCGGTAGCCGGACGATCATGCTGCAGAAGCTTATGCACGCCGCTTGGACCTCCAAATTTGGAGGTACCGCTGTTCAAACGTAAAAGCCGCCGCCCATGTATGGAACATGGGTCTCTTTTCTTGCCAGGCCACATCCTATCCTTTCCCTTCCCCTTTCACATACTTCCCCTCCCTTCCCCTGCCCTTTCATCGCATGTTGTCTTGACATATTACGAGACCACGTTGATCGTTTGTTGCACATATGGTTCTCTATCCCACCGTGTACCTCCCTTTGGCTGGAGCTATGTGTTATGCGATATCTTTGATTTATCTGAATACATGTCGATCTATAGGTTGACGTACAAATCATACTTCCCCGAACGACTTGCAGAGCGATTGATCTTTTTGTTTTTTGAGTTATTTACAGAAGATTCGAACATTTCGATTCTTACGAGAGATATGTTTCTTTTAGCCACATGAAGGCCTGCATTCGACGTAGTAGCGACAGCAGGCCCCACTTGCGTCGATTCAGTAGCCGTCCTTGTCGAGACCATAGACATTGTAGTTGCCGTAACAGAAGCAGTAGTAGTTGAGGTACCCCTTGCATTCACCGCGCGAGTCTTCATATCAGCAACTGGTTTGATTGTCGGTAGGGTGCCATCGAGGTCTTCCGCTTTTCCTCATTCCCATCCCGAAGCCCCTTCGCAAGCCCAGGCGTGGAGAGACAGCCGACAGCCTGCCAGTGGAGCTTATCGTACCCTCGTAGATACCCACAGAGACATACGCCATCGTCAGATGCTTCCACAATGACAACTTTGCCAGCAATCGCAGACTTCAACACCCTCCCACCGCCCGACTTTAACTCCATCATATCCCTCCTCTTCGAGCCCGCCCCACCGCTAGCCAAAGCTCTGTACGCAGCTCGTCCGTTCGACAGCTATGATCGCCTTCTCCAGCAAACCGACGCCATCCTCCACAAACTCTCGCCAGAGGACAAACTCATAGTGATCAACGCGCACCCTCGAATTGGAGAGAAGAAGACAAACCTATCTGCAATGTCGCTAAAAGAACAGGGGTACACCAGCGCCACAGCACAGCAGCCAAACGAAGAGGATCCACAGGTCATGGCAAGGCTGAAGGAGCTGAACAACAAGTACGAAGCCAAGTATGGCTTCAAGTTTGTTGTGTTTGTCAACGGTAGGAGCAAGGAGGAGATTGTGCCTGTCATGGAACAACGGTTGAAGGACGGGACGAAGGAGAGGGAGATGGAGACGGGATTGAGGGATATGGTTAGTATAGCCCGTGATAGATTAGGGAAGCATCAGAGGTAGTAGCTGGTGTTTCCGCGAAAGCTGCCAAATGAACAATGTGTCGAGTGGACCAAGCTTATACGATCTACGCAACTATGTACTGTAGAATGGATTGGATTGCTCTGGCCAGTCCCAAAATGCCTCTACGAGATGGACGCCTTCGAACCTTTGAAGCTTTTGGGAGGGATTGCGGGACTAGGGGAAGGATGATTTCTGGCACTAGATCACGCGCAGCAGCCCTGATTCTTGTTTGCGAAGGAGACAGAGGCCAGACCGAGGCGCCCGATGAACTTCATCTGACCTGCTACATCTGCAACCGAATAGATTGAGGTGCTCGCGGGTTCCAAGCAATGTCCCTGAACCAAGTCCCCTAGACCTGGGCTTGTACATGTACTGTACAGTATGTACAGTAGAGCCGATGCTGTTCAAGCCGCACGCCTCATTTGAGCCTTCATACACCAGATCAGGGCACTGGCGGGCATGATTGAACGACACTGTGGCTGCAGACTATTATTGAAATTGGACGTCCCAGACAATGCTCCCGCAATCCATACCCATTAATGCAAAGATTGATGATCAGGATCGCATGTCAATGGAGGACGGGCCCTGAGGCCCGCGGACTAAAGCGAAAAGGGGGAAATGCACGTACTATGGGGCATTGGAGGTATCTAGGTACTCTAGGTCCGTCTAGATGACGAATGCATTGGATGTCAGAGGGTGCAGAGACGGACCTTCGTATCAAAGTTCCCACGGCAGGCCATTTGAACCTCCATAGGTATAGTACAGTACTGTACAGTACGTACAGTACATTCACCAGATATCATTGACGCCGCGGACCTGACGATGGCCAGCACCTCTATTGTTGTCATCGCCTCCGTCGCCGTCGCCGTCCCCGTCACCAGCACCAGCTTTATCACCAGCATCTGAGAAATAGGAACCAGAGGTGAGAGGTATGACAAGCCACGGGATGAATTGCCATCATCACCATCATCGCCTCTATCGCCTTCAATGTCATCTTTTTTCTTCATCCTCACCCTCGTCCTCATCCTCACCTCGTCCTCGTCCTCCTCGTTACCAACCCGTCCATTTTGCCTTCGTTGGTCTTCTCGCCGAGTGAACGACCGGGGTGCAGGAAGTGTATGTTGTCAAATTCCATCACCTTTCTCCCCGGGCCACTGCAAGTTAGGGGCGATTTGGCGACGGACTTTGCAGCGAAGAGTGATTTGCCGGGCCAGACCGGCATAGAGGAAGAACCCTTTCTTCTCCTCGCCGTCAGGCTGAGGCCAGCATATTGTCTCGACTACAACCCGATTCCCGCTGGAGCTGTGCTTGTAGGAAACGACAGTAGCGACACCATTTTGCTTCTGTGGACCGCAACTAGCGGGAGAAAGAAATTGATCAGCGGCCTCCGAGCTGAATGTCCAATGCTGTCAAGCCTAAGAATGCGAGAGGGGTCGCGCCACCGGCACTGAAGGAAGATGCTGCCGCCTCGTGGCCTGTGAGCCTTTGCCACGCCGCCTTCAAGGATGTGCTGCTGCAGAGTTTCCCATCTTCGAGCGTCCAGAGCAGAGTAGTGGGTTTGTGTTTACGAGTAGCGTGCCACTTCAGGAGAGCTTCCAATGCCTTGACCGGGCAGACGTGATGATCCTCGTACGGCGACAGCACTAGATGTTGATAGTTGTCGGTGACGGTCTTAGGTTTCGGTATTTTGATCCAGAATCCGTCTCCTTGGTCAGTTTCCAGTCTTGTCACGTCTCTTAGAAGAATCACGCCGTCCCTTTGCAGATGTTCGAGGTCAGAGACGATCTCTCGCATGCGAGCTAGGGTAGCATCCACCGAAATCGGGCATTCCTTCTTCTGCAGATGGTCCCAAGTGGTGAAGATGTTGATGGACTCCGTTACCGCGCGCACGCAGAGCGCCTTCGAAGAACTGCTTCGACGGAAACTGGATGAGCCATGTGAACGATAATTGTTCATCAGACATAGGTCAGAGCGGTCGTCCATCTGCCTTCGTATAGGAACATAAAAACTTGCTGGCTGACAGCGGTGGTAGCGATATTCCTCACATTGCTGAGTAAAGCCACAAGCAAGTGACGCAAACCAGCATCCTTGGCACGTATCGACGTGATTGTCGGGCCTAGCGTCAGGTGATCGCAACCAGGAGCGTCCGAACATCTTCGACATGAAAGTAAGGTCTCCGGCACGATAGCCTGTCCTCCTTCATTAATGATGATCAGATCGAAAACCCGCGTTGACATCCCAGGAAGATCGGCCGCGGACGTGAGAGTTGCAAGAACGAACTCGTGGCCGCTGAGATTGCCCGTCAAAACCGCCGTATGCCTTCAAAAGGTCATTCCCGAGGCTGGAGGCGCATACCGTGTGTGGGTATGGTTTGCTGAGGTATCAACAGACCAGGTCCTCAATTTCCCGGTCCCCGGGGGTTATGGAGAGTGACTATCCGGCAGCACCCGTATCGATCCATGACGAACACGGCCACCGACCTCGAGGAAGCGGATACTCAGGAAGGACAAGAACCGACGTGTCAGATCAGTTCCAGTCTTTCCTGTCTACCACCTTCCCGAACGAACAGCGGACGTACCGCAATTCGACCATTATTTTCGTCGTAGAGCATGAACAACTTGATCCCACTCATTGATCTGCGCATCCAGTATCCTCATGGTCCAGTGCCATTCCTCAGGTCGTATTTTCTGAGACACGTTCGAGACCCAGAGCAGAGCCAGTTTCCTGTTGTGGTAGGCGTCGTACAAAGTTTGCAGCGCCCGGCGCGGCATGTAGCATCGCGAGTCGCGAGTTCCGGCGAAGCAATCGTAGCTGTGACCGGTCCTCTTTGGCGACAATAACCTCGGCCTCAAGTTTCCGGTCATCTTTAACCCGTTATTCGTGCACCTGCAGCTCAAGAGTCCCCACTGTGCGTTGAGAGTCTGCTGCATCCTCTTCTGCCATTGCTGGTGTGCGTTCCTCTTGCTGCTATCAACACCATCAACGACGAGAGCACCGGAATGCAGTTCCCAAGGTGGAGGGCTTCGCTCCAGCGGTTTTGGCGCCACCGCAGAATGACCATCTGGTCCAAGGTGTGCAGGGGTAAGACGTCTTGAATAGACACGAACTGAGATGAGTTCCGAGGACAAATGTCCGTGCTGCACGCCCATGTCGCACTTGGACTTTTCGAAATGCTCGTGCAGAAATGTTACATGACCGTTGGTGGCTCTGTCTGCGTTTGTAATTGGATGTTAGACTGGGGACTGCGGAGGAGGCGGTGTTCGAAGGGAACTCTCTACTCTTTCTTTTATTGCAGGTGTCTCCGCATGGGCGGCAAATCGGGAGACTGTGGTACACGTCAGGCGGGCCAATTCACTTGGCCGATCGCGGAAGCCGCAGCAGTGAGGTAGCTTGTGGTGTTTGCTGGCTCAAAACATTTTCTTGTTGGCGGGTTGAGCGGAGGGTGAAGCTGGTGGTTTCGCGGGTTGCCCAAAGTTGCGAGCGGTCTCAAACACGTTCTGGCCTTCGTCGACGTTCAGGAGAAAGTTTTGCCAGGGCTCTATGTCTTGCGTTGGAGGTGGGGCGTCGGACGGGGGCAGAGCCTGCTGGATCTCATCTGCTTGGGTCCACGGAACTCAGTGGACAGCAAAAAGGATGATCAGGTGTTGGCTGCAGGCACCATGGTTCTTTTGCTTCGGCGACAGATATCACACGTGAAGACGCACCAAGTGCATGCTTTGCAATATTCGGCCTGTCTCCGGCCTCCCATGTGTTTGGCCATGTGAGCGCCGATGGCGACGAAGGTGCATTTCTGTTTCGAACAAGGATTGCAACCTGGGGCCAGCGTAATATCAGGCTTGAGTAGCATTTTAAGTGATGACGTTGGCCCCTTACTGAAGCATCGGGGTCAAATATGTTTACGCCGTTCCACCTAGCCTGCTCCTGTCCGCGCGGTATGGGCAACAGACGTCGAAGGAGGATTTAAGCGCAGTGTACTTGGCAGATCCTTCGCCGTCGGCATGCATCGTGAGCCAGGCTTCCAGATGTTCTGCGATTTTGATATACTCGATTTGCTTTTCGTCAAGAATATCGTACCCACAGGTTTCCAGGATTAGCAGCTCGGGTGTGCGTCGACGTAGAGAGTCGACGAGAAGGCAAAGGTTGAGAGTATCACGTCGTAGATTCACCCGTCTCTGTTTGCCCATCTATTACCAAATGGCGTCCACGATGCCGAGCTTCAGACTGGCGGCAAGGAGGGCAAGGCAGCTAGGTGGGCAGCGGAAGCCGATCCAGAAGGGTTTTGAAAACCCCCTCGGACACTGCTTGAGTCAAAGAGACGTTGTAGGGGCTTGCTGATGTCCACATGGTTCTTCGATTCGGTGTCTGGCGCTCCCCTTGTCGTGCGCAAATCTGGAGAGGCGGCGATCTGGGCAGCGATGTTTTACACCGCAAAAGCGACATTACACGGAAAACAGATGTCAACAGATCTAGAGTTGCATCCCAGGGTAACATTCAACAAGCCCGATTAGCTCAATCGGCAGAGCGTGCGGCTTTTAACCGCAAGGTCGCGGGTTCGAGCCCCGCATCGGGCTTTCTTTTCTTCTCCATTTTTTTGGCCAATACAGGGTGCACTCAGGCGCCTTCGGTGACCATAGTCGGAAACTGCATAGCCAATAGTCTCTCATTTCCAAGATGTCCGACTCTGCAGTTCCTTTGAAGGAATTGTTGCCGCAATTGACCGTTGCTGGAACGTCCACGTTGCTCCTACGCCGGCCATCCAGGGAACATCTGGCAAGTCTGGCACTCCTGAGCTTGCAACGGCAGTCTCACGCGTTTTGGTGGTAGCAGGAAACACTTCTGACGGCGTCGAGAGCAGCGAGGACGATAGGGGCGAGGGGGAGAAAGAGGAGGAGAGCGGCAGGGTGAGGAGGAGCAAACTGACGAGAGCAGCGAAAACGACGCTGACGAGGAGGGCAAGGAAGTGGAGGGTTTGAAATATGAGAGCAGCGAGCCCGACACTGATGATGAGGACGAGGGAGATGAACCAGGAGAAAGCATGGAGGACAACGCACATGAGGACGACAACGAGGTGGGCCCGGTAGACGAAGACGATACCCTCGACGAGGTCGAGAATGACGAAGCGGCGCCTCTCGCAACTCGGAGGAATATCGCCAATACCTTGCCGACCACCTGTGTGACTCTCGTCAAGATTCGCCGCCTCACATGTTTGACGGTCCATTGTCTCCCTCCTCCCGTTTCATCAAGCGCAAACGCCGCCCGTGCCGAATGCCGCCGCGAGCGCAACCTCTCTTGACCAGGAACCGCCTGGAGTGGCCCGACACGTGGTTCCTCCGCAGCACACCGCCTACTTCAACTCTGTTGAGACGTGGGAATCGGACAAACAAGGCATGACCGAGGAGACATGCAGTGTACGCTTCGGCGACGACTTCAGCATACGCGACGAGTATGTTCGCGAACTAGCCAAGGCGTGCCCCAAACTAACGTCCTTCAGTGCGGGCAACTGCGACGATGGCCATGGTGTTCCGGTAACTGACGCCGCCATAATGGAGATGGCTCAGCATTGCAAAGATCTGCAAAAGCTGCACCTCCATTCGCACACAAATATCACGGACGCTGCTGCGGTGGGTGTCGGGCAAGTGTGCCACATGTTGGAACACGTCGAGATCACACGCCATGACAGGAGCCAGGGCAAAATCACGCAGAAGTTCCGCCAAGAACTGGCGGTGACGCCGGCTCTCGCGCCAAATCTGCCGCAGCTCACCGTTATAGACCAGCAGGTCGGGGATGCTGTGGGATTGTTGAAGAAGAACCGTCCAGTCCTCCGTATCACATATGGAGGGTTGGCGATGGGTTTGCCACTTGAGCGGTGCTTGGCATGATGGGCGGAGATCAGACAGTTTTCCGCATATAGTAGCAAGTGGATGCACGTCGCCTAGCATACACAATGTACCCTGTGAATGTCGGGTTCGTGGAAAGCGGTGTGAGATGATCTGTTGCCCACGGTGCTTGCGCGGGTCGGACAAGGTTGTCTCATTGTCGGAGGTACACTGGCGCCTTGGGGCGGTGACGGGCATGAGATCGTTCGCTAGCACAGATGAGATTTGAGCGAACAGCCTGGCACAGAATGCCATGTTAAGATATGAAATGATGTAGGTATGAACAAAATTGATGCGATAACTTAAATAACACAATCTGCGACTCCAACAGTAAAGCTAACGTACGCCAGTGTCTAGATATGCTGGATACACTACAGCAGACCCCTCCCTCGAGTCTAACGCCTCTTCTTGCCCTTGCCCCTGACCTCATTAACGTTTTTCCGGCCATGACCAATGACAGGCATAGCACCCGACTGGAAGTTTCCAAACTTGTTAGTATCCGCGGCACCGCCCATGAGCAAGCTGCCGGTCGTAAAGTCAGGCGAGAAGACGTCGGAGGATGCGGCGGCGGCCTCTTTGGCGGCACGGCGGCGAGCAAAGTTGGCCGCGCGTTGGTATTCGCGCTGGTCTTCGCGGAGAAGCATGTCGTTGTTGCGGCGCCCGCCTTTTGGGGGAGGGATGTTGTACTGATGGTTGCAATAATCAATTGTGAGTGAGTAATTCAGCGCGCGTGATAATGGCGATGGAATGGAGCGGCAGTTACCTTCGTTCCTCGGGTATTGTACTGGAAGTTCTTCTTGAGATAGTAGGTAACTTCGCCTGTACGAGCGTCCACACCGACTGTTGTTCGGATCAGACTGCTGTTCCCGCATGATGGGCAAAACTTCTTTTCCATATCTGTCGTCACTCTGGATGGGAGATACAGGAATCAGCAATCATCACATGTAGGAGTGTGCTACAGTTGCCTCGAGCGCGTTCAAACATCCAGCAATATGCATTACTCACTTGTAACAAGCATGGCACCTCAACACAAAGTTCTTCACGCGATCAATGACGACTCCATCAACGGACAGCAGCTTCAGACCCATTTGCAACAACACGTTCTGCATCGCGAAATCCGCTGATATACAGGCAACGGGAAGGACTTGAGGAGCCTTCTTTCTGTTCCTTCGCCGCTTGTTCTTCTTGGAGCTTCCTGTCGCGTCGGATTGCTTGATTTTCTTTATGTTGTTCGGAGTAATCCAACCTTCCTCGTCGCCGAGGTCAGGGAGTGCGTCGTGATGGCGGCGCGAACGGCGAGTCGCTGTAGTCCATCCCTCATTGTCATCATTATCAGCTGCGGCTTGCTGTGTTTCCTCCTCCGCTTCCTCGTCCTCCTCGTCTGACGTCTCCTCTACCTCGTCTCCAACCGCCTGCGGTTGTTCCCACGCACCCTCGTCGTCATCACCATCAACCTCCTCCTTTGCATCACCGTCACCCTCCCTGCTTTGTAACGACATTTCGGCAAGTCGTTGTTGAGCCTCCAGAATCTCCGCCTCTGTTGGGGCGGGCCCATCTCCCAAAAGATCATCCTCATCATCAATGATTTCGGTATGGTCGTCGGCATTTTGAGCAGCGTCTTCCTTGTATTGCACAGACTTTTGTTCCTCCGCTTTCACCTTCTCCACCACTTTCGCCCGTTCCTGCTGCTGCTTTTGCTGCACTTTCTTCTTCAAATCACTCGCAGGCTCCGTCCGCAAGTGCGCCGTTCCCCGCGCCTCCTTCTCCAGCATCCACGTCAAAGCCAACACCTTCATATCCGTCACGGACAGGGACGCAAAGTCTCCCGTCTTTTTCGAGAAAGCAACGACTGCCGCCACAGCCTCCTCCGACGGCACACGGGTCTCAAGGTCGAAAGGCAGCGTAGTAAGTCCCTGCCGGGCTCGCTTATCGCGGATTTCTGCGAGAACTTCGGGAATGGTTACGAATCGTTCGGCGAGGTGGAAAAGCGGGGTGCCTTTGATAAGTGGAGCGGAATCGACGACGAGCGTGACAACTTTGTCTTGCCCGGTGGTCAGTCCATTGAGGTCCTTCGACGGTGCAGCAGCGTTACTAGTCGGGGCTTCCAGAGTAACATCCCTCACTTCTCCCGCCGCTGCTAAACCCACGGGTTCAGCGGTGGTCGTTGTTGTCGCCGCCATGTTGAAATGCGATCCGCGCGAAATGAGCTTGTAGAGAGTCTCGAAGTATTCCAAAAGAAAACCGGTTCTTTGCTCTACGGAGGTGTTTCCAGTAGCCAGGAGTTCTACAACGTCGCACGTTTTATGTGCCAATGCCCTTGCGAAATGGTTCATGCGAGGGACGAAACTCTGCTAGCATTTGAAATGAGGTCAAGTCACAGCCGGCCACGTGACTACATTTCACATTATATATGCCATTTTTGACGGGAGATCGAATGTCCGGCTCAGATTCAAAGGTGTAGAAGAGTAGAACGTATATGTACCAAGCACCGTCTCCCAAACAATAACAACATAGAAGGGGCAACAAAAAGACGAAGGACGAGCGATGTCCTAGGGTGGGGGCCTAGTGTAGGGCTGAAAAGTGCAGCCGACCGGGGCGACGACAAGAAGGAAAAAACACCACATAAGACGGCAAACTTGAGATACGCTCATCAAGGAGAGAAGAGGTGGCGACTGAACATAAAGAGAATATGTCCAAACGAGATGCGCTGCAGCGGCATCAGTAAGAGAATGTCGGGCACGGAGCGCGCGCGGATGAGTACGGCCCAGATGCTGGGAAATTATTGATGATGTGGGGCTCTGCGCCTCTGTCCTGGTCCTGTTTTCAGCTGCGGGTTGCAGAATCACATCTTATTGCCGTGGCCTCCGCATGTCCCAATATTTTTCAGCCTCATCTGTATCGTGCGATAAGCTTCGCTTCCTGAATCATGGGGAGGTCGCTTGCAACTGATCCGCAAGCTCTCTTATCACTTGTAGCGAGATCCCAGGGTGCTCCTATGGCGGCAAATTAGAATCCACATGCCCTCAAGCAAAAGAAATCTGTTGCGCTTACCTGCTCAACCATGGCAAACGCCCGTCGCACCGTCAGAAGCGATGCGCCAGGTACAGCCTTTTCTATTTTCGCACATGCTGGATTGACGATGGTTTTGAGAACGTCCGACTCTGGGGATGGAGATCCCGGCCGTGCTGTTCCGTTGGCCGACGCTACACTCGATCGGCTGACAGTGGATGCGCGTTCCTGAACATTTTGGTTAGCATTGTCGCGCTGCTGATCTGCGCTGACAGTGAATTGCACCTACCCCTTCTTTGATTTGAGACGCCGGTGAAACTTTCGACCTCACTGTTCCGCCCAAAGCAGAGGACGAGAGCCCGCTCTCGGCCGATGTATTTGATGGCTCCACCTTGTTATTCTTGGGACCCCGCACAGTAGATCCTGGCGGGCTAAGTACCGCTGGCGGTGCGGTGGGCGCAACTGCTTGCTGGGAATGATTTTTCGGCAGAGGTGGTAAAGTATTGGCGGGAGGCAACCTCGATGCCGCGGCTGATGGAGCTTCCCGACTGTTTGAGCTGCTGGGCATTGGTGGTGGGACAGCGTGTTTGACCGTTCCAAAGTTCCAACCGCCATCCCCATCGTCATCTCCAGCGTTCCCATCACCATCCTCCTCATCCGAGGACGATTCCTTCTCGCTGCCCCCTTCTGCCAGCCATTGCTCGTGCCGCTCAATCAGTTCCGTGAGAAAAGATGTTTTCTTAGCCGCTTTGATGAAGCGATGTTTCAGCAATTCTTTGGCAGGAGGCCGCTGTATGGAGAAGGGGATGTAACATTGAGCATCTAGAAACAACAACTGCCAAGGAGAGGAGTTGGCTCCGACCATACCTGATCTATCTCCTTCTGTAGACATAACGCAACAAACTCCTTGAATGCCTTCGAGTAGTTGCCCTCCAATGGAGGAGGATCGTTTTTTGGAATCAAGAACAACACACGCATGGGATGTAAATCCGCGTACGGAGGTTCTCCCTTTGCCAGCTCTATTGCAGTAATACCCAGACTCCAGATGTCAGCTTTGTCGTTGTAGCCCGATTGCTTGATGACCTCTGCAATGAAGATGAATGCAACGTCGCGTTAAGTTACGATGAATTTCGGACGTAAATTGAGCAGACGTACCTGGCGCCATCCAAAATGGTGTTCCCACAAAGGTGTTCTTTTTGGTCATGGTAGCCGTCAGTTGTCCCGACACCCCAAAATCCGCCAGTTTTACGGTGCCATCTGCCGCAAGAAGAATGTTGGCGGCTTTGATATCACGATGCAATTTTCCTTCCCCATGAAGGTATTCCAGTCCCTTTAGGAGCTCTCGTAATATGATCGCAATGAAAACTTCCTCAAAGACTCCAGCGCGCATCTACAAAAAGGGAGGTTCCGTCAGTCTTGTATGCAGATGAAAAACCGCCTCCGACCCTCGGATATTCTCTATAATAAGAGGAGAACAGCGCACGCACCAGGTCCAAACAAGAACCACCCTGGCAATACTCCATCACAATCCACAAACTCGAATTCTTGATGTACGACCCATGATACTTTGTTATGTGTTGTGAGTCGAGTTGCGAGAGTATATTGATTTCTTGCTGAATATCTTCGATCTCGTCCTCAGCATCTGCAAAACATAGAGCAAATTTTGGTTACACCTGACCTTGTAACGCACAAGCCCTATACCACAGTGCACAACATGCTCGCATGACATACCCTCCAAATCTATGATTTTGATAGCAACTGGCTCGCCGGTACGCTTGTCGATCCCCTTATATACCTGTGAGAGCGGAAACAACACGCGTTCAATACACCCCGGCATTACTGCGGCGTTTAGGAGACGGCCGCCATCCATACCTCTCCAAAGGATCCCTTTCCGATGCGATCTGAGCTCCCATTGTTGTGATATAGCCGTCAGTCAGTGAACTTTCTCCAAACGTCCCAGCAGGTCTTCCCTCAGACCCACGCGTCCATACCTTGCTTCGTATACAGGTCTTCTGGATCGGCATGATTGTAGTTCGCCATGTTTGGCCGTTACGTGCTTACGGGGACAGCAGGATAGGTCGCTATAAAGCGACTAGAGCAGCCTATCGCACAAGAGGCATGTTTAGTATCGATGTTGATTTTGCCAGCGATCTTGCACGTCTTAGGCCTGGTGACGCCAGTGGCGACAATACACACCAAGTAAAGATCGCAGGGGGGTGACCAGACCACAAACAGGGATGTATTTCCCACAATGGCGCTGTCGGGAAGCCTGGCTTAATGATTGTTTGAAGACCTTCTTGTTCGAGTGACTCCCAGGCGGTGTTTTTCGGTTTCGGCAGGTCGTCGACGCGATGGCTTCGTGGGACTGCGAACTTTTTGAGCTTTGAGCTAAATCTTTAAGCGACGACTGCAGTGAATCCAATAGCAGGTCCTATGGGTCCCACCGACAGGTTGAGAAATGGGCGCTGGCGTGGGTGCAATGCACTGGATGTTGGTCGGAAAAGCGAAGTCCGATAGCGGTGGACGGGCCCCTTTGTGTTGCCTGCCAACTGCCTCCTGTTTGGCGGGTGCGTTGTGGCGATTGAAGAACACAAGTGACCTCATCGTTCGCAATTAGAGAACGCGCTCGGTCATCCCGCTGCGACACGCAGACCACTCCTTTCCCAAAAGGACATCCTCATGAACTCATGCGGGGAAACGACGAAGCAGAGTATCGCAGGAGTTTGCAAGACATCTATCATCGCCATCAGATACGCTATATACAATGCTGAAGAAGATTTCCTACGATAACTCAAGGAAACCACACAAAAAATGGGATTGATGGGATGCATCGACCGTAACCCTCTGACGCGATACTTCCCAGCTCAAGATGTGATGATGGATAGAGCCGTTCTGGACGTAGCGGAATAGGTATCTACTACGACCCGAGCGCAGTCTGCATCCATCTATCCGCAAAAGCTGCGAGCGAAGAAGATGTGGGATGGATGATAAGTATTGCTTTTCACCTCATCAGACCGGATTCCACCTCATCCACTCCTACTCACCGCCGAGTACAGAGACAAGAGCCTCCTCGCCTCCCACCAGACTCGACGTCCCATGAGGATCTCCACTGCTGCCCGTTTGCTCCGACACGAGCGCAGCGGATGAGCCAAAGACGTGCAAGGATGATTGTCTGGGAGAACTGGCGCCACTGCGAGGCCCGTTCGTGTTGAAAGCGACATTGGACCCGGTGCCGTTATGAAGCTCAGCCATCGATGCCCTTTGCTTCTCAACTGCGGGATCGATAAAATGGCTCAGTTCAACGAACCCAGTCTGGTCATTGCTTGTGTGGAATCAGGCGGACATACTTTGCAGTTTCTTAAGTCGCTTCCCACTGCCTGCGGTTACCACCTGCTCTACCGAGCTTCTCTACGAGAAATAGAGTATCGTCAGATCCAGCAAATGACAATGAAACCTGCCCCAGAGTGAATGCTCAATCAGAGGGATGGCCCGTTCATACTTTTCGCTTGTCCAAGGCCTTCTTGTACAAATAATCCAAGGAATGCACCGCGGTCCAATCATCGATCACATCTAGCGGCGGCGCGGCAAACCACTTGATTTTGCCATCGTCCGTTGTCTCAAATGTTTCCACTGATGCCCAAAGTTAGAGAAACGCATTGCGCTGAAACACAAAATCATACTGCTGACTCTCACCTGTGACCATTGGTAACGACTCATATCCAATCGGGGCGGGTATTGGCGCTGTGGTCTGCATGTGCTGATGTGACGCAGTACTTGTGTACGGCGTGGCCGCTGCATAGGCAGCAAATAGGCTTGCGGATGGCCCGCTTGAACACACCATCGGCGTTATCGCCGACTGCGCTGTGACCATCCCTTGCGGCGTCCCATGTACCGAAGGGGCAAGATGCCGTGGCAGCTGCGGTGTGAGGGATTGAAAGGCCGCCGATTGCGGCGCGCCTTGTGGTACTTGTGATGTGGGCGCGATGAAGGCGGCCTGCGTGTTTGGCGCAACAGATTGCGCGGCAGCGGCCCCGGCTGCAGCGTCGGCCGCTTGCGATGGAAAGGCGGTGAATATTCGCGAAGGTATGATGGGAGTCGGGAAGAGAACCAAGTCGACAGTTTTGTTCACAGCGTTCGGTGGTATGCAGCTTGCCCAGTTTCGAATCTTGGACATTTGCTTTTGCTGTTCGTTGTACCGCGACTCACATACGAAAACGTCGTTCTCGTTCGCGCCGGGTGGTCGTCCTTTAATGTAGTCCTTGTAATGTAAGACCCAACATCTGCCAACGATTTCGTTGGCAAAGTACTTTCCGTTATGGGTCGTTTTGAAAACCTCATTCTTTAGGAAGCGAGCACTCGGCCGATGCGACGTCTGTTCTGGTCGCAGGTACCAGCAGGTCGTGACACCCTCCTTCTCACCACCATTTCTATGCAACCGTTGTGAGCATCACGGTCGGAATCATGTGCCGCCAAGCTCTCATACGTACGGTGACTTCTTCTTCCATACAGCCAGAATCTGAGCTACGGTGGGCTTGTGCGGATCATTCGGGTTGAAAATATAGACGAAATCACCTAAGGCCCAAACGCGGTCAGCGCATTATCCCAACCTGCTGAGCATTACGTTCATGAACCTGATACCTATGTTATATGTAAAGCCTTTATACGTCAAGCTCTGAAGGTTTGCGTTATCTCCTCCGCGCGGTGCGGGCGCAGAAGTCCCCTTTGTGAGCTCGTTGAAGACGTCCTGCGCACGATCACCGCTTGTAAGATTTGGGTGAAAGAAAGAATCATTATTGTTGTTCATTTCCGGTACCTGCAATGCTGTTGCATCCTCGTAGATATCCGACCCTTCTGCGTTGTATTCCATAGCGTTTGCAACCATTAACGCAAAGTCGCTTTCGAACTCGGCCAATGACTTGTATGTATGATCATCAACTCGTTGGCGAATGACATTCAACGCTATTGGGTTTTTGATCTGTAAGGTGATATCATAAGTTCGATATTCCACGGCGGAGAGAGCACAAGACTTCATATCCCACCTCCTGATAATAATCCGGATACGACTCCTTGTCTGGAAGCTCTTCGAACATCTCCACGAGGAGACGGCCACTACCGAACCCGAACACGACAATGGTAAGTCCACAGCTGACTTGCGATGGCAATGGAAGACGTTCTTACTCTTCCGCTGAGCGCTGTGCAATCGTATCCAGCACCTTGCGCATGTTGTCATAGAGCTGAGAATCAGACGGATCGGTCAATCGAGGCCTGTGCTTTCCTTCTTGCCAACTCCGTTTCCCACATGCGGAATTGCAAATCTCACGTTTTCTTTTCCACTACCCCTGGCCTCAGCCTTCGCACCCTCGGTCGGCTGCGCAGACCTCGTCTTTCCCATTTCGTTCTCTAGTTCCACTTGGAAAGCTTCCTGAGGGTGTGGTGCAATTTCGAGTGAGTACGGCCCTTCACTGGGCAAGAGTGCAGGACACAGTATCGAACCTGCAGTATCGTGGCGTCTTTATATACTTTAGAGCCTTTTATATTGAAAGACTTTGCATTCTCTACCATCAAGTTCAGGTCGTCAGCGAACTGGTCGATGCTCGAATACGAATTCGACTCCAGCTTTTGCTGTAGAGTGAAACCGAGTTGAGCTTCGCTTTGGTAAGTAGAATACCAGCAAGCGGACCGACCCCACCTGTATCGTAGCCAACGCAATCGGGCGGGTGATGACCTCGTAGTACTCTGGGTAGTCTCGGCGAGAGACCAGGTCCTCGAATAGTTCGGAGACGACGCGGCCCCTATGGGAATTGAGAATATTCCCAAGGTCAATCATGTCCAGAATAAGTTTGACCAACCACCACGCGTGCCTATTCGACGTCACGAATAGCACACATCCCGCTTCCATCACCCTCAAAAGACATCAGCACACAAACAGTACTCACGATGGGTCTTGCAACTTCCTCACCACCTCCAATATCCTAAGCCCGGTGTTCGCTACGCTCACATCTCCGCCTCCGCTCGTCGTCAACCCCCGCGGTTGTTTTGGAGGACGGCCTCTTTTCCGCGGCGCTGCGCTGGGCGAGGAGACGTCGTTCGGTATTGATGTTGTTTGGGCCATTGTTGACATAGGTGGAGACGAAGTGTGTGTCAATGGGCTGCTGGAATCCCTTTGGGTCAAATGTCAAGCTCTCCACTCGTCGACGCGATGTGACAGCACTCAGTGGCGCAGCATCAACCTGTCATTTCCATGATTCCGACCATTTCGCAAATATATCGAGGCCAATTCTTGTGAGTGCCAGAGCATCCTGAGCCTGTGAGCTTTGGAGATGCGGTCGCTGGGAGGTCGGGCAAGGATATCTTCTCATAGAGGTGATGCATTGTCCAAACTTTTATCGCCCATGAAAGCAGCTTCCAAGCCAACCCACCTTACCTTATTTTTCTCTGGTCTGGACGGTCGCTTGGAGGGATGGTTTCTTGCGATGACTCCATCCTCTGCGTTGCAAATTGGGAGTGAGAGTATAGGAGGGGGCGTTTTGTCAAAGGGATAGGGGGCGATTCGACAGTTTCGACTGCATTCCCAAACCCTTGCTTGGAAACATGGGTCGTGATAGCTGTCAGATCTCAAAATCAAAAGTATTTGAGGTGATCCGTCCGTTCGCCCCTGAGGGTTATAGGCAAAGCCCACAGTGTGAAGCACGGCTCGTTGAAGTATTGATTGATGGATGGAAAGATGCCGTGTCAGCATCTAATCTCCTTCGTCTTGGTGATGCCATCCCCACCGTTTTTCATGGGCTGTACGAAATGTTTGCGCATCTGCAATTGGCCCTTCGTTCGTACTTTACATGCATCACACATCGGCGGACCTATGCAGCTGTACTCATTCACTTCTAGCCTACCGACTAATGTTGATGCCAGGAGCAAAAGGTTTCTAAACTAAGTGACACATGCTCACGTAATCCCAATTTCACAAAGCCCGCATTCTATTTCTAGGATTGACAGGATGGCCATTCCGCTCCGAAAGCCACTCCCCCACACAGCGGCGACGTTCCACCCTACAGTTCCGTGAAAATATCCCGTTCCGCAAAGTCAAGCTACCTCATTAGCCCGTACATTCCATGTCAGCGCGATCGAAAAAAACAGGGTCAAGAGCCGGGACAGCCAAAAGCAAAGGCGCCGCGGCAGCGGCCGATGCCGGCGCCGCGGGCGAGGGAGGCAAATCCAAGACGGAGCTTGAGGAAGAGATCAAGAAATTGACGGAGGAGCTTACGGCTGAGCGGGAGGAGAGGAATTACTTCCAGTTGGAGCGGGTGAGGATGGGAGGCGGTTCCATTGTGGACGCTGCTGCGGGCGGACAGTAGATTGGCTCCATGTACTGAAACAATGTTCGGCCGTCGTCACGACGTTGTTTAGGACAAGATAACGTCTTTCTGGGAGATCACCAAAAACGAATTTGCGCAAAGCAAAGCGGAACTTCTGAACAAGGACCGAGAGCTGGAAGAGTTGGAGGAAAAGCATCAAGTAGAAATCAAGGTACGAATGAATCCACTCCACACTCTCACCCGCTGTGCGATCGAAAACACATCTCACGAATCTGTCCCGCGAACCACAGGTCTACAAACAAAAAGTGAAGCACCTACTCTACGAATACCAAAACAACGTCGCCCATCTCCAAGCCGACTCCGAACGCGCACTCCAGATCGACCAAGAGGAGCACGTTGGCCGCGAACAGCAGCTGAAGCGGGACAAGCGGGCATTAAAGCTCGAGCTGAAGGAGCTCGAACTCTCCCACGAGGACATCGTCAAGAACCTCAAGCAAAAGCACGACGAGGAGATCACGCGCATGCGCAACGACTTTGAGCGGCGGGCAAAGGAGCTGCATGCCAAATACGAGAAGAAGATGAAGGTTGTGAGGGACGATTTGGAGTTGAAGCGCAAGAACGAGGTGCATGAGATCGAGGAGCGCAAGAATGGGCAGATCAATGCGTTGATGAAGAATCACGACAAGGCGTTTGGGGAGATCAAGAACTACTATAACGATATCACGTTGAACAACTTGGCGTTGATCAACTCGTTGAAGGAGCAGGTGGAGGATATGAAGAAGAAGGAGGAGCGGAATGAGAAGCAGATGGCGGATATTGCTTCGGAGAACAAGCGGCTGTCGGAGCCGTTGCAGGCTGCTTTGTCGGAATGCGACGCACTCAAACGGCAGTTGCAGAACTACGACAAGGACAAGCAGCTGCTTCGGGACACCAAGGCCCGGTTGAAGATTCTCGAGGACAGGCACAAGGCATTGTCTTGGGAACACGAGGTGCTGGAGCAGCGGTTCGGGCAGGTCCAGAAGGAGCGTGATGAGCTGTATGAAGGGTTCGTGGACCGCATTGTCAGCGTGCAGCAAAAGACAGGTTTCAAGAACCTGGTGTTGGAGAAGAAGGTCGAGTCGCTGCGGGACTTGATCGAGAAGCGGGATCTGCAAGTGAATGAGATCCTCAAGGCGACGAATTTGGACCCGACCGCGGTTGCGGGCTTGTCGAGAAGGTTGGAGGAGGTGTTGGACTCGAAGAATAGGCAGATCAAAGAACTGCAGTATGATTTGGCGAAAGTCACCAAGGTAGGCTCTGCGAAAGAAGGACTTTTTGCGCTGACCTGAAGTTAACCGTTGTCATTGAAACTACAGGCGCATAACGATATGATACGGACGTACGAAGCCAAATTGACCGAATTCTCCATACCTGTTGAGGAGCTCGGTTTCAAACCCTTGATCATCTCCACTCAGTCAACGACAAACCCCGCCGGGCTCGTAGCGGCTCAATAAAAGCCGTCGTTTGCTTGCGTTGCACCCCTTTTTACATATCGTGAATATTAAGACATTTGACATTGGAACGCTGTTGAACGGCGATTGCCAAAATTTGATCGAATTGAGAGGGCGAAGGATTGTTTTCGTTTCCCAAGTTTACAATTAAGATACAGTCTTCATCTCCAAGAATCACAGTGCGCAAGGATCAGGGAAATGCTGTTGAGATGCGAAATGACGTCGAGACTCTGCTTATTCCCGACTTCGGTCCGCCGATCCCCAAGATATAATACCCCACTCCACCACGTTGCTCTAATTAGAACAGCGACAGATGAGACAGTAATACGCCGGCGTTCATAGACAGGTGCCTCCGATACAAAATGCAACATCCTCAGCTTCACGGCTTGAGCTTCCCTCTCCACGCTGCCTTGTCCTTCTCATCCATCTCCTTCTCCTTCGCATGTGCACGTGCGAGACCTTCGCGGATGCCTTTGTCTTGTGGCGCCAGCTCAACGGCCTTCTTCAGATCCTTCAAAGCCTCCTCAACCGCGTTCAATTCCAGATGGGACAAACCACGACGGAAATAGGCCTTGGCGGTTGGCTCGCTGTCGATGATCTTTGAGCAGGTCTTGATGCACTTTTCGTAGTTGTTCTGTTTCAGGTAGCAGGCTGCGCCGAGGAATATCTTTGGTATGACGTTTGAGGGCCGTACTGCAAACGGTTTGACTTACCAGCCATGTTGCCGTAGCACGCGTTCAAAGTCTACCGAGACATCCATTCGTTAGGGCCCGTACACCGTATCCTGCTTTATATACTAGTCCCCGCGTACCTCCTTGATCTCTTTCTTCTGTCCAGCCTCCAATGGCTTCGAAGGAACAAAAGCAGCCGCCCCGGCGTTGTCTAAACCGTTCAGATATAACGTTGCCTGTCCAGAAAGTCGGTTGTCCGTGTTAATTCCTCCCCTGTTCCATCAGCTTCTGGGCTTTGTGTATACGGTTTGTGATCTAGTGTAGTTGCCTGAGAGCGCATACATGGTGATAGAACCGCAAAGCTATCGAGACGAAACAATGTAGGGTTACCGATGAGCTCTCGGCCGTGGCGGGTTTTGGAGATGGCTGGTTCCTCGAGCCCCACCTACCTTCGACGAGGTTTCCCTTTTTGAATTCCCCGTTGCCTCGGTCCTTCTGCTCTTTGCCTTTCTCAAGCTTCTCTTCGATGGCAGACATGGCAGGGTCACCGTTCATATGGGTTAGGTCGTTGGTGTCAGTTGTGCGTTAATCAAGGGCTGTCCAGGGCAAGTCTGTTTCCAAAGCATAAGCAGTCTGATGAGACCCAGTCTTGAGACGCTCTTCTGCTCTGTCATGACCGCGTCCGCGTAAGTCCGCGATTGTGACATCTTTGCTTCTGTTCCCAGCAGAGACACCTCGAACGACCATACGTACTGTACTGTACATGTAGAGTACACGACTCTCCTGCATCTGTATATATATCCCTACGTATAAGTGAGGCATGGAAGTGTGGAGCACTGGTGTCTCTGCAGCGATTGAAGAGCCATTCGAGGTTTGGTCTGACTCCCTGGTCCAGCCCGCCTCGAAAGCTCTTGCACGATGCTGCATCTGAAAAAGGCGAATTTGCGAAAACTACGACGTTGCAACGTTGCAACGTTCACATCTCCTTTCCTTGTGCTATTGAGGGGATTCCACGAGCTCACACGCTTCTGTCTTCCGTTCCATTTCCCAGCGGCTGCTCTCCGACGCGTAAAGTCTGTTTGTTTGCCGCCCGTCACGCACGCATTGCGCGAAAGAGAGCGAGATGATGCGTCTTGTCATCTGCGCGCTCCCTTGGCCTTTCTCCACACATTGCTCCTCCTTGCTCGGCTTTTTGCCCTCCCACCCAATGTGTTGAACTTCTGAGCTCCCTCCCTTCTCTTCCTGGCGGCAATACAACCCTCCCGTGTCTCCTGCTTTATTTTCCAATCCACTTTACAGAGCAAAGAAAGCTCGCCTCAAGCCCATTTCCTTTCTTCGTCACGCAACGACCCTGTCCAAAGTCTCGTAGACTCTCTCAGCAATCCTTCCACGGCAACCTTTAGGTGTCCCGTTTCCCCAAAGCGTAAGTATTTCACAATAGAGTGCAGCCCATTGCCTCTGCTTGTGTGGCCGCACAGTCCGACCATACCCTGATCTCACGCCGTTTCCATCGTAGCAGCTACATTAGGACATCCATTCCCGCAACGTCGCAGCCCCTCGGCCTTACACAGTCACGATCCCCGCGTTACTTACGCTTCTCGCGGCTCGTAGAACTACCACTCCTTTCCCCTAAACTCCCGACGGGTCGGGACGAGTTCCTCAACCCCGAGCAGAGACCCTTGTCGCGTGGAAGTAGTTTTTGGAGTTCCGTAGTAGTTACTTGTTCGAGATGACTATCTATATGCGGTGAGTTCACGTTCTTCCACTACGTGCATCAGCATATGGACGCTGTCGCTAAGCATCTCGTACGCCTTTCAGGGAAGATGTGCAGTTCGTGAAGCCGAACGCGAGAAAGCATCCACAGCGGTCTAGCATACAGCATTGGTGGGTTGACCTTTCCTTCGCCTGTTCGGGAGGCGAATTGTTTGCGGTGTGGAAAATGACGGGTCGGTTGTGCCATTCTCACCTCTTCCTCAAAAACATGTTACAGGCAGTTGCGGGACTTGATCGCCTGTCCCACATCAAAGTCGGAGTTCATATACGTGAATCAAAACAATGTGTACTCCTATAACACCGAGCAAAAGCAGGTCACACCCGTTCTGAAAGATCTAGGGTTCTCTCCGACCTCCATAACAACGGGGTACGTTGAGCGGCTAGGAATGGAAGAGCATCTGAGATTGAAAATGGACATTTCAGTAACACGGGGTCAATTTGTAGGCAAGGCTTTCTTGCAGCCGGTGGGCCACGAAGCCAACTGATGGTCCGCCAGCTCTCTAGCAACTGGTGTGCACAGACCACCGTAGGCGGCGCAATCAACAACGCCATGTCTATATCACAACATTTGGGAGGGACCCGGCTGCTTATCTGCAACAATGACGAGACGATCAAAGTGTACTCGCTCCCAGGCATGCAGCGGGTACATACGATCCAGCTTCCGACACCCGTGAACTACGCAGCTGTGAGTCCTGATGGACGGAAGATGATTGCTGTGGGGGATTCGCCACAGGTGTTTCTCTATGATATCTCGGCGTCCGACTCGTACTCGAAGATCGCCACGCTGACAGGTTGGTTCACCGTTTCTCTGTTGTTCCGACGTGTGTATAACGTGTCCGACTGACTTACCTCTCGTGATGGTTCCATAGCATCAACCGACGCTGGCTTCTCATGCGCATGGAATCAATCGTCCGAACGATTCGCAGTGGCGAGTCAGGACGGATACGTCAGTATATGGGATATCCGCAGCACAGAGAAGATTGCCAAGCTGGGGTCCAAGCAAGTATGTGACGTCGATCGGTGCCATGCATCATTGAGGGTTGGGATCTTTTGGAGAGACACTTATCAAACGTCTCTCCCCGTATCGTATCTCCAGAATCCACAAGTGAAAGGAGCTTGTCGATCCGTCAAGTTCTCGCCAACCGGGTCGATAGACCTTCTGCTGTACAGCGAGGTGAGTACCCCCCACAGCACGGGTGGTTACATCCAAAGCGAAGTTACTGATGAATCGATCTCCCTGCATTAGCACATGTCATATGTGAACGTTGTCGACGCCCGCAGTTTCAACGAACGCCAAACGATCCGCGTCGCCCCATCTTCTAGCGATCAGCACATCTCTGGCATATGCTTCTCGCCTTGCAGTAAGACAATATTCGTTGGTGAGTCTTTTGTGTGTCAGCGAAACATGGACGTTCCTTTTCATGATTTGAGCGGCTACCTAACAACCCATTCTACGCCTGGTGTAGGGATGGAAAGCAACGTATGGGAGTTCAACGTGGATACAATCAACCGGAGATGTTTCCCAGAAGGGTCCATCATCTGATTTCCATGCTTGATCCTCCCGACTCCCCTTCTTCTTTCTTGGCACCTACATATACCCCTTCCCAACAACCCTCTACGAAAAAATTTTGTCCTTTCTATGTTATTGAGCGACTCCCCCTGGTGGGGTCATGTTTTGGCGTTTTTGTTTCCCCCAACGTAACCGCTTGGTCCCTTTCCCCTGATGCGTTTCTTCCATTAATGTTAAGGGCTACTAGTTTGCAAGGTTCTCATCGAAACCCACTGCGGGGGAGGGGGTTTTGCTCCTAACTTGACTGGCCCTGCGTTGCTTTCTGGTGCTCTCAGCTGAGGGGTTAAGGGGAGCATGAGAACACGACGCGCGGTGTCTTTGTGTCCCACTTCTTACGCAAACCTCAGGTCTTCCCCACTTCTTACTCAAACGGTCTTCCCCACTTCTTACTCAAACTTCCGGTCTTCCCCACTTCTTACTCAAAACTTCAGGTGAAGCGTCAAGTCTCAACCCGCACTCACGCACACACACCCCGCTCAGGATTGCTGTTCGCAACACTACATTCGGCTTATCTAGTCTCTGGTAAAAAGCGTCCGGCTTCGCACTCACCAAGCCTAGGTGGTCGATCACCACTTCGCCCCTTTCATCCAGCACATTAGCCCTGGACGAAGCGGCAACCCGCCCAACATGGAGCGACAACCGAGACCTGTAAAGGTAATATCTCAACGCCTTATGTGCCCTCCGCCCGCCTCGTACAATGCTGACTACTTCCCCCCTTCTTTAAAATCCTTCCTTTCCAAATCGCAGGTCAAGAACAAGAACCCGGCAAATGTGCAGATCACCGCCGAGCAGATCCTGCGAGAGACCAACGAGCGGCAAGAAGTGCCCTTGAAAGTCGCCGCGCAGAAGATTGCCGACTTTGAGGAACTCAGCGAGCACCGCGAGCGGAAACGGAAGGAGTTTGAGGATATAATTAGACGGAATAAACATGGCATGGGGAATTGGATCAAATATGCTGTGTGGGAGGAGGGGCAGGGGGAGATGGATAGGTGCGTCGTTTGTGCAACAGGGAATGGCTTGGTGGTGAAAAAGAGAGGTTAAGGGAATGAGCGGCAGGAAGCTAACTCACGTGGTCATGCAGGGCTCGATCAGTATGGGAACGAGCGCTTGACATCGACCCACGCAACCAAGTGCTCTGGCTGCGCTATTCCGAGATGGAAATGAAGCACAAAAACATCAATCGTGCTCGTAACATCTTTGATCGCGCCGTCAGCTTGCTCCCTCGGGTCGACACCTTCTGGTACAAGTACGTCTACATGGAAGAACTCCTCGACAACGTCGCGGGTGTGCGGCAAGTCTTTGAGCGGTGGATGAAGTGGGAGCCTGCAGAAGCGGCGTGGATGGCGTATGTGAAGCTGGAGAAGAGGTACAAAGAGCTGGACAGGGCGAGGGATATCTTTAAGAGATTTGTGGGCGTGCATCCACAACCATCGAACTGGATCAAGTGGGCAAAGTTTGAGGAGTCGATAGGGAAGCCTGGTAGGGATGATGAATTTCTCACACCGCGGGGCGTGCGGACAGATGGAACTCCATGACTGACACCTCCCGCTTTGGAAGAGTGGGCACGGGCGATCTACGAGCAATGCTTAGAACGAATCAGCGACGACTTTATCGACCAAAATATCTACGTCTCATTCGCAAAGTTCGAGACGCGGCAGAAAGAAATCGAGCGGGCTCGCGTCATCTACAAATATGCCCTGCAAAAGCTTGCAAAGGGACAAGCGGAGAATCTTTACAACGTGTATACCCAGTTTGAGAAGCAGTACGGTGCCAAGGAGGGGATCGAGGATGTCGTGGTCGGCAAGCGGAGAGTTCGCTACGAGGATGTAGGTGTTGCGGTATTTCTATGGGCTGGGTGGACGCCGGGCTTTTGTTTCTGACACGGCGGGTATCTGTAGGAACTAGCAGCGAATCCAAGGAATTACGACGTGTGGTTCGATTATGCAAAGCTAGAAGAGACATCAGGCGATCACGACAAAATAAGGGACGTGTATGAGCGAGCCATCTCGAACGTCCCGCCAATAAATGAGAAGCGATTCTGGAGGAGATACATCTATCTGTGGATATTTTATGCGGTCTGGGAGGAACTTGAAGCAAAGGTATGTTCACAAGACAGCGCATTAAGTGAAAACCATTCAGACAAGGCCAGTTCTGACGATCTTCGCATTTTACTACAGGACGCCGAACGAACGAAACAAGTCTATCAACAATGCCTAAAGATCATTCCGCACAAATCCTTCACATTCGCGAAAGTATGGCTGCTGTACGCCAAATTCCTCGTCCGCCAGATGGACCTCGCCTCCGCACGCAAGACACTCGGCACAGCAATCGGTATGGCACCCAAAGAACGCCTGTTCAAAGGCTACATCGAGCTCGAGCTCCAGCTACGCGAGTTTGACCGCGTCCGAGCCCTGTACGAGAAGTACCTCCAGTGGAACCCGGCCAACTGCTACGCGTGGATCAAGTTTGCGGAGCTCGAGCGCATGTTGGGCGATTCGGAGCGGAGCAGGGCTGTGTTTGAGATTGCGGTTGACCAGCCTGTGCTGGATATGCCTGAGGTGTTGTGGAAGGGGTATATTGATTTTGAGGTTGGCGAAGAGGAGTGGGCGAAGGCGAGGGCGTTGTATGAGCGTTTGTTGCAGAGGACGGAACATGTCAAGGTGGGTTCCGCTGGTCTTGGGTGTTGTTCCCATCGCATAGCCAGAGACGTATCCATCTGTGAGGTGGGTAGGAAGCTGCCATTACAAATGTGCTAACCATTTCTCTCTACCACCATGACATACTAGGTCTGGATCAGTTACGCCACTTTTGAATCCACAGCCCTTGACAACGGCGAAACCCGCCTGGACGCCGCGCGCAAAATCTTCAACCGCGCCTACACCTCCCTCCAACGGCGCGCGCTCGCCACCACCAACACAACCACCCAAACCACCACCGCCGCCCAACAACAACACCTCCAACAAACCGCAAAAGAAGAACGCGTCATCCTCCTCGAATCCTGGCGCGACTTTGAACTCCAACACCAGCCCTCCACGCCGCCCACCGCCGACGACGGCGAACCCAACCACCTCGCGGACGTCCAACGCCGGTTCCCGCGCGCCGTCAAGAAGCGCCGCGCGGTCCTCACCACCGACGCCGACGGCAACGAGATCGAGAACCCCAACGGCGGCTGGGAGGAGTACTATGACTATATCTTCCCGGACGACGAGACCGAGAAGCCGAACTTTAAGTTGTTGGCGGTTGCGCATCAGTGGAAGCAGAGGATGGCGGATATCGAGTCGGATAGTGAGAGCAAGGATGAGGATGAGGATGAGGATGGAGAGGGAGAGGGAGAGGGAGAGAAAGCGGCCGAGGCGGGAAAGGCGGAGAAGAGAGGGATGGATGATGATGATAGCGATAGCGATGACAGTAGTGAGGGCGGCGAGGAGAAAGCCGACAAGCGGGCGAGTGGGTCGGAATCGGGCCGGCCTGCGAAACGGGGCAAGTGGGAGGAGGAGGATGAGTGAGCGGGTGTGCTGGCTCCCAGCCTTGCAGCGGTCGCTTTTGTAGATGGTTTGTATCGTGCATACACGTTCATGATCGAATTCTTATGTATTTGAGGGCACGATGAAAAGAGACAAGAACGCTTGTGCTTTACAGGGTCCGGGGATTTGCTTTTTTTCATGATGCAAACTTTCACCAAAGCATGAAATGTAAGAGGGTGAATGAAATGTGCTCTATCTCCTAAATATATCTGTGGTCTGCTGTCTGCCATCTACGCCGTTCCACAACCTTGCCCCCTCTTTCCATCCGTAGACGCGCTCCTGCATCCCGTAGGCAATAAATAGCCGAAGCCAAGGGGACGCCCATGGGTATGTCCTGACATGACGGGACTCCCTCCGGTCCCATATCCAAAATGTTCCGTAGACTACATCGCCCCTAGCTAAGCCAGCTCCTTCCTCGCGTCGGCCAGCTTTTCCTTGAACAGCTTCTCCGCGTCGGCCCAGACGGGTGCATTGCGGTCTGTTTTGAGGAGGAGGAGGGAGGGGAGGAGGTCGGTGGCGAACATCTCGGATGCTTCGCGGGGTACGAGGGTCGGGAGGTGGTCGATTGTGATGACGGAGAGTGGGGGGTGGGGTTTGCTGTTGGGGTCAAAGTAGGTGAGGTGTGAGTTTCATTGGTTGTAATGTGAACGCCGTGGTGTTAACGTCCCCCCGAGAAGTAGAATCACTTACGCAAACTCGACGGTCAGGACAGGGTCATCGAACGTGGTGGACTGGTCATACAGCGGGATCGGGTTATGTGGGTTGGTAGTATCGCACGACACGTCGACAAGGACCTGAAGCTTCCTCTCCTTTTCCGAGACGGCTTCAATGACCTCCCTGTTGAGGAAGGGTGGGATGGGCTTGGACAAGTAGATGCAATTGACGAATACGTCGTGCGCGACAATCTCTTTGAACGGTCCGCCGGCCTTGGTCTCGTTGATGTCCCATTTGATGATGGCCTCGTCTGAGATGCCGATCTTGCGAGCGAGGTCGACGGCGCCGGATCCGCAGCGACCGAGGGCGCCCATGACCATCACCGAGGGTGTCTGGCCGCCGTTCTTCTTGACGGCCTGCTGGACACGGCCTTTGATATGCGTGATCAGAGCGTCGTCATTCTCGAACGGCTTGACGGTCGGGTACGGCGTGTCTGCGCCTTCCAGCTGGCGATGGGCCCATACATCTAGCCCAAGAGCGGCGCCCGCGTAACCGGCGTAGTAGCCGAACGCAGCGACCCTCCGGCCCGTTTTGGGATCGTTGAGAAACTCCAAGTCGAGCAGCGTCCCGTGCCCGCGGTCGAAACGGGACAGGACTTTTTCCCAATCGCGTTGGTTTTTGAAGCAGTGGGCGAACATGATGTGAGTGTGGGAGAGCGGCGACGTGTCGGTTTCCGGGAGCTCTTTGAGGCCGACTATATACGCGTCCGCAGGCGCGCTGGTTTGCCATGAACCCGTTTCTGCAATCTTGCAGCCGATTCTATAAGAAGAGAAGTGTGAGGAACAGTTGAAGAGTGACAAAGATTATCGGGTAATGTGCAATGAAAAAGGACCGCATGATACCAAGCCGTGGTGGAACGACCATTCGCTGTCGCTTACGCCCCTCACATCCCTCACCCTCGAGCGGTGGCTGTCGGCAACAATTGAAAACAGGGGCTAGCTTTGCTCGCGTAAACCACGACCGTTCGCCATCGCTCACAATCACTGCTCGCTGTTCACGCTCGGTAGAACTGCGTTCGTCCTCAAGTATCCCTGCTCCCCTCTTCGCTCGCCGGCAGTCCGCATACGTCCTCCCTTCCCGTCCTCACCTCTCATATTCGGCAATGTCGAAAATCCTGTCGGTACTCTTTTCGACCGTTATCGCAAAACTGTGGTCGCGGATAAGCTTATTGCATACGTCGGGTGTAAGAGCGGTCCGTCTCTCGTTCTTCTTTGTCTCAGCTCTGAGCCAAAAGTGAGGGGCGGTGGTTGAAGTAGTCATCGTGGGGAGCGTATTGAAGCTGAGCGTGGGGCGAGCGTTTTGACTACTGCAGAACACCCAGATGAGCAACCGATGGCTGACAGCAGCGAGACGTTGGGAGCGACTGCACGCATACCTGATATATGTCCTACTACTTATAACTGCGAGCTTATGGCTCCAGACAGCTTGTTCTTTTCTATGCTTGCAGCCGTGGGGACTTGGGAGTGGTCTTCGCAGGAGGGGTTCCTCATGGCTGATGTGATGTGATGATCGCGCGCGCCATCTCCCGCGTGTCTTCCCGAGTGGCGCAGGGGGGGGCGCGGAGTGGCTTGCGTCTGCGTGAGTCACCTCCATCCGGGCGAACCCTGGACAGCTGAGCGGGACAGCCTCTGGGACACGTCTTGCGCTGCACAGTGACTGACACATACCCCAGAGACCTCTCAACCATAGCTTTCACTCAAGCTCAACGTCCAATATAAACCTGTTCTTGGGCGTGAGTAAAAACCTTCAACTCAAATTTCGTCTTGTTCCGCCTCACAAGACTTAAAGCGACGCGCCGGCGAAGATGAGGTCCGCACAGGAACTGAGGTAAGGAGGCTGTAGCTGTTGAGGAAAGGAAGAATCGGAGTCGAGGACAGTTTGTACTGCATCTGGAGTCCAGTTCACGCCGTTTGGGACTGTGAAACATGTCTCGCGCGTTTGTTCCGGGAGGAAGGTGCATCTTCGACACGGAGTGTAATCCGGACAAGATCACGGCAGGTCCCCGAGCACAGGCAATGCTTTGCGAGTGTCGGAAAAGCTCTAGAGCATTTCCAGTACCGCGAGCGCTAGGAGCAGGATGCATTGACGCGAACGAAGTTGCTCGTTTGTTTACTACTTGTCGGAAACGAGGGCGGAAACCGCAACATCCGAGTCACGACTTACCGTGGGTCGGTTCCCTTTTCATCAATCATAGACAAGGATGGCAAGATCTATTTGGCGACCCACTACTGTCGCTGGAACGAGTGCGAGCAAAAGGCACTTCAGGCTACATAACAGATGACAGCTTGCGGAGTCTCTATTGGAGGGTAATCATCGCGATGCAACTACCCACGTCGCCGAAGATGCCTTACCTGGGCTGATCTTACGACGCTCCCGGCAGGTCTACCTCGAGTTCCTGCCACTTTCACCGGATGCGTGGCTCTTACTCCTGGCGAAGGAACGGCAGGGTTATGCTGACCTAAAGGCGAAATATATGAGCGACCCGAATGCAGCGGCGAAAGCGTCGAACGATTGGACTTTGAACAATCCCTTGTCCACCGCTGAGGAGGTTAGTCGATGAATTTGAATACGGGGACTGAAGAGCGGGGAGCGCCGAGAAGGAGGAGACGGGCCGCCATTTTGCGATGGAACGGGGAGGCAGACGGAAGAGAACTGATAATGAAATTATTCGCGATGCTAGAGTCCGTGGACGCAATATTTCAAAGACGCAGAATTGCAAAAGGTCATTCGCCAAGGTAGGTTTCGCCTGTCATTGTCCGCCACGCTGATTGCCTACTTCGCTTTGGGCCGATGGCTCATCTCGCATCTCCCTCCAGATGTCGAGCGAACGTACGTCGACCGATTTTCATACTGGAAAACCTTATCGTCCGGCTCACACTGCCTCATAGGTTTCCTGACGAGCCCACATTCCGATCGAAAGACACCCAAGACCTGATGACAGGCATTCTCTTCATCTGGTGCAAACTCAACATGGACGTTTCCTACCGACAGGGCATGCATGAACTGCTTGCTCCCATTCTCCTTGTGGTAAAACGAGACGCGTTGGACCCGGACGATGTCGCAGGAAAGGCCGAGTATGCGTCGAATTCATTGCGGGCCGGTGTGGCTCACCGATTTTGGGAAGATCAGGAAAGGATCTTGTTAGCTGACGGGATCACATTGTCTTTCGCGTCAGGTTAGACCCGACTATCGCGGCGACGTTTGACTCGGAATATATCGAACATGACACTGCTGTCATGTTTTTCTGTCTGATGCGGTCAACGAAACCTTGGTTTGAGGTCGGTGCGGATGTCAGCGTTATGCCGACGAAACACAAGTATGGGTCCGGTAGACGGTCGGAGGTAAAATAAGCCACAGCCCGTTAGGGACTTCATATAGTTTTCTCAATTGTTATTTTCCGAAACAGGCAAAGATCCCACAAGTGCCAATAATTACAATCTGCCGACGGATCCAAAACGACCTCCTACGCGTCCTGGATCCCAAACTGTACCAACATCTCGACAAACAGCAGATCGAGCCGCAGCTTTATGGGTTGCGGTGGTTTCGGCTCCTGTTTGGCCGCGAGTTCGCCTTACCGGACTTGATATACCTCTGGGATGGGATCTTTGCTGACGACGCGAATCTGGGCCTGGTGGAGTGGATATGCGTCGCGCTTTTGCTTTACTTGAAGGATGATCGTGAGTGGGGTGGCACCGAGAGAAGCTCCTTGTGATCGACTGCATCTCTTCTAATCGCTCTCGCAGTTATAGGGAAGGACTACTCCTGGACCCTGCACACCCTCATGAAACTCCCCATCACATCCCTGGCAACCGTCACACAGCTCATCCGCACCGCCCGCCACCTCCGCGACAAGTTCGCCGATCTGGCCCTACAAACAGCATCCTCCGACACCTTCAACTCGCCGACCAACTCCGTATCGTTCTCCTTTCCCGCATCATCGCCAACCTTCACCTCGCCGTCACCCTCATCTCAAGGCCCGCAGGCCTTGAATCAGGTCATGGAGAAACACAGGAAGAAACGTAACGTCCCGTGGGTGCAGCATACCCCATCCAGCCCGGTCCGGCAGAATAGCACAGGAGCCGTGGGCGGGAACGCGCCGAAGAAGGAGGTGGTACACGATGGCGATACTGTCACGCCGGCCGGGGGTATCAATGCGGCCGGAGCTAAGGATGGAGGGGAAGCGAGATTCAAGGAACGATTGAAATGGGTGACGGAGAGGGATCGGCGGTTGGCTGAGAAGGTGGCGGGATGTATTAGGGAGTTGACGGCTCTGCTGGGAGATACGGAACAGGAAGGGAAAACGGAAGTGGCGGGGAAGGACGACAGGGACGCTTCTTTGAGGAGCGTTTTGGGAAGTATGCGCGGGGTTTTGGAGGTGTTGGACAGTGAGTGTACGGAGCAGACGCATGATTCCGAGCATACGCCGGATGGTTCTGGGAACAGGGCTACCGCGACGCCGGTGCAAAACAACGCAAATGCGGATGGCGATGTCGATGTGGACAAGACTCGTAGCACTACATCTGCCCTTGCTTCCGCGTCAACAGCGGCTCCCACTGCAACTGCGCCATCCGCCCCTGCGCCTACAGCAACGACAGCAAAACCCGAAGTGGCAGCACCAGCGAACCCAACACCAACATCACAACCGGCACCCTCCCTCCCATCCCTGCAATGGGGCAGCAACGCCGACATCCGCCATGGCCAGGTCGTAGTCCCACGCGCCGCCAAATCCGCTGCACCATCACCCTCATCGACATCCTCGGCCAACCACATATCCTCGTACACCCGCCGGGAAAATGGCCCCACCTCCACCTCCGCAGGAGCAGCAGCAGCAGGCATCAGCCACCGCATGGGCAGCTCGGAAGAAATCCGGTTCACCCCCAACCCCCCCACCTCCGCATCATCATCCATACCCTCGCCACGCTCGCCAACCATCGCCCACCCGCATGCGCAACGTACACGGAACAGGAGCGAGAGCGGAGGGAGAGCGGATCCACTGGGTGCTGGGGGTGTGACGGGACATGTGCTGCCGACGACGGGGGTTGTGAATAGGACGGGGGAGCGGATCATGTACCCGCCGCCTATATAGCTAGGGACCGAAAGGCAGTAAACAGCACATAGGGAAACAGAGGTGAACGGAAACTGCGAGTGCAAAACATGTAGCGTAAATTGTGCGCGGGGGAGTACAGATAGGAAGGGGGTAAAAGTCAAGACCCAGAGACCCCTCGATTCACGACCACGAGGAGTAAATGAACCTTTCTGTCGATGGGGGAAATTTGAGCTCGCGGCAGTCTTGTAGAGCATCAATTCGTTTTCAACACGACCACCCCCTCCATCTCCGACTGCTGTGATCTAACAATAAATTCCCACGTTTCTGGCTCAAACCCGTCGCCGTTCTCGAACGCAGTGAGTGCGTGAGCAACCCTTGCCAGCTCGTCGGCGCGATCTGCCGCATTCTGAGCGTTGTCAAGGTGTCGGCGACTGGAGAGGTGTCGGCGGTATGCGCTCCCGCTGGAGAATATGGACTCGCAAACTTCGCAACGTTGGCCGGCCATGCCGTGGGAAGATTGCAACGCCGTGGGAAGATTGCAAAAAGTAACAGGGAAAGTGGGAATGAAGCTTGCGGAAGGAGAAGCACACGGACACTGGGTCGTCGTCGCCGTCGTCGTCGTTGTGGTGCCTCGTCGTTGCCGCTGTCGACATCGAGCAATCTTGCAAGATTGGAATGCTGGTGGGAAAATGGCCACTCCCCTCACTCAACGACGACTTCTCGATGATGACAGTGGGACTTTTTTCGGACTTAGGGAATTTCGCAGATTTCCAACACAATCGCAGCTAAAACCTGGCAGTGGAAGTGGACCCCACCTGCTGGCCAACTTATAAGCGCCACCCGTTCCAATAACCACCTGGATCCCTCATGCATTTCAAAAACCACCCAGAGTCTACGTGGGACATGGAAACTACCTGGCCGCCACCTGTTGCTTGGCCTGGAGACCATCTGGTCTCAAAGTACATGTGGAAGCCGCTGGGTTTGGAAACCGCTAGACGTGAATGCACATGGGCGCCAGATGGAAAAAAGTCTATGCGTGTATAACGTGTGATGGACGCGTGGGTGGCGCATGAATTCATTTACGCCTTACTTCCACCCGGTGTCCGGGTAAATGCCATGTGGGGATAAGATCTCAGGGTGGCGAGACCTTTGAGCGTGTAGCGGAAGAAAAGGACCTTCTCGACACCTCGTTCTTCTTTTCTTCTTTTCTTCAACTCGTCTTCTCGTTATTCTCGTAACGCAGAATCTCGATAGTGATCGCTCGCTTCCTGCAACGTCTGCTCGATGGAATCCTCCGCTCCCGAGGTCACCGCAGTTGTCACTGTCGCCACTCCTACCTTCGTTTCGGACTTAACCGGTATCAGTCTCGACGAGGGAGATAAAACGTCGAAGAAAGTCAGGGTCGTTAGGAAGACCCCTGCTGGTCGAGCGGGTGTCCAGGCCCGGGCAGCTGCGTCGTCGAGCAGTGATCCTTCCTCGGCACTTGATATCGACGAAGGAGAGGAGTCTTTGGGCTCATCCGACAAGGTCGTTATCGCGTCCGAACCTGCTAAGAAGGCTCAGCACAAACCGCAGCAAGCCATTTCGCAGGGGGAGGCTTGCATCAAACAGCGTCTCGTTGACTCCCTAGATTTAAGGGGCAGCTTGTTACCAGTGGAGATCGAAGCTCAGAAGCAAGAGCTCCAGGCCCGCCTGAAGTTTACCCCCTTTCCGGACGCTTCCCAAAGCCCACGACTGTACTTTTACCAGGTCGAGGAACCAGATGCCTTTGTCGTTAAAGGAACGTACGGGAAATGCTTCACCTTCACCGACAGATTCAGTTGCGGTGCTGGTCACGTCGAAGCGGACGCAGCCTGTGCCATCAGATTGGGCCGCGGAGCGGATACAGAGGTAGACTTTTCCTTTCTGGAACCGGCAACGACTTCGGTATCCTGTTATGTGGAGCCTGCACGTCAGGACGCGGAAGCGAAATATCTTTTTAGCCAACAGCAACATGCGCAATGGTTTGCTGAACGCGGCCGTGTTTACCTCGAGAATTCCCCTTGCAACAATGTTTTCGCCCGGTTTCGTCGGGACAAGCCCTGGCAGCCTGGAGATAGTGGCTTGCCCATTACATTCACAAAAAAAGTTGCGGGGGGGCCCCACTATCTTGGCTACATGGTCATTGCTCGTCGGAAGGGGGACGAGCGTTTAGCGCTGGCTATATCGCTGCCTCGCCTTCTGGCTTGCCCGTTTGTGCGTCTCTTGGATGATTTGAAAGCTAAGCGAAACCCGTTAGATGCAGAGATGGCACTGGTCCTTGGGTATCTCCAGGCATACTTGACAGAGCGGGAGAGCTGTGGTGACGATTGGGAACTTATCACGGAAGTAGCCGCGTGGGTTGACGAAGAAATGAAGTTGTTTCCTGATAACCTGAAAGCTGACTTGGATCAATACTGCACCACCGACGAATTCGATGTTTCCAAGGTCCGGAACCTTCGCCAGAAGCTGACGGAGACTCCGGACTATCAGAGAAAGTATCTGGTTGCAAAACAAAAGCAGCGAGAGTATTTGGACGAACCGGAAGAAATTCCGTATGCGAGCGGTCGTCTTGAGCTCGCGCTGCCACAGAGCTTGACTCAGCTACCAACATCGAAATACGATGAACACATCATTCGCATGATCTCTACAGGAACCAAAGGCAAAAGATGGGAAATCCTGCGCAAAGCCTTGGTGTTTGCTGAGTGTCTCAATGCGGAGGGTAAACTCGAAACAGACGCCTGCTGGTTCCTTCGTTACAACAGCGGAACATTCTATTCTTTGATGTATGAGTTTCAGGCACTCGGGAAAGATGACGAAGACTTCCCGCTGGACTGCCCCGACAAGCCGCGAAAGGGCGTAATACCTTTCGCCACCATGCGTCCTTATCGGTGTTGGCCGTATTCGACAAAGCCCCTGTCGATCATGGACTCTGACCACTTTGACCAGGAACTTAAAAAAGAATTGCTGAAGCCTACCCATGCTATATTGAATATCTGCCATCATCCCCAACTCTGTGAGAGGAATCCGCACGCCTATTTTGGGAGTTTATCAAAAAAAGGCTTAGAGGACAAGCGAAGGAAGGCGGGTGAGAAACAGGAGCCGAAGAAGGCCGAGACACAGAAAGGGACGGCGAAGAAGGAAAAGGAAAGCAGTAATTCGCAAAAGTCACCGAAGCCGAGTGAGAACGACAAGCCAGAAGTTGCTTCGAATGCAGGAGGGACAACTGCTAAGCCGACAACAAAAAATGATTCAAACCGACATGCGTGTTTCCGACCCTCCCACCTGCACAAAATGACTGCCGCAGTTAACAGGTTTTGCGAGTACCTTCAGCACGTTGACTCCTTACCCGAAGTCTTCCCTAAAGTATCCGCACCACATACGCCCTCCAGTTCTGGTGAAGCGGCCCTGCCCCTCAGTGCCGTCCAAAGCAACACAGCGACCAGTTCTGGTGAAGCGGCCCTGCCCCTCAGTGCCGTCCAAAGCAACACAGCGGGCTCGGTGGCCGAAGGCTCGTCCATTCTCAAGCAGCCTATCGCTAAGAAGTCGGCGACACTCGCTTTTTCCGACGTAGGGGTTCATTCTCCTGCTCCCAATCAGAAGACGGGCGACGCTGACGGCATTTCTGGAGCCTCAGCTTCTCCTCCTACCGATCAGTAATCAAGCCTGAAAATTTTTGGCATCGAACGCGCCGGATCTGGGTCACTGTGGGGACGAGAGACTACGGACACAGGTGGTGTCAAGGCAGCGTGACCAGACACGTTCGCCGGAAATAGTGTATTCTGGACTCACCTTATGTTGGACATGCATGGCTTCCTTTTTCTTACTTTCTCTTCTCTTCATTAACCAAATAATATGGATTCTTTCCATTGGTAGTCTGCCGAGTGTGACCAACCAAAGGCGTATAGAATTCCTATGGATCAGGACAGCATACTCGACCCAACTCAACAGTCGTAAGAGCTTCAAGGGCACTCGCCGGCTGCGGAATGACAGCTTTGCAGAGCTACCTAGGTTGTCCGCCGCCGTCTCTGTTTTCCCCAAAGCCGTAAACCTTTTTCCCCAAAAGGACAAGATAGACATGAACAAGCATATGATGAGGAACGTATAACAGCATTCTGGCTACAAGGTGCATATGTAATAAAGTCAAAACCCCTCAGCCTCAAGCTCTGCATAAGACGCAGCTCTGAGATTTCATTCCACCTCTTCATCTTCCCCCAACAGACTGTCCTCCGTCAGCAAATCTGCAATGGCTTCATCCGACACGGCCTCCGGCTCGCTATCGTCACTTCATCATCCCACTTGATTATCTATCATGTTGTTTGGCATCGACAGTTCAATCTACTCATTTGTTGCCACATGCTTATTCTTGATAAACCAGGCCTCCCACGACACCGCTCGTTCGACTTTCTGTTTCCAAGACTCCGGAGTGACCTGGTTGAACCCCTCAAAAATGATCTCCCGAACCTTCTTGAAGTCGCTCCCATTCATTGTTGCGTACGACGTGATCCTTTGAACCAACACCTTGCCGACTGCGAAGGCCGCCGCGAGGTGGTTCTACGTTCCGACGGCGAGTTTCATCTCCACTGGCCATATCTTCTCGGGCAGAACACCAAAACCTCGCCATTGGAACGCAAAACCACCTCGCGGCCTTCGCAGTCGGCAAGTTGTTGGTTCAGAGGATCACCGGCACCAGCGGCCAAAGCACGGCTTACAGCAAGGAGCTGTCGACGACGCTGGTTCTCGCTTGAGAAATGATCGGCCGGACGGGTACTACGCAGTTCCTCTCCCTTCTTTTTGAGAGCAGCCGCTTTTGCCACGGGATCGACCATCCAAGAATCGTCCCGTAGCATCGTCTGGAGCGAAGGGCCGCAAGGATGAAACGCAACGGGTCGTTGGCGGGAGCTTTGAACTGGCAGTCCCCCCAGGGATGCGGCATAGTAAGACCTGTTCGGTTTGAGGAGCCGATGCCCAAGCTTTCCAGGCTTGCTCAGACACGGGTTTGGAGAGATGCATCATGACATCACGGTTGATTTTTCTCCATATCCCGCAACGCACTTGTACGGCAAGTCCATCTCTAGGGGATTGACCTGTATCAATTGCGACTCAACGAGGTCACATCTGTAGAACGTGCACAGAGCCAACTACGAGCTACGGCCTCATCGCTATGTTGGTGTGGGGGGGTGGTGTCGGTGGTGGGGGGGAGTTGGGTGGCGGGTGTGGAGGTCGGCGGGATGGTGGTGGTGGGGTGTGGGGTGGAAGGAGGAGGAGGAGCATACACCGCGATCACCGCGGGGGGTCCGGCGATGGCGGAGGCGGCGGCGGGGAAGCAGGACGAGGACGAGGAGGCCGACGGTCTGGCGGAGGAGGACAAGGAGGAGGACAAGGAGGCGCAGGGACCGGCGGCGGCGGAAGAGGACGAGGACGACGACGAGGAGGCGGAGGGTCCGGCGGCGCCTTGGAGGGCTCGGAGTTGCGCCCTCATGGCCGCGACTTCGGCCCGGAGGGCTCGGATCTCCCTTTCACCGGCAAGTTGAGCCTACACGGCATGGCGGTGGTCCCGCTTGGGAAGCGGCGCCCCAGACAGCGACCATGATTACATTAATCAGAACAAGCGGGACCGTCGCCTGTAACAATCGCATATCTTTCAGTGCCTTTTTGGATGGCCTCGGATTGTTAAAAATGTAGTAGATGCGGAGGTTCTAAATGCAGAGACTCCCCAGCGATAGCGAAAAGCCGATGGCGAGAAGGGCGGGTGCAACTATACAGCTGGCTCGGGTGACGGGACCAGCGTAGAACAGGTTCGAGATGAAGGTCAAGGCAAGACCCAATAAGATCAGGCCAAGGAAGATCGGACTGGCGGCTTTGACGACTTTCCGTTTGACGTAAATTCTGGTGAACACTGCAGCGGCCAGGATACCCAGCAAGCCGACGCTGCTCAAGAATGCAACAAAATTTCCCAGCGGAACGCTGTAGGCTGTGTATGGAACGCAAGGTATTACGACTTGGATGGCGATGGGATCAGAAGTTCTCAGATCATCTATCACTCGGTAGGAAAGGGTGTCGATCCCACAACCTGTCGGGTGATTTTTTGTACCGCGGGCGAGTCCTCAGCGGCTGAGGAGTGTGACCCAATGTCGCGGTGCGGCTTCGTGTATTTTCGTTTGGTCATTGTAAGTGGGCGGAGGGTTGGTGGAGATGGTGGGTGAGTGTGTTCGTGTCGTGGTCCAGACGAAGGATGAGAGACAAAGGTTGGGGAGGGGGGCCGCAGGACACCTCGAATTTGTAGACGATTTCCACCATGTAGAGCACTCACTGCATTATCAATGCGGACATGAGTCGGAGGTGTTCAAGCCGCTGCGTCTGGGGGGTTTCTCAGTTGGGTATAATACCCAAGTGAGCTCCACCGGACAGGGCTTGAACAAGTTGCTTTGCGGAGGCCTTTGAATGCGTAGTACTCCTGGTTGTTGTAGGTTCGACGGATTCGTTCTGCAGGGAGCTTGCGAAGGTCCCAACCAATAATTCCGTTGATGATTCGGTCGCCCCAGAGTTCAGGCATTGTGTGTTTGTCTTCGCTTTGTTGGGAGCGGAAGAAAGTCAAGGTGAACGGCACGAAGAGAGTAAATGAGCGGGATCAGGAACGACGCTTCCATTAGACTCTCCACAACCTGGGCGTTTCAATAGGAGTCCCCAGAGGAGTCCATCACCTGTACCCTCTTGAAGGAAGGTTGCAGCTGGGCAACAGCCCCTGAAATCAACAAGGTCTCGTCGGATCCCACAATAGAGTTCCAAAGGAGAGGGGCCAGGTTATTGCTGGCTGTCGTGATGACCTTTACAAGGCTACTGATGATGCCAGTGAGCTCTGTGATAGGGCCGCCGCTCGTACGGAGCCGCAGCTTCCACATGGCATTGATCTGTTTCTGACGATCAGCACTACCCGGGGCTCCAACCGTATATCCATTTCGTGCCATTCGATCTTTCGCATTTCGAGAGGGACTTCTAGCTGGGTCTGTTCGTAAACACGAGGCGCATCTGCTTTCTTCCGCTGTTCCTGTGCATCGATCTCTCTCTGAAGCATTCTTTTGGCCGAATTCAATTCTCGTACCACAGTTCGGAGGGCGCTAGCAGACTGGCTGTCGTGCTGGAAGTTGCGTGCGTGTATGTACTCCTCAAGCACAGCTGGTTACTAACTGTGACAGCTGCACATCGGTATTCTATCAACGGTGCCGGTAAGATAACATTTTCGTCCTCCGATGATTCGCTTAGTGTCAAGACAGAGCTGAGCGAAGAAAGCGAGCTATGATCGTCTGCTACGAACGAATCCCGTGCCGTCCGAACGAACCCGCCGCAATCGAACTCCCTTATAGGGGTCCCGCTTGAAGACGGTGTTACACGGTCGCCAGGCTGTGTGGTCCCACCGCCTTCGTGGCGGCCTGGCCCAAGCAAATGGTGACCATCCAAGTCAGGTCAAACACACGCTTCAGAGACGGAGGCTGCGTTGTATACTTGTCGTAGCCATGTTCGATGCGTGTTTCAAGAGAATGTCCCGAATGGCATCTCGAGAAGCGAGTGGTAGTTGCTGCTGCATCCCGCCAAACAGGAAGGTACGCGCGGTGCCCGTTGGAGTTGTAATCGCGAAGCTCAAACCCCAGAGCCCGCACCCGCAACAGCAAATCCTCCTCGGTTTGACCGTCACTAGACACGCATTGCTCTCGTTCGGCTATCCCCAAGCGAGCCGGTTCCTTCTTGGATGCGGCAGATGTTGCCGAAGAGGACGCGATGGACGTGCTGGGAGACGCCAATCGTGGCAAACCCAGGTGGTTCTTGGGTTTTGAAATCATCCTCGATCCAGGCATTGTCCGCATAGTGACGCAGCTCCGGGATACCGACGCGTCGATGAAATTGTATCCCTCGCTTGCGAGTGCGCGGCCACATTTACATCTGACATGAGCGCTCTGGTGAACGCCTCCGTGGCTTCGTGGAGGATCTCGGTCGCATCTGCCGACCACCGCGGCGGCGCCGTCTTCTTCTTCTCATGAACCCACACGTTCGCCCCGCCGGTTTTGAAAACCCTATGGAACCATCGAAATAAGTCAGCCTAAGTTAAAGAAGGAAGGAAAACCTATACCAAAACTTGCCTACCTGTCGATGAAGGCGCGGGGGACCAGAGCGCCGGCGCCGACGGGGCTGTTGTAGTGCAAGGTTTCCGCGCTTGCGATTTCGTCCGCGTCCCGTCGAGCCCGGCCGCCTCCTAGGGTGAATCTTGGGACAACGGCGGAATTGGCCGCTTTGAAAACCGCGGCCTTTGGGTATGCCTTCTGATTTTTCTTGCCGACCTTCACATTGGGCGCGTTGAAGTTGACACCCAGCGGCCGCAATGGCGTAAAGAGGGCAAAGTCCATGTTCCAGGGGTTACGTCGTTCGGCGGGCTCGGAGCGGACGCGGGCAGGGAAGCTGCCTAGCGGGAGCACGCCCGGCGGATCGGCGGTGCAGTTGAGAGAGAGCTCGGCGAGCGGGAGCTCGGCCCGCTGAAGTACGGCTTGTGGCCATCATGGTTGGTTAGGTTTACTGGCCACCGTTGCCAAGGGTGCAACGCAGGATTTTATGGAGCCGTTCTCCGTGAACGTCCTTGTCCTCGTTACGTATAGCTCGGACAGGGGTATCGGCCGGGCAGAAGCAGTGGACCATTGGGCGCACGAACTCCTCCTTAATTCGGACGTCGACTATGGGGTGTTTTGAGCTTGGAGCTGGGTGTTTTGCTTTGTCCTATCTTTTGTCTTCTTCCTCAAGGAGCTTAACTTTGCTTGTAGCGGGTGCGCAAGCGGGATTGCCATCGCGAGGACGTAGTCGATGGCGGCCTGGAGCTGGCGGAGAGCCTCGCCGTCGTTGGTGTACTTTCGTCGGAACGCGAGCGAGCCCGATGTGGAGATTGCGATCCTGAAGTTGAGTTCGGCTTGACTGCCAATGCCCTGTAACGCAAATGGAGCCAACTGAAGGAACGTCTTGAAATCCTTTCCAGATAGCGACCCAGTGTAGATCATGATCTGCGATATGACGAGGGGTCTGAAGAAGCAGTTCTTGACGTCAATGGACCTCAACCTCGCGTGCAGAGTCGCTTTCTTCTCATCTCCAAGGGCCGCCATCGTATGCCGGAGTAGATACTTCACTGGTCCAAGCAGAAATGAGTGCAGCAACTCGACGGGCATATCGGTGTGGATGTCGAACTCGGGGATCTGCAGCGTAGGGGTCAGAAGACGTTTCGGGAAGGTGGGTTCCAGTTCAGTGCCGCGCATTTGATGCCAGTAGCTGCCTGTGCGTCGGCTGCATCGAATTGTAAACAGTCAATCAGCACCTCATGATCACTCTCTCTCCTGACTTGTCTCCCCAGACTTCGTTCCTCGGCGACGAAGATGTTTTTACATACCGGAGCCTTTGCCCGCTTTGTCTCCTCAGACCCGTTCATAAGTTGAAGCTTTGTGCTTGATGGATTTGTTGGGTGATGCTGCTGGTTGGATGTTGAGGTTCGTAAAACGACTAGTGTTGAGGTTCGTCAAAAGACTATGACCCGACCCGCTAGGCTGATAGCTGCTGTAGAACCCGCCCGGCTGACGGTTCAGCAGATATTTACGACGGAACAGGGCGATCAACGCCCTTTCTCGGTCTTCCCGCGTCTCCGGAGGCGCAAATCCAGGCAGTCGACCGTCGACGAACTCATACGCTTTTCCAGCCGCGTAGGTGTCCGGAGCAAGACGCTTGAACGCCTTAGCGAACGTCTGTTCAACGTTGCGTCTAAGTCGGTCGTGACTGACGGGTCCCGACGCCGACAGCATGTGCTGCAGACTGGTCACGACCGACTTAGACGCAACGTTAATCAGGCGTTCGCTATGGCGCTCAAGATAAAAGTCTCAACGTGCGGCTTGTGAGGTCTTCGTTGAATCGCTTGATCTGGAGGGACGGACTAGTACACTTCCCAATGTATCGCATATAGGTAACCCGGAGGAGGATATGCTTGCGGGAACAACGGAGGAAGAAGATGCAGCGGCACCAGAGTCAGGGCCAGAGCTAGAGCCCGATGAAGGAGCAGGGACAGAAGCAGAACCAGACGCACAAGAACTTGCGGGCGCCGGGGCCATAGGGAGCAGATCTAACCGCGTCCAGGCGTGAGGCGGCTCGTTGTCTTCTGCGCTCCATTCGAAGGCAATTTTCCAGAGGTTCTCTGCAGGAACCGGCCAACTTCGAATGTAGTACCGCGCGATGTCAGATGCGACGATCTGAGGAGTGAGGAATCCATAAGACCATTTGGCCGCGCATGTCGAAATCGATCGCTGCGTACGAATGCCTGTGCTGTCTGTTGAGGAGTTGTGGTGACGGAAGCGCTGGAAGACACATATGGTATGGAGGATTGAGTGATGGCAGGTGCCGAGTTTGGTTGAATGGTTGTGGTTCGATAGCGTCGTCGCTACCGTCATCGTCGGGGGAAGGTCTTCCTTCGTGCATTCCCTCAAGTTCAGAGCCGAGACCAAATCGGCGTCACTGACGGTGATGTTCTGGCTAGCGATGTCGTACAAGAATAGTAGATCTCTCTGATCGGCTTTCGCAGGAACGAGGAAGGAGGTAGTAGCCGATACCAGAGTAGTAGTCGGAATGTTCGTCAGCGCAAGACGGCCCACAATCAGTTGGTGAACGGTGCGTCTACGTCGGTCGTGACTGACGGGTCCCGACGCCGACGGCATGTGCTGCAGATTGGCTTGCCTTTGCGCAAGCGTATAAGTACTGCGTTGCTTTCTGTGCACCGCCATCTCCTCTTCCACCTCTTCCGGCTCTCGCTGCGCACGAGACGCAGCGGCTGCGCGCACCTCCTCCACCGTTTCCTCTTCCAAAGCAGCCGCTGCTGCCAGCACCTCTTCGAATCTCGGCCCGCGGGCACGAGATGAGGCTCTGGTGGGAGCTGGGGTGATGGGGGCTGGGGGGGCCGTAGCGAGAGGAGCCGTCGGGAGGGGGGGGAGAGTAGGAATCAAAGGGGCCGGGGCCGCAGCGGCAGGGGGGACAGAGGTCGGTGTTGGGAGGGCGGGGCCAGGCGGGATGCTTGGCAGCTCGGCCGCTGTTACCTGTAGGAGAAGAGGGCGCAGAGGAGGTTAGTGTTGCTTGTCATATTGTAAGTTCGACAGCTTCGGGAACGCATTCCATGTTGGAAGAACGATACCTTGACAGGAGGTGACGGTGGGAAGAGATGGGTGGATGGCGGGGGCTAGGGGGCAGCTCGCCTTATATGCAACTGCGATATTCCGAGACGCAGGGGGGCGCCCAACTTATTTGTGACAGTATTGCCGGGGGTCAGCCGATTTCAAAATGCCCTCGTGGCGAAATGGTTATCGCATCTGACTTCTATCTACGAGGAATCTGAAGATTGCCGGTTCGAGTCCGGCCGGGGGTACTCATTTTTTGTTTTTTTTCCTTTTGGCACTCACTCATTTTTTTTGGGTTCTTCCCCCCCAACTTCATGTTTTTTTTTGTAAAAGTCAGATGCGATGAACCATTCTCGCCACGAGTGCATTTTGAAATCGGCTGACCCACGGCGATAGGTCAGCGTAGGGCCAAACAACCCCCTCAGCCGTCCGACGCCAATCCAGACACGTCCAGAGAGCAACCATCCCATAGTTGCCAGGATCCTGTTTTGGGAACGATGTCTAAACACCTATCACATCCCACATCCCCATAGGCGTCGCTTTCGAGGAACATAACCACTCCCTCAGTTGAACGAGTATGGACAGGGACGTTACTGGGGCCACTCTGGCCACCTACCCGAGTCCGGTTCGATCCCCACGTCTCCTCTGAAGCTGGCTTCAGTCGTATGGAGTCCTAGACTCGTTCATGACTATCCTCTCGAGAACACCGCTCGTTTGGGGACGTTGACAGAGCCCGATGGCGCGGTGACTGCGCGTTCGCAGACGGAACACGCGCAGAGCCGGCTGCTGTGATTGGCTGCCTGCCGCGCGTGGTTGAGCCGCCGTCAATTCAAAGTCCCGTCCCGTCAATCCAGTGGCTGCACGTTTTCTCTCCCCCCCTTCCCCGCATTCACCGCACTCAGCGCCTCCATCAAATGTAATCCCCCAGTGCTATATGTTGCCAGCGCCCCTCCAGTTGCTCACCCTCCCACAACCGCACCCCCTGGATGTACTGCATATCAGGCAGGATGGCCGCCAAGAGCGCTCGCTGATGCTGAGGAGGATCCAGATTCCAACCGGGGTGCTTGCGTCGGTTCTGTGCAAACCGAACGACAACGTGCTGCTGCCAGACACTCCTTGGGCTACGTACTGTCGATGTTTCCCTGAGAGCTTCTGAGCAGAGTAGTTTGAGAGAGCCCCACTTCATGCTGCTGCGTAAACGTGCCGTTGCCCTGCCTGTATAGTGGTTGGGAGCGCCAGATCTGCTGTTGTCAATTCAAGCCCTTCCCCGCCAGTGCACAATATGCCACAGGCCTGACAAGGCAGACGCACGAGATACCCGTTTGAAGCAAATTGGATCCAGTTATGTTTTGATGGGTTCTTCCATACGGGCATCCGACAACGCCCGCCGGCTACGGCAGTACATAAAGCTGTCTCTACAGCACCTCCCTTCTTGACGATGTACGGATACTTTTCTTCTTCGAATCAGTCTAGCCTTTACACCTAATAACGGTAGCTGCTACGTCTTTGCGTCGGAAGCCCCTCAATCTACTCCTCAAATCGACCCCTTCAACACAATGGGAAAAGCGAAATCACGCAATTCGGGTCAAAACGGCCAACGGAAGGCGAGTCTCAGCGATGCAACATCCGACTTTCCCATCTACTCGACCAAAGTTGTCGCTGAAGATATCGTAGTGGAAGCTGAGCGACCGACAATTGTCAAGCACATCGCTTTCGCTGCTTCGCTCCTCGTCATTGCCATCTGCATCTACTCCTACCTTCACTCGGCCATCAAGATCAGCGGGGTCGCCGTGACCGTGACGCTGGCTCTAGTAGCGTTGAGTCTAACCTTGCCGTTTTCGCTAACCGTCAAAGTCCATCTGCAATTCGCTTGGAACTGCTTTCTTCGCCCTTTCCTGGTCACCAAGAACAAAAAGAACGATGCATCACAACTGGCGACCGGCGACCAGCAACATCAGGCACGTCTTGAACGGTTTTACGAATCCCAAGCTGACATTTACGATGTGACCCGTGAACGACTCTTGCGAGGCCGTGATACTATGCTCGCCTTATGTGCCGCCCAGTTGAGGGTGTTGTTTCCCGAGAATGTCAGCACCGACCACGAACATACTGTGAAGTGCGAGGCTGCTACCTGCAAGGAAGTAAAAGATAAGCAACATGGACCCTCTGCTCCTCAAAAACTTGCGCCGACGCCGCCCAAGAACTACATCCCGGCCAGTCCGCCTCCCTCCCCAACTCTGCAAGGCGTGCCCGGCAACCCCAACGCCATCAACGTCACCGCACCAATCACCCCCCACCTCGTCTGGCTCGACATAGGCGGCGGCACAGGCTCCAATATCGAAAAGATGCACGCCCACTACCCAATCACCAACTTCCACCGCGTCTACCTCGTCGACATTACTCCCTCCCTATGCCGGATCGCACGAGAGCGTTTCATCAAGCTGGGGTGGACGAACGTGCGCGTCGTGTGCGCTGACGCCGCAACGTTCACCCTTCCAGCACCTGAGAGCGATGACGACGTCGATGCAGCGGATGTGGAGGTTGCGCTCATTACGACGTCGTACTCGTTGTCGATGATTGATGACGCGGCGTTTTATCCTGTGGTGGATCAGTTGAGTGAGCTGCTCAGTGCTAAGGGCATTTTCGGTGTCGCCGACTTTGGAGTTGCGAGGAAGAGGGAGGCCGATAGCACGAGGAGGATGGGCTGGAGCGGAAGGTGGTTCTGGCAGATGTGGTACGTTGCAATTTGCCATCCTGGGCCCCAAATTGGTGCACGATTTTCGAGGTAACATCTGCTTAACCACCCCTGGCTGTCATTCCCTTCGGTATCCTAGGTTCGACCTCGACAATGTCTATCTTCATCCCAGCCGCCGGCAATACATCGAGCACAAATTCGCCCCCCTCAAACTGCTCAATTGCAAAAACGACTTCATCCCGTACATCACCAAGATTCCATACTACGTTTGCATCGCTTCCAAGAAGACGGCACCCAGCGGGATCTTGTCTCAAGTCAAGAAGTCCGCGAGCGGGGATTCGCTGCCGGCACTGGACGACTATGAATCCAATGCTCTCCTTAAGAAGGACTCGGCAGCCGTTCTGGACACGGTCGGGACATCTCTCGTCACGAATGGAGGTCGATGGAGGCAACCGTTCGACTTTAAGTTATGTGATCGTTTCTCAACCTATATCTATGCGTTCACTTGGGAGGTAAGCGACCAACGATATCCGAAGGTGTGAGAGCGATTGCCATTCTCATCCGACCGTATCTCCGTTCGAAAAGGACCCTGATACGGATCTACACTTTATGGACTTGAGACCTTCCGACCGGATGCTGGTCATCACGTCGGGCGGAGAGAATGTCTTAAAATACATCACGGACGTAGGGCCGGCTAGGTTCGTTATCCATATGCACATGATCCTTCCGATCCTCTCAATATTCGGATTGAAACCCATCTCTGACGCTGATTTCCTCCACCAGGATCCACTGCGTCGACTTCAACCCGTGCCAAAACAACATGCTCGAGCTGAAGCTCGCGGGACTGTCATCCCTCACCTTGAAAGAATTCCACCATCTCTTCGCGGAAGGGTTCCCCAACCACTCCCGCGACGAGTTCCACAACCTGCTCCTATCACGAATGTCGCCTCACCTCAGTTCACAAGCGCTAGCCTTCTGGTTACGCCCCGAAAACTCCACCTTCACCAACCTGTACAACACAGGCGGATCCGGCCTCGCAATCCGTGCATTCAACCTCATCACCCGCTTAGCGCGCCTGCGACCGGCCGTCGAGCGCATGTGCGACGCGCCCACCCTCGCCGTCCAGCGGGAGGTATGGGAAAAGGAAATTCGGCCCTACTTCCTCTCACCACTGTTCATCCGCCTGCTCAACAACAACAGCTTCCTCTGGTCGGCCTTGGGCGTGCCCCCGGCGCAGATGGCCATGCTGATGGAGGAAGGCTCGGCGTACAAATACATTGTGGACACCTTCGACCCGGTGATCAACGAGACGCATCTGCGGACTGAGAACTATTTCTACTACATGCCCCTCATGGGCCGCTATTCGGGGGAGAACTGCCCGTCGTATATGACTGAGAAGGGGTTCAACTTGTTATGCGGGGCGGGTCGCTTGGACGCTATCAAGATCCATACGGATCGGATCGTGAGCGTGCTGGAGAACGGCTGTGGCGAGGAAGATGTCCCCGGCACGAAGCTGACGCGGGTCATCTTGATGGATCATCTCGACTGGTATGTGTTGGTCTGACAGTTGGAGTAAACCTCGGGAAGGTGTGCTCATCGGGATTTTACATCCGTACTTGCAGGTTCACCGAAGCCGACGCGGATGCCGAAGTCGCTGCCCTCTCGAAGCAGTGCGCCACAGGGGCCAAAGTGTTTTGGCGATCGGCGTCAAAGCATCCGTGGTACGGACGGTTATTTGAGGCGCATGGGTTTGAGGTCTTCCCGCTGCAGATCAGACAAGACGAAACCATGTGCATTGATCGCGTGAATATGTATGCGTCACTTTGGTGTGGTGTAAAGATGTGATGGACGATGGATTTTGGGACATGCGCTGCCTAGGCTGCAGGGAACGCCATATGTATTTTGAGGATGCCGGATTCCGATGTAATATAAACAATCTTAACTTCATATTCGCGGATAGCTTCAGACGAGGCAAGCGGCCGGTTCCCCATGTGCTTTACATCTCGAAATTAGTACGGAGGACATGCGGTGGGGCCTTTCCTCCGATTGATTCTCCGAGTGCCGCGCCTGAACGTCCGTTTTCGCTGGACCCGACTCTGCTTTTATAAGCAACAACAGCCTTGGTGTGCAATTGAAGGATTCGAGCGACGGTGGCGTAACTGGTTCTATCGCACGCGAACGTCCGGCTTATTTTCCGGTGGGGAGAATGGATCGCAGATCAAAATTGAGGTCTCGCTCGCTACATGGAAGCAAGAGGCGGCCGATCGTGGAAGGAAGAAGGAAGGAAGACGTGGACGCGTAGGGAGGAAGTTGGGGAACGCGTCTTTGCAGGCGGTTAGAAGCAGTGAAGTACCTGTTCGACACGAGCTTGCCGTTCGGACACCCCGCTGAGCGGCGAGCGACACGTCCCAAAAGAAGCAATCAACCCAAACCCCCCCCTTTTCTTCGTGACTTTAGTCCCCCGCGCCCTTCTTAAAAACCCTGTTTTCCCAAATACATTCACTACTGAAGAGAAGAGAAGCAAGATGTCATGGAAGGGCTGAGGGACACAGACCCGTAGCCAGCTGGCCTGTTCGTTCTATCATGTCCGGCAGAGCCCGCCGCTTTCCGCCGCCGCCGCCATCGACTGATCCCCTCGTTTTTGGTCCACCCGCGCAGTTACAAGCGGAACCCCCCTGGCGCTCAATATACTTCATACGGGAAAAGCGGGACTGCTCCTTGTCCTCCCACTGATATATATAGGCTCACTCATCGCGATCTGAGGTTTCGTTTTCGCTTTCCTGAATCTTGAGCCATCTTGGAACACGTCCGGAATTGCACATCCACCAATCTCGAGTGAAAGACATCCGCAACAACTCGCTGACCGTCTCTCTACTCGGAGTTCGTGATCCGCCGGTGCATAGTTTGCTGTTCTACACGTTCGTTGCCACCCTCAAACAACCTTCCCATCGTCTCACTCTACGCGAAGCGCAACCTCAAGCCATGCGTGGTAGGTATTCTGATAGGTTTTCGCGTCGCGAAAGCTTTGTCTCCAGGTCCCTACGCGCTGTTCCTTGTCTCACATCTGGGAAGTCCCCCTATTCACAGCTAATCGTCTTGTTGTAAAATCTCCCGCAGCGTTCATCCCTATACTCGCCAAAGTGGCGACGGTCCTTTCCTTGATACTTGCAGCATCGGCCGAGCCGCTACTGACTCAACGTGCACTGGAACTCAAGAATGGCTACGATGCCGACCTGGTCCGTCGATCGTTCCAGGCTAACGACCCCACGGATCTCGCAGTCGGGGTTTGGACTACCTTCCCAGCCGCAACCGGTTTTAGCTTCTATTTCGATTTGACAATCACAGTGCCTTTCCAATTGACCGTCGTAGACTATCTCTGCATTGGGAACAACTACGATGTTTACGAGTACGTTGCCCGTCATCTTGTGTGAACCCTTCGTGAGAAATTATCAACTAAACATGTACTTCCTCTTATAGCACGGTGGACACCAGCGCGGAGGTCCTCATCGGTACCGCCAAGACGACTAGCCCTCGAGACAACTGCGCAACCTACACGACAGACCCAAACGCCGCCCTTGCCAATGCAGCCTACGGACGAGTCAGCGTTCTCCTCCAACCCGGCACCCATATCATTCGTGTCGCACACCGTGCCGACTCCTACTACACCGGGGGCTTTGGCTACATCCGTGCCGACCCACGCCCCGACGCGCCGACGGGCTGCTCCTCGGAAATTTGCGAAGGCGGCATTTGCACCGTCGCTCTCTACACGCGCCGATTCTGCAGTATCACCCAATCGCCTCCCTGCCCGAGCGGATGCCGTTGCGTTGATGGTGTTGCTGGCACCGCGTGCACTCTCGACAACGATATCACCCTTGGCAGCTGTATCACAGATATCGACTGCCCATGTGGAACTGCGTGCACGTATAACTCGCAGTTGAGGACTTTGGCGAGAACGTGCAGGCCGTTGTGCGATTCGGAGCCGCAGTTCGTCACCATCATCAAGGACTTTGTCCCTGGCCCGTGAACGGCGAGATGATGTAATGTGCTGCTCACCCGTCTCCCCTCCTCAACAACAAGTCGGATTGCGACCCGGATGGACCATATACTGGCAACGCAGCACTAATCTCGGCGGCACACGCACACGGACGCATTCCTTCTCCAATCTCTCTCGCCGCTTGTTATTTATCGACACATAGAAAACTCAACCTCGCCTCCTCGCCCCCTGCTCTATACCCCACCGCCCGTCGATGGGGGCTCGTCCCTACGACTTTTGTTATTTATTCCGGGTGCGCCGCGAGGGATACCTTATTTACCTAGTCATTCCCTTTTCGCTTCCCGCTTTTTATTTCTGCATATGAAGCCTTATTTCTAAAGTTACTACGTACTTGTTTGGCTTGTGCTACGAGACGCTACTTTGTATCTGTCGATTTGTCTTGTTCTTAATGTGATTGCGATTAGTGTACGATATCTTGTGGATGTGAAATGGGCCTGAAGTTGAGGAAGGGACTGCATTGACATGAAGTACCGGCATCACCACACGCATCACCGGATTCACCGCACGCATCCCCAAGAGCAGATGTAACCACAAATTTGAAAGTAACCCCCACTCTCGGTGGATCTGGGCATCGAGGCCGTTTGACCGAAATCTTGGCTCTAAGAGGGAAGAACGTCGCAAGACCCAAAGCGGTCGCAGACTTTCAATCCTGGCCACCCCTGACATCAGCGCCCTCACACTGCCCCGTAGCCACGCTCCCATCCACATTTCCCAAACAAAGCCTCGTCGACGGCTGGAAGAAGCGGTACGTCTCGCCGTCCCCATTCGGGGATAACATTGATCTCGCCATGCGCGTTCGATCCGCACCACATCGGGAAAAAAGCGGATTAGGCCCCTTGGTACCCGTGAACGCGCAAAAGCTGGAGCCGCGACAACTCCAACGTCGTATCAGACGTGAATGAGCGAAACACGATCTGCGCCGGATCTGCTGGATAGGCTGGTCAAGAAACCATGTTTCATTGACGGGGCCTAGCGCGCCGAAGTTGCAGTCGAATGTGAAGAGCTTCAGAGAAGGAATCCGAGACACTGCGATTTGGAGATCGAATGTGAAGTCACGTGGATCCAGTCGCACATTTATTTCCGTGAGTCGGCTTAGGGCTAGAGACGTCCGTCGGGGACAACTTTGACTTTCATCGACCTCACAAAGGCCTAAACTACCGACCGACACAGGTACATACGAGGAACATGATTAACGCAGTTTTCTCCACGGAAGGAGCCGCAGAAGTTCTCGCGGTGGTATTCGTCGGCGCCAACTCTACCCGCCCTTTTCCGGACGTCCTACTCTTTCTTTCCATTCTCACCGGCGTTCCAGTTCAGACACTACAAAGCCACTATCGCTTCTTCTCCAAACAGCAGACGTTGAACGCGGCAGACCCGAATTTGAACATCGGCCCCGGGCACTACGTTGTGCAACCTAATGCCGACGAAGATCCCGCCCTCCCTCAGCTGGGCCGTTGGGCGAACACCGTCTCTCTCTTTCCTCCTCGATCCGCAGCGTCGAGCAGGGCTGGCCCCCGTCCCGGTAGCGCAGGGACTGTCGCTTCAGCCTCTAACCCTCCGTCTGGAGTGAGTACTCCGCGTGACGACGACACCGAAGCTTCGCCTGAAGCCGTGAAACGATACGCCCGGTTTACTCTGTCTCTCGGCTTGCGAGACCGTCGCTGCGTCGTCACGGGCAACGCAGATCCGGATGCCTTGGAGGGGGCACACATTATCCCACACTCGTGGAAGCGCCAACATTACTGGGGCCTCCCTGAAGACATTCGACAGACCCTGCTTCTGGACTATCAGCCGCTCTGTATTGACGATGTGCGAAACGGCTGCTTAATGGAAGCCTCGATCCACGCCGCCTTTAATATGCAATATTGGTCTGTGGTAGATGAGGGGGATGGGCGGTGGCGGGTGGTCGCGATGGACAAGAAAGCACCTTCATCCATCGTCGGTCAATATTTACGCATACCCGACCCGGGCTCCGCCGACAACCACCTTACTTACCCTGAGTGCTTCGTCAATCCTCGTTTTTTGCAGTTCCATTTACAAAGCGCCGTCTTTCGGCGCATGCGTGGCGCCGGCGAAGACGATGAGGGTGACTATGATGATCGCGACAAGCCGCTCGGCGACGTGATGAAGATCTGGGCTGATGAGGAGAACTTCGGGCGTTACGTTCGCTCCGGCGGGAACGTCGCGCTAGCCGTCGAGTAGAGGAGAAGTTGTTGGCTCGTTCTTTCCCTTGATAGTTCCAGTCTACAGTATACAGTGGATGGCCAAAAGAGCAGTTACGCGCGGGGGTAGTCGGTTATGTGGCACCATGAAAGTCACTGACCACTCTCCCTGGCAACTACGACTGACTACTGACAGGTATGTACCAGAATGGCTTGTCTGCCTTGTTAGTTTCCCCGCGCTCCGCCGATGCGCTGATATCCTTTGCCTCATGAAATCCCATCGTCGGAAGATTTGTTCATCAATTGTTGTCTAGCAATGAATCAAACGCAACATTCCTGACCCGGGTATTCTGCAAACCGTTGCACATTTCTATATAAGAAGGTGTTGACGAACTCGGTTGAACGCTGGGCTTGAGGATGATCCCACGTATGATCCTGCAACTGTACATTAGTACTACATCACGGCGAATGCAATGCAGCGGAATCCGGTTCTGGGCAAAAGCATCTTATCATGGCAGAGGGAGATGGCGATGCAGGAGCGAGTTTTTTGTTCGTAGGGTCGGAGGTCATGCTGGACAGAAGGAGGAGGGAAGAGAGTAGGAAGACGGAGACAATGGGAAAACATTTGTTCCGCGTATCGATGAACTATGCATGCAAGTGATGCACTGTGTCAGTGCTAAACAGGAAATCACCCCGAATGACCTGGTGAAGCCGGCGTGAAGAATGTGCAGAGAAGCATGGGGCTGTCGCCCCAGAACTCTCAGCCCAGCAGTTCCTTAGGTACGGTGCGGATGGGGGTCACATTTGCCGCGCCCATAAAGGCTGTCAGTTAGTGAAGTGCCACAGCCGCCAGAGTGCGAACGGAGTGCCGTGCTCATGGCACCCAGTTGCTAATGCTAATTCTCCTCAAAGCGGAAGCACTCCACCATGACCATGTCACTCGAGTATGGCCAGCCTAACGCCGGCCCAGCCATGCCAAAGGGCGGAGATGGCATGTGAGCTGCGTGGCTTCAGCCGTACTCCGTTTGACGGCAAACCAATTCTGATCCGGAGACGACGGCAAGCCAGCCGACCCTGTCGCTCAGTGATGCGGCGGCCGAGCTGGCCATTGTGAGCTTTGGTGAAGAACACCGGCCGCAGTGCACTCTTCAAACGGTTCCCGTGTGCCGCCGCCCGTGCGTGGACTGTGATACCTGCACCGCCCTCCGAATCTCCGAGGCTCCGGCGTGCCGCTCCGCAACGGTGTGGCATCAGAGGTCCTCGTCTGCCAGGGCAGCGACCCGGTTGGCGGACAAAGACATGCTGCAGCCTTTCTATCATACACCGATTGAATCGCCAAGGAGAAGTGCAATCTGGTCCGTGTGCAATACCGCGTCTGTTGTGGAGCTCTTTATGTCAATCGGAAGCACATCAATGAGCTAGGGATGAGTTAAGCGTGTATCCCGACATTCTGCACTCCCCTCAGCGCGACCTCAAGGCGACAAGTCGTTGTGACTTGGCAAGCCATGCTTCAAGGTGCGCGCAACACAGGTCTCATGTGAGCAGGGAAGGGATTGCATGCCAAGGGAGAACTCCTTGGCATTCTCTACGGTCCAAATGCACAGTGCGTCGGTCGGTCGCCTGTGAACATGAAAGGAATCCTGCTTGTCCACCTTCTGACCCTCGGAGGTACAAAAACGACGGCCGTCAACTATCGCCCGCCAGACCCTCAGTTACAGGCGTTTACTTGGCATACTTGGCATCCAACCAACGGCCTCTAGAAGCATGCCGAGCAACACGAAAGAAACAGAGATTGGCAAAGAGCCTCTTGAAAGCGGCTGTCACTGCTGCCCCAATCGCTGCACGGTTCCTGCGACTGCGGGAGCGTTTGTCATTCCCGTTTTGCTCCAATCGCTCTGAGCCACGCCCGATTGCTAGTTCGGAGAGCGCTGCAGACTCTACTCTCGACTTTCCCACCTTTGCCGCTCACTGCCACTGTTCCTCTTGTAGGAAGACGGTGGGATCCGTTACAGTGACGTTGTTACCTTTTCTCAAGGATGTTTTCACTATGTCACAGTCCGATGCGTTGCAGGAATACAAGGTATGTAGAAGTCCTGGCACCTCAGGTAAAGATTAGCAACACACCTACCGAAATCCCTCATACCCGTCTCCCTTTGTCAGTCCTCTCCGACCGTCACACGGACCTTCTGCTCAAGATGCGGCACCTCCTTGACTTACGCAGCAACCTCTGCTGACTGGATGGCCGTTACAGTGGGCAGTCTGGACGAACCGAACCGCGTAGTGGCAAACATGCATGTCCATGGTGAATCCATGGTGCAAAGTTTCGAGAGGCCGGATGCCCATCTGCCGGTGTGGAATGGGAAATTCCAAATGGTGTTTGGAGGTTGCTCAAAGGAGGAAGCTCCGAAAGGGAACGCTGAAGTCCTCCGTGACAATGATCCGTTGATGCGTTGAGAAACTCAACAAGAGGTCGAGGAAGGGTCTCAAGCCTGAATGTGAGCAATCGGGCATTTAGAGGCGGCTTGTCTAAGGAGTCATCGCTTCTTTAGGCCGTCAGCAGGTCTGGCGGGATACGGCGGGGTGCCATTTCGCTGGGAGGGGGTTGGTTGGTAGGTGGGTGGTTCCTAGCCATTAGCTTGGAACAGGGAGTCTCCAAAAGGCCGTTATGCTCCTTTTGCCAAAAAAAATTGCCTTTACCGTCACGCGTTGCTTTTAGGGTTGGGACCATAATTAGAGTACGTAAGCAGCGCCCAACGTTCAACCACAACACTCCGCCCGGCCGTCAGAACAGAGAGCCAGAGGCCACAACCCGCATAAGCGCCCTTGTCCAAGACTCCCTTTCGCCAAATTTGTTTTTGGAGAGAAGCAGGGTTAAGAAGCGGCAAGACGGTTAACCCTTGATCGCACAACGTACAGGCACAACGCCTTGGCTCTCGCTGCACAGCGGCCGCAATGCGCTCTCGAGTCTCGGCTGGCAGGCGCCCACCCCCTAACCGTATATATATGGGGGAGGGCGGCTCGGTCAGTTTCTCCCTCCTCTGTGAATAACACGAAGAACCGTCTGCCAATCAACAGCCTGGAAACATGTTCACCTCCGCCCTCTCAAAGGTTGCCACGGCCGTCCTCGTCGCACCTCTCGGCAGTCTATTCCTGACCCACGCCGTCACGGCCTCAAAGAACGAAGTACTCTTGTCCCCGGTCTACTTTGATGCCTGCCGAGTCGTCAACGATACCTGTATCCCGCCTGCGCCCGGCACCCCCCTGGTCGTTACCCAAGGCGAACTCATTGCGTTCCGGTCATATACTCTGGAGAATTCCACCTTCTGGGACAAGGACGCTAATCTTCGCAGCGAACAGTTGATCAGCGTTGCCACCCTGTGGAACACCACTGATAGCTTCAGCCAGAGCGAGTATTACCCGCCGGACCGAGGATTCTGTCCTGACCTTCCCTATAGCGACCCCTCGAGGTACTGCACAAACACAAACATCGATCGCGGGACCGTAGCAGCATATCGAAAGTCCTTCGCACCGAAGCCGAAATCCGAAGCAGCCGTTCGCGATGGGATTCCTTTCCTCGGGCTTCGCACGTACCCAGGCCGCACCACAGTATCAAATGCCGGCACATTCTACGAGATCCCCGATTTCGGACGGCCATACCCCGAACATCTGATGTATGGGGAGCAGGGTCGTGAATACCTTTATGATGAGCCCGGGGATGTCCTCCAGATTCTGACCACCAACTTCACCGTCCAGTGGCTCGTCGCGGCAGAACGAGCCCGGACTGCGGACGGGGCGACGACGGCCGCTTCGAATGGGACGATCATCATTATGCCAAACCTCCTAGCAAAATCATTCCTCTGGAACAGTTTCAATACTTATTCGCTTGTCTCTCCCAGGCAAAGGCGCGCAGCTTGGCCTGACGAGAACACCGCTGCTGCCCGGCCGACCGCGGGCTTACTGAGAGCAATGGCAGTCATATTGCTGGCGACGGTATTGGGGGGCATAGTTTAGGTACTTTACGAATACGCCCTCGATCGTGCATATGTCCTTGATCTGATGAAGAAAGTACATTTATACACGTACGCCCAGTCCCTGTCATCTTAGAGCAGACGCCGTAATACACATAGGGAATTGTTTACGCATATCAACCCTCTTAAGATATAATGTATAGATAATAGAAAGATCCCTCAAAGATGTATAGAGAATAGAAAGATCCCGCAAAGCATTCGTCGCTAAATTAGTTCATTTCCAATCAGTCCATTTCCAAAGGCCGCCACTTCCTCCGGGAATGCTGCCGGGCCAGAAGGAGATCGGCATTCGCCTTTATTAGCCAAAACGTTCGCTTCTCACCAACATCAACGCACACATTCTCTTCATGACCTTAGATTCAAGGGTTCCTTCTGACCGAAAAACTATCGCCGTTCGGCGTGCAATTAATCTACGTACTTGATGAGGTTATCAGACTTGTGACGATTTTACTTTTCCAGCCTCTGGAGGTATACGTATGTCCACGGTATGGAAAATACACACTTTACTTCGTGTAAGGGAGATTCCCATTGCAAGATATTACAATTTCTACCTTTCCAATCACTAGCCTAACTGTCTACAACGGGGTGCTTATCACATCGTACGCCTGAAAACAAGTGTCTGACAGTAAACATCGAAAAAAACGGATGCTCAAGTTTTGGCCGCAGGAGCCAATCCATAAACTTGCGGAGTCCAATCGCCGCCTACTACATTAGCAACTTTCTCTCCAGCAGAGACAAGGACATCACCTGCGATGACCAGCTGCACATCACCAAGAAGGTTTTGGGTGGTAGCTGTACCCCAGGCCGCGATCGCGATGGTATTCCAGCCCTGGTTGCGGATGATGCCTTGCGGGATAAAGAAGGTCGTTTGGGGACCCCAGGTGGAGATGTATCGGCCTGAAATGAAGAATTGTATGAGTGATGATGTGGGGTCGTGGAATGGATGAAGGTGGATGACTTACCGTATTGAAAGCCATTGACGTAAATCTGGGCGCGGACGGGCGGTCCTGAATTGAGCTGTTGGTTGAACCTAATCCCAACAGGGACGTACAGATTGGCGGCCAGGTTCAAGTTGAATCCACTTCGGAACCAGACAACGCCCGGCTGATTGAAACTAAGAGACGGGCGGGTTGAGTTCCAGACCATGAAGGCAAAGATACATCTGATACATGCCACCCTCCCGGACTTACGTGTAAGGCAGCTGAACGTTCTGTTCCCAGCCGTTAGCAGCGGTCGCCGGGTAGCTCGGTAAATGCCATCCCGACCTTTCCCCATACAGCCCGCCAACATTCAACGGTCCACGAACAGTGTCCACAAGTTCTTCTCCGCCACGGGTACCTTGAATCTTCCACTGAATTGGCACAACGGCGCTGTCAGATGTCTGCACGTACGCATAGCGGAGTCCCCGGTAAGCTTTGAAATTGTCGCTTGGGCCACCAAACGCTTCATTGATCCCCATGTTGTCGACCAGAACGAAGATAACGTTCGTCTTTCCCTGGCGGATTGCGGAGGGCGGCACCTTGAAAAGTTGGTCTGCTTCATTCAGTTCGGTGCTGCCAAGATAGACTCCGTTGAGCCAGACAGAGTAGGCAAATCCGAAGGTGCGCTCAAAGCCTGGCGATGGTTCAGAGGCGCCTTGGGCCCGAAGCAGGATCTGTGTCTCCGACCCCGTGCCGGTGAACCTCCCTCGGTAGAGGACATGGCCAGTAGAGAACTTGTAGTCTTGCGCAAAAAGAACGGGCTGTCCGGCTGGTGGTTTGGTAGGATTCAACGTGGTTGTAAACGTGCAATCGGTCCAAGTCGAGTCATCGAATGCGGGGTCAATCTCAGGCGTCCCTCGCCCGAAAGCCCAGTTCCCGAGACTTGGTAAGGCAATGGCTGGAGGACCAGCCACGGGCTTGGAGGTGATCATCGACCCCCACTTTGTCCAGTACACAGGTGTGTCTTTTTGATTGATGCGCAGCGCCGTTGACGGCGCAAAAACTTCAAGGGAGGTATCTTTATTGAAGTCGGCATAAATGTTCATCGTACTGCCTTGCGACGTTGCCCAGCGCAGGAGGTACGACCCACGAACAATGACCGGACCCGCGGCAGAGTCCGATCTCCAAAACTCGTATGCCGCAGACCTGCTGGCGACCACAATCAGAAGGTCTTTGCCCCCAGCACCTTTGAGAAGGATGTGCGAAACGTCTTTGGGAACAACGGTGTTGATTCGAACGGTGGAAGCACCGGGTGTCATCTTGAACCAAGTTGGTTGCTGGTCGAGCGACACTGCAGAAGGTCGCGCGGTGGAAGCTTGAAGAAGAAGCTCCACGGTATCAGCCTCTGTTCCGTAGATAACAAGGATGTCACGCCACCCGATGTACGCATGGGTGAGGATTTCTGCCGTGCTGTAGACAAGCTTCTATAGAATCATTCCAGGCGTTAGGAGGCTCCATGGTCGAAAAACAACAGACGGAAACAGTAACTGATTACCTGAGACTGGAATGCATAGTTGGCGACCAAAATCAACGAGTCTCGTCCATGTAACTGAATGTTCCCTTCAATAGGGATGTTTGCGCCGGCAACGTCCAACAGGCCAAACGCCTTTTCCGCAGTGGATGTCGCATCCCACTGTCTCAAAATCCGAAACTCCGCTCCCGTCTCCTCGTTGCGAAGTGCCCGCACGCGGACATCTTTCAGGGTGGTGGATGCCGCAAAGGTGACCGTATTCGCAATATCAGGCGACGCCTGCAGAAAGTACCCGATGAGCTTGGTGGCGTGATATTTCGTCGTCAAGGATAGAGACTCGGAAATGGGAGCTCCAAAGTCATATGAAGAATACACAAGCGGCGCCGCCAAATGACCCCAGTTTGTCCCACCGTAGGTCATGTAAAAGTTTTGAATGGTGACGCCGGCGCCGATGTTGTCTTTATAAAAGACTCTCTCAAACTGGTCGTTCGTCAATTCTCTGCATTTATCGTAACCGGCACCGCCCCATGGATCAAAGGAACCAGCTTGGAACTCCGCAAGGAAAAGGGGTGTGTTGGCTTGGCGCCGTTGAAAGTTCCAATCGTCCCACACAGGGTTCCATTTTGCTGGTTTACGGCAATCGAAGTTGTTCGGATACCCGTCCCAGGCGTACATATCAGGAGCTCCGAACCCGGATGCCCAGTTCCCTCCGTTCTTTCTAATGTCATACATGCGAAGAACAGAAGAATGTCAGTGAACCATCCCATCCATATTAGCTCATATGCGGAAGTGGGTTAAAGGGTCCCATACAGATCATTGTGGAATATAGGAACAACGATGCCGTCCTTTCGCGCTAGCTGATAGATGGCGTCCATGTACGGTCGGGTTAAGTTCGCAGGGTTCATATTGCTGTATTCGTTTTCCGCTTGATAGAGTATAACGGTGCCCCCTGTGTCGATCTGGAACTTGGTAGCGATATTGTTGACTGAACGAATTGTGTGAGAGTCACGAAGACTGAGATATATTGCTTAGGAAGAAGCTCACAAGCTGTCATGAAATGCTTCCAATGAACTTCGTAATCAGCGGCCTGTGTGCGGCCCCTGCTTCCTTGTACTCTGCCCAGCCTGGAGTTGTTATTCGTAAAGTAGAAGGTGGCTTGATCCCAAATGTAAATAAGATAAGGCAGAGCTCAATGAACCTACCAGCCAGGGAAGCCTCCGCCAGAAGTCTCCGCATTGATGTACGGACCAGGTCGAGCAATCACATAGATGCCAACGTCCTTTGCATCTTGGAAGAACTTTGTGTAATTTCGGATGCCGGTGAAGTCGCACGAATACGGCTTGGCGCAATGATAACCCCAGTGAGCGTAGATCTGGATGATGAGAAGAATGCAAGTATGTAAGTATCCCAGATGGCGATTCCTGAAGAGATGGGAGTATCATACCGAGACTCCGTTGTAACCCGCGGCTTTGAATTTGACCAGGACATCTTTCCACAGGTCCGGGCTCGGGAGGCGGAACGGGTGGAACTCGCCCGACCAGATATAAAGGCGTTTTCCGTCAATAGAGACGGAGTGACTGTCATAGGTCACTCTCGATTGCTTTGCGGCTGGAGCGGCCCATACCGCAGGAGCCCTTGTGCCGAGAGATAAGACACATAGCAGTGCCGACAAGAAAAAAAGAAAAGACCTCACAGTAGAGCGCATCTCGGAGGATGCCAACGAGAGGAGGCAGACAAGAACTCGATAGCTGACAAGTGAAATATGACAACACTTGGAAAGCTGCTGGAGTTGAACGGGACTCGGACAAGTGTTGCTCGTTTTTTATAGCATCTTCTCGACTCCCGCGTCGGTCCTTCCTTTATGGATACCAGTGTGCAGTCGGACTAGCCAGCTCCGCCCGACGAGCGCGGAGCAGCAGTCCCTGCTGGAGCCGTGCTACTGCCCGTGATGAATGGTGGTGGTCGCCATCTTGGATTGCCCCGAGCGTTCTCATAGTCGAGTTGAGAAAGTCCACAACCCATACCCACTTTCCCAAGCGCGTCACCGTCGTCCCTGGGGGGAGCCGGCGCTGCTTGGAGCCGTGGTACTGTCCCGTGATGAATGGCGACGGCTTGCACACATTACCAGTACCCAAGCGATCAACACCAGGCGGGCACCCATTGGGGACATATACCCATCGGCCCGTCATCGGGATCCAGGGCCTTGTATAATGTATTACGCTCCGATCGGACGCAAGGTGAAATAATTTTGTACCTGGCCACAGGCGCACGGGAACAATTGCTTTGAATTTACACCAAGGATACGGGTCCCAGGCTTCACAGAATCTGAGAACATGCTCATGTGGGTAATTTCTCTCAATGCGGTGGCCAGGGATATCATTGAGGTCTGCAATTTGTACACAGAAATCGAAAGCATTTCCCGTCCTCATGACAATTTATCTACAATGTCTGATGACCATCGCAAATATTTTCGGAGTTGTCTCCGTCGCGAAGTGTCGGCCCAAGGCTCTGGTACAGTACAATGAGCAGCACGGTTTGACCTCGGTAATCACTATTTTAAGGCCGGCTAGATCTTGACAGTACCTGTCAGTCAAGACATCTGTCAGTGACACGCTCTATGCATATCCCCGGCGTGTCATTCCCTTTTCTTTGCTTCCCCATACTCCCTTGCTTCCCCACTCACTCCCCAGCAATATAAATACCGTAGCTCCCCACACCCGTCTGCTGTCCTCAACAGATCAACACCAGTTCCACTTCTCTTGTTCCAGTTCTCGTCAATACAATCCTTTATCTTCTCAGCTCTCGCCTGTCACCTCTGCCATGCCGCCGCCTCCGTGGGTCGTTCATAGCAGTGATCATGCCTTTTCCTGAAGAGTGAGCCGAAGCTATTAATGACGTGTTTTCGAAGCGGATTCGAATACCAGTCCCTGTTCCTCAGACGCACCTCAGCGCCGTCAAGGGCACTCTCCAGGCACTGCTTGAGGTCTCGGAGAAGTCTCAAGAGGGCTGTTTAGGGTTAGCCATTCCGCCAAGTAAGCAAGACTTGTCTGCGTTTGCAAGATTGACTGGGTGTTACTACGCGTTTTTGAGCGGAATCCAGTACCAGTCATCCAAGCACACCTTTGCATCGCCGAGGGCACTCTCCAAGCGTAGTTTGAGGTGTGAGAGGAGTGTCAGGACGATCTGGGAATCTGGTTGCGCCATTGCGACGTGATCGCCGCTTGTCTGTGTAAATACCGCGGTGTTGGGGGTTGTTTCCGAAGCGGAAATTGATAAAAGGTCATGCAAACAGACCTTTTGCAGCGCCGAAGGCACTCTCCAGGTGCTCTTGAAGGTTTGGAAAAAGCCTGAGAACGGTTTGGGAAGCAACGGTTTTGCGATGGCGATCATGATCACGGTGGGCTGTGAGCGACGGGTTGTTGTAACGGATTTCCGACCGAAGAAGGCAGTCTCCGACAGACACCTCTGCATAGCTGGACCACCTCCTCAGACCCCATTTTACGTGCTGGCAAGTTCCCAGAGGGATCAGGAAGGGTTTATGTAGCAATGGCGAATTCAATTCGTGTGTTTGAAACTGAGGCCAAATCGTGAGATCTGGCGCCGGCTGAAGCCAGAGACGTAGAACGCATTCCAAAGGAGCCAGAGGAAGTGGTGGCTGGATAGTAGCACTCTCGGGGCAAGATTGGGCAATGGCGATGCTGGTGGAAGGTCTACAAAGGAGGGGCACTGTAGAACGCGGGGAAGGCTTAATCCCGCTTAGAAGAGTGCCAATGGCCGTGTCACACCCAATGACGGAAGCTGAAGGAGATGTTTCGCATATTTGATGTTTCTATTAACGTTGCTAGTAGTAGATTCTACTCTGCTCTATCACATGACCTAAGTATCGAGTAACCAAGTGATTTATGGACGGCAGTAATCGTTGGTCTCCCTCCCGGAGTCCACACATCCGTTGTAGCAGTAAGTGACCCAGCGAATGTTGCCATCGTCGTCCGTGCAGTCAAACAAGTCGTTGTTATCCGCGTGGCCAGTCGCAGCCATCACCGGGTCGTAGTTTGTTCCGGTAGCTATTCAAACGAAACGCGTGTTAAGAACCTTGAAGGAATAAAGCCATTTCCGACGATGAAACATACCAATGCTCCTCAAGGTGGAGCCGCAGTATACTAATCCTTTCCGGCAGTTCCTCGCCTCAACTTGGCCAGTGGCGGCGACGAGGGCAACGACGGGAAGGATTGCGGAGAGGAGCTTCATGGTTGTGTATATGAGAGACTGAGTGTTGTGGGGTAGGATATGAGAGACTGAGTGTTGTGGGGTAGCCGGACAAAGACGGGCAGTAATGCGTTGGGAGAAGAGTCGAGAAGGCTTGGAGCGCTTGGAACTTCTGAAACCACGCGGTGGGGGGTGGTGTAAATTGGAACGGGGGAGTCGGCGAGCTTTCCCCCCTGCTTTATGAAGCCAATCGGTGACTGCCGCACCATGTAAGGAGCATCATCCAACTCCTGTTCTCGTTCAATACACGTTTTGGTAGTACAGTGGCCACTTAGCCCGACAAACGGGACTTGGGCGTCGCATAGCCGCGGCGGTTAGCGGCGTCAGTAATGGTGCTTTGATTAGGCTGCCAACGCCATGCTCGACGCCCGTTTGGCAGATCGGGCTGCGCCTAGCATAACTAGCATGATACTTGGGCGTCGAAACGCATGATACTTGGGCGACGAAACGCCGCGGCTGAAAAACAACCGAAGTCAGCCGGTCGACCCTGTCAAAGCTTCCGTCAATTTCTCGTTTCCGCGAAGACGGCTCTCTCGCGACCTTCCATTGCTTTTTCTCGCAACGATATCATGAATAGAAAGACGGCCACTAACTCAATTATGTGCGGAACGCGCAGTCGCAACAGATTGAATATCAGCTCGCTAAAATCTATGACCAACCCGCTTGTGTAGTCATTCGAGGATCCTACGAAACGCGGTGCGCTTTCGCTTCTATTACGTCGAACGCCTACGAACGCCCGTCGTGTTCCGTTTTTCGTTTCTCAACCGGATCACCAGGTGCTGGACGGGTCCGCTTTCATTACAACCAACGCCGTTTTTCAACCGAGTCGGGACCCACGAACGTCCGCTGAACATGCTTCCGTCCTGTGAGCACGGTATGCCGCTGACCGGACAGTCTCCGGGCGTTATGATGCGTCGTCTATTTAAGAGGGGAGGCCCGTCTTCCCCCCTCGGTCAACCGCTATCCACTTCACACACGCCCTTCACACCTCCACGCCTCCAACAATGAAACTCGTCTCTGCCATCCTTGCTGTCATCCTCGTCACCGCCGCCAGCCAAGCCGAGGGTAGGAACTGCCGACAGGGCATGACATACTGCGGGTCCACTTTGCGGGCAATCGGTATGTACTCGTGATGAGACGATATGTGTAGCCTCGACGATAAAGGTTCCTAACATACACATCTTTGATAGCGACCGGACAGAACTACGACGCCCAGATGGCAGCGACTGGTCACACCAGTGGCAACGACCTGTTCTACTGCAAGGGGGGGGACAATGGCGACATTATCTGGATCCAAACTTGTCCAACACACTGCAACGATGGCGGCTCTGAATACAACGACTGGTGTGCTTAAGCTGTGATAGTACCGGTCATGTCTGTAGAATTCGCTCCATAGACTCTCACTTCGCTTGTGGATGGAGGGCGGCTTTCGCTGAGATCGAACGTCGTTTAAGTTTGACAGCGCATAATCAGCGCATAATTTGATGATAGCATCGAGACCACCAAATTACTCTGTACTATTTCATAAGTTATACGGGTGTGCTTATAACTTGGTTGAACTCTGACGGGCGCGAGGGGCGGCTTTTGCGGCGCTACATGGCCTTCCAAAGCAACTGCGGTCCGCTACAGGGACGACCACCCCAAATTCCCAACATCGTGCGAACACAAGGGGAGAGGGGTTTGGGAATAGGTTTGGGCGTGTCATTTCACTTCCAAGTGATTTACAACTCCGTTGGAAACATTTTCGCGCAAGTTAGCACTCATGTGATCAAGAGGTAAAGCGGGTGTGAGCTAAGTCATATTGAAACCTGTCTGTCTGTACGTGTCTTGGAGTGTCATTTTGTTTCAACTGCCCACAAAATCGATCCTATACTTCCGACCATCACATATTCTGTTGGCGACACATATCCGCGTAAATCCCGTTCAACGCTTGCAGTTCGCCATGATTTCCGTATTCAGCAATTCGTCCGTGACTGACTACCGCTATGAAGATAACATTTTTAAACGTGGATAGTCTACCAGAAAACGACATTTTTGAAGTTCGTTAATGATTTATTTCTTTTGAAATGAGTACAAACACTAGCATTCAAAAATAACTTACCTGTGAGCAATCGTCACTGTCGTTTGACCGACTGAAGCCTTATCTATGACTTTCCGCACCTCGGCCTTGCTTGTGGAGTCGAGCGCTGAAGTTGCTTCGTCCAGCAGAAGTAGTCTCGGTTTTTGTATGAGTGCTCTTGCAATGGCAATTCTCTGCTTTTGTCCACCGGAGAGATGCCCCCCTTTCGCTCCGGCTTTAGTGTCGTAGCCTGTGAGTCGGCAGCAAGAATAATGTAATGATGGTGGAAGATGCAGTTTAGTTCAAGAACCGTCAAAAACAATCCCGCGGCGCGTTTTGTGGAATGGTTACCGTCAGGCATTCGCAATATGAATCCATGAACATCGCCTTGAATTGCTGCTTCCCTGATTTTGTCCATCGTCACTGGGTAGAGCGATCCCCAGGTGATGTTTTCCACTAACTCATGTCGAATAATACCGGTTCCTAACGATGCAATGCAACCCAAAAAGCAACCCAAAAACGAAGGTTAGGGTTAGGGTTAACCCTAAGTACAGCCAGGGAACATAACCCTGTAACCCCCGCCGAGCAAGTCAGTGTCTGCTGGCACGTGAGTGACTCATCATCACCGACTCGGCCTGCACCGTGTCTCAGATCTGAAAGCCATCCCGGTTTTTCAATGCAACGACTCATCATCCTTGCTCAACGGGGGGCTAGCTACTCCTAATACCTAGTTATGCCTCCGTCAGCTGCAATCACACTGGCCATCCTCGACGGCATGGAATTCACCAGATTATCGAGATGTCGTTCCATGGTCGGCGACAACTGCTGAACAATCGTATCCAGTGTTGCCGCCGTCGGATCGGCCTTTGAGACCTCTCGCTTGATGACTGACCACAGATTTTTGATAGGATTGAGGTCCGGGCTCTGCGCAGGCCAGGGCATAACCTCAATCCCATGTTCCTCAAAAAACTGCCGCGTCTCAACCGTCGTGTGAATGGGAGCATTGTCCTGCATGAACAATGGATTAGGAAGAAAGAGCTCAAGGTTCTGCCACATGGGCAAGAAGTGAGTAGTAAGATGTTGGACATAAGCAGTGGAATTGAGGCCAGTGCGATTTTGACCCTCACGCTGAACACGTTGCATCTTCGCCATTGGACCTACTGCGTTTCAAATAGATGCTCCCCAAAACATGAATGTTTTGCGGCCACTCCTTCGAGTCCCTGTAACACAATCAGGATGAAGACTCCAGTTCGAAGATGCCAGCATCGCATTTTGGGCACCCAACCAATCTCAAATGACGTCTCATCCGTCCAAACCACGCGGGACCAGTCCTGTGCTATCCAATGCTGTCATTCAAGCGCAAATGCGAGCCATGCAGCCCGGTGCTGTGCAGTCAGGAAAGGTTTGCAAATTTTGAAACGGGATGTCAGGTGCAGATATCGGTGAAGGTAACGACGCACGGTCTTCCAGTGTGCCTGAACACCTGTAAGCGTGGTGAAGTTGGAAGTAATTTCCTTCAGTGTTTTCTCTCGAGTCTCACTGGACGCAACAACAAGAAGGCGAAAGGCCTCCAACTCCTCATCTGAAGGTTGATACTTAGCTGGTCTCCCCGGCGGCTTCTTGGATTGATAGGAGGCAGGGTCATCAGCAATGTCGTTTGCAAACCTCCTTACGGTGTTCTTGACCGTGCTCAAACAGACTCCCTGGTCTCTGGCTATCTCTCCTTTGTTTTTCCCTGCCCTGTGGAGTGCAACTATGGCTGCCCTCTTCTGTGGAGTGAGAGGTTTGCCCATTTCCGTCGTTGTTGTTGTGAAGATTCCAATCTCCCCATCGCCGTCGCCATTCTGGCCTGGCCTGGCCAGGCTGGCCCGCTGCACGGCGCTCTTTTGTGACACGGACACTTAGGGTTAGGGTTAGGGTTAGGGTTAGGGTTAGGGTTAGGTTTAGGGTTACAAGACCCCCTGGGTTGGGTTTTATTATTGGGTTGCCTGGAACCCTAGGGACTTAGAAATTTTCGAGTTTTTTGGCTTTTGGGTGTGTTCTACAGTTCGAATTTTTGACTCTCAGGGGTGTAGTGGCGGGGGGTGTTGCGCACCTAGACAAGTTGGGGAGGACTAGGTGTGCAAGGGCAAGTGATGGGTCATATGGGCGGTGGTGCGGGTACGGGGGGGGGCAGGGGTGCCAATAGGGGGGGGGGGGGGGTTGATATAAAGGGGACATATATGTTATATATACGTTATAGGACTTGTGCAAATTGGGATTTTTTTAGTGCCGATCCGGAGTTGGCGTCCTAATTGAAAAGTTGGCCCCATATCATATTCTCTAATTGAAGTACTCTCGGATTGGCAATCCGTGCGGAAACGGCTTCAGAAACTTAGAAAAACAAAATTTTCATGCAACGGGGGGTAAAAAGTTGGAAAATGTGGTGATATCTCAACATCTGGCTGACTATCCAGTGTTGGGCACTTAATGAAAGTTGATTGTAGCCTATGGTTTGCATAGCTGATGTGGTAGCAAATCTTGTGTAACCTTGCTTTTGGCTGAAGAACAGGGCCCCTTTTCAATTCTCAAGTCGTGACCCCCAAGACCCCCTAACAAAAGACACGAGTACATATGTGCAGGCAAAGGGGTTTGGCCGTGTTCTCCAGTAAACATTTCGTGAATTCCGCTGTGCATCGTAGACTGTTTGTAGGACCCTTGCGGTATGTTATTTACCAAAACTGTTGAACATTTTCCGGTTAAAGCAGTGTTCTACAGTTTGTCCATGCAGGTTAGGGCACGTGACCTGGGCCTGCTTGCAGGGTACGCAGAGTGAGAGGGTTAGGGTTAGAGATTCCCCAGATCACTTATTAAATTCAGCCAAACTGTCTCTGTCATGTAACATTTAAAATGGTGGAAAGTAGTATTGCATTCATTGATTTAGAGTACATTGGAAAAGCGCACATTCAGAAAAGGGTTTTGGTGTAAAGTTATCAACGACATTCAACAGTACTAAAGGACTTCTGCAAGCATGTCACGGACTTGGTTCTGTCCAAAAGTCGTACTGCACTCAGGGTACCTGGCGCAGCGGAGACGGAAACGATGCTGACCGCCAATGCTATGAAAAGCTGAGCCTCCACATTTGGGACATTGAAGCTGATCACAATGCTGATGGAAGAGTTCACGGATATTGCCAATGGGAGCAGCATCAGGCACTTCCCCATCCCCATGACCCCACCAAGCACGAGCAGGATCAATGACGGGTGCAATGCCTTTGAACCATCCGGGATTGAAACCAAAAGAATTGAGAACGTCTCGGAAGCGCTGACAGTCTGTCACAGTAGTCTGTCTATTGCGATCTCCTCTGAATAGAACTCTGGTGGCAGCGTCCATGATGCCATTGATGAGACTGTAGTACTCTTCCACCGGCACAAGCTTCAAGGAGTTTGCGCCCATGTGCTGGAAAATGGTCTCGATCTGGTCCAAATGGAGATTCAAAACCATCTGTTCCGCTGATTCCAACCTGGCGCACTGAACTCGCACTTCAACTCGCATGCCAGTAATGTGGAGCGGGTGACTGTTGAGCCATTGACGTAAACCTCTCAGTGTCTCACTGCGATCACCAAGGCTGGACTTGGTTTGGGGCATTCGCGAAGACAAAGTCGAAGAGTAGGCTTTGAGCGCATGAACAAGCTTTGGGTAGCAAGTAACCCGAACATTGGCGTGACCCGCAATGTCAAAGCGGGTGGACCCAAATCCCTCACCAAGGATGGTGAGCATGGGAAAGGTGGCGCCAACTCCACGTCCATTGTAGCGAACCAAAGGAATGACCCCATGAGTGTTCAACGTCTGACCAATGTCCCATGTGTTCAGTGCAGCATCGGGATGGTTGCTCACTTCCTGATCAAAGGAATAAGCTTAGGGTTAGGGTTAGGGTTAGGGTTAGGGTTAGGGTTAGGGTTAGGGTTACAAGACCCCCTGGGTTGGGTTTTATTATTGGGTTGCCTGGAACCCTAGGGACTTAGGGTTAGGGTTAGGGTTAGGGTTAGGGTTAGGGTTAGGGTTAGGGTTAGGGTTAGGGTTTA